AATTATTAGATAAATTAGGTTATACAAGTGTATTTTTCTTCTTAACTATTTTAAATATAAATAAAGAATATCCTGGTCCATTTTTAGAAATAGAAAAAGGTTTACTTTTACTATATCAATTAGTTTCAGGATTTACCTCAAAAAATATAACAAAATATGTTCCTCACACTACCTTTTACTCCTTTTATAAAGAGTTTTGGATAACAAATTATGAAAAATTAAATAAGTTTGTAGATTATTGTATGTTAAATATGTTTAGTAATATAATAATAAGATTATTATCATTAATTAGAAATCCTAAGCATTTTAAAAATATAACCATGATGTTAGATGGTCATGACTCATCTATTGAATATGATAAGCCAGATATAGGAAAATTAAAAAGATGGAGCTATAAATTAAAAAGTTCAGGTATTAGAACTCAAGTATTAATAGATATAAATGAAATGGTTTTAAACTTATCTGAAAGTAAATTATGTGGTATAAGTAGTGATGGTGGTATGTTTTTAAATATGAAATTATATAATAAAATAAAATTATATAATAAAATAAAAGAAGAAGATTGTGTTGCTTTAGATGGAGGATATATACTATTTATAAAACAATTTGAAGATTTCTGTAAAAATAAAAATATAAAATTAGATGATAAAAATTTTTTCTATCCAATTAGAAAAGAAACTGGAATTGAATTAAAAGCTCAAGATGAACACTATAACAAGGTGTTTGGCAGCTTTAGAAGCATAGTAGAGAATCAATTTAAAGATCTATATAATAAATTTAAAAGATTTAGTAATAATAATTCTATTTTAAAAACAGATGATATAAAATATATTAACTTACAATTAAAAGTAGAATTTTGATTAAAAAATATACAATCATTTCAGGATAAATTTAATATAATAGTGCAAGAACACCATAAATTATGGGTAAATGAAAACTTTGACTTTCTAAATGAAAATAGATTAATTGATATTGTCTATAGTAATCAAATGGAACAAATGAAAAAAATTAAATGAATTGAATTTAATTCCAAAAAAAAATTTTAGAAATAAATATAGAGGAAATAGAAGCTGATACTAATAATAATGATACAAATATGGCAATTGATGAAATAGAATTAGAAAATGATATAAATAACACAAATAATATAAATGATAACAATAGTAGTGAAAATATCATTGATTTTCCTCAATATAAAAATACATCTAGAAAACGTAAGAAAAGATCTAACAATAAAAAAAATGATTTAAATATATATGAAATTAGAGATTTAAGTAAAGATGAAAATATTTATGAAGTTGAAAAAATAGAAGATCATAAAATACAAAATAAAAAATATATATTTTATGTAAGATGGAAAAACTATGAATCAAGTCAAAACTCTTGGGTTAAAGAAGAAGATTTTAATCAAAGAGATATTATATTAGAGTATTTTAATAAAAAAAATATTATATACAATAATTCATAAATAAATTTTAATATATAATTACTCTATAATTACTCTATCATAAAATAATGCATTATATTACATATATTATTTAATTTATAGATAAGGATTGTTCTTCTTAGCCACCCCCTTTGCTTAATCATACACGGTTAAAACACTTACTGTTCATATTTCAAAGATAATGCACAATCCATCATAACTTTTTCAACGATACATCCACTAGAAAGTTTCTACACGTTTCCAGATTTTAATATGTTACGATAATCCTTTTCAACTTCTTTTAGCGCCTTCACTGTCATAATTTTGGCCGACTTTTTACTATTGCTGCGGTTGTTGGTGGATAAGTGTGATGACGCTGCTGCTGATGATGGTGATAATGATCCCTTGGTATTTTTATGATCATTGATTACATTCCAATCTAAGTCCTATTGAGAACACAACCAAAAGATAATGAATATATAAGAGAGTATGAAGACAGAAGATAAACAAAATAGACTAAAACGACCAGTACAAACCTTCTCAACTTCTCCTTCAATGTTTAATTCTTCTAATTCATCAATAAACAACCTCGTCCAGCATTCAGATGCATTTTCTGCGAAAGTCGTTTGTCTTGATTATCTGAGTAATATTATTATCGATGAATTGCTTTAATGATGGAATTTGGCTGCTTTCCTTGCAAGTCATAATATAATCATTCACAACTAAAATGCACGAGTATATCATTTAGTAAAAAAATCAATAATGCACTTTATTCTTTCATTACGTTTTTTACATCCGCTCTTCTTATTATTGCGCGCATATATGACTGACGAAATCGTTGCCATAGTGATAATTTTTGGTGACCAAGGTTTCAAATGTTGTTACCAAAAGAAAGGGGCAAATTTTATAATACCTAAGAGCATCTCCAACGGTCGTTCTAAATTCTATTTTAGGATTCCGAAATAGAAAATTTCGAGTTCCAACGTTCGTCCTATTTCTATTCTATTTTAGAAAAGGGTCAAATTTTTTAGAATAGGCGTCCCAAAATTAGGGCAAGTTTTCTAAAATAAAATCGCGTTGTTGTACGCAGTAAAATAAAGCTCTCTCTTCTTTAAGAATCACTTCCTTTTCCAACAACAATGTCTTCCAGTTCTTCTGCCCCGATCCCCATCACTAATGTCGAATCTCGTGTCGAATCGACCATCGTTCCCGAAGTTGTTGCAGAATCGTCGACAGCAGCAGCAGTAAAAGCTGGCAATCGCGGTCCGAGCTGGAGCAATGAAGAGGATGTGTGGTTGTGTCAATCCTGGCTTGCCACCTCCACTCGTTCGTCAAAGGGCACCGATGTTCCCCTCCAAATATTGTGGGAGACTATCTACAAAGATTTTCTTCAAAGAGGGGGAGATAAGGATGTACGAACTGGCCAGGGAGCCCTCTTGGGCCGCTGGGGTACCATCCAAAGAGAGGTGTCTAGATACTGCGGTTGTCTTGCAAAAGCTCTTGCGCGAAATAAAAGCGGAAACAACGAAGAAAATGAGGTTAGGGGATGCTAGTTTTCATAAACGATACGATACCAGTACTGATGAATATATGGGAGTGAAGAAAGACTACGCAGTAACGCTGTATAAGAAAGCTGCGAAATCTGCTTGGAAGTTTCAACACTGTTACAATGAGCTTCATGAGCAACCAAAGTTCAGTAACAAGTATGTCAATGTGACAAATCAAAGCGCACCTGAGTATGTGAAGCGCCCAATCGGTCGCAAGAAAGCCAAGGAGCAAGAGAAGGAGGATGGAACGCGCAAGCGTAAATTGGACGATGATCGCGCTCGATTGGCGAAGGCTGAAGAGGAGCATGTCCAGAACAGCCGCAGGCGCATCGAGCTCCAGGAGAAAATGAACGACGATGAAGTGATGCGAGAACAGCTCGACAGATACTCAGGAGCTGAACTCGAGTATTGGACGCTGAGAAAGGCGAGGCTTTGGCCAATGCAAAGGCCAGAATCGCAAAAGCCATTGTCCAGGACGTAGAAGTTCAACAGACTACCGACGACGAAGTTGACGAGTAATAGAAAACAATAAATAAAAAATATCTTTTGTGTTTTACTAGATCATATTGCCTTGGTGCTGCCACAAATGCTCAACGAGGTCGTTCTTCAGTTGATCGTGGACCGCAACATCCTTGATCTCATCATAGCGATTCAAGTATTCGCTCATGGTGTTTGGATCCCTGCGAACTGTCAAAATGGGCGCCGATCCAACACTTCGCAATACTTCGGCTTCGTTGTCATCAGCAACATCCACTCCTGGATTGCAGCGCTGATCCAACAATCATGTTATGCAAGATTATGCATGCGCGCATAACCATTGAAAGATCGTCGGGTTGCCATAGTCTTGCTGGGTGTCGAATCACAGCAAATCTACTTTGCAAGATCCCAAAGGCACGCTCGACATCCTTACGGTACGCTTCTTGCATACAGGCAAATAACTATATAAGTAGTTAGAGTTGCTGCTCTCCATATGCATTGTTAAAATTTACCTTTTTTTTCTTCTCAATCGGATGCGTGATTGAATCCATAAACGTAGCCCACGGCGGGTAAATACCATCAACTAAATAATAGCCTTTGGTGTAGTTGTGGCCATTGACAGAAAAGTTGACGGGCGACGTAACATCAGACGCCAGATCATCGAAGATGGGGGAACGCTGCAAGACATTGATGTCATTCAGCGTACCCGGGAGACCGAAGAACGCGTGCCAAATCCATGTTTCGAAGTCTACTACAGCCTCAAGGATTACTGTAGCTTTCTTCTCTTTGCCTTGATATTGGCCTTTCCATCCGGCAGGACAGTTTTTCCATTCCCAATGCATGCAGTCCAAGGAACCGAGCATGCCAGGGAACCCGCGTTTTTCCGCCATATCAAGAAGCCGCTTGATATCATCCTCGTTTGGTGAGCGCAGGTATTCGTCACCAAAGATGCGGCTGATTGCCAAGCAGAAGCGCTTTAGGCACTCAAGAGCAGTGCTTGCACCTAGGCGAACATATTCGTCGGTCGCCATATGCCAGTTGGCGAATCGCTGCCGTCGCTTTCTGCAGCGGTGTCAATCCAGGCGTATGAGCCGCGTCGTACTTCTGCGGAAAGAAGGCATCTTTCTGCTCCAATTCGCTTACGATCCGTTCGAAAAGCCGACGACTCATGCGAAGACGAGTACGGAACTTGTATTCCGGGTAAACAGGATTGTCGCCAAAATAGTCATTGTATAAACGCCAATGACCTGCAACGCGATCGCGGTTAATGACGAGGTGACCAGGAACAGAGCCTTTTCTGGGTTTTCTCACTTGATCGTCGTCTTGGTCATCAGCTGCAAAGATTCTCTGAAGATGCTCAACTCTGCGCTGACGTTGGCGTTCTTCCTCGATGTCTTCATCGAACATTTGTTTTAGGTTGCGAATATTTTGGCTTGACATTGTGAAATGAGTGGTAGCCAGTTTTAGAATAGCGCGACCGTTGGAAAAACCATGTCAATTCTATGGTCCTGCTAGGATAGCGGCGTTCCATTTTAGAACGACCGTTGGAGATGCTCTTACTGCGCCAATTCGTATGTCTTTGTTTGGGACAAGTCTGGATGAACAACAAAGAGGCCAAGTCCGCAGCAATTGCTGAAAACGGACATGAAAAGTTGTGTGCGCTATTGACGGATAGCGTGCCTGAAGTGCGTGCTTCGGCTATGTATGCCTTGGGCACATTCTTGGGCGATTCGAACAAGACTGAACAAATTGTCAATATTGAACACAACATTGCCATCTCAGCACTGGTAGCCATGTCGGATGCTTCACCTATTGTACGTCGTGAATTTGTTGTGGCGTTATCTCATTTGGTCCACCAAGCCGGTCCGGCCAAGTTTTTGATGGCTGCGAATCAGACAATTGAAGAGGATCAGTCGTCACAGCGCATGGATGAGCGAGGAAAGCGGACACGATCTACAGGTGGAGGCGAGTGGCGATCGCCACCTAATACAGCAGTTACAGCAGCAACGTCAGGATCGATGGACAACAACCATTTCGTCTCGACAAGCTACGATTCGGTTTACGCGGTTCTGTGGAAAGCATTACTGAGTTTGTCTGTCGATCCACATCCAGAAGTCGCCAAGGCTGGATCGACTGTAGTAGATCATATCAACGCAATGCTTCTCAGCACACCTTCAGTAAGCGAATATGCATCATCCATTATCCGGGAAGTTTCAAACCAACAACTTGATCGACAAGGCAATGGTGTGGATCGATCACGGTCGTTCCAAGCCCACGACGATCGATTCACGACAACAACATCTACAGTAGGCAGCAGCAGCAGTGGCAGTAGTACTCCTAGTGGGATTCCGCCAGGTGTTAGTGGCAGTGCAGCTGTTGCTGCGCAACAGCTAAGACGACCTGCGAAACTCACACGCTCTGTTCCATTTGCATCTACCTTACGCACAATATACAACTTTGGAAATGCGTCCTTGAGCTCAGGGACAGTGAATGAGCCACATCATCAGCAACAACAAGCATCATCTTCATCACAACAACAGCATACCCGCCCTGTTTCACACCAACCGTCTCTCAATAACCGCAACGCCATCACACAACATAATACATCATCGGGATCTCTTCCGCGCAATTCACTATCCAAAATCAGCAGCAGTAACACTTTACCTCTTATCTCTGATTTCTATGATTGGAGCTGCGAATACTTCACTGAACCACAGATGCGTGTACGTTACAATAGTGTTTCAAGAAGTGGATCATACAAAAGAGGAAGGGGCTAGAGAAAGAAACGGAGATGTTCCGTTCAAAAGATGTAACACATCATCACCATCTCTTTCTATTTTCTGTATAGGCTACCGAAGCTGAGAACCTGGAAGTGTAGTTTATGCACAACGCAAATGGCGAAGAGCCCGAAACGAAAGGATAGCATTAGAGTCTCACTCAACCAAAGGCTTGGCTGGTAAGAACTTATTTGAGGCTCTTACTTTCTTTGTGGATTTAATCTTTATCACTAACTCGCAATGATACGTTTACTTTTTGATGTGGTTAGGAACCAGTCGTTGGGACGAACAGATTGTATCGATACACAATGAAACGGAAGCAACAAGGTTACTCTTCCATCAATACGAACCTCATCTAGTAGCAGCTGATGCATACAATTACCTTGTGTAAGTACGGATTTTTCTTATTTTGTTGTCCTTGTGCCCGTCCTAATTGAGTGAAATTCTCTAAAAAATGCAAATTTGTATAAATTTGTAAAATTATGTAGGGTCTGGGATTGGAAAACATCTACGCCACTCAGCGTCATCGATAACCGTAACCCATCGCATAGTCAAATTACGGATATGAAGTTCATTAATGAAGATGATGTGGCTATCCTGCTTACTGCATCAGGTATATACATTATCATTATCATTTCTTGCGAGGACGACAAAACAGGAGCAATAAGGGTGGGATATGCTCTCAGTGAAACATACACGTATATATTAATTTGACTTTAACCACACAAAAAAATATTAATTTACATCATGACTATGTATATTAGATGATGGTGCCATCCGATTATGGAAAAATTATGATGGCGCTGATCAGGAGGACGCCCAGCTTGTCAGTTCATGGCGGGCACTCAAGGACATGGAAAAGAGTAATATGCGCCAAAGCGGGCTAGTATGCGACTGGCATCAGGAACGTGGTCTCCTATTTACTGGCGGTGATGCACGCGTGATTAAAGTATGGGATGCACATCAAGAGATATCGGTCATGGTAAGTTTTCTTTTAATATCTCTTCATTGGAAAATAAGAATGGATTCAAAAGGTTGCGAAATGGGATATTCATTAATTCACAACCCACAAAACAGGATATCGCGACACAGTCTACAGGCTGTGTGACGAGCATAACAAGCGATCAGACGCGTGGAGACATTATTGTTGCAGGATTCGGAGATGGCCTTGTTGGTGTGTACGATCGTCGCATGAGGCCCACATCTGCGTAAGTCTTGCGTTGTTGTTATCAAATACTTTCTCACGATAAGTTCTCAAACTTAATCTTTATATGTTATTTATCCATGCGATAATATAGAATGGTACAACGATGGGATGAACACAAAGCATGGATCACTGGTGTACATCTTCAACGCGATGGTAATCGAGAATTGGTTTCGGGAGGTTTCGGTGGCGACATCAAGATTTGGGATATCCGGGAAACATCGTCGCTTCGAACAATCGAGGCACATACGCATGCAGATATGACTGCGTTGGCTGTCCACGACCATAGCCCGGTCGTTGCGAGGTAATAAGTCTTGACCAGGGCAGATAGATAGGGATAAAGTATCAAGTCACTTAAACTAAGACGACATTTCTAGTGCTGGAGATGACCATATCATCAAGGTATGGAACGTAAATGGCAATCGGTTATCTACGATCCGGCCCTCGTCTGGCTTTTTGGGGCAGCGAAACGCGTTCACTAGGGCACTTACTTTTCATCCTAATTTGATGGTCATGGGGGCAAGCGGTGACGATGGTTCAATTACAGTAAGTGGCTTTGTCCACATTAGTTCTCTTTGGGTTTGCTAATTTGTAATTGATTCTGGAAACGAACACTAACCTATTTTGCTATGCACACATCTTAGCTCTATCGATCAAATAATATCACTGCAACGCATTTCTCTTGAAAAGCTATTTTTCACTTTGTATACACCAACAAGCAACCCGAAATCCCCTACTTTTATATTTCTTTTACTATTTTTTACTTTATATATATACCATATAAAGCAATCGTATATATTGTTTTTACACGCAGCACATAACGCACACGTACACGCACACATTTATACAAGCACACCAACACAATCCATTAAATATTATTCTTATCATTCCACCAATGCCGCATCGTTCAAGTGTGTCGGTTACACAAGCCCTTCGAACTCCACTGTGCAATTGTTCTTGCTGAATTCGCCATGGTGATCAGAAGACGGTATCCGGCTTGAGTTGCCATGGTTATTCTGTATTCTAGGAAGCAGTAATGGCGGCTGTTGTCGATCCTGCAACTGCAACAGCCTGCGTGTTTATCAGATCAGGTGTGCATTCCCCCTTTCTCCTACTTTTTTTTCGGGAAAGGCTGATCAAGGGTGCATCGTGCATCTTCTCTGTGTATTCCATGTATCTTTCCATCTGTTGTTGTTCTAAACAACGCTTTAATTGACGAGCCGATCTGATTATCAATTGACTTGAAACGGAAGGATTTAAACGAGATAATCCAAAATTCTTTATAAATAGCGCAAGCATCGAACAAAAGGCAGGCCTTATCATGTTTTCCAACTCATCCCCTGCCTACCGCCGTACCGCCGCGCCAAAACCGGTAAACCCCCCACTCTTTTTTCATGAGGTAATTAAAAAAAAAAGATCGGTAATCGGATTATACCTTCCCGAAGGGAGAGTTTACTTGCCGATAGAGATTTTTTTTGCGTAAGACTTGCCGATAGAGATGTACCGAGTAGATAAATTTTTCCACGGCGGGTTGTATCTCTTATCTGCCACCTTCTTCTCCTCTTTCTTTTCTTCTTCTTTTTAACTTATTTCATAAAATCTGTCCATGTGACATAGGTTACCATGATCCTCACAACGCCTCACAATGTTATCCGCGATTCTGCCAATGTGCTCATGGACGAGGCACGTGTGCTGAACGATTGCGCACAACGACTCTTTTGCAACGACACGGCTCGCCAAGGCTACCAAAAAGCGATCGACTTGATGCTCGCCTGTCTCGAATGCGGCGGCAAAATTGTCGTGACAGGTGTCGGCAAATCCGGCAAGATTAGCGAAAAGATTGTTGCGACCATGCTGTCGACCGGTACTGCAGCCACGTTTTTACACCCTGTCGAGGCCATGCACGGCGATCTCGGCGCTGTCAACGAAAAGGACGTTGTGTTAGCTCTATCGTATTCTGGCAATACCGAGGAATTGATGCGCATTGTTCCCAGTTTGAACCATCGTGGCGTGCCTATCATTGGTCTGGGTGGTAACGCCAAGTCGCAACTCGCCAAAATCTCGGCAGCTTGGATCGATGGTTATGTTCATCGCGAAGCGTCGGAAATACCAGCGCCAACGAGCTCGACCACCCTCGCTTTGGCTTTGGGCGATGCGATTGCGTTGACTTTGGCCAAACAACGCAAGTTTACGACACATGGGTTTGCGTTGAATCATCCCGGTGGATCGTTGGGTCGTCGATTGTTGCTCAAGGTCAAGGAATGTATGGTTCCCGCACAAAAGGTCGCGACTGTGCCAGCCAACGCATCGTTGGACGTCGTGATTATGGAAATGACCAGACATCCCAAGGGAGGAGGTGTGGTCGTGTTGCGCAATATCCCAGGCTCTTTGGCTGGTAATAACACTATTAACGAAGATATCGAACAAGAATTATCGCCACCGTCATCGGTTGCTTCGGATGATGCCACAACGATTGCCTCGACTAGCGAGGAAGACGAGGAAGGAAACAGTGCCATCCCGCCAACAGAGACTGGCCAAGTGATTGGTGTGATTACCCACAGCAACATCCATCGGATCCTCAAAACCGCAGCAAGAGAATCTGTGTTTGACATCCGTGCGTGCGACATCATGACGCCTGAGCCTGTTATTTGCTCGGCAGATGAGTTGGCTACGGAGGCATTACGCATCATGGTCGACAAGAAACCGCAAGGAAAGGAGTTGCCATTGCTGCCGGTCATTGATGGCAAAGATAAACGCGGTGCTTATAGAGGTGTTGTCACCCTCAAAGATTTGCAAGAATTGTTTTAATTTGTTTTAATTTGTTTTCTCTCGTATACACTCCATCCCAACCCTCTTCTTCTCTCCCACATACTCAACATACACACACGATCTCCTCAACATCGCAAAGCTGCTGCCATGAAAAGCAGCAAGTCATTATATATACATACTACACTCATCTAAACCCCCATTATCAAGCGTTATCTCTCTCCTTCAAGCCCCCCACTCCCCTGTCTTTTCTTTTCTTTCACCACCGCTGTTATCTATTTCATTCTTTCTTTTGCTTCTATACATCTGTTGATGGTATTATTCCCTTTCTAGCACACTATATATATTATATATTATACATATGTAACGTCTTTTTGTCTATCACTGCTTGAACTATTTATCCGTTCATCGAACTAGTAGTACATCTGTTGTTGTGTCACGTATCACATTCTTTATATAGATAAGGTATAACAGAAGTATACACAATGCTCTTTTCAAAGTTTATCTTTCTTATCGAGGCATTACATGTCGTACTACGTGCATGAAGAGAAAAGAAATTCCATCTTGTGCTTACACTGCATGTGAAGCAAAACGGGAGATCCGGTCTGGTTTTCTGCATCTTCGGCTGCTCATACTATTCATGAGGCACACAAACAATTAACTAGTAGAAATGTGCAATGAAAGAACAATTTCTATGGAGTGTATGTAGTGGCACGCGGCATTACATTGCTATTTTCTACTTTCTGCAATATGTCTCAAATTGTGTATAGTTCTTGTAGTCGTCAACGCGACCAAAGGTGGGTAGCTACACTCAAAGTATGTATATATGTATGCATATATGTTACTGGTACACTGCGATGATCACACATTAATTATATTTGGTATTTGTGGCGCGTTTTTTGACGATAAGAGCGAAGAAGAATAATTGATATAGCCGAGCATATCAATATATTGAATAATCATACAATGCAGTAGATCTTCGTTGATTACAACCAGAAATGTTTTCAAACATTGCTGAAATCATTGGATATTGGTTTATCGCAATGCTTTCTATATGGGCTCTATGTCCAACGGTAATAGTAACGGTACTGGAAATTGTTGGGTTTCAATGATCGAAGGTGCAATTGACGGGGTTTTATTATTATAGCCATGCTAAATCTCATTGTGTATCTGCTGCACATATACCAGGTGATCACTGTTCTTCTGTTCTTTGTTAAACTGTTTTAAGCTTGTATTTAGAAAAGGAAACTTATTACAAATACGCTTTGAATTCCAATCTTGGCCTTTTGCATGGCATGTAAAACAAAGGCGCTGCGAATCCTTTGTTTACTCAACTTACTACACTGCATGAGCAAGATTCATTGTGTCACTTTTACTGCTTAGGGAGGTGATTGCATAGTAAAAAGTGGGGCCTGCGACTGCTGTTGCATAGTCACATCTACAGTATAAGCATTCGCGTTAGAAAGAATACGCTTGAGTATTTACAAATTGCATTCTTGGTAAAAATGGACCATCTTTTCTTTCTGTCTCTTTTACGTACAGTATATGATCCAAAATATGACTGTGGAGAATTATGCCACCACTGTCACCACCTCATACATATATCCTTCCAACAAGCATCAACTGGACCCCTCTCCGTTAAAATTCCACTTTCCGCCATTGATGACTCTTATCCTCCGTATCAAATCCTCCAGTATTGGCATTTCCACTCAAGTGCTAGCTCCTCCAACACGGTTGCTGGAAAACTTAAAGACTCCCTTGCAGAAGCACTCGAGCTGTACCTTCCAGTAGCTGGAGCCATTCATAGTTACGATGATGGAAGTACTGGCTTGTATATTGCCACAGATAGCGAAAACCGCCAGGGCACGCCTTTTCTTTTAGAAACGAAAAACATACCATATACCGAAAACGATGATGAAAAGAATATGTTTTCGCGTGGCACTTCTTTATTACCCGCCGGATCAAGCATATCTGCTGTTAAAGTAACTCAGGTATATCTTTCAGAGAGCAAATGCGGCAGCGTATAATCGTAGTCATTTTTGAGTGACTGATTTCATTGTAAATTTACCCAAAAACCATAGTTCTCTTGCGGAACCATAGTCATCGGCGCATCGATTAATCATCAAGTCGTGGATCTCCATGCCTACCTCGATTTTATGAATATCTGAGCCCAAATCACTCGTGGTGAATCTGTCGATCCAGCGAGTAATCTTCCATATGATTGGCTTCGTACGCCTAGCCGATTCTTTCCTACAATTCAAGGTGAGCCGGTAAATCCTTTCCGTGTCACTACTACAACAACATCAGTAGCAGAGCCACCACCACCTAGTAGTACGTCCTCATCCCAGCAACAAACGAAAGTGATCGTATGGAAGCTCACCAAAAACTCCATTGATCGATTGAAAAAGAACCTGTCGTCCTCAATGTCTTTGAAGAACGACCAGTGGATCACATCCGGCGATGCTCTTACAGCACTTGCCTTTGGTGCTCTCACCCGTGCGCGCGAAAACGCCAAGATACCAAGAACAGCAGGAGTGCGATCCAGCATCGAGTCACAGACTGAAAGCCTCTATACAATGTGTGATTGTCGTCCAAAAGCGCTTTTTCTGCCCTAAGGGAAAAAAGACTTACGATATTTCGGAAATCTATGTATATATTGCAAGACGACCGTTCCACGTGCCGATCTACTGTCTCCAACAATCGAGGCCACTTTGCGCGTCGCCATTCTGATTCGAAACGAAACGCGTGCCCAGCTTTCACCAGAAGCGACCGCCAATCAAATTGCCTTTCTTGAAAATCTCAAGGCTAAAAAACGATCTCCTTATGAAATGTTTCCTCCAATGGACGCATTTTGCTCCAACTGTTTCAAATTTGATATGCAACTTGATTTCGGTTGGGGTAAATCGTACAAGGCAGCTATTTCTGATGATGTTCAACCAACGTCTGGAACTGTTTATATTATGCCAGCAGTTGAGGGACCAACTGGAGATGTTGACGTAAAATTTACACTAGAAGTTGATGCTGTGAAGCACTTGGAGCTGGATCCGTTCCTGTGCAGATATTCCAGTTTCTCAATGTAGTAGCAGAGCACAACACAACAAACATTATTTGAAAATAAATGTAGTGAGAGAAGGGATGAAAACAGCCAGAATAGGTGCAACAGAGCTCTTTGAGGATGCATGAAAAAAGTTATAAGTACAGTTCGGGGATCATATGTAGACCTGAATTATAGCATTGCTTTAGCACAGCTATATATGCTCTAATAACCAATCGAAAAAAAGCAACGATCCTAGTCCTTCTTCCTAGTATGCTGTACATAAAGCCGGCGTCTTACATCGTCGCTGTTATATGCGACGGAAAGAATGGCGATGGATGACTATGAACAACTATGGCGTTGACCTTCACGAACGGCGATCACTTGAGCTGTCAGCAACTCCTCTGACGCTCTACCAACTCTTTGCCACGTTTTTAAAGGTCATGTCGAGACAACTACCTTTTGTTTCTTCTTTTAGCACCGATACTGCAAGTTATGCACTCTTAGCACATTCCTTTGAATGAATAACCATCCAACGAGGAACACCACGTTCGTTAAAAGAGACGATGTGAATATTAAATGAAGGAAATACGTGAAGAGGGGGAGAAAGTGGTAGATAAACGCAGCGTTCGACATATTGCTCTGTATACCTCTTTCCTCTACTAATATGATAAAACCTCTATACGCCATCACATTGAGTAGTTTGCGGCTGGGAGTAGCTACTGTATTGTCCACTGATGTCTGTACCCCAGAAAGGGGAGAACTAAAGTCCTACTCATCTTGTCTTATTTGACTTATCTGTAGAAGTAACCTAAAACTACCCGAATATAGTGGCAAATTTAATATGCATCCTCCAGTTTCTCGCGATTGTGACAAGGTAATAATATCATTAGCAGGTGAAAAATCATCCCGATCAGCGTATCTTTCCATATGCCAATCGGTTCCATGACAGCAGTTTTGCTTGGTATATAATTAAACACGTATTTTTTTAAGCCCGCTTCGTCGTGTAAGAATATACATCCTCTATCCACCTCCCTCCTTCCCCACCCAACCCCAAACTTTAATGAACAATCACGATCCATCTCAAAAAAAAGCTACACCTACACAATTGACTCCAAGTCCAAATCAACTGAATGCAGCAAAGAATAACGACCTTGTCCCAGCAGTCAATCAAATCGGTAAGATCTCCCTCGCACACGCTACAGACTCTTGACCCTCTTTTTTTTGTTTTCTTCTGTCCTCTCCTTTTCCGAGGGCGCAAAGAATAACCTGAACAACCTTTCGTTACGATAGAAAAAGCGACTCCAGTTATAAATATTACGAACGACAAAAAAGTAATTCCACCCAGACCATTGCTGCCGCGACCGAGAGAAGAGCATTCTTTGATCAAACCGCAACAAGATCCCTCTCCCGCAGCTACTCTACTACCTGGTGCCTCTACTTTTCTTCTTCTTCCTTCTCCTTCTTCGCAAGAAAGCAAGCCTAAAGGTACGCAAGAGAAAAGAAAAGAAATGGTGTTGCACAAGAAAAAGCTTAGGCTTAAAATAATCTATTTACTATTATGCTATAGATCCAACTCCAGCAATAACAACACCATCCACTGCCGCAAGTAAAACTACAGCAGCAACGAAAATCACCACAGAACCGAGCACCAAACAACAACAGCAAAGTCGAAAACGAAAGTCTCCAACAGATGAAAGTGAGAGTGGACATCATCAAGTTGTTAAGAGAACGCCAGAGGTAAAAAGAACAAAAGAAAAACCTTTTTTTTAATTTACAAGTGTTAAATGGGGATTTTTGGTTTCTGTTTTGGCAAGACAACAGAGCCAGCAACAGTACGTCGAGCTACTACTACTGGTGGCCCAACAAGAACGCGATCAGAAGAAGATGATGATGATACATCTGTAGACAAACGACCACGGAATGTAGAAAAGATCATCTATGGTCGATACCAAATCGGCACTTGGTACTATTCGCCCTATCCAAGCGAGTATGGCGACAAGGTCGAGGAGCTATTTATTTGCGAACATTGTTTGCGATATACGGTGGAGGATAGCCAGTTACGTGCTCACAAGGCAAGTTAATTAGCGACGGTTAGATCTCTCGTAGTACTAAAAGGCTCACAATCACTAAACTATCTTCTCTTTTTGTAGTTGCATTGCAAGCGACGACGGCCACCAGGGCAAGTCATTTACCAACAAGACGGCATCAAAATATACGAGATTGATGGACGAGAGCATAAAGTAATGTATATCAAGGAGAGAAAAGAGCAAGGGAGAGCCCTATACACAAAATGTAGTAGTATCCTGTTCCACTCATTTTTCTACCAAAAAAAAGTTATACTGCCAAAACCTTTGCTTAATGTCCAAACTGTTTCTGGAGACCAAAACGTTGTACTATGATGTTGAAGGCTTCACGTTCTATGTGCTAACTGAGCAAGACCGTACTCTGGACCTATTCGTTGGTTACTTCTCAAAGGTAGATAAAAGCATAATTCATCCTGTCTACATAGATCGCTGACAACAGCAAATAGGAAAAAATCTCTTATGATAACTACAATTTGGCGTGCATCATGGTATTACCGCCGCAACAACGAAAAGGATATGGGCGCCTGTTAATAGAATTAAGTGAGGATTGTATTTTCTTATTGGAGATGAGGAGGATCAGAAAAGGACAACAAATGATTAACTTTTATAATGAAATTCACTAGGCTACGAGTTATCGAAACATCAGGGCGTAATTGGCTCACCCGAAAAACCATTGTCATCTCTAGGCGCACTGGGATATCGGTCGTATTGGGCGTCTACGCTTATTGCATCATTGCGCGATTTCCGTGGCCAGCTCACAATCCAAGAGCTGAGTAAACGAACGGCTATCCATATCGACGATGTGATTGACACTTTGGCATGGCTGGGTATGTTAAAATATCGCAAGAAAAATGTAAAACAAGAAGAAAAAGAAAAAGGTGGTGCTGCTGCTGCTACTACTGCTCAACATGATGGTTCTCCTTCTGGTACACCTGTACAAGTATGCATTAAGAGCGATATGCTAGAAAATGCCATAGCAGAGCATCATTTGAGATTCACCAAGAGAATTGATCCGAGCTTAATACGCTGGAAGTATACTACTAGCAATGCCACTACTTCTACAAGTGGCGGCCATCATCATTTACATCCTGAAGATACAATTCGATAATAATAATAATAATAATGAAAATAAACTTGTACATATAAGAACAACCGTCCCTGATACATGAAACAGAACGGCACTTGTAGATACCATAAGAGGAAATCAGCTTTTTTTGTTCTCTGTTGAGTGCTGTCCAAGTCCTTATTTTGACAACCTAGCGTTTTAGAGAAAGTTTAGCTATCAAAGATGAGTCAACTAACGGATAACACAACAACAGCAACAACAACCCGAAAACCAGTCAGGTACAGTGAACGCACATTCCCCAAAACACTAAATTGTATAAACTGAAATTCATTATATGAAAATAACAGAGTATGGGTCGATGGTTGCTTTGACATGATGCACTATGGTCACGCCAATGCTCTTCGACAGGTAAACTGAAAATTGTAGATAGGTAAATTTTATTGTTAAAATTTGAAATACTCAATGGTGTGAGAAAACATATAGGCAAAAGCCATGGGCGATGTGCTTGTCGTCGGTGTGCATTCGGATGCCGAGATTGCAAAGAACAAAGGACCTACTGTCATGAAAGAGCAAGAAAGGTAACCGGTTAAAGTTTGCAAAAAGCGTGTGACACGAAGAAAAAGAAGTTTACTCAACTCGGTAATATATTACCATGTTACGTTATGAAACCAGATATGACGCAGTTGCAGCCTGCAAGTGGGTAGATCAAGTCGTACCCAATGCGCCATACAACACGACCGTCGAGATTCTGCGTGAATATGATATTGATTTCTGTGTACACGGCGACGACATCACAACAATGGCCGATGGTACCGACTGTTATCAAGCTGTGAAAGATGCCGGTCTGTATCGAGAGTGTAAACGTACGCAAGGTGTCTCTACCACCGAATTGGTCGGTCGTATGCTCTTGATGACCCGCGATCACCATAAGCGAGGCGAGTCTTCGATTGCCAACGTGAATGCTGAAGAACTTGGCTCTTTTAGTGCTGCAACAACTTCAACGTCAGGCAGCAGCGGCAACAAAACGATCAATCGCACAACTATATCTCATTGCTTGCCTACATCCAAGCGGATAGTTCAGTTTTCTGAAGGTCGTGAGCCGAAGGAAACGGATCGTGTCGTCTATGTGGATGGGACATTTGACTTGTTCCATATTGGTCATGTCGAATTCTTAAAGAGAGCCAAGGCGCTTGGCGATTTTTTGAACGTGGGCGTACATGACGATCAGGTAAACATACCAAAGCTCAATCAAGACAAATAATGGCTCACACTCGTTGCATCATTGCTTAACAACTCTCGTGGTTACCGAAATAGACCGTCAACGCAATCAAAGGTGCAAACTATCCCTTGATGAACCTTCATGAACGAGCACTTAGTGTTTTGGCTTGCCGAGTAAGTACTAGATATATGCTTTTTGTTACAGACCCGGAAGGGGTTGTGTATGTGTAACTCTTAATAATTGGACATTTTATATCGATAAAAATAATAGTACGTCGATGAAGTGATCATTGGCGCACCTTACAGTGTCACCGAAGATATATTGACCAAGGAGTACCATGCTCACGTTGTTGCACACAGCAAGACGCCTACCGAACCTGATTTGGATGGCAAGGACCCGTACCAGGTACGCGCCCCCTTTTTCTTTACATAGCTTGCTGCACCCGTTTAAAACTTGAAAAACTGAAGCTAATCATGCCAATAATATATATTATATAGCTGGCAAAGGATCGAGGCTTATATACCGAAATCGATAACCCTAGTTCTACCCTTACCACCGAAAGCATCATACAACGCATTATTGAAAACCGTGTCTTGTATGAGGAACGACAACGTCGTAAGAATGCCAAAGCGGAACTGGAATCTCAAAAGGAATCTGAGGAGAAGGGCAGGGCGTGAAAAATGATTACCGACCACTATTGTTCCAACATCATGTGTATAGTAGACTATTAAACGATAAGAGTGTGTTTGTTTGTTTGTTTTGAGAACTTTTTAATAATTGTGTATAAAAGGAGATGAAAATATATATACGAAAGTACAACAACGGTATCTATAATTACGTTTATAAATATAACGCGCTTTGAACTACTGCATAATTAGAAAAGAGAAAAAAGAATGTGTAGCGCTCAACGGCTATATAAGAGGCTGTTGGGAGAATCAAGCAATGAAATAGGCGCAAGCCATAGCCATCAAGATAACGATGGCAGAAGATGATTGCATATTACCGACGGCACCATTGATATCAACGTCCATGCCATCAGGGCCATGAGAAGGACCGTGGGTTGAAATAGGACTGCCGTTGGGCATAACAGTGACATGGCTGGTCATGGTTGAATACGCTAAAATACAATACTGTAAGCATTTCAAGTTTATATCGTCATATATCATACAACTTTACCAGTAACAGTAAGAAGATTAGGCTGTCCATTAGTGCCGCTTTCGGCGGGATTGCTGTCAAAGTAAGCATCAACAGGAGCAGGTGCTGCCTTTTCGCCGGAAGCGGTTTCGTCCTGTGTAACCTCCTCATGGTATTCCTCGTCGTCCTCTGTTTCCTGCTGCTCGTCATCATGATTTTCTTTTTTGTGAGACGAAATAACGGCAAAAATGTTATTTCTGTGTTGTTGCTGATCATTCGTAGTAGCATCGTTACCACCAGCGAGTTCTTCAGTCTCATCGTCTTCTTCTTCGCGGTCGTCCTCTTCTTCGTGGTCGTCTTCCTCAGGAGCAAGCTGTTCATCACTGCTGTATCCTTCGTAAACATTTTCTTCCATCAAATCGGCGTCGTTATTATCCTCATCATCCACAAGGTTCTCCTCATCAATGCTCATCTCAGCTCCGTCCATTTCGTTCTCCTCTTGTTTTTGTTCTTCTTCTTCGGCAATGGATGGTGTCTTGATGTCATTTTGTTCCTCCTCCACGTTCACTTCTACTTGTTGGTTTAATGCGGCCTCGTCACCTTCATCAGCAACAGCATTATCTTCTTCTTCAACAAGCTCGGGCTTTTCATCGACGTTGCTATTGAACATGGTGTCTTCTTCTTCTACGGCGTTTTGGGGGTTAACCTTGCTGTCAACGTCGATTTCAGGCCAGTATCTTTGGAGACATTGATTACGACAGCTGCCTTCGTCGCTGTTCTTGCCTAAGGCTCTGGTGTTACAGTCGGCGATACATGAGCGGGCTTCATTGACTAATTTAATATAATGCGTAAAACAGACAGACAGAAAGAAAAATTAACACAAATATTGCTATTTTGTTATATTATGGCAGTGGTGGTACTGGTAATAATCGTCTTATTTGTTTTTCTTCTATCATCAAGGTAATTGAACGCCCACTTACTGCAACGGTCGAGACATCCGTGACTCGTGGGGTCGCAATCGCAATTAGCCAGAGTGTAGTCGACGCCAATAAAAGCCAAGGTGATGAAGACGGAGACAAAAAGAGTAATAAGATGCATGATGGAAAATGCGTGATATGTATACAAGTTGATGAAATATGAATTATGGAATTGAAATATATGTTGTGTTGTAGCTACCGTCGTAAGAAAGAAGACAGTCTTTATATATTGCGAATTTACAGCAGCCCGCGACCATCACAACAAACAGCAAGTGCAATAACATTAAGACAAGAGCCCACGAATGGGTCTGTGTCGTAATTGGTTGGTAGTAGTGGTGGAAGCCAGTTTACATCAGTAAGACTCACGACAAACATAAAGATGTGATCGATCGTGATTTGTTTATGGATATGGAAGCATGTGGCAACTTTAATTGTGCATTTTTAAGTGGTATGTGCGGCAGCAGTAGTCACAAGTCGATAAGGTGGAAGTAGAATAGCGAGTTTTCAGATGACCCAGAATGCAAGATGTGCCTGGTGAATATAGGGGGCAATATTTACACGAGCTGCCTACGTACAGAATGGTGGTTCGGTTTGCCTGGCTGGCTGGCTGGCTTGCTCTATTAATTCCAACAACTGTACAGCACAACGTGTCACGACCACAAGGTTTCCAGGTATCACAAAGTTGATGAGGTGGAGAATGAAAATTTATTGCCTATGTCTTTTCACCCAAAAAATAAATACTTTCCCTCTTTCTTTTCCCTTACTCTTTTCTCTTTCGACCTAAAACAACTCTTTAAGAGGTTTAATCCTCCCCCACCCCCTTTCCTTTCCCTTTCTAAAGAAACAAACAGAAAAAAAGATGCTTAAAGCGCTCATTGTCACCTTCCTATCCTTTGCCCTGTTTCAATTGGCCCAGGCGGCCTCGGTCAACATCAGAAGTCCGCGACCCAATGCTGTGTACGAAGCTGGCGAAACGGTCGAGATCAAATGGTTTGTTTCGCGATAAATTTTGCATTGAAGCTAGACACGACGCTATTTGTAATTAATATTAAAACAACAACAATAATAATAATAGGAAACTTGCAGATGGCGCCTCAGTTGATAAGGTCATGATTGCCCTGGCTTCTGGCCCCGCACAGGCCTTGCTCATCGACGAAGTTATCGCCCCCAGCGTCGATGCAAAGAACGGTACCTACAAGTGGAAGATCCCCAAAAACATCAAGCCAAACTCTCAGTAGTACGTACTTGTATCAGTCAACTAACTCTACGCACATAAGAAAAGAAGAATAAAGAGAACTCATATGTTGACAAACACCAACAACAACAGTGTTCTTGAAATCGGTCCTCACTCTGCTGATATTGCATTTGCTGGTGAGTAAGAATAACTATAATAAAGGAGACTAATGAAACAAGAACATCGGCGAATTTTTAAGGAAGACATCGATCGCGACAACAGAAAATTAACTCTTATTACTATTATTATGACCATGATATCATTGTATAGGTTACTTTGCAATCACCAAGGCTAGCAACACCAAGCCCAGTGCTAGCGTCCACAGCAGCAGCAAAGTACCCGTTCCTTCAGCTTCGGCTTCAGCTTCAGCCTCAAAATCTGCTAGCGACGACGACGACAAGAAGAAGGCCAAGCCTACCGCCACGCTTCCATCTTCCGTCATCAAAGAAACGCCCAAGCCCACACCTACTCCCTCTTCTAACTCCTCCAACAAGGGCGCCGCTGTTCGCGTCATGTGCGTCGCTTATCCCGACGAAGACAATGAAATGACAACTACTTGCCGCCCACTTCCTGTTTCCACGACCGTCAAACCCAAAGTTCACGGCTCGCACAAACGAAAGGAAAAGGCTAGCACCACCACCACCACCGTTGCAAAAGAAACACCCAAGCCTGAAGATGATGATGAAGAAAAGAAGGATTAAAAAGTTGTTGTCTGCGAGAAAATCTCTGATGGATGCACAGTCAACGACGATCCTTTCTTGATCGCCTATCATGTCGCCTCTTAAAAAAACAACAACACTTCTTTAACGTCTCTAGAACATCTTCCAACGCTTAAAACAACTTACACACAAGCTGGCCTTCTTTTTTATAACCCACTCATCATCCACCCAATTTTGCTTGGGTTGTTGTAATTTTAACTTATATAACTGGAAACCTTGTGCTGTGACATTTCTTTTACCATCCCTTTCCTTTCGTTCGCTTTTTTGTTATATTTTATATACACACAATTTACCAACTACCATACATCCATCTATTAACCTCGCCTACTAGCATCTTCGTCACCTTCACACCTGTTAAACTAGTTTATCCCACCCTTTCTTTTCGTTGTACTCGTAAACACTCAACCACTAAAGACGTATCATTCTTTCTTTCTTTCCCGGCTTTTGATAAGCAAATCAACTTTGTTATAGATTGGTCTTCTTTTTTACTGCTGCTGCTCTCTCACCCGGTGAAGAAGATCCCCTTTTTCCTTTTCTTGTGCGAGCCTGCATCATCGCACAAACAACTGAAATGCGGTATCAGTTCACGTGTACCATATACTGTATATTAAACTCGTCATCTTTTTGTACATCTTTCGATTCCATGATACCATTACTAACCAATATTTTTTACTCATGTAAACAGCTATACAACACTATCTCCCCATTTTTCCCGCTCACCACACAGGTACTCACCACTAGTGGAGCAAGTTTATTCATAACTACACCATTTCTATAAGCAATGGTGGGCCACGATGATGGTGCTTGCGTGGCTGTAATAAGTACAGATAAAACCTTGGGTTACACAAGGTTTAAAAAGACAAATTAAGCTATTTTACTTTATGGCGAACTGCCTGCGCGACTGTACAGCGAAAATATATAAAGTTCCGGATACCTGGGTTGTCTTTGACCCGTCCATATGATATGTGTACTACAGAAAATATTAGGCTGAGGGAGCACAGGAATAAATAACATTAAACTTATTAAATATCAAATATATAAATCGTCATGACGATCGGTGGCGAGAGCGGAGGGTATCGAACGAGTTCAAGCATATAATGGCCAGAACACTGTTTTTTGTTTTTCTCGACCGAGGCTAACTATATTAGAAAAGAAAAGAAGCGTCGTCAAACTGCGTTCATGATTTCGTATAAGGAGGTTAATGCACATGCGGCAAACTTTGTTAACGAACCTTGCGATGATGTAGTTTCTGCTCGGTTTGTGAGTGTACAGCAGTGTGTGTGTAAGCACTTCCCTTTGCATGAATTCTAGTAGAGCTTTCAGCATGTCACAACCCTCGTCAAAAGCAATAAGTGCGAACATCTCTTTATTTGAAGTAAGATTTATCTATAACTCCTTGATTTTCTATATCACCCTATGCTGTTTGCCATGAGTTAAAGAAACAACGGTGTACAAGAATTATCTTTACAGTCTTGATGTAAGCTCGGAATACACAATATAAATAACCAACTGCAGATATTCGTATTTTTATATTCCTTCTGTGCACGAACCTTGGTTTCCGAGTACAAAACGAAAGAGGGTACCTTGCAGCAACATGATGTCACTTCACAAAGTAGACAAAGTATGCAATAATATCGATACATTGAGGAGGAAAATTTCACGAAAGCTGCCGCCATCTGTATTCTTAAACTCAAAATCTTGTTTTATGACAAGGAGAAAACCAGCAACGACTTGCAAAGCGCAAAGAAATGCAAGATTGTAAGAAATGGTTGCTGGGAACAAGACTCGAAGAGTACACAGTATAATATAAAGTCATCGTTACATTATTGCGTAGTGTGGCTAGACCATATTTGTTTTTGTTTTAAGTATTGCTGAACCGTATATATCATACCCGCCACAATTTTTTCCTCCTTCCTCCTCTTCTTCATCCTTTCATTTCGAATCCATACTTCTATTATTAAATAAATCTTCGCTTATAAAAAAAAAAGAAAGCCAAAGGACACAGAAAGGATTTACAAGAAAGTGCAGTGTGATGAATTTGATTTGTTTCTGGAAGAAAACCCACAGCTACATCCACCTGCCTCACTTCGCTAGCTTCCAAACTTAAATAAGTTCGTCTTCAGAGCTCAATCGAATCATGCGTGATCGCAGACGTGTCGCAAATACATCTTACCACGTTTATGATGGTGACATGTGGCGAGAGTTTGCTGATTGCGCTGTCGTCGTTTTTGATCCACGACGTGCTTGTATAAACCACTGCGGTGGGGCATATGTTTAGGATATTGGCATTGCAGGAATTTAGGCAGCTGGTGGGTAATACTTTCATTGTTGACAGCAACACTTTTTTTTCCCAATGCAAGAGCTGTTCGTACAGTCATAGCTCGTTGCTATAATATAAAAACAACTGCATATGCAACTAGCATCAAGCTGCACAAGACATTGGTCCGATTCACTTTGCCGTACCTACAACGCGTCGTAGCTTTATTAATAAATTCTGTAGACTTGAAGCAAGATTGACAGCTCTGACGTTTTAAAGTCACAATGCCCTTAATCAAGAGATGCGGCATCCAAAGAAATATACGAGGATAGTACAGCACCTCGGACTCGAGTTTTTCGGTATGTACTGCAACTGCCTTCTAACAAAACCGAGCTGTTGACCTTCTGCTTACTAGACAGACACTCAGCTAACAGAGACAAGTAGGCCGATCCGTCTACTACTACTAGTGGCACATAGTGCACTCATTACACACACACACACACACACACACACACACACACACAGCTTTCTCCTCGTTACAACACAATATCGTATGCTTTAAACTTAAGAAAAATGTAGCTGATATGAAATAACAGATTCTGAATACTAAGTATGTTGATCTTGCTGATTGATGTTGTATGTAAAGAAAAGAATAAAGCTAAGTACAATTTTACAGTAGTATTAGTTTTTTTTGTTTCTTTGATTGATTGATAGATTTTCTGCCGTTTCTGGATGTCTGGATGTGTGGGTGTGTGTATGTGCAGATGTGGACGTGTGGAGAACTGATTAATAAAGTTTTAAAAATATATGCAAAGAAGATGGGATATAACAAAGAAGAGAAGAGAAAGGGTAAGGTTTCCTATTTTAGTACTGCTATGATAGTACTACTGCGTCATGAAAAAGATGGGGATGATTGCGTGGATGCTGGTAATTGTGAGGTACACCTGGTGGTGTAGATGCTTCTGGGATGGTAACGTAAGTGCGTTTGGGTTTCGGAGGTGGCGTGAGTGCCTTTGATGTTATTATAAAAGCAACAAAACAACACAGTTTGTGTAAGAGAGAGAGAAGACTTGCCGTTGGAAGATGTGATATATTTTGAAAAAAAAAAAAGTCAAATACATACCAAGAAGCAGACTTCGAGATCCTCCTTGTTCACCAGGCCCCATTTGTTATTGTCTTCTTCGAGCGCAAGTTGATAGGCTAGGGCTGCATTTACAGCCCATGCTGAGGGATCGTTTATACTGTCTCGTTGCTGTTGTTGGTTTTGCAAACAAATACCACGAATCAACCGTTCGGCCTCTTGCATTCTGTTTTCCCAAGCGGACGATGTCTTGAAATGTGTAAAGTCAATATCCCGGCCACGGAAGAGTGAGTGACGTCGCGAATGGTGATGCTGTTGCTGTTTTTCGTTGAAACTTGTTACCGCTACCGGCGGTTGTGCTGATGTTGTGTTCCAAAAGAGCTCATAGGCCATGGTGGAGATATTGTTCACGATCAATGAGGTAAGAGACCAACATCCTTTGGTTGGTCGCTCGTCACGCGCTTCTTCTTGTTCTTGTTTTTTTTGTGCTACCTGGTCCCGCTGGTACGGATCATAGCAGGGACCGAAAATTTGTCGCTTCATGGTGCCAAAGATGCCGAGCAGCCCCATCAGACCACTAGGTTGACTAGGTCGTGTTTCGACCGCTGTCGCCATCGTTGTCGTATCACTATCACTAGTCGCTTGCTGTTGGTTCTGAGCCTTGCCGCCGGTGGTCACGAAAACCTTGCCAAGGAGATATTTCCACATTTTTTGTGCTGGTATTTTTACAAGAAGTTATAGACAAAGAGATATTGGGTACAAGTGTGCGTAATGTGTTGCTCAAAGCACTGTTTGGGTATTGAGATCAAGAGGTAGTAGTAGAGTAAAACAAGGGTTGAAAGTGGAAGATGAAGGAAAGAGAGATGAGAAGATTGAGGGAAGACGCACAGCTTTGATTGATTTTTATAATGTGACAGAGGCACTGAAGTGCATGTCACAGCTTTGATTGATGAAAACGTTCCATCTCCTGTCCGCTCTCTTTTTTGGGTCTGTATTCTCTCACACATACACACAATCACCATTCTCCAAACAGCAGCAAACCCATGCATTGCCCTTTCTCCTGCTGATTAAACGCTTTCCTTCCATAGCCTCTTCACTACTGCCTTCTTTTGTGTATGTACGCTTTCAATACGACTTCTTATTCGCTCTATGTTCTCTTGGGCTGTATCGTGTAGTAGTAGCAGTCATACCCACCTGTTTCCTTGGTTCAGACGTGTACGCAGCCCGAGTTAAAAATAATAAGCAAACATTCCGAAGCCGTAACCTGCTAAGCACAGCCTCCTCAACAGACTCGTAGGTCCGTGATTACATCATTGTTGTGTTCTTGTAGCTATTTGTCACAATAACACTTACTCTATCACCCACCATATGACTTGAATGCTATGCCGGTAGTCGTATATCAATCATCATGAGTTTTGCCTGGTTATCGTTTTGAATGATTAATGTCAAGACACATCGCGGAAGCTTTCAAAGCGTCATACAGATGTAATTCTTTCACTCTATCATCTACAATAGGACTTGAATGTTATGCCGGTAGTCGTATAGCACTCATCACGAGTTTTGCTTGGATATGCTTGGATATCGTTTTGGATGATTAATGTCAAAACACATCGCAGAAGCTTTCAAAGCGTCATACAGATGCATAAATCTTTCATTGTTCTGTCGTGATTTTCATGTGTCCTTCTTTCCAGCGATGAGTTATTCGTTTCAGTTCAATAATGTATATACGCCCCGGTGATGCAACGGAGAGACATGAGGATGTAGATTGAAACATCCTGCTGCTGCTACGACAATGGCCAATAAGGAAGGTGGACACCTTTACATGATCACCACTACTGATACATACGTCTACTATCGTAATCCAATTCTCTCCTTGCTTCTAGCTTATATCATCTCGCTCTCTCCCGCTCATTCTGCGATTACCTCAATCATTCCTCTGCCATTTATTTATTCATTTTCCCACTAGTTTCTTATTGTCTTGCTACCCCTCTCTGTAAAATTACCATTCAAGCATCGACAATTCCGTGCCGCAAGGAAGCGACCGTATGCCTTATGGCGCTGGTCAATCCATCCTTCCATAAATAAAACACACATTTAAACTAAACATATGATACATATCCAATATTCCTTCAGATAACTAATATTTCCAACCGAAGATCTTGATTCAAAAGATCCATGTTAAGTATTGGCTCGGATTCGCTTTTTGAGCAACTCCTTGGCAACCGCACATAATATTTTCTTTTTCCGAAGCCGAGTAGTGGTGATTGTTCTTGTTTCTTGTTTGATGAAAACGTTTTCGATAGCCACTGTTTCCGATAATGAGTCTTGAAAATATTTTGATTCGGTGGAGTAAACAGTTTGTGCCCACTGATTTGACGATGAATTTTTCATGTAACTGGTATTGTCAGTATTATTAAGCATGCTGTAAGTTTGAGAAGGAACAAGATGGATGGTAACGTAGCAATACGTTCAACGTTTTACTTGTAGAATAAATGGCTATGATAAGAGCAAAGAACGGATCAGGCGGCAGCACCCAGAAAGTTCCCTTTTGTATTTTTCAGGGCACTTTTGAGCTACAATCCGAGCATGCAGCTGTTCGAATTATTTGTCTAGTACATCATTTCGTGACTTCTCGATATTGCTACACTATATGCTATTAATGAAATGATGCATGTATCGAGCAAAAGCTACTTTGTTAGCATTTTTAGTCAAGTCCTGTTACCGTCCGCACAATATTATATTTGTTTCTTACCATTCTGCATACCATTTCGATCGCTATTTTTAACTTCATCTTCACTGCCTTCGCCATCACTACCGTCTTCAGACTTCCATTTCATCCACGATTTCGTCTATATTATCAGTAGCCGCCGATGCTAAAGCCACTTCTGTCAAAGAAATTACTGGATGGATATAATCGCTCGTCATCGTACTGGTATACTCCGCTGAAGCAGCTTGAGCTTCATAGCTATCTGTATTAGACACGGCTAGCGGTAAAGAGCTTGCTGCTTTCTTGTCTGTGGCATTGAGAGATCGGCGCAGTGCTGCTAGATGAAATATCGCTATGCTGTTCTCCTTGTCTGCTGAAGAACAATAGGAACTGACGAGAATCCACGTTTTCTTTCTAGTTTTGTCTTCTCGCTTTATGATTTTGGAGATTTTTTATGGCCTCGAGGTCGTGCCATTGAATGAGTATGCAAGTCAGCGTGAGATGATTAGAGGATTAAAGATAAAGGGAAGACTATGACCATGTCAAAACGAACAGTAGAGAGAAATTCGCGTCATGCAGCTTTTACAGTGGACTTTCTATTTAAAGTAATTTCGGATTGGCCAACACAGCCGCACCTATATTATCTGCTTTTTTCTTTCCCTGAAAAAATGCAACAAAATCAGTTTAAACAATTGCCATGGCAACTTCGCTTTCGGCCTCCTCGTCCCACACAGAGCCATCAAAACGGCTACTCGTTGAATTGATACACTGCTGTCATGTTTGCTCTATAAGAGTAAAAGCTGCACAAAATTTACGTCGCCATTTACTTCAAGTGCACCAACTGCATATACCAACAATACCTCGCAGAAAAAGACGTTTAGATACAAGAAAATACATTTTCGTCAAATTCATGGGGCTTTCAACTCATAAAAACGTGAAGCAGTGCTTTGTATGTCTATCCTATCTTGACCATTTTGGTGAAGATTGTGACTATCTTCAATATATAGAGACAAATTACTTGCCTCCAGAATCATCATCAGCACAGGCAAATGATGGATTAAATTCAGTAGCAGATTCATTAGAGATGATTTACCTTTAAAATGTGGTTTGAACATATATCACACAACATTTATTTATAGAATAAAAAGCTATAATTAGCCCAACTTTTGATATATAAACAGAAAAAAACAAAAATAATATCTTTGATGAATGTTTTAGTTTTAATTATAAAAGTAATATATAAATTTGGATCTTTCAGAATGGTAAAACAGTAATAATGTAAGATTGCCGAGCGAAGCGAAGGCTATCGTCCCACTGTCCGAGGGCGAGGAGAGTGAGTTGAGGTGTAACGGCCGCTCGAAGAGCGCTCACAAACTTTATTTTGTATATATATATAATGATGAATAAAAGAATTTGTCTCTCTTTAGCCGTTTGAAAAGTGGCAAGAGACGTGCAAAAGATAATATGGAAGGGGGGTGTACAGTTGGAAAATGTCGATGTCAAAAGGAATGAATACAAGGAAACTAACTAAAAGAAATGAATGAAGGGGGGGGACACCTCAACTCACTCTCCTCGCCCTCGGACAGTGGGACGATAGCCTTCGCTTCGCTCGGCAATCTTACACTGTCCTTCGTGCTCGTAGAGCTCGTTTCGGTGATAGTTTGTATATGTTTGGCGGTGATTATGTTCCTTGACCGGTCCGGCGCCTGGTGCGGTTGTTGAGGTGCAAGTAAGTAAATGTCCGTGCTCGGCTGTTGGAAGTCATGGCATCGCGATGCATCAGATAATAATGGCGTTCGAAAGTCGTACGGCTGCTCCAATTACCGGCGGCAAGCACTTCTTCGATAGAGGCGCCCGCTTCTAAAGCTGTGGTTGCTGATTCCGCTCGAATGCTGTGTGCTGTAAACTGTGGATCGATACCCGCTTCGCGCATTGTAACCTGGAGCCAATTGCGGAGGCGATCCGGCGATAGAGCTTGATGCGGTGCTGTGGCGGCAACGAACAGACGTGTGGTGTTGTGGCGAAGCGGTTGTGTGCGTTGTAAATACTGATATGTCCACCAAACGGGGCAGATAGCTTGGTCTTCAGTGAGGCATGGAATGAAAGGTGAAATCTTGTTGCCACCCTCTTTGACGTCAACTGCTGTCAGTTGCATTTCAGCTGGCCAGGCCGGATTCGAAGAAGGTCGAATTAGGACTGAGCTGAGAATTTTTGACATGTCAGATCCTGGTCGCCAACCGGTCACGATGCATAATAAGGCATGAACTTTGCGACCGCAATCCTTGAGTGAAAGTTGATCGAGAGGTGCCATGCTTGCTAGATGAGCCACCAGCAACGAGATATCCCATCGTGCCGTGCGATCGCGAGGAGCAGGAGGATGGAGGTTGGAAGCACCTTTCATGAATTCTCGGACCTCCCTAAGCTCACTGAATGCGGTGCCTTGAATGTCCGGTGTGCAAGCTGAAATAGCAGTACGGACGCTACGCAACGTGTTGATGCTGAGACCCTGCGTGCATAAATCCGCTAAACACGCAAGGCGTTGCTGCCATGTGCATTGTTCCGGGTTTAGGTCCTTGATGGCGCACCAGTCGAAGTAATGATTGGCTCCTTCTATCTCGTTCATGGTGACGGAAGGCTTGACCAGCAATCGACAGGCGTTTACGAAGCTCAGCCAGTGAGCGAGAAGATGGCGGGGCAGATGGTTTTGCAAGACGAAGGGCGAGTATACGATACACCACGATTTCCAATCATCAGCGGTCATAAAAGAGAAGCCAGCTCCGATCTTCCGCTTCAAGGAAACGTAGTCAGGAGGGAGCACGATGCTGTCTGCCAAAACCTGCATTTCACAAAGGTCCTGCCTGGTAAGGTCGCCGTTTTCGATCCACATCTTGGTCATACGTTTTGCCGTGCCAAGAAACAGTTTGTGCATTGGATCGATGATCGTGCAGCGAACGGGATCGAAGTAATCAAGGCGGTGCAATTCAGACCATCGTGTTCCGGTGTCACGTTCGATCTGTCGGCGAGCAGCAAGTGTCTCGGCTTGTCGCCATTGCTGGGCGTTCTCTCGATTGCCTTCGCGTGTCCGCAATTCCCATTCGTCCAAATTGATTCCCGAGTAGTCGATGTCTGATGTGCCAGGGAAAACGGGAAATTGGCGAGCGCACTTATGGCAAGCACAAGTACTTGCGTGCGAGGTGAATCCACTTGTTTTTCTGGCGGCAGGTATATCACAAGCATTGAGTAGGAGTGCCAAACGTACTTGCGCTCCGTCTGGACACTCATTCGTCCCGATCGTTTGATACACTGCTGTCATGTTTGCTCTATAAGAGTAAAAGCTGCACAAAACTTACGTCGCCATTTACTTCAAGTGCACCAACTGCATTTACCAGCAATACCTCGCGGAAAAAGACGTTTCGATACAAGAGAATACACTTTCGTCACATTCACGGGGCTTTCAACGCATGAAAACGTGAAGCAGCGCTTTGCATGTCCGTCCTGTCTCGACCATTTTGGTGAAAATGGTGACTATCTTCAACATATAGACACAAACCACTTGCCTCCGGAATCATCGGCAGCACAGGCAAATGATGGATCAAATTCAGTAGCGGATTCATCAGCAGCAAACAACACCGACTCTTCTAGAAAACGACCGTTTTCATCGACCGTTGCACCCAACACTCCCAAGATTCCAGAACACATCGTCAACGAACTTAAACCAGTTGTAGACATTCAACGTGAAAGTTTACCGGAATCTCCATTGGAGAATCTCAAAAAGTTTCAATATGCGCATCGGTTTCTTTTGAGCGCATTGGATCAAGAGTCGCAAGCTTTACCAAAATGGCTGTGGCAACAAACGCCCCCTGCAGAATTGAGCAATCAAGAACACAAGCTGTGGAAAATGATTTGTTTTTCGCTGACCAGCTTTGTGGACAACTGTACCGAGACAACATTGGGAACAACTTCAGCTGCAATGACGCATATGGGAAAAGATTACGAAAGAACATGGTGGGTGCGTCGAATTGTTCCGGTATTTCAGACATTTGCCAATCAGACCGGCTTGCTCGCGTTTGACTGGTGCGAGTGTGAAGTGAGGCACCACGCACTGGCAGACGTAGATCCGGAATATTGTCAAACAGGAACACCATGGTTTGCCGATGGTCTTGGATACGATTGGACCGGCATGGAGCGATTAGTTATGGAAGGCTCCTCGGGACAACACAAGGAAAAATTACCGAAGACGATTGATGATAGCGTCAAGCAGGTTCATAACATGCTCAACATGCTCAAGGGGATTGCTAATACCCATTTGAACTCAAGTTTCCAAACGTTTTCACAAACGAGGGTATACGGTATTCAAACGATCAGAGCGACAATTGCATTATCTGAGATGCAGATGAATGACCAAGGAAAATTCGTCCACAGGCAAGCTTTGACAGCAACAATCCCAACTCGTCACGAAGAACGAAACAAATGGCTTGGCGTTTTCAATATGGTTGCGTATTTGTTGATTGCTCTGGAAACACAAGTTGACAATTTGGCCATATTGGATGACGAACAGGAAGGAAAAATCAACGTGGAAACGGAAGAAACAGTTCGGGTTAAGCTCTGCCCTGTTAACCCTGTTATGCAATAACGATACTTGATAAGAGGAATAAAAAAAGATATATTGGTTTGCCTGAAGATATCATAAGAGTAATGATAATTACACTGGCTTTTATTATTGAGAATGAGAATGAGGGGAAATATATAAAATACATTGACGTGCTGTGATAGACATAAGCGCATGCAATAGTAACTCCGCACTACAGACCCGTTCCTAAGCACCGTTCCTTATCCTCCCTTTTAAAACACCCCCTCCTTCCCTTTAGCAAATGATGACTGTCGATGCAGGCAAAGAAAACGCACAAATCCCTGGCGAAGTAGGTTGATACTTCCAAACCACATTCTAAAAATTATGCTGGTTGAAAGAAGGGAGGAAATGCTTTGAAAGGCTAAATGTTTATGGTGGTTTTTTTTTTAAAAAAAAAAGGCACAACAGGAGTCAAAGTCGAACAAGTTCAATGTGGACGAAGTAACTGCAATGATTAAAGAGGTATCGATTCGTCTTCTCAGTTTGCATTGTACTGCTAAACTTTACTGGCGGCCGACGACGACGATGACGACTTTAGCACTGACTGATTGATTCCCACTCACCCGCCCTTCACCTTCCTTTTTTTAAAAAACAATAATTAGGTAGCAGAATCTACCATTCAGGATTCAGAGTACGTACACGGCAAAGTCTCACAGTGGAACAAAACCATCATTGACACGTGCTTGAAGAGACTCAAAGAGAAACAGAAAAACTCCAAATACGTCGGTACGCTTGAGATATATACAGAAAATACAACAAAGGGGAGGCTTTCTATATTAATTTCTAATGCAAATTATTTGATAGTTACTTGTGTTATAATGCAACGGACACGTGCCGGTTTCTATGCCGGAAGTTCAGCATATTGGGACAATGCTAATGATGGCAAGTTTACGAAAGTTTTTTTTTCCACATCTCTTTTGATAGTTTGCTATTCTAATAGGTAAATGCATATATTAACAGGGAGTGCGAGCTACCGGTACGAAACGAAATCATTATATGCAGTGATCAACGCTTTTGGATTGAGCGTATAAACGCAATCACCAAGTATTATCCGATTATATTCGTGTGTGTCTGTTTGGTCCCTTCATCCACACCAATACGAAAATTATATCCTGTTTTCTCATCTCATCCGTTCCTATTTTATTTATAAATACACTAATTCATCAACCACTGAAAGCTAACCATGCACACAATTGCGCGCGCATAATGGAGTGGGACAGGGACTACAATCAGATCTCTATTTTTCTTGTATTGATGGTGGTGTTGTTGTTGTTGTAAGGGGAGAGGATTTGTTTACTTTTTATGCAGTAAATGTGTGTGATTGGAGCAAGAGAAAAAGAGGGAGGGAGAGAGGGATGGCTGTTATGTTTCTTTCAAATGGAAAAATCGTTTAAATTCATGCTCTCAAGCTTGAAACCAAGCAAGCCAAAACCATCTCTGATCTCCTCAGATTTGCTTGGGGAACTGACAGCCACGATATTACATTTGCCTGGCGTGAACATGTTGACAAAATATTTCTTCAACACATGCTGCAAGTCCTCCATTGTCGTTGCCTGGAGAATAGTAACAAATTAGATGTTTTGCTGTTTGTTTTTTTTTGCTACTTATTGAGCAGCGGTAACTTTACCTGGATAGCTGAAAGTAGGTTACGGTTATAACTAGCTGGCACTTGTTTTAATACTTGGTTCACAAAAGATTGCAATGCAGCACGATCCATGGTATTTTCTCGAGCAACTAGACTGTAAATCACAGCGCTCTTTGCGCCATCTACTGAAGATGGCTCAATCTCCATCTACGTATTACATCTAGAATTTAGCTTTTCTTGTTTGTATGTATTTTTAAATGTTTTGGTGACACATAGCAACATCAACATTACCTCATTGTTTGCCAACTGATCAATCACAAGCTTGGCCTGAGCAAAAGCCTTGGAAACATCGGGCGACTTGTAGATCGTAAAGCTGATAAGCGCAGCCTCAACATCAGTACTCAAGAAACACGAATAAGCAAGACCTTGACCACGAATAAACTTCCAGAAAATGCCTTCCATGGTATCCAGCAGTTCTGCCATCACCAACAAAGCCGGAATATCTGGATCTTCAAAGTTACTGGGTCCTTTCACTGTTTGTAAAGAGAAGGAGTTTTCAATTGATGGCAAGCTGACAACAGCGCCCTGTGAAAAAGTAAAGAGAGATGCCGAAAAGGGGAGGTTAATACTCGTAAAAAGCAGCTATATAGTTTTAACCGTTGTTTCTGGACAACTCACAATCTGACCAGGTTCTTGACCAGCAGGGCTAAGCAAATTTTGTGCCAACGTAACGGGAACCAATGCTTGCTGTGGATGTTGCTATATACAGGGATTGCTGCATCAATTTTTCGAACTATTACACACTAAAAAACCCGTGTATAACAAACACGTATGTAGGTATATTACCATGCGTGAACAGATAGGAGCGAAGGAGGTTCGAGGAGCATTGAGCTTCAAGATATTGCCAGTAACATGGATCCGGATATTATCTGGATGGCACACTGTATACGTAATAATGGGATGCAAGATGATAAGTAGGCCATAATACAACCAATTCATCTTGTTGAGATATCACATACATGCTTCACGATAGATGCTCAGATCGTTGATCACCGAGCTTGGATCATTATCCAACTTTTGCACGACGTCTTGCAAGAAATTGCTTTGGAACAACACGTTGCGTGCAGCGTTCGCAGACTTGCTAGCATCGAATTGAAGTGCGCGCATTGCTGCACTGGCCATCTATGAAAAATGTAGATGATTTACCTTATAGTGTCAGAAAAGCTTATTGATGGTTCAATAGTGTGGAAAGTATTGATATTCATACGCTGTGTCCATCTCGCTTGGCTTGAGGAATGTCGTTCAGAATCTGGAATGCCACAATCTTTAAGCTGATTTATGTTTTTTTTTAATTGTGATAATAATCGTTAGAATATGTGTACGAGAAGCATTTCAAGATTCAACATTAAAAAATATACTTTACCGTTCAGCAGTAAATTGGGTATTCCAAAGAATATCCTGCAACCATTGAATGCCCTTTTGATATTTTGTCTCCTCTGTCTTTACAGTAAACACAAGCAATTCCCGGAACCCACTGCTAGTGCCCAAACCGGCGTCATATTCAACCGTATCTTCACTGAGTCCGGTAACGACATCTTCATAAGAGATGATTTCGCCGTCTCGTTCAACAGGGAGCGAGAAGATAGCCTTGAGCAAAAGTCGTGTATAAGGCAAAAGATGCGATGGAACTGATGCAGTGCTTATATGGGCCGACACTTTGACGAAGCGAGATTGGACATCTATTAAATAATAAAACAACAAATGTTTTTTTAGGACAAACGACTCGTTTTCCCTGCTTCTAGTCACATATCTAATTTCACATACGATCAAACTGGATAAATAGTGGTATTTTGGTACTAGCATCCTTGTTGACATAATCTTGAATCTCGTTGTTTCTAGTGCGTCATAAATAATGGGTTAGGCATATCTAAATGTTAGCTTTACATACTCCCACTTTGGGTGGATAATAGCCCGTTTAAACGAGATTTATGCCCTTACATTTTAACGGTGCAGCCGTCATCATTTCTAGCCGTCAAAACGTTGATAAAGTTGATTGACGACACTGGAGGAATGGTAAAGTTTTCGAGGATATCGTGGGGCAACTCGACATCATTTTTGGTCATGGCTTCTTCCAACTTGTTTTGTAATTCTTCCAGCTTTGTCTCACCGAGATCCGTTCTTTGCTTTTGAATGCGTTTTTTCTCTTCTTCAGCTAGTTGATCTGCGAATTGGGCAGATGGTTTACCGAGGATAGTCACGTGAGGCGAATCAAGGTACCATCTAAACACATATCATTTGCATTTGGTTAACATTAAGGATTGAATTGTACAAAGATACAGACTACTATTTCCTTACTTTTTCAGTACATCGAGCCAATCAGACACTTGAAAACCGGCTAATACGTTCAAGAACTCTTGATCTTTAACAGATTCCTTCAAATCACGACCGTCAGGCTCACCATAAAGGAAATCTGTAATTTTGAGCAAAAGAGCTATTCAGTATATTTTCTCAACAAACAGCAACTAGGTGCATGCACAAGTTTGTTTTTACCCGAAATACAAATGGCAGCTGCTGTATCGTGCGCATCCCTTTCTATATCGTCTAACAACTTTATATGCATAATAATTTTGATAAGTATCTATCCAAACTTTAATCGACAATCATGCGACGTCCAACTTACTTTGAGCATTTCTTTCTCAATAATATTCTTCATTCGACTCATATCAATTTCATTTTGTTCTACAAGACGTTGGAGCGTGGCAAACAGATGGTTCGGGAAACCTTCCATTTCTTCGATCGGTACACTGGAAACAGTCAGCATAATAGTTGTCTTCAAATGATCGGTTGCATGGAATTCGACATCTGTTATATAAAGTTTGCACCAAAGGTTTTTTAATACAGTATTATTGCCACACCATTAAAGGCGGAATGTAGTGATCTAGTAGCGTGTGTACCTGTGCAAAGTGGATCCTCAATTTCTACAAACTCCTTTTGCAAAACTGAGACGGGTGATTCGGTCAAATAAACATTGAGCACCTCAAGGGCTTTTTGTTGGAGATAGTCCTGCATGGCATATAGATTTTGAAATCAGTTATTATAATCATCATCGTTGTCACCCAAACGCTAATATTCAAAACACTGAGAAACGGAACGCTCCTTACATGACACATGGGACCGTTCCATGCGACCAGAACAGTACCCATAGACTCATCCTCTTCAGGAAACAAGACCGTTTCCACGATATCCTTTTCTAAGCTGGGAAAATTGCCCGTTTCGATCCATGGCCGTTGCATTGCAGGTAAAGGACCTTTGCTGATGATATTTGCCTCTACTGCTTCGAGTGCCTTTAAAACTTTTGCATGGTCGACCGTGCCAGTGATAATGAGGCACAAGTTGTCCGGGCGATAATAATTTCTGTGATATTCACGAACTTTTATTTCAATTGTGTTATTAATCATAGCGTGAGTATAAATGTATTGAAACCGCTTTAATTTCTTTCTTCCTCTTACTTACTTTTTTCCACTGAAAGTTCACGTAACCGTTCCATCAATCCACCCGTCTCTGATCTATAGCCGCAACCTTCAGGAAACATGATTCTTCGCATGCGAAGATGTATGCGATCCTCGCCCAAGTTTTGGCAGCCCTTTATTTTTTTATCATATAAACCAGATTATTATCCGGTTCGTCTATAATAACATCCTCCTAGCCAGCTATAATTACGTACCTGCATTTCACTATATACAACCTAGGGTTGTTTCAGAAAAATCAAGATTAGCAAACCCAATATACTTCTTTTGCAAGTATTATGAGAAAATCCATTCCTTACCCCTAGTATAATAATAAGAAGAAGAAACAAGTGATTAATATCACAGACTTGCCCGCATAGCACCCGACGGATATACAGATTCAACAATTATAAATTCCTTTACCTGCGTCTTCTCCTTTGCCATTGATGTGATGAACCTCAGTATGATATCCACTATCCGTCAAAGTCGGATACAAAATGTGATCGACATAAGTAGGAAGAAGCTTCAAGAATCCTTCGCTACCGGCCGTGGTGATGGCTATTATAAATTACATAGCAATTGAACTCAAAAGGTTAGCTCCACAGCGTTCCCAATTAGTTATTTGCTCCATCTATCACAAGAACAAGACATTTACTGTAGCATGTGTGATCCACGTCCGTCCATGCATTCGTGCCCTGTGCAATTGCTCGATTTGCTAGTGTATCCAATACACCCTATGAGACACCGCTGTCAATAAGTATATCCATCTCAAATTGCACTTCGTTTAAATCATACCTTGTAGGGGAATTGCTCACTGCCCAAGAATACAAGACTGAAGATGATTTATCGTTAATGAGAGTAACTATATACGCTTTTTTCTTTGAAGATCCATCACTTCTCTCTCAGCCCAATATGAGATCTCACTTCAACTCTGCACTTACTGTTCCAGTGTATGTGGGCATCCAAAATCATCAAAGCCTATACGTATACACATGCATAATTTTTATTATTTAACCGCCATCGCTTAGCTTTCTAGTTCACTTCTTTCTCAACGCAACAGATCGTTCAATATTAGTCAGCTAAAAAGTATCACTTACTTTCCGTTGCCAAGGCAAAATAACCATTAACAAGAGGTGCTATGTAGTTTTATCAATATTATTAACGATCCCGTATAAACGAAGCCCAGAACTAGTCGGTCGATCAGAAGGATGTATGTCCTCTTTACCTTCAATGTCCGCGAGCGCAACCGTCAGACCAGTCTTGTTGCTCTTGTACTTTGTAAACGTGATTCCATAATCGGTAGGAACCTCGCAGATTTTTTCGTAATTGCTCTCACTCATTCCACGTTTTTTTAAAAAGCAAAAACGCGAAAGAGAACGGGTTTCTTTTTTGGTGGTGGGATTTAAACCGTCACAAAGCAGCGTGGTTCTGCTATGCTTCCGAAACGCAAAAGAAATCTGGCGGGGATGACAGCATTAGCTTACGGACCTGGTTTGATATATGCTTCTGTTTACCATATATCATGAGAGCATCTATAGGAGAACGGATCCTGTATCCTTACTTCCACCTAAAGTTGCACGAGATGGGAAATGGTGGTGGGCGTCGTATGACTCCTAGATATTTCCGCATAAGCAGGAAGACATTGTAGTACAGTAGCCGCTCGCTAAGCTGATCACTTTTAAGCCGATATTCTCGCTAAGCCGATTACTTTTCAAAATTACCGACCCGGTAAGCAGTGAATATCGAGCTTGCTCGGTAAGCCGATCATCGATCATATCTTTGTGACATATCGGCTTATATAAACAGTATTTCATCTCCTCATATATCTGAGACATGGGCATCGAATTCGATAAGCCGATCAATCGCTAAGCCGATCACTTTTGGGTCATGACCGAGGTGATCGGCTTAGCGAGCGGCTATTGTATAGAATTTCATTGAAACGTGTGTTCACCCGGAATACATGATACCTGAATTAAGTTGGGTTCCTCTTTTAGTCCTTTCGTCATTATCTGATAATAAACAGTTACGAGTAACGTGGGACTGGTTGGACTTTTGATCCAAATTATTTGGGCAACGCATTGGCGCACCGTCCTCGAGGACGAACCTTGGCACTCTCAGACCGCAAATAACCACCTAGACCACCTACTACATAGATATCCCTTTTTACTCCCGCTACCCTCTGCTTTTTAAATAAATTTAAATTTGGGGCACAAAGCCCCAAATAAAAAAAACAGCTACGAGTACACATGGCGTAAAGCGTATATTGTGGTACCATCCATGACCCGTCTGTCGGATCAGATTTGCCCTTTCAGGGGTCCGATCCGATCCCGGGATCACAGCCTCGGCAAACTGTCGAATACAGTTTGTACTGTATCATAATACTATAGTATCATATATATATGATATTTTTCTAGGAGTTCGCTAGGTCTTATCTTCACTACCACCTAGCATTCAATGTAGATGTTGAGAAGACAACAACGTTCTTTTCGTTGTCTTTCCTCCGGTGTATTGTTAATTAACGATGGTATATGGTGCCCGCCACCTAGAAACAACAAGTGGACATTTCAAAAATTTAAAGTTCCGCCATTATAAATTTCCATTTTTAGTTAAGCGATATTTATCCATTGAAAATTCGCTTCTCAGATGATGAAAATAAACAAACTGCTCTCATATGATGCATCTCACATGATTCTTAGAAACTGACAGTTCTCTTTGAATGCACAAGAAAATTACTTGATTGTGTTCTTTGACTCTTGCACAATTTTAAGATGCTTCTGGTACTTGTTGAGTCTCCCCATTGTATGGAATGTTTTGGAAAAAAAAAGGAACAATCAAACTGTCATCCTACTTATAATTTACATGGCACCATTACAGTCAATGTTGATTGGAATTGGAAGGCTGAGGTATATATTGCACCAGTGCTTACCACTAATGTTACACTACCTTCTTAATATGGAAATCGCCGATTTAATGTCATATACTAGAGTGTATAGTAGGGTTGACATTCTGACAAAATCCTCTGCTAAATCTTCAAATCGACCCCAACTTCGACACTTTATTTCTCATTTTTTTTTGCTCGTATGTAAGTAAAAGCTTTTCATAGAATTATTCTTTGAGCCTCTCTCTATCGTTCTATGAAATCAAAAAAGTGGGTTGTATAAGTGAAAAAAGTTTACGTTTCTAGGTGGCGGGCACCATAACAAATGTAGTCCAAGCTATCATCTTGTAATCCACACAGCATCACAACAGGCAGCGAATTAGACTACGGATTATAATCCAATACTTTGTTGAAGTCGACTATCACGCGATCTTCTACCAGTGGTTGAAGAGCAGAAGGATTACATCTGGAAGGTGCTCATGAAAAAAAGGATTGCTGCATTGTAAATGATGCTATATTAGGTAAAACATGAATGACCATTTCTTATGATACCACAGATGCAGTGCACCAGTAGAGAAGTGTAGAATAATTGTCCAAGCAGCGTAGATACCGAAAAATGCGATTAAAACAAAGCAAACGTAAAGTATCTCCAAGTAGCCATCATCAACTAGTCACCAGAACACGTGCGTCAATGACTGCCTCATCGTCCCGGTATCGTACGATATTTACGGCCTTATACAGTAGTTATTTCAGACAGTTATACAGTGCCAGCAGCAAACAGGTGGGAGGAAGCATACGATTACGCTGATGAATTTATATGAGATAGCGATTGTCATATAAACATGTTTCGGCACATACTTTAATTTTTATTCTTTCAAGCGTTTCCATATCTTCTTGATTATACGCTTAGCGATAACTATTGTGAGAGTTCTGGTACTTGTAAAAGCATCACAACACATTCATTGAAGCCTGAGCATTAAAGTGGCGCCTGTCAAGACCAGTACAACACATGCAGTGAAGATCTTTTCAAATTAAGTGCTGCATACATTTGCAACTGGGAGTGGGTGCGACTGCGAGATGTTTTCAATATGATACTGCTATTCCATTGGTATATACAAGCCTACATAACATCACTTATTTTAAGCACTCATTTTATTGCCAAATTGACTGTTACAGTGGAACCCCAACGATACTTGAAGATCGACATCAATAACGTTGGTTAAGTGTTTTACATATGCATTGGTGAAGCTGCTTAACTCCTTGACGTTTATCGAAGAGCTGATAGGCTATAGTACACTGTCTTGCATACGTATATCTGAAAGTAAATGTGTGCATGATGCATACAACGTCTAATCCGCTGTTTTTATTTTTCTATGGTCACTCGTTGAACCTTAAGCGCAAATACAACATCAGTTATGGTACCTGTTCCTCACTATTCATACCATAACAGCAAACAAGAGCAGTACGCAGTAATTAATAACCCTCGATGTCGTTGCTATCATCTACAATGAAAAGTTAAAGGAGGAGGGTCCAGCCGCAATATATGAAATAAAAGAAGATGCGCTCAAAACAACAAAGCCAGTAATGAGTCCCTCCGATGATAATTCTAACGGTCATCAGACATCAAAGGAGTCCTTCAAAATAGCGCGGCTTTTGGTACTGCGTTATTTGCACCTATAAATGATGTGCTCTATGGATATGATCAAGGTGTCATATCGAGAGCACAAGAAGTGCGGGTACAGAATCATCTCATACAACAAACAGCCAATAAGAGGAGATAATCATGATAACGGTTGTATAGCTGACTTCATTTTAAACTTGAAAACAGATTACAGGGACTTTTAGCGAATGGTTTCGTACGACACCAAGTCAAAACGGAATCATGGTAGCAATTTTGGAACTCGGTGCATTAAGCACGACAGTGTGCGAGCGATTAGAAGAGCTATACAAAATTGAAAAGATTATCCCGGCATCAAATCTAAACATCATATATTGACCTGAGCATGCTTCTGCTTGAACATATTTTTGTTGATTGTTATTTTACAAGGTATTGAATAGACCTCTCTAAAACAATGCAGAAATTGCTCACCCGTGGCTCTTTAATCGCACTGCGCCAGCAAGCGGTATGGTGAGCTCATCGCATTGGATGTGTAACCTTGTCATTGGCTTGATGACACCGCTTATGTTGAGCACCACCCCCCCCCCGGTTATCGATCGTATATCTTCTTTGGAGCTTCGGCATTCGCTTCTTTCTTTCTTGCTTGCATATGCCGTTCAAGGTATTAATATTTAGGCATAGCATAATTTAACAGACCAAGGTGCCTTTTCTTTGTTGTTAACATCTTTGTTTTGAGCTTGTAATCTTTAAAAAGCAAATCTTTGGAAGAATTGACAAGACTTTCGGTACACTCCAAAAAATGACCACCATCTGGTATGTAACTAGACATATACACAACTACAGTAAAAGTGGTTATAAATCCACCCATCCTATCTTTTATATGTACTATTTTGGATTATCGTCTTCTTCGTCATCATCATCAAGGCGTTCAGGTTCCTGCAAGTCTCGCGAGTAAAGCTTTTTACCAGCCATTTCCATGAATTCCATGTCCTCTGCTCGGCTCAGTACTCCTCCTCCTTCCTGCATCATGTCATCATCATCATTCCTCAGAAGTGGTCGAACCAGGAATACTGTAGCATTATAATGTAACTTAATTTAAGTAAAAACTAATAGAATATAAAAAACAGTTATAGATACCTTCAATTTCATCCACGGTGAAGTTTTGATCGAGTGACAGCTGTGGGCTTTGGTAGGTGGTGCATACAGGGCCAGCCTTAGAATGGCCGTGTAAGAAATCTGAATCAAGCCATAAACCTGCATAGTCGAACTGCCCACCCATGACAAGGGCTGGTAATGATAGACAAAAGATCAGCATCGTTTTCTTTCACAATCATCGAGGTGCTATTGCATACCGTTTGGAAGGCTCTGTTTTCCCCAGCACAGATATTGAAAGTTCGAATTCGATCCTCTGCCACCATCCCACGTATCCATAGCTAATTGATTTTGCTCACGCAGCACATCATCGTTGCCACCACCACCACTAGTAGGATACTGGATACGGAACAAAAAGTTGGACGAGCTGCCATACCAATCCGTAACAGGTTTCCATTCCTCATCCGCATAAGCGCCAAACACGGACCCATCCTTGGTCTTGATGACAAGCAATGTCGCGCCTTGATTAACAATTCGATTCACTAACACTTGCCAGCTGGTACCATCGCGTCTCGATGAAAAGATCAAATGGTGCTCCAAATCAGTCGACACTCGGCGTTGACTTTGCTCATAGCTTGACCATGAACGAGCATTAGCAGGTAACGACCGTGTCAGCATAAAGTAATCGTAAGGTGTCAATAGTTTGGAAAACTCGCCCTTTCCAAACATGTTTCCTGATGGTTTCTGGATAACAGGCGATAATCGACCTACAATACGGTCCTGGTGTCGTGCATCCTTGTCGTCATTGTCGTCTGATGCTGGTGCTTTACCAAAAAAGACGACTGAAGCTGTGATTTGGAATAGTGTCAAAACGATAGGGGTATTGGTAATCCATGATGCAAATGCTGATTCGTCTACTGCGCGCGTCGTTTGCGTTGCTTGATAGTGCCATGTATTCGTTTGTTGTTGTGCCTTTTCTTTATGATTTGCATCAGCAGTATCATCCGCCCACAATGCCATTTCTTCTTGCTCTCGTTTTTTTCGTCGATCTTTACGTTTTTGTTCACGATAAACGAGATATTCCATCAACCGTTGCGGTGGACTAGCTTCAATGGTGTTGTCGCTATACTGTTGCTGATGCCATAGTGAATCAGTCGGTTTGGCAATACCGCTTCCTTCAAACCAAAGGGGGATAGCCGTTTTGACGAGCCATAATACAAATGTTTCCAAGGTGCACTGGTACTTTTGGTATGCAAAGGTATAAACTGTGTATAACGCAATTGTGGGCGCGTCCGCATTGTGATTCACGTTACGTGCAGCATTGAGGAATCCTTGGAAGTAAACCGTGCTCGAAGACGACGCACGTTTGCTGGTGTTGCTTAACTGAGCAATGTATAAGCTTAATGCTGTGGCAAGCTCGGGTTGAATTGGCGTGTCACGATCGACAATGGCTTGCACAAGCCTATCTGTAGGAATGCTTTTTGTCAATGCAGCATCAGCGTCGTCAGCTTGTCCTTCTTTCTCGCTACTGGTGCGTAGCAATTGGGTATATTGTTCTTTGAGTTGTGTTTGCTTTTTCAGTGACCACGACGATAAAAGTGATTCCGTGTCCTTTTGCTGTTCTCGGCTCGATTGATTGCCCATATCCGCTAATAAAGAGAGAAGGAGAGAGAGAGAGAGAGAGTGTGTGTGTGTGTGTGTGTGTGTGGGTAGCACAAGACTACGGGGTTGTCAGTTCACTAGTGAGCAGTTGGTTTAATGCCGACGTTCTTGGCGGTTCTGTGCTACACTTTTCGGGTGTTAGCGAAATGATACATGTCAGCAGATAGAAGCACCCTCAAGTTAGATACCGCTTGCAGAGATGAAACTGACTTGCATAATCTAGATCCAGCAGCATCAAAACTCAGCTCTGATATGTGCCACGTTGTGAGCACCCATTGGGTCGATGGAATTCCACCGTCACGGCCGTTGAGACATTTGTTTTATAAGGCGAGTTGGTTAAGATTTTTTTCCTAAACAGCCATCCATCAACAACACCTCAGCAAGCAGCAACCGCAACAGCAAACGTCAGCAACCGGGCCCTCCCCATCCCTAATTCTCTCCCTTCCTCAAACACATATCCTTCACAGAGCACTGCTCTTTAAACAAAGCAAGAAAACAAACAAACCATATACATCGTCGGTTAGCGATCAGCTAAGGCCTACAGAGCCCCCGTCGAAAGCCTATAAACACTCGACCATGCGTGTACGAGGTATAAAAGCAACAAAGAATCAGCCATCGCATTTCGATATTTGAGCCAGCACAGCAGAAAATGCACAGCGGCATCGATGCAGGCAATAGGCCAAAAAGCGCCAAATCCTATGTACAGTACCGAGGTCCTTTCCATACGACTCTACTGCAAAGAGCATGGTGCAAAGACAGCAACCAGCATTTGACACATATATATGCAGCACTTCGTTCGAAGGCAGCAGTATCAAACGAGATCTCCAAGCAGGATCATCAGGATGGAGCAACGTGAACGCTTCGTATCCCATCGACCAAAGCAAAGAGGCATCTCAGATACAACTCTAGCGTCAGCTAGCGCGGGGGTCTAAATGGCAACACACGTCGTTCACCCCCAACACAACAGAAATCCCCATAGTTGACTCAACACCACCACGTTCGTGGAAAGAGTGTGCGCATACACTATCGGGAAGCCGCACGCATACAAGATATTTGATGCAAGTGCCGGAGACAACATGACTGGGAGCCAGGCAAAACTTCCTTGTGAAAACGAAAACAAGCCAAAGATTCATATTACGGAATGTGCTGACGACGTACAATGGGACCACCCTGTTCGGCTCGTACTTTCCACAGTACCCTAACGGAGCAAGGCCAGTCCTTTCCTACAGTGAACGCTCTTTCATGGGGTTCTACTTTTTGAGGCATGCCAGGTCTCTCCTAGGGGTTTTCCTTGTTTGTTGTGACATACGTCGCCGCGAACGAGAATTTTGTTACGAATACAAGAGCGGGCAGTCCTCCGGAGTGCACTACCGTCTCATCTGGCGGGGCTCGCCTGTCATCATTGTTTCGTTCTTTGATAATTATCGCGTCCGAGGGAAACGTGCGTTTACTTTGGGCCCATAATTGTGTTCACCTTTGGAATGTGTATTCCTCTGAGTGTCATACCATGTACAGGAGGGGCTAAGATGGAACTTTCTTTCATCTACTCTGTCTTGTTTTTTTTTGGGGTACGTAGGGACTTTTGGGATTGCTAGGGTCCTTTATTTCTTGAGTAACTCCTGTTTTGGGTTATACTGGAGTAAACAAAAGAAGACACTAGGTTTTTCTTTGTGTTGAGGGGCATCATTTACTTTTTTTTTGGGATCCTGAGGGGAGGAAAAAGAAGCATGGATTCATCTTATCGTCCTCTCTTTTTTGGGTTGTTTTTGAGGACAGATGGAAACATGACTGTTTCTTTTTCCTGAACAATTGTCCTTTTAGGGTTTGGACGCGTAAAGATCTTCTTCTTTTTGGGTGCTGGGTATAATGAAGTAGATTCTTGCGTTCTTTTTGCGGGGAGCAGACAAGATGACCACGATGGGAACATTTATTGCTCGATCTTCCGACTTGTTGGGAGAAACTGTGTTATGGGCTAGTTCCTGGTCTGATCTGCGACAACTTAGCCAATTGGTTAGAAACTAGTAGTACATGGTGGCTGGGTGTGTATTAGTGTTGTTGATAATATAAAAGATAATCTGATAGTATGTACCATCTTGTCGAATTGAATTATTCTAATGATGCTAGGCAAAAGATCCTTGTATTTGAAAAGATCGATGTGTGGTTTCATGAACGGCATACGTATGTGGAGTATACGCAAATCCATTTGACTCAGATATGTATGCTGTCGTCTAGTATAGGTGCCCTGTTTTTCTCCCACCATGATGTTATGTGGTATGAGTCCGATATTAAACCTAAGTCGAGCAGCAAACATGAAATAATACACAATTCGAAGCTTTCTCTTGAATAACGTAAAACTCCCTACCGCACCAACTTGCCCCAATATCGTCAAATCAACTACTGAAGGCGGCATTGATCTGCATTATGATACTATGTATTGCACATTAGTAATTAGCTTACTGTTTATCCAAGTCAATGCAACAGTGAGTCCAGCGTTGACCATATGTAGCAACATCATATACAGCAGTACATAATTATGTAGCTACTTGGCCTCCCTTTGCTCGTCACCTTTGACGATTAAGGTGAAACACGGATTATGTAGCGGGCGTCGCTTCGTGCGCTAAAAATTCGACAACGTAGCCGAATATGTTTGTCCGCTTCCACAGCCGCCGATGGCTTGATTTGTTTGCTTCTCTCGGGAAATGTTTTGTCAGTATAGCAGCTCGAAAGAATACCGCTCTAATCAACTTTCAAATGCCCTTGCAATATATCATATCGTTGAAGTGGCCACACTCATATGCAACTAAACGAGCAAAGAAAGGAAAAGAGATGTAACAGATTAGAAAGTTGCCGTGCTGAGCGAATCCTAGCATACTCAATCCTATTTGAATACTTGACAGGTCGAAACAAAGCCACACTTGGCAAACAAACTGCAGCCTAGACGAAAATTACGAAATGACAGCTTGCATATAGGCAGATGGGATCATTGAGAAGAAGAAGAGGAGGAGTGGTGTCTTGAACCGTGTCCAGCAACATACATCTACACGGTGCCCTCATATGAGCACGGTTCGAGCTGCAAAAAGTAACTTGATTTCCATGCGATCGCGCAAAGCTACTTGGCATACAGTACCATTCGACGCGACGCCATCAAATGCGTAAACGTCGATTCATATACCACGTCATGGTTGCAGATTTCCAATCGTTCTAATGCACTGACCATTTATCGCTGTCACCCAAATCTTTTATGGATTTATAGAAAACGCAGAAAGAAATCCAGTATTTGGTATGGCGACCTACCACTGCCACTAAATTCACTGGATTATGTACCTTATAGCTTTACTTTGCTTTTGTCTTTGCACTCTTACTCTTCTTTCCCTCATTGCCAAATGGGTCCAATTCTTCCGCACATCAGTTCTACCGTATGGAAAACTTAACATCACAGCCGACAAGCCTCAATCACCTCTTGGTCATTGGCTCGCTCAATTGACAGTACCCAAATCGTGGTTTTCACACTTTTACATTGTCGGTTTCGCGTTTGCCCTGGAATCATGTATCGAGATTGCGCTATTACTGCTTTGGCAGCCAACCAAAAACTTCAGCAAAGCAGGGGGCCCCATCTTAACCTTGGTGCGTACTTTGGATACCGCACAAGGCAGCACTCACATTGAACCCGAATTCTGTGTCTTGGCTCTCGTGTTAATGACGATGCATTTGGGCCGACGCGTTTACGAATCGTTGTGCGTTGAGCGACCCTCACGCAATGCGCGCATGCATATTTCGCATTATGCAACCGGGCTTGGATTTTACGGTGCTATGGTGGTTGCCACGTGGATAGAAGGAGCCGCCAACCTTGGTCTATGGAACAGTGACACGACAACGGTGATGGCATGGAAGAAGGCCTTTGCAGCTCCGACGATCCTCGTTCGTACGACGCTGGCGGTAGCGCTGTTTGCTTATGCGTCCAATCACCAACACACGTGCCATCACATTCTTGCTTCATTGCGTGAAAAGCGTTCGGGGTATCAAATCCCTCGAGGCGATTGGTTTGAATCGGTGGTTGTGCCTCACTACCTGGCAGACATCTTGATCTATTTCGCCCTGTGCATCCTGCACGGCTTTGGCAACTGGACGCTGCTGTGTGGTCTTGTATGGACGATTGTGAACTTGTCCATCACGGCAGACGAGACAGAAGCATGGTATAAAACGACGTTTGACGATCGTTACAAAAAGGCGTTCCCCAAAGGCCGATGGATCATTTTGCCCTGGGTTTACTGAACAATGCGTTTGACATGATTGGCTCCGTTCTTTGGCACACACACTTTCTAGGACACTTACCCCCCGCCAGGCTAAAAAAGAAAAAAGAGAACTTTTTTTTTCTTCCTCTTTCCTTCGTTAATACTATCATACTTTTTCTCTCGCACCTTGTTCTTCTCCGTAATTCCTCACAACTACAATGAAGTTTGGCCATACCCTGCAGACTTCACTCTATCCTGAATGGACCTTTTATTACTTAGGTTTGACACTTTTTCTCTCCCTCCTCCCCCCCCCCTTTATTGTTCCGAGTGTTGATAGCAAGTACTGATAACGCAACGAGATACGACGTTATAACTTGATAATAATTATAATAAAAAAATACAACAGCATACGACGACTTGAAACGATTTTTGAAACAGAATTCACGAGGGAATCAAGAATGGACAGAGGAACACGAATCGGAATTCGTCGAGCGATTAGAAAAGGAACTCGACAAGGTGTATAGCTTCCAACGTGTCAAACTGGAAGAAATCAACCGACGTATTGAGGCCGAGGCGCGTGAGGTCGAAGAGCTGTGTCGCAAAGAGGCTCCGGAAGAAGACGAGTTTACTGCGTCAGAAATGGAATTGGGCCATATCATTGCCGACGTCCATGACTTGGCCAAGTTTACACGACTCAACTATACCGGTTTCCTGAAGATCATCAAGAAGCATGATGTTTGTTTTTATCTTTTTAATTTCTTTCATTAGTGTTTCAGGGAAGGTGCGACTTAACAACGTTTTTTTTATTTATAATATAGAAAGTAACCAAATGGCCGCTCAAGCCCATGTTTAACGTACGTCTGAATGCTAAGCCATTCTACAAGGAGAACTACGATGCCCTTATTGTCCGCATATCCACATTGTACGATCGGGTACGCACACGAGGCAAGGAGCGTCGTGGCGATGCTGCTGCCGGTGGCAAACAGTCGGCGTTTGTCCGCAACACAACAAAATATTGGTATGAATACAAAAGGAATTGGAGTTGTTTTCTTCTGACTCAAGTGACATCAAACACTCACCATCACATACGTGCGTTTCAGGGTCCATCCCGACAATATCACTGAGCTCAAACTGATCATCCTCAAACATTTACCCGTCCTGGTGTTCAACCCGAACAAGGAGTTCGAGGCCCAGGACTCTGCCATCACCAGCATCTACTACGATAATGACGACTTTAACTTGTACATGGGCCGTCTGGAGAAGAGTGAAGGAGCCGAAGCCATCCGCATGCGCTGGTATGGAGGCATGGAGTCCAACACCATCTTTGTGGAGCGCAAGACACATCGCGAAGACTGGACTGGCGAAAAATCGGTCAAGGCTCGATTCCCTGTCAAGGAGAAATACCTGAACGCGTTCTTGAGCGGCGAATATACCACCGACGAGCTCTTTGCCAAGATGCGTGAGCAAGGCAAGCATTCGGAAAAGGAGATCGAGGAAATGGAACAGCTCGCGCAAGAAGTGCAATACACGGTCTTGACCAAACGACTGCACCCCATGATGCGCACATTCTATAACCGAACGGCGTTCCAATTGCCTGGCGATGCGCGTGTACGTATTTCTTTGGATACCGAGCTATCGTTGATTCGCGAGGACAACATGGGCGGTCGTGCACGATCGGGTAATAACTGGCGACGCATGGATATTGGTGTGGACTATCCATTCAAGCAATTGCCCGAAGAAGACATTTGCCGCTTCCCCTATGCTGTCTTGGAGGTCAAGCTTCAAACCCACGTCGGCCAGGAACCTCCACAGTGGGTCGTCGAACTGGTCAACTCGCATTTGGTCGAGTCTGTTCCCAAATTTTCCAAGTTTATTCATGGCTGTGCGACCTTGTTGGAGGACAGGATCAATGTGTTGCCCTTCTGGCTGCCTCAAATGGACATTGATATTCGCAAGCCGCGTGTTCGCTCGTTTGGCTTGCTGCGTCCTACAGAAGACACGGCCGGAAGTAGCTCGGCTTCGGGTCATAGCAATGAGGAGGATCATGTACAAATCCGTATGATCGCCGAAGCCACGACGCAGCCTTCTTCTGGCACAAATGCTGCTACGGAAGACACGCCGCTACTCCAGCAACAGGGCGGCGAGCCTGAGGACGTCGAGGCGAAGAGAAGAAAGAGTATCTTGTCACCTGCTGGACTGCGGTACTTGTTCAAGAAGAGCAAGACAACATTTAAGCGCAACGATCAGAACAATAAGAAGAGTGCTTCTGCGCGTGCCGCACGTGTCGCTGCAGCATCGGCTAAACCACCACCGGTCAAGACGTATTTCGCAAACGAGCGTACATTCTTGGCTTGGCTGCAGTTCACACTCTTGTTGGGCGGTCTGGCGATTGGTTTGCTCAACTTTTCGGACAAGGTGGGCCAGATTTCGTCAGGTATCTTCACTGCTTTGTCGTTGGGCGCCATGATCTATGCCTTGTACAATTATCACGAACGCGCCGACCGCGTGACACGAAATGATACGGGCGAGTTTTCGGACAAATATGGTCCGGGTGTCCTCACCGCATTCGTCGTGTTGGCCATATCCATCAACTTTTACTGTAAGTAATCTTGTGCTTTGTTTGGTGCCAAGGAGGAGACTCGCTCACTAACACGCTCAAAAATGTATTATATAGTACGCTTGACGTTAGACGATGATGTCGAGTGGGGAAAGTAGTATAATTAGTTTGTAAGCTCCAAATAATTCATGTATAACTTTGATTCTCAGTTTTTCTGTAAACCTTCGCTACTTGTTCTTTTCTCCCTCTCCCTCTCCTTTCATAAATTCCACGTTGATGCTCGATTGCGCATTATCTGGTCCTCTGCATTTATATCGGCCACAGCATTTCGGCAAAGGCAAATAAACTACATTTTTTCGTCACATAATTAACGTGCGATTTGTCTCAAAGAAAATTTAATGATCTAACAAACCTCACGAAACGACAATCGATCCGATCCGATCCGATTGATCAATCGTTCGCGTCATTTCTTCATATACGTTAGAATTGGAATGGTTGAAAGATCGTTATTGGTCTGATCAAGATCCTCCAGGTATATATAGATACTGCTATGGTCAACTTCCGTTTCTAATATCCTCCATAAACAAATCCAGAGCTCCACTTGACACCATGCAAAGAAAACGCGAAAATAGCAGCAGCGGCAGCAGCAACCACTTTTGATGTTACGTTTAGACTTACAGACGTGTTGGAGCTGAACAGTATCACGTTACAGTCGTATATGACCGAGCGGTGGCAATGGTAAGTTGAAAGAAGAAAACCCCCTCTCTGTTATTCAAATGAAACAGTTCTTTTTATGTACTCAAATGATATACTGCCCTCCCCATCTTAAGTTTGATGATGCCAGGGGCTGCTGATGGTTTGGATACGTTTTTAAATGTCGTGTTTGGTACCAAGGTAAACAATCTGTTTTGCTCGGGAACGACGTGTCTGTAGTTTAACCTACTCTATTTGTTTTGACCTGTTCAGGGCGAGAATACACGTAGCAATCATGGTTTGCTGCTGGAGTGTTTGGAGGATAAAGAAGAAATCATGGAAGACGGTGTGGAAAACCCTTTTATTGAACGTAAGTGTGTGCTTGGGGTATTTGTGTGGGTGTATATGTAACAGCACTCCTTGTGTATATCCAAAACACCCCGATCTCATGCATCACACGCGCGGATGTAGGTCCACAGTACCCATTGCCAGCTACTGCCTATATCCTACTCTACGCAGACACAGACTTCAATGGAAACGATTGCATATGTGCCCAGCTGTACCAATCACGCTTTGACGATGACTCGATCGAGACGTTGCTATCTCGCCTATTTTACTATCCACCACCCACCCCAATGATTCGCAATGATACGGCAGATTACTTGGGTGCACTTGGCTTTTTCGCAGAAGAGGAACAACAACTCAATGACAAACATGCTATCACGAATACTATCAAACCGCATCAATGGAAATGGGATATTCTCGCTGCCCGAGATCAAGATATGATGGAAAAGGAACGACTACGCCAGTTGCAACGACCTGATTTTTTCGCCAAACCGCGTCCGAAGCCTGTGCCTAAAAAGCGGAATACAATTGATCTCAAGTTCTTACTGGAACGACAAGAAGCAGGGGGTAGTGGTAGCAACAAGCCTTCACCTACAAGAGCAGCAGCTACTGCAGCGTCGTCATCAGCTGCGCCTACAACAACTGCGAAAGGGAAGCGAAAAGAACAGCCTTCGTCCCCGGAACAGATGCGAAAGGTGAGAATACTTTGAGAGAAGAGGACGCATCGACATTGGCTAGTACAGCTTCGTTTTTGACGTAACCGGCTTTTGTAGAAAAAGACACCTTCAGGAGCAGCAGGAGGATCAAGCGATACCTGGGAATCAGAAAACAAGGACTTGATCAAAAATAGGTTGTGGAGCACCATGTCCAAGGAACGCGGTCATGATCGACGGTCTGAAAAGAGCAAGTTACTGTACCTCCAAATCTATCAAAGCTGTCGATACGTGTTTGTAAGTTGATGATCGTATGTGTATTTTTACGAGACACATGGCTAACATTGTGTACATACAAATCTACATAGCGCCTTACGATGAAGGACAAGCAAGTGAATAGCAAGTTGCTGGATCAAATCATTGACAAACACCTCGACTTTTATGAAGAACTTGATATATTTATGTGATCCTAACTATGCAAATGCAAACGGTAAGGGAAAGAAGAAACAAAGGGAGGAAGGGTTATCCATGCATATACTCCTGGTAGCTGCAATGGTACAAGTGACGATCGTGTTTATTTACGCGCGTTTGTGTGTATGTGTGTGTGGCACATTTTGCAAAATATTTTTTCATACTCACTTTCACAAGGTTTTCTTTTGTTTTTGTAGCACCTTGTCAAAATCGCTTGGCTTTTTATTTTCATCCTCCTTTTAACCATTCCATCCCCCCCCCTTTAAACTTTGCATATTACGATTAATAATAATAAGATACCCTTTGCCTCTCTTTCTTTCCCTTTGCTTCGTTTTCCACAACAACAACAACAACAACAACCGTTCTCCCATACGACCCTGTATAAATGTTTACTCGCGCAAGGCACACGAGTGCCTCGTCGAGCGGCGGTGGCGGCCAAGGCACCTACACCCGTTTACAACAACATGATGACTTTGATGACGATTTTGACGATCTGACCGCCCAAACGTCCATTGCACGCCATCCCAACTCTTTACTTGTTTCCAGCAGTTTGCATAGTGCTATTGTCCCACCATTACCACAAGCCACGCCATTACCTGAAGGCGATCCTATTGCTACTATTACTGCTACTACTACTACTACTACACCAGGAGGAGGTGAAATCAACAGTGACACCATTCTAGAGGATGACAATGAGGAAGCAGGATTGTTTCACTTTTCAGCCCGTGCGTCCATGTCAGCCAAACGAGCAGCAGAGATTCCAATCGCCACCCAACGGTACATTCGAAACAAGCTGCCGTTTCGCAAAAAGACGGCAACGGAAGCATCGTTTGCTTCTCTACCTCAAGTTATTATGGCCGATATTCAGCAAGGCGATATGCCTTCTCAAGCGGACCCGATGCTCAAGGAGTTGCCGAAACGCGGATGGACGATTGTACGTCGGCGGCGGTTCCGTGGTGGCAGACGCCGCATGCTCGGAAAAAACAAAAAGCACGTGCGCGGCATGTCGCTAACACCGTTGTCATTTGATAACACTTTGGCTCAGACCGATCAGTTGTCGACGTCCGTGTTTGTGAAATGGGACCCGAACGGAGCAGCAGTAGCGTCGTCGTCGGCCGCTTCCTTGCCAAGTCAATTGTCGATGCAACGAGTGTCGTCTCCACCGCAGCAATTACAGTTAGAGCAGCAACAGCAGCAGCAGCAGCAACAACATCAATATCAGCATAAGGTTAGATATACCATACCCCTGTATAGAGAGAGGATAAGAAAAGCCTGTCGTTGTCTCCCAATAGCGAACATGGGCTCTTGTCTTCTGTTGGGGCCATAACTCGCATTTACACATGTACTCACATAGAGATATGCATAAACACATACACACAAACGTACATACATACATACTTCATGTACATGTATATGTATATAGGACATTCCGGTCAGTAAAGAAGAATTCGAGTCTGTGGTGCAGTCCGTTCGGTCGGCGATTGATAACGGGGGCGTGCAGCCAACGCGCATCAGCCAGGGCTCGAGTGGGTCCTACTTTTGTCGCAATAGCCAAGGCAAGATTGTAGGGGTATTCAAACCGAAAAACGAAGAACCGTATGGCCGCCTCAATCCCAAGTGGACAAAGTGGATCCACCGACATTTGTTCCCTTGCTGCTTTGGCCGGAGTTGTCTGATTCCTAACCTCGGCTACATTTCTGAAGCTGCGTCCTCCCTCATTGACCGTCGTCTCGGTACATGTCTTGTCCCACACACTGACGTGATCCACTTGGCATCGCCTTCGTTCCACTATGACTATCTCGATCGTCGCTCTGCGTCCGTGGTCGGGCTTCCTCCAAAGATCGGTAGTTTTCAATGTTTTCTGGATGGGTTCCAGGACGCCAACTTGTTTTTGCGCGATCATCCGTTTCCTGTGGATCAATATCATTCGTCGTCGTCGTTGATGCGGGGCACTTCTGTTTGGGCCGGGTGCATGGGTCAGGACACTTATGATGATGATGATGATGAAGACTACAATAACAACAATGACGAAGGCGACGATCATCACCTTCATCAACACAACAACAATTCGGCAGATGGATATGCAGCCTTGACTAGTCACCCTCGTGATGCGCAGGAAATGTTTGCGGAAGTAGTGACGGATGAGCGCTATGAGAGTGATCAGACACATGTTAATCGTTCTCCCACGGCTATTGCTCATACAAAAAAAGGGTTTCGCTGGAAGCATCGTATCCAGGACCAATTTAAGGTTGAATTTGAACAGCTGGTGATATTGGATTATCTGATCCGTAATACCGGTAAGTTCCCGTTGTGTCTGCTTTTGATGAAATACAAGATACCCAGGAATTGTATTAAACGAAACGCTGTTTAGATCGTGGACTGGATAACTGGATGATCAAATTTTGCCAAGAGGGTAGTAGTACGAGTAGTAACAGCGGCAGTGGAAGCAGCAGTCCAACAGCAAGCGGAAGCTTACTGGACGCAGTCAAACAGGCATACGTTCAAGTAGCAGCAATAGACAACGGACTTGCGTTTCCTTTCAAACATCCAGACCAATGGCGATCTTATCCTTATGGCTGGCTCGCACTCCCTGAGCCCTTGATCGCACGTCCATTTTCCGAAACAACACGACACAAGTTCTTGAGCGTCTTGTCGGATCCAGTCTGGTGGCGACAAACGGTGCATGAGCTCCACGACTTGTTCAAGACCGACTCTGATTTTGATGAACGCATGTTTCAACGACAAATAGCAGTATTGAAAGGTCAAGGATTCAATATTGTCCGTGCCTTGTCGGATCCGCATGCAACCCCAATTGATCTCGTGGCTACGGAACGCGTTCTTGTCAATCGAGAAGAAATTTTGATCGAATATGATGAACGATTGATACAACAGCGAAGTCCTCACCAGCAGCAACAATCGCCAAGACGGTTACGTACCAAGCGGTCAACTTCGTTTGATTTGTCGATGCATCAGTCCTCTTCTTCTTCGTTTGATAGTATACCAGCCCAACTTCGTCAGCAACAGCAAAAACAGCAACAGGGACAGGAGCAGGGACGATTGCCGTGGAGAGATCGAATTACAAGCCGCATGTCCGTAGACTTGGGTCGTCGTCGACGGCGACGGTTGATGAAAAACTTGCGTCTCGGACGAAACGTGGGAAGTGACGGTGAGAACGAGTCCTCGAGTGATGATGAATCGGAAGATGATACCAACAAGAATGTTCGTAAGCGCGTAACGATCATCATGGAAACGATAGAAGTAGTCAAAAGCAAAAAGCCGTATTTCACTTGCTGCTAATATAAAGAAGGGACGACGGTAGTACATTTATACATACAGCACAAAGATATATTCACACACACAGACACACACACTTCAATTAGCAACACACACACGCACACACACATTTCTGCATCTTATATATACCAAATTATCATCACTAATATTATTAAAAAGAAACTTTTCAACATCATTTTGATTTCTTGCTGCGAAGTGTCTGTTGTTCTTGCTTTCTTGCGCTCTTTTTATCTCTGGAATGATAATATTCGAGAAAATCTCGCTTATCATTCATGCTCAAGTTGGTCTTTCGCAGTCGTGACATGTTGCCTAAACAGACCGTGAGTTGACCGCCGACTAAATCATCCGCAATCTCTTTGCCAGCGAGTGACGCCAAATCTGCTGCTTCTTGGGATGAGGTCATGGCTGGATTACAGGGGACATCATCGCTGGCAAGTCGTTTGACTGATAATGTATTATAGAACTATTGGTTGGAGGAATTGGATGAGTTGCCATTACAAAACACTGACTAGAGATAACGTAAAAAAGCGCCTTTCTGTTTCTATGCAAATTGGTACCTGAGAGCATAATTTGCAAAAGTGCCAAAATTGGTTGCCAACTGTATAAGTGGGTGGCAAGTTACGATACTCGTATCTAAAAAAATCATCCAAAATACAATGTAAGCTTTTCTTGCAATATAGTGTACATCCCACATAATCCGCTCATCCCATGTTATTATCATTTAATTCACCTAAACGACAAGACATGAAACCGTCCATCACGTTCGGAAGGTTGAAAAGTTTTAAAGACAGGAGCAAATTTCAACAATGCACGGCCATTCGATGTTGTGCCTTCTGGGAACACGACAACAGGACCCCATCCATTGGCTTTGGCTTGTTGAGCAAGATCCCGAACCGAACATACTGGGCCCGTCTCCTCTTGCATGCTAGCGGGCATCTTTGTACACAGTCGCAATGCTTTCCAAAAACTGATCCGACGTACTTGACCTTGTGGGTATACTTGAGTGAAAACAGGGCCGTAGGCGTAGGCAAGGTAAATAACATCAATGTACGACGTCCAGTTGGCAACAATAATATCCCCGGATTTGACGGACCCCGTTTGATTCGCGTTGTTGCTGGTGTTGCGTCGACTGCTACCACGACGTAATGATATGGTTTCGGTTTTGATGTAAAAGAAGCCGCTTGCAAATAGGATGAGCCGCAGAAACAACGTCGACCATATCCGTGACCATATCCGATGAAGAGGACCCACCTAAACCATACATGCTTAGTATACACATATACGCGGTTTTCCATAAGCAAATGACATATAAAGACGCCATTTTCTTACCATAATTATACCAAGAACCTTGCTCATGAGGAAATGGAGCAAACTTAATACCAAAACCAGAGCAAGTTTGACAAGGCCTTGGATGGGTCCGACAATGTAATGGACGGCATTGGAGAGTGTCAATAGCAGACTCGATTCCGTACGTGGTGGCTATCAAAGACAAAGACATTTTGATTCAATATACACGCTATAAGTGGAGGAAAGTCTGAAATATAGATACGGGTATGAACGTACGACAGGTGGTAGGAATGGTTGAATACCCGTACCGGCATCCTAGTTGTAACAAATACATTTTGTCAAAGTTTAATTTCAAAATTAAAAGATAAAACGGTACAAGATTAGAGTGTAGAACTCACCCTCCAACGCGAATATTTTTCCATTCTTGCTCGGTTCGTAAAATGAAGGTAACCAGGGGAAACGCAGAAACCAGAAAGCAGGGTGTGCAACGTGTCAGGCTTTTGGAGGAAAACTCTATCTTTCTCTCAGTTACAATAATTTCACGTGATTCCTTGGAGAAAAGATCATCAGGGTTGATGGTTTAAGCGAAAATTTATGCAGCAAAAAAAAAGATAAAAAAGGGAGAGGATAACACATATGTACACTATATGAGAAGCGAGAGTTGTTTGGAGAGATGGGGGGTTTTACAGAAAAATGCATATCTATACTTTGATGAAATATCGATGATGGGGACAACAGAGAAAGAGAAAGAGAGAAAGAGAGGCGGGTATCAAATTGTAGGAGAGTATGATATATGTATGTATGGTTACAACATAATGATTACTGATAATGTAAAAAGATTATGCACGAGCAGTACTTGCTGGCATGGAAAGAATTTTGAAATCATCGACCTAGAATATGTATATGCCATGAGGTTAGCCATGGTTCCTGCATTCACTCCTTATTAGATATTTGATCTGTACATAAATTTTAACTCACTTTGCAGAACGCCCCGCGTTGTTGGTCAGTATGGAAGTAGCGTACGCCATTATACGATCCATCACTGCTCCCAACTACATGTTACCCAAAAGACGTTAGTTGAGCAGTCATGTACTTACGGGCAACAACGCACTTCACTGATAAACTTACGTCTATTCTCAAGCTCAACGCCAACATAGGTACCCTTTGCGAAATGCACCTCGCCAATATACTTTATCGTACCGAGCATGGGTAAAGGTCGACGTAGCAATTCCACTTTGGCGCCCAACACTGGCATGACAGCGGTCGCAAGACTATCACCGCTGTTCGCATCCTCATAGTCACTTGCATCACTATTACTACTCGACCCCCAGCCAAGTCGTGCTCGCAATGGCGAATGGCTGCGTTGTATTTTGCTATTCTTTTTATTCTTCTTCTTTTTATCCTTGATCCTAGGTTGCAACACAACCTTGTTTGGAGGTACATTATTGCCATCACCATGTATACCAGTACTGGCTGGTCTTTGAGGCATTGTGGGCAGTTCGAATCGTAATCGTGACGGTCGTCCAGAAGGCGTTGTTGAACGCACAGGGGTAGAAGCCGACATCGACATTGTAGCTGCTGCTGCTGCTGCTGCCGCGTTACTGCTGCTAATGCTACTATTGGTGTGATCCATTGGTAATAGAGCGTCGGCTAATAGGGACGATGAAGACGATGCTCGCGACGAAGCATGATGATTGCCGGTATTGTTTTGGATGCCTTCTCGAGCAAGTTCACGCAAAGACGGAATGCCTGTAGCTTCAGGATAGGTTGCAGCGGCAGCCAGACTATTAGGTGGTAACTGTAAGCGATGGTCACGGTGTTGCGCAATGTGATGTTGGCCTGATGCTGTTGTTGTTGTTGTTGCTGCGGCTGATGCTGATGCTGATGTCTGGGCTGTTGCTAGACTGTCATGTGAGCGTCTGCTTCTCAAGCTTATAAACGAAAGTCGTCTGTACGACAAGCTTCCACCACTTGCAGCACTGTTGCGTCGCACTGCTCCGTACTCGGTCTCTGTTTTTTTGGACTTGTTCGAGGATCTTGATTTGAACCCAAAGAGAGACGCAAGATCGGTTTCGAAAGATTTGGTCAGGCTTCGATATGGGACTTCGATATCTAGAAATTAAACTGTTCTGTGAGCGTCAAAGGAGGCATTGGATACTAATAATTTGTACAATGGTAATAGCTAAGCACACGCGATCCTTTGGTGCTTTACCTTCGGAAAGTCTTCTCATGATATCCTTCTCAATCTTTTTGAGCCCACCTAGGGCCTTGACTTGTGACCAATGGCTAGCGAGATAGGCGACACATTGCTGATAAGCATCCACTAACACGCTATCCACGATCCTGTCTTGATCCATCTCCTGCCGGCCAATCAGGTCTCTCACGATGCTCTGATACAACTCGCCTGCGTTCCGGTCATTGATTCCTTCTTGCATGATGCGAGTGAGAAGAAACTCCAAAAAGTCGACAGAAAGCCCGGAGCCAACGGCAATGCCATCCACACACGATAACAGGATCGGATACTCGACGCAATAGAATTCAAAGTTGTCGGAAATGATGGAAATGGTGTGGCTCACCAAGTTCTCCAGAATCTGGTGCACCGTTGACGTCGAAGATGCTTTGCGGTGCTGGATACGTGACAGACATAAATGAAGAGCTTCGACCATCTGAATCGCCGTCTGTTTCTTGATATTGGAGGTAATCTGAGCGACGATTTCAGTAACGATATCACACGTCTTGGAATCTGCCAGCACCGAAAACGCTTGGGCAGACCAGAGCGAGGCCAAGGAATTGATGTGGACGGGCTCGGAATAGATGGTGATCAGGTTCAGCCGAAGAGCAGGAACGTGGCTTTTGTATTTATCCGAAAACCAGAGCATGGATGGCAGCAATGCTGCGCAATCGCCACATGTACATTTGAAATGGTTGCAGAGCTCGGCCATGTCGTGGAGGATGGCGGCACAGACTGTGTCATAGTCGCCCAGGTAGTCGGCCAATCGAAAGGCGTCGTGCAGTAAGCGAAGACTGTATTTCTTGCGAGCCAGACTCTGCTGGTGCGGCGTTTCGACAGCGGCAGGCGATGTGTCGTTGGCTGGACCCGGCGGGATGTGCAGCTTGTCGGTGTAATAGTAGCGAAGAATCACGTTGAAACTGGTGGGCGCAAAAATGTCGCCCGACAGATACACCGTCGAACTTGAGGCTTCACGAAACTCTTTGCAAAACATGGCATAAAAATGCTGTGATTGGGCAGCCAGGATGCATCGATGGACGGCACATTGCTGCTGTGGTGGTACTACCACTGGTGCTGTTGTCGTTGTTGCTGGTGCTTTTGGATTCGTAAATAGCTTAAGTGTCACGTCGCTTCCGAGCTGGCTTTCATACATGGCGGCAATATCCGATTTCAATTGCTCGACGGGGTTGGTGTCACGACGAAAGAGGGCCGTGCCCACTCGTTTTTCTTGGTCTAGGATATCCTTGCTAATGTTGGCGTCACTACTGCCTTGACCAACTGTTATACCCAATTCACAAGCACTGTTGTTGTTGTTGCTGCTGCTGCTACGAATTGTGGATAGGGTCATTAGGGAGGCACTGGTCTGTGTGCTGGTCAGCGAGAGGGTGGACAAGGATGAAACGTCGCTGGTGTCCGCACCGGCGTCTTGGTCCGTTGACGGAGGCATAGACGGCTGGACGAACTCAGCCGTGTACCAGTAGCGGAGCAAATGTTGCATAGTCGAGTATGGTACGATGGGTTCGTCAATGACAATAACCTCAAAGGAGTCGGCATGCTGCAGCAATTGCGAAAGGAATTTGTTTGTAAATTCTTTCGGCGCGCGAGCAAGTATTATGGCTATATGTTTTTTTTATCAATGATAGCAGTATCGTATAAATAATAAGCAGGTATTGTATATTGCACCAACAACGGAAAATAAAAGTAGAGAAGAGCTCACCCCGATGAGCCCAGATCTTGCCGCACGGATAGTCAAAACAGACATCAGCGAGGTACTCTTGAGCGCAATCCAGTAATGTGTTGAGAGACGATTGTAGAGTTTTAGAAGGGGGCGAGAACATGGACCGGCAAAGGGATATAAGAGACGGGTTGATGTTAGTGTCGAAAAGAGGAAAAGAAGAAGGAAAAGGAAAAGGCAAGAGTGTACAGCTTTTTATATAGAAGCAATAGTAAACAGTAGTAAATAAAGCACGTCGTATTGGGGAATAGAGTGTGTATTTTTAAAAAAGCAAATGGGTGAGCGAAGAGTGGCGCATGCACACGCTTTACACGCTCTGGACTGGATGATTGGTTTGCAGAGTGAGAGAGTGAGAGAGAAGAGATGGAAATCAAGGTGGCAAAACTTACGGAAAACGGTGGATTGGGATTGGGGGGGGGAGGGGGTAAACTATCCCTTACTTATTTAGCATCACACATATAACCCACCCCCCCGCCTCCCAGATAAACAACGACCCCTTCCGTTCTTTTTCATTCCCTGGAACAACCACCAAACGAAGCGAGCGTATCGTCTGCATGAAAACACCCAATCCTTTTGGCTTCTTCCTCTTCTTCTTCTTTCCGGCACCGCACACCGAAACCCCGACGACAAACCCCCATTCCTTGGCTTAATAAGTAGGAAACTACCACCCACCCACCCACCCCACCCCCTCTGACAGCTTTATTTCCGCGCTGTACAATGCGTCATGCCCAGTCCATTAGTCAGTCATCTAGTCATGCCAAGTGCTATGTCACTCATGCATCTTGCATATTTTGAAAAGCACACAAGGACTCATCCCTCTTGCTGTCTACAAACAGGGCTGCATCCATCCCGCGGTTCAACGAAAAACCTATATCTTTCTCTCTCTCGTGCTGATTAGACACCCATTGTCATGTTGGTATAATAGAAAGTGGGTTTGTGGATCGAAAATGACGGTTTGTTCAAAAGCAGTATATTAACGCGCTGCTTGCTGATCATAATAATAGAAGACCAGGAAAAACCAACCATCATGGCGCATTTTTACTAAACCCCCTTCTCTACCACTCAGCACCACCAATGTGTGTGTACTACTACATGCTATCATCCACCCAAGAAAGGATAAAATTTGATCTTTCGATTGGGTAAAATGCATGACAAGGACGACCCAAAAGCACAGTGTCTGACAAATCAGGTCTGATCATTCGGTAAACCCCGTGGTAAACTCTAAAAGAAATGCTATTTCGTACTGCTACCAGCAGGAAACAACAGCAGCTCCAACAAGACGAATTATCCAGCAATGAAGCACGCCATATTTATATTGTGCCACATGATCCACGTTATACTGCTGTGCACATACTGTACACCACGTGGTGTGTTCTCATCATCTTCTTCTTCTTTTATTAATCTCGTACAGTAATTGCACACAACAGACAATAATAATTGGAGTTACTGGTGACTATGTAGTAGTAAATAGTGGTAGTGTTATGTAGTACGAAATAATATATTACATATGCTACCACTATTACTACCTCTCATAAACATGACATTATAAACCCGCATTGAGTTTATTCTCTTGTTTTAGACATACCCAAATATGCTTGCCATCATGTTGTGCGCGAAAAAAAAAACAATTGTCCCTCTCCTATTAATAGTTTGCACGGAATGACTGAACGTTAAACTGTCCAAAGCAGCAGCAACTTTAGTAAGTCGTGATCAACAGCAGCACCTTATTGTTCTTTGTTGTCGTCTACTATTAAAAGTAATATCGACTTAGCCTCGTTTCTGCTTACTCCATTTTGCTCGGAAACTCACATCTTGTACGTTTCTGTATTGATATGTAGATGTCATACCTCTAAAAGTTTTCTATGGTAAAATACTGTCTGTGTTTTCTTTTAGAAACTAACTTTTTGCTACATGCAATACTATGAACGACTCCATAAGGCTGCTAGCTCCTCGCTTTATGACTTAGGATAGGTGATTCAACATCACAATAAAAATTCGTTACTACAGAAGAGTTTAAGACATCTGAAGCATCTTAATTGCACCGATCGCATTTATCAGGTAGACTCCGTGGCAAAGACGTCTATTACCGTGTAGTAATGTGAGTATATTACACTCTCTGATATAACGCGTAACGCACTACTCTAGAGTACGTAAAGTAATCCGTTTACCTTCCCCAACTCTTTTCTGCATTTGCTGTAGCTGACACGAAGAAAGGTCGCATCTCCCCCATGTATCTTTATGGGTTGAAAACCGGGTGTATATGTATTGAATAGCACAGGGGAGCCTTTTGGTATCACATATCATCGGCATTCGACTGTGAGAATTCCTATGCATCGTCAAATATCATTGTTAAAGAATGGCGTAGTATTTACATCCTGTTTTCTAAATCGTGACATACAGCTTGCATAAAAGCGAAATCTTTCTTTAAGGCGGTCTATCTTATCGCATGCATTCTTTTTGCACCCAGATCAAAAACGGATGATGGTTTCTCTTTCTTCTAAACTAACAATCGCTTCTGATTGAATATGAACGAATCGACTTCGTCTCGTAGTCGTTTTCTTTCATTCTGGTGATGTGATAGAACGACGTGGACGTGTGTAGCATAATGCACATGCAGTGTTAGTGAGCCATTGTTTAATAATAAGCTTCGGCGGTCAAAAGTGCATGAAAGAATAATAAGTATTAGCTCTTACCCTACAGTACAAGTTTGATATCATGGTCGAGCTCGTTTTGTTCCTTGACTTGTAAACTTTCTTCATGAAACACGGCGCGCTGTCCTTCATACTACTGTATGTATCATTGATTAAATCGTCGAAATGTCGGGTTCTGCTTCGTCTCAATAAATTGATCGTCATTTTCTCGTTGTATTTTCCAATGCCAAACACTCTATTGAGGGCTGGGAAGAATTCCATATGTCTTCAACTGGCGCGCTCCATTTTATCCCAGTGTCGACAGTCTCGATCCTGACGTTACATATTGACACATCGGTCGACAAAGCTGATTTTCCAAAATGACTTTGTAGTACCACATTCATACTTGGCAACGCTCACTCGTTGTGTTTTTTAGTCAATAGATTCATAACTTTATGAGTCTCCGTGATCTCAGTTCGGTATGTGTCGATCGTCAAAGACAATGTGAACAAACATACCATATTGTTTTTCCTTTGCGGCGTTCGTGTAAAATATAATGCTCTCAAGCTTATGAGTCGCACGACCTCTTTTCCATCGCTTATAAGCATCAGAGTACACTATGGCTCTAAAAGAGTATATGTACTGTTATCTATTACAATTGCATATACTTTGAAATCGAAGCTGTTTTTGTACCTTTGGACAAGAGTATGATACTTTGACAGGAAGAGTCGAAACGGACGATCAAATGTCGCAATGTTATTTAATTTTGAGCACTTTGTATGCAAGGTGACGGTTAACTATAATGCATGGTTAACGCCCACATTGATGCGGATAATAAGTCCTAATAGTTTCGCCACAAATATTAGTATCATAAGATACTTTAAAGTCCATCATTATATGTCACACACGTCAATCGTTAAAAGTGCACGTATAGGTAACACATATTTTGTATGCCATTCATGAAGCTACAGTATGTATACTGTAGATCAGGAAGCTCCCTTTAAGTTGAAAATAGTGATTTATATTTTTGTCAACGCGAGTAAAATTGTAAGCCATGGAATATGTTGAAATCTCATCTGCTGTAGGTATATAAAGCCCCTCCTGGTGAAGAAGTTATATTTGTATGCTTCGTGGGAGCTCGAAAACAAGCGTAATAAACGGCACCACATGGAGACAACAAAACTAAAATGCTTGCTTCCACCGGTCAAATCATCTCCGGCATTGCATACTGATATTGAATTCTGCATAAATGGCCCTAACGTGATGATAAACATGTGATCATATTGGCTCTCAGAAAATATTTTACTTGTTTTATAGTAAAGTGCTACAACAAAACATATGGTCTACCATCGTAGAAAAGAGAAAACCTGATAAAACACCTTTTAAAGCTCTTCAAAGAGTACTGTACCTGAACGAACTCGAATTCAGATGATCTTCCAGTACTATTCATGGTAAAAGTAAGACTTGAAAATACCTGACTTCTTGTATTTCCATGTTCACTGTCCTATAGTGATATTTTTTGTTTATATTGTCAATAGTGTGAGACTCAACACATTTGGGAAGGAGGGTTTACAAACTGTGCATACTTTTACTAGTTGAAGCTTCAGTGTATCACGACGTCCATCCAGCTTACCACACCCACGACCTTTTCCTGTTTTCCCTCACAGGGTTTTTACTCCGTTATACTCCCCCCCCATCTGTCTCGAGCAAAATGTCCCCCAGACGCAGTGTTCATAAGAGACGTAAAATAAAACCAAACTTTTAAACGTACCACGACGTCTAGTATAATAGGCAATTACCAGGCAGGGAATTTGTCTATCAGTCCACCCAAACAGAAGTTTCGTCAAAATCTCACACAGCATATATAAAGGCTAACATAATATAACCTCATAATTGACCCTCACTGTATTTCATATTATCATGTTTCTCTTACTTCTTTTTTATTTTCTTTCTCTCATTTCTTTATTATCTCAACAGCCCACATTATTTACAGTTATCCTTAGCCGAACGTGAAGCCCTACTAAATGTGGGTACATCATTTTTACAAGTGGTCAGATTCACCTTGTTTAGTCCGATCAATCGATACAGGCCATTAGTTTGTAATCTATTTGTACGTCCGGTAAACGCGAACTATCTTTTGATTTGTGTTATATCATCTATTTTTTTTCTATACATACCACTGATTACGAAACACAAATAGAAAGGACTTGCAATTTTTGTATGCATCAGTCCATCAAGTGTCATTATACTTCTTATAAATGCGCCAAATTTCTTTACTTCGACAGCAAGTAAGTCAAATATGTGACCATAACTTGAAGCCGATGCTGCATAGCCTGGTAAGAGCTCTGGTCATGGATTCTGCAAAAACGCATTTACCATAAAGATATCTCGTTTCACGAGTAAAAGATGAGTGTACAGAACCTGGTAGCTCAGTTCTATGGAATTGCATTATACCATTCTTTGCGAATGAGCATAGAGACTTGTAAAAAGATATGAAGGAACGAATGTATGTATGATATCCTCATTTTATAAAAGAACCGTCATGATTACACTCGTAAGGTTGCAGCATCTCGAAGAAGCTTCGTCGCTATGATAGGAGCTTGCTTGGGTCTTTTTCAACCAACACTTTCTGTCTCATACTTTAACAGGCCCTTCGCAGGTTACCACTCCTTTTCCGCTCGTTCTTAGATAAGATTTAAGAGTGTTAGCAAGCACCTTCCACATCAGCTGATTTTATATAGCTCACATTGGTGATCACCTGACACCATTTCAAACTGACAGATGACGATAATATCATTGAATTTTTTTGCTCGTGCTGGAAGTCTTTGGTGGATCCACCAAATCTTCAGAACTTTTTTTCATTCATATCAAAGCAAAAAAGCTGAACGTGCCGTGACGACCTACAGATACCGACAATCAACATAACAGTGTATATTAGTGTGCGTTCAATTAAACTTTTAACAACGCTTATTCTCGACCGAGTCAATGCCTTGTACTTTTATTTATTCAATACCCTTCTTACGAAGATTTACCGATAAATTTGTATGCTGTTTTGCTGTTCTCAGTCAACTATAGGTTGTGCGATAAATTTCCCAACACGGATAAAGTATGTAGTATAGCTTTTGTACCTTGGATTCCTCAGATATTGCTACTCAAGATCTAGACTAATTCATTGTTCATAGAAGTATCTTCTTTGGAACTATCATCATTGGCTGAATTACCGTATGACTAGTATTCAGTCTTATATTGTGGCCTCTTCAATTAGTCTTATTCGACAATTTCATATCATCAACATAAACGATGTCTACAATTTCGCGTGATTGCTGCTTGTGGGAGGATAGATTAAATCCCTTGAGGTACTGGCAGTGGAAGGTGTGATGTTTTTGCTTCCTCTAGCAGCATGAGATATTGCGTTAGTAAATACAAGCTTTGCATTTGTTCATAACTTACCCTATTCATGCTTCGATGCTCTATTAGCTGCAGGTTATCAAAAGTATTTGGCTGCAATTCTTTATACATGCAGTAATCAAAGAGCCGGAGCAAAACCACTCAAGTCATATTATTGAGCAGATTGTTATCCGTTTGCATAAAACCAGAGTGTATATAGTGTCGATGATGAACAATGACTAAGTAGAGGAGCTGTATCATAAAATGGTAGAAGCGTGGGTGATACGTTTATACATCCAATGTGCGGTGCTATATTCAACTTCCTTCTCCCAAGGTTGTACGCTCATTCACAGGGTACATATGTATTTCCATCAACCAAACCGAAACCTATCACATGTCCTTTAAGTGCTTATAAAAGCATATACTGTAGTGCAAATGAGCAATTTTGAAACTCTCATGCAGAGCTCTTGCCTGATTACACGGCATAAGTTTACCGAACATAGTCACGTTTTTTATTTTCCTTGCTACCGAAGTTTAAAAAAACCTAGTACATTCATTGATGAAGAAGAAAACTTCTGTCAAGAGTTTAAGCGAATGGTCGATACACTGTTGGATGCAAAAATCGAAAATTCAGCTGTTCGTGGCATATCGATCAATGGTATGTCTAAAATGTTTATAAAACTCAAAAGCTAATAGGTAAAGAAGAGGTTGGGTTTCATGTACATGGCGTACTGATTAATTAAGCTAGAAAGTATGAGTCTGACCACCCGCAAACTGATACACATAGTTGAGCTTCAAATATGAAGTACAGTGAGAGTCAATACAATGACCTAACTAATCGTTCCTGAGCAAGATAGATCCTTAACTGTGTGTGTATGACAATACAAACTTGATACTCGGCGATGTCTAGCTGTACGGTCTCCTTGCATAGAGCGAGCGGTGATCTGCTGTTAAAAGCGTTTTGTTCATTTGCTGGAACTGTCTGTCGGAGCAACAACCAGAGCATGAAAGCGGAGGTGCTTTTAGGGTCTGCATGCCACAGAGCATAGTATTTAGAGTACCGCGAATTTGTGATACCATCACCACATAAACCTTCTCTTATTTGCTTTTTCTTTTTTGCACCCTTTCCTCTCTTTCATTTTTTTCTCTGTTCTCTTTATACTTTATTGCACCTCAGTACTAGAAGCTGCTGGTCACTTATATTGAGAACCAAGGCAGACAAAGAAAAACCCGAGCCCGATGATGACTGTACCTGCGTTTGGAAAGCCAGACTCAACAGCGGCCGAAGATAATAATAAGCAGGAGCACGGACAAGGTGGTCGGGATCGTTCAGGCACCATCACCGCCCTACCTAGACTAGTTCAGTCGCAGAGCTCAATATCGTCCGGATTCTCACTCGATGATACCCAAAGCCATACCTCCTCTGTGGATACCAGTACAACCGAGAAGGACGAGGATACCCAAAAAAACAAGCCGCCGACACGGGTCCGACGACAGCGCGGGTTGACTGTAACACAAACCTCACGTCCATCAGGCCCTGGTCAGCCAGACGAAGAAGACGATGAAGACGATTATAGCACAGCTGACGACGAGGACGACGAATATGATGGAGATAAGGTCAACAACGATAAAGATAAGGAGGCGTCGCTGCAGCAACAACAGCAACAGCAGCAGAATCATGTGCATGATGATAACGAGGAGCTCTCAAAACAAATCCAAGATCTAATGGTGCAGGATCGCCAGTCGTTTGAGGATGATTTTGTGCATGACAATGGTAACGACGATGCTGATATTGACGATGGTCGGTCCAGCCCAAAAAGTCTTCATTCGACTGCATCATCCTCTTACAGTGTTGTTTCCAGTGCATCCAATTATGACTTGTTACTGGCCCGGCTTGGCACTCCACAACAAGGCAGCGAGATAGCAACAGGCCAGTCTTCTTCTTCATCGTCATCGTTCGACCAAGTTGCTGCGCCTGATTCAATGTCCCAAGTGTCCTTGGAACAGCATGAGGCCTCAAGAATTGGAGAGGAGGAAATTGATTGGGGTATGTAGAGAGCGGGTTGAATGGCACCAACGCTGGAGAGATTCTCATCTTTCTTTTATTTTAGAGTTTTGGTCAAAAGTCGTTTCGGATTTCAAAGCTGTCAAGGCGTCGACCTTGCGGCATCACCTGCAGCGAGGCGGCGTTCCCCCTTCACTGCGCGGTACGGTCTGGCCACTGCTGGCCAAATCCAAGGATAGTCGGTTGGAAGACCAGTATATGCGGTTGTTGAAGAGCGAATCCGTATATGAAAAAGCAATTATCCGGGATTTGGCGCGGACATTTGCAGACAACGAATATTTCCAATCCAAGGATGGACAAGAAGCGTTGTTCAACGTTGCTAAGGCATATTCACTATACGATACGGACGTTGGCTACTGTCAAGGTGTCTTATTTATTGCTGCGCCTTTGTTGTTGAATGTAAGTTCGAAGGAAGCGAAGAATGGGAAACTAGATGGTGTTTGGTTACACGGAAAAGACTGAATCTTTCTTTGTGGATGTTGTTTTACTTCAGATGCCTGAGGAAGAAGCATTCTGTGTGCTAGTGCAGATAATGACGCGATATGAGTTGCGTGGCCAGTTCAAACCTCAACCCGATCTTCTATCCCAACGCTTGTATCAGCTTACATATTTGGCCAACGACCATCTGCCACATGTTCATCGGCATTTCGAGTTACAGGGGATCCAAACCAACATGTATGCCATGCCATGGTTTATCTCGCTATTTGCCTTTAAGTTTCCGCTGGACGTCGTATTCCGCATATATGATAACTTTCTATCTGATGGTGTTGAGGTCCTATTTCGTGTGGCTCTTGCTCTGTTGGAGAAGAACCAATCCAATATCTTGGTCCTGGAGTACGACAAACTTTTACAATTCCTGAAACACGATCTATTGCGGATATATACGGTGGGTGTAATTAACTGTGAATTATGAAACTTTATTCATAACACCTTATCCCCCACTCTTCCTTGTTATTTTTATGTTATTCTTTTTGTATGATCCAACTCGTTGTGGTTTATGGCACATGTAGGATAACACAAGCAGTCTCATCTACGACGCATATCGTATCACCATCCCAGCTAAACGACTTGACAAACTGGCCAAACAATTCCAAGCCGACGTGGCACGCAGCAATTCGGAAGCAGAGGCTATTGATAAGTTAAAAAGACAGAACAAGGCTCTACACGAAACCGTTCGGCAGCTGCAAGGCAATCTTAACGACATCAATCGAGAGCATGGAGTGGTAGCCAAGGAGCTGATAGAGTCAAAAATGGAAATCGCCCGGATTCATGACGAGAACGATGCGCTCAGACAGCAATCGTTTGATCTGAAGCGAGCACTCGAGACGTTACCACAAGAGGTAGAAAGTAGAGTAAAGGAGGAGATGCAAATTCTGGCAGGAAAAAATGCAGCCCTGGTGAAACGCAACACGACACTGGAAGACCAGCTGGCATACATGGAGAATATGGTACTAGAGATAAAAGCGAAATTCGCCGATAGCGAAGATGAGCGTGCTAACCTGCAGCAGCGACTGGGGGATTTGAAACGGCTCATGGACTAGTTTCAATAATAAAAGCCTATACCTTTGTAAATTATTGTATAATTACAAGCGTTAAAGATAAGAATGGGAATGCTAAGTGGATATACAAAGTTGGTTGCTACGATATGATTAGACATGTATCCGTCCAAACCCCTTCACCTCTCACTAATTGCACATAGTATAATATATCATTACATACTTACATTACACTCTTACATGTTTAATTTACATGGATGTGTATCAATCCTCCCAGAGGTCAGGTTTTGTTTACACGGCAGTGTCACCATGGTTTGTGTATAAGTGGTTATCATATGTAACACAACAAAACATGTAGATACCATTTCAACAAGGTTGTAGCAGGTGTATGTGTGCTCCTCGATTTGGGTCTACAGATCCATCAAACGATAATTTTCGGAGAAAAGTACATAACCGCAGCAACTTTTATTATAAGAACAAGCTATAGCAGCTTTATATAATATGCAAATTCCACATGGATCGTCCACATACGATGCTTAAAATACCAGATACATAGATTAATTTTAAGGCGTCATGTCATCAAAGTCAGACCTTGGAAAGCATCGACAGGTATCCACCTTGTCTAGCCTAACAACAGGTGACTAGAAGTTTATTCAAAACTTTACCAAGTATAAGAAGTGAAAGTACACGCTACTACTGTGAATACCATTGCAATGTAGGCTAGTTTATTCTTATTTACCCCCTCTTTACAGTCCTTGATTGCAAATCCAGTTTAAATGGCCAAAGTCGTCTTTTTTTGAACTGGGGGTAGGACGTGATGAAGTTGCATATTTTTAGATTACATTGTCTCAAAAACCCCTTGCTTGGCACCCCTGATACTACAGAGGACTTACATAATGAAACAGTGTGTTATTGTCTCTAATCATTCAGAAGCAAATAGTCATTGGGTCGGAAAAAGAGTACTTTAAACATGTGCATACCATGGAGCACAAAAACGACATAAAGTAGATAAGCTTCCTTTTGAAAATAAAGATTTCGAAAATAACGGCGCTCAGCCCGAAAGAATGTTGTCCGATTATATGAAGTTGGACAAAAAACAGCAAGTGGTCTTGGCTGTCCCTAGGATGTGGTATACACATGAGAGCTTCAATAGTTCATAGAGTACCTTACACAATCCAACCGCTTACTAGTAGAGTTGCCGACTCTATGTATCAGAACAATGCATAACAAGAAGTATGCTGAGAACTGCAAGCTAATAATTGCTACGGCGTCCTTCCGGTCTTAGTTTATTTGTTTGATCCCTAAACAAATGTTGGCTTGGGAATTGGTGCTGACTGCATCATGGTGCATCGGCGCTACAACCGAGAGTTCTTTAGCATTTTCCGATTTGGGAACGTAAGGAACAGTCGCCGAACGGCATGCTGTGTCTCCTTCGATTTGCTACAGATACTAATCTGTATGATAGTATAATAAGGAGCATATGAAATAGGCTCTCTGTTTTATATTTGCTAATACATCTTTGGTAGTAGCACTGTAATTCATGCAGTTTGTGGCTGCCACGTTGTACAAGAGTGCCAGCACCCATCGTCCATGTGATCTTTTCAATATAAAACGAGAACAACTTACTTTGATTTCAAACCATCTCCCTCCTTCTCTCTCTCGTAAATCTTTTTTACCACTTGCAAACGTTCTATGATGAGCAGCCAAAGTTTAGTCCGAGAACACCTGTACTCGTATCGATACCATATTGGCATCGCTGCTGCTGTATCCCTCATTTGTCGTCATTTTTACAACCGCGTGTTTCGTGCCCCAAAAGAATTGCAGCATATACCAGCAATTCCATTTTGGCGTCAAGCACTTTCTTTGGTTCAAAAGGAGCCTATTACATTAAAAACTAAAAGGCTGGTTTTCCCTTTGATTTCCAATGCGAACGGCATCTACGTTGTAAGTATTGTTCGTATATTGTTTTTGTACTTTTCTTTCAAATATAAAAGGGGGGGGTGTCTTTACATTGGTAAGGATGGCAGGATCATAATATGTTTCTATTATAGAATCGGCTGCCGATGGATTGGACAGTTTATGTAACCAACCCTGTCTATGCGAAAACTATCTTGTTTAAACCAGGTAAACAAGATGGGCACTTTCACACTTATTTCAAGCAGTTAATTTCTGATGCGGAACTTGTTTTATTTGCGTACGCGACCTACTTTATAGAGTTCAACGACAAAGTCCACTCTTTTTTGGATGGCTTGGGTGAAGATCATTCCATGATTATCTTTGTAGGTAAAGACAACGTCGCTACTGTGAATGGACAGCAGTGGAAAAATCAACGGAAGGTACAGATACACAGATACATCATTGCGAGTGTTTTGATAAAGAAAATCCGCATGATGCTGATACTGCAGGATTGTTGACAACACTATAGATCATGAACCCCGTGTTCCACCGGTCCATGCCTGTTGCATTATTTGGCCATTTGATGCCCAAAGTTTTCCGCATCATTGATGAAGCAGAATCCAAGGACGATCATGTCGTGATTGTGAAGCTTACTCAGCGACTCACGCTGGAGGCACTGGGCAAGGCTATATTCGGTATATGATATAAAAATGGGAGCAAACAGCAGTGTATATCTGAAAATGGAATGGTAGAAAGAGCATAGCATATACTAAGCGCCATATTTTGGTTGTACTGATCTTTGGGCGATAGGTTTCGAATTTGGCGGATTGGATCAAGACAACTCTGTCTGGGTAAAAGATTATAACCAACTCATTGAATCGCTCTTGGATCCCTTTTCTATGTTCCCCAGAGTCAGCAGAGTGCTTCGATGGATTAGTCCTTCTCGACGGGAAAAACATAATGCAGCTTACAAATTGTCTGCTTTGCTCGGTGAAATGGCTGAGCAGAGAAAATGTGCTTTGTTGGAAAACAAGGAGCAGCAGCTTCATGGCAATGTACCGGATAGCGAAAAGGATCTTCTCACCCTTATGCTTGAGGCAGAAATGGGCGGCGATGGTGCTTCTTTATCCAAGGAAGAATTACGGGTAAAATCCCTATAAACAGTACAGGATTTTGTTAATTCGTGTACTTCGAATCGCCATGCGCTGATATTAGGACACTTTATCTCTCTATTATGTAGCACAATTTGGGGATCTTTTTCGTGGCAGGTATCGTATATTACAGTGATATCAACTAATTCCAAGTCTAAAATAATTGATTTGATGTATAGCAGTTAATGTTGTGTTGACTAATCTTTTCTTCGTAGGCCATGATACTACTAGCAACTCCATTGCATTTACTATGTACAGTTTGGCAGTACATAAGGTATAGCACATTACGATGCTCCTATTGTATAGTACTACGATAAGTATTACTTCTTGTACGAGGCGTTCAGCACTTTCTGACAAAAGACCAACTAATTTAGGACATACAAACTAAAGCACGCGACGAAGTTCTCCGAATCTTAGGTGATAAGCCCGCTGATGTTTATCCTACATTAGAGGATTGCAAGCAGTTCTCTTATATAGATATGATTATCAAAGAGGTCTGTATACTTATTCGTTGTCACTATCTTACGCCTCTATAGTAAATCAGATACTAATAGAATCTCATTTGACAGGGGCTACGCATGTACCCTCCGGCAAACGACTTGCTCGCACGAAGAGTAGCAGCCGACGTTAACTTGGGAGGAGTTATGATCCCACAAGGTTCCATGATTACGGTCGATATACACGCTCTACATCACAACCCTGAGGTTTGGAAGAACCCGGACCAGTTTATTCCGGAGCGATTTGCGGATGGAGGTGAACACAGCAAGCAGGATGGAGTAGCCTGGCTTCCATTTAGTGGCGGCTCAAGACAGTGCATTGGCATCAATTTCAGTATGATGGAGCAACGCATAGCTTTGGCAATGCTTTGTAAGTTTGGAATGTGAGAGAAGGTGATATTGCTGGGATGGGAGGCTAAACAAGAAGAGCTGAAAATATGCAATGAGCGGCGCTAATGTGTAAATTAATGATTCAATCGTTGTATTGGTCTATTTAGTGCGGAAATATGATTGGGAGCTTCCCCTAGGATCGATCCATCAGAATGGCGTCGTGTTCGACCAACCTGTTAATATGGCACCCTTAAGTCTTAAGATTAAGTTTAATAAAAGATACTGAGCAAAGTGCTGGTTTCTCTTTAAAATATCAATATGTACACACAATTCGTCAATATGTAAAGGCTCAGTTTACAGGCAGCTTGTATAAAATGAAACATACTAGATTGTAATAGCACAATGGAACTTTTGTGCAAAGCATTTGCATGCTGCTTGACTGTGCGTTTCTGATCAGGGTGATGCAAATCTGATCGAGCTTAAGCATCTTGTTGCTCCATTTTGACACTTGAAAAAGTAGTACTGTGTGGCGCGCTATAGTTGTTTTATTAAATTTGTCTTGCTCAACATGGCTTTGCATGCAGATCGACTTCTGCGATCTCCCCTCCCGACTTTTACTTTCCTTAAGAGCAGCACGAGATACAAACAAGTTGTCTTTATCATCTCCTCCGTACAGTACTGATATAAAAGTCGTCATTTTATTCTTTTGCGTGCTATGGCTGAGTTGCTTTTTCGACGTGAGATGCCTACAGTAGCGTAAAAGCTCATCACTAGTGGAAGATGGGTTTCTGTATCCTGCCTAAGCCAACGTAAGCGCAGGTACAACCCCATGGGCTCTCGCTACCATCCACAGCTTCTTGTAGTGACTTGTACAGTCTAACAATAGATGTGTTGCAGTATGATGAGCGTCGACTTAATAGCTCTCTCTGGACTGTAACCAAGTATGACACGAACGTGCCATAATAATAAAATTTGTTCGATACCCTCCAGCTTTTCGCATGCTGTGACAGCATCATCGGAAAGCCAATACAACGCGAACAATCACCACGAATGTATGCTTGAGCTCGGCTGTGAAGAACGAAGCGATTTAGAATAACGAGTTTCGGGTGATGATGCATATCTGTGGAAAGCAAAGATTATTACTGTACTGTTTGAATGATTTAATACTGTCTATCAAGAAGTTTTCAAAAGATTAAATAATCTCATTCAAGGTGTAAAGAATTTGCATCGAATCGCGTAAGCGGGCGTGGCAGAATTTCAAGAACTCATTTTTCCTTTATGGACACGAGGATTTTTCGTTTGTGGGTCTAGCGTTTTCACTTATAGATGGGACAACCCTCGTACCCTGGCCAGGGTAATCTTCGTTTGCAGTTCAAACAGTATTGGGATCAATGGCGGAGTGGCAACATCCTTTAGGCAATTTACCAGCCATTGGGATTCGGAAGAACATGAGTATAGAATAGATTGGAGGGAGTGAGACAAGTGGGAAAACCCTCAAGGGAAGAAAAACCTGGTTGTAGAAGAATGTCCTAGCCAGCTGTGGAGCAGCAACTTTTTGCTGTTGGCCAGCCATTGAGTAGCAACTTTTTGCTGTTGGCCAGCCCATTGAGCAGCAACTTTTTGCTGTTGGCAAGCTGTGGAGTAGCAATTTTTTTTGCATACTCAACTCGGGTTCGCCTCCACTATGACCCAATGTTTGACCACAAATGATTCGTGTAATGCCAGAGTTATTTTCGTCACGAAGCCATAATTTAATCGCTAAAGGGAAGATAAATGTTATTCTGCTTTATAAGTCGCTTTCCGCATTCGGGAGGGCTAGTATATTTGCGTTTGAGCTACACGCAAAAAGTTGAGCTTCTGTCACTCAGAACGACACGAATGCAGCGTTGGTGCGATGTTCTCAGTGAAAAAGACTATATCTTATAAAAAGAACATAATGTGTGAGATTTTATATACTGTACTGACGTGGGTCAGCAGGAAGCAAAGGTAGTCTAGGAACGAGGAGCTCAGGAAGAGCGCAACACAGATCTTTCTTCTTTGGATAGTGACAAGTGATGCGTGTGTCAAACCTCGAACGTTCCAACAGCTTTCCCTTGAAACGAAAACTCCGTAGAGTGAAAGCGCATTGTTACGCAACGATTTGGCCAATTTACTTGGTACTCAAAGTGCACAAAGGAATGGCGGGTGAACAAGGTGATCAATGGAGCAACGAGTTACGCGCAAAAGGGTCAAAAGATGTACAGTAGGAAGTCATCGTTCATGGTGTTATTCTTCTGATCGTCCCAATGGATCTTGAAAGCTGCTAAAAAAAACGTAGAACCCGCACAAAAACAAACGAACCGATTAACTTTATCAGCAGCAATGAAAATCAATGAAGGGTGAGTCAGTTTCACTAGCGGCAGCGTATACTTACCATGAGCGGTCAGCTTATCTGCGGCAGCACATACATACTTGGATAGAGTATGAATTCGGAATGGATGGAGGGAGGTTACACGGCGTAGTTCAGAGAACTGTTGGCGGATGGCGAAAATTATAAAGCAACAGTAGACAAGCACGCTTCACAGTAAAAGATAACGATCTTTTTTTATATACTGCAGCGTTGGAGTCAAGTGTGTGTTGTATCTATTCCCGCACACAGCACATGCAATCAAAAGATACTAATCAAATGGAATAGTCTGTGGACTACGCTCTATACTCATGCTGTTTACCTTGTTGGGTGAAGAATAGAAACTGGCTGCTGGGAGGATCGTGTTCTTAATGTTTACTAATGCTGGATCAGGAACAACTGATGCCGTAGAATCTGTTAAGTTGTTTACCTTGTCAATCACTCCTGTATTGCCATTTGATTGCTCACAGAAAAGCATTTCTTCCGTGAATCTACATGCTCATTCACATTCGTGTCTTTGTTTTCGCTTGACACGGTGCCGTGCACGGACCCCCTCACAACCAAGCGGCGACAGCATCGGAGGTACAGCAGCCCATGGTGAGAGACACGTACCACTACCGCCGAAGCACGCTTGTCTACTTGACCATCAGGTACCACTCCTCCTTTCATTTCCTTTGGTGCTGTATCTTTTGTTATGCCATAGTAGGCAGCCCACAAGTTGATACGCAACCCGTTATCTGGGCCAATGAGAATTCACGGGGATTTGAAGTCCCGAACGAGAAAAATGTCTATATAAAGCGAGCAATTTCGCCTTTCTTTTTTCTCTTCTCTTCAGTTCGTTTTGGTACAGCTTTGGTCTGTAGTACAGAGGCACTGTTTGGTGCCATGACCAGGTCATTGCTTGTGCTGGGCTATTGTCATAATTCTTTTGATGATCGGCAGATTCAGTGGTCCGCCCTGAAAGAAAATTTGCAATATATACCAGTGGGAATGTGGTCATATACTCCGGCAGCCGATCGTGAACCTTCGGGTGCATGTGATGCCAACGGTATATGTTGGGATAATTGAAACGAACTTTTTTTTATTATTTACACACAAATAAGAAAATGATAAACAAAATAAAAATATATTTTTCTTTTTCGCACTTTCCGCATAAACGTTTTACCGCTTTTGCCTCGCCTTTTTTTTATGTGCACGACAAGTTCCTTTTTCTTTTTTCGCGAACAAAAAGCTAATTACTCCCCCCTCCATCCATTCACAGCTCCGTGCTAAACAAAGCGGGGAACAGTGACAGTGGCTCTGTATCGTAGCCGAAAGTAACACGATCACAATGCTTTGGCACTCTTTTTCACTTTCTGTGTTCGCCTAAATTGCCAAAGCAATTGTCAAGAAAAAAATTGTTATCGAGGATATGGTCGGTTATTTTATAAGAGGCAACGCCAGAGCATACGCCAGCAGACCTGTATAATTGTCAGATCTGTAAAAAATTGGAATGTTTTTTTTTTCAGCTGTTCGTCTCTCTCACTCTTCCTGCACGTAGCTTATCACAACACAATTTTCTTATCATTTTGGGTTTCACCTGGATCGAAAAGCTTGCACTGATCTTTCCGATGTGCCTGCTTTTAAAGCGTGATTCTTGTAACAGCTCTTTCCCTCCCCTTACACCTTCACTTCTCTCTTCCTTTACTTATTTAACTTTACTTCGTTACATATTTTCAAGGTATGCGTTACCTATATGAAAGTGATGATCGCTCACCAAAGATATCAGGGGGACCTGTTAAAGATATGATATATTTGCTCTACCAAAACATGCACGCACCCACACACACAGGGATGCTGTGTTTTCCAGGCCAAGCGATTCGTTACTTATATATGACTTTTGCGGCTCGCAGACAATAAACCCGAGTATTGATTGAAGCCTTTTCCTTCGTATCGAGAAGTCGATGGTTTTAGAAAGAACCTGTTCTAATGTGTATCTGCGTATCGCTATGATAGCATAGATTTAATGAAGTTACTGGTGGTTACAATAGATCAATCTTCAGGGTCCCCCTTTTCCAAATAAAATTCAGGTGAGCTACCTGGTTCGACTTGCTTTTCCTTTGTCGGACATATTATTTCACGAGTCCGGATTATGTTATACAGGCTTTGTTCGATTAAAAGCCTCGTGCCAAATTTCTTTTCGCGCGTCCCCTTTCACATACACGTAATATGACTGATTTGATCTCGATTTTGCCTCCCGAATCATTCAGTACATCTTCTCGTTTATCGGACAGCGGGCTGTGTCGAATGTGTGAAAGTATGTCGCCGCTGGTTATACGCGATCCCCACTTACCAGACAGCCCTGTGGACACTGGTGGGAATCTCGCCTGATGCATGGAACAAAAGGAGCGACGCGATGCTTCAATGTTTGGGACAACAAGTCGAATCAGTATACATCAAATCTCAAGCCACGTATAAAGTACTGGAACGACTTGCTTGGCGAAGATACAGCATTCGCTTCCTTGGTGAAGTAAAACGATACTCTTTTTTTTTGCGTTAAGAGGATCGCGTATTCGGTAGTACTTACTACTGCTTATGCGCAAAAGATATACTAAAGCTTTTTCTTTGTTTTCAATAAAAAAAAATAAGACATCAGCAACCATGTGCATAGCAAACAATTACAACCTATTTTCGACAGTAGCACGTTACTGCCAGGATTCATCAGATATTTCTCGCATACGCTAACTGCTCTGACGATTTCATTTCACACTTGCGATATCTCGCTGCCAATGCTACTGGACTTCTTGCCGTCATTAACGCATCTTTCAGTGATGTTTGATGGCCGCACTAACTTATCAGACGCTACTCTTGAACAAGTTGATGGCAGAAGCAGACACAAAAGGCCACCGATACACAACATTATCTTCTTAAGACTGGACGGTGTTCTCAGTTTTAAATACCGGATCCGTCCCTTATTGCAGCGTTGCTCCCACATCAAGTACTTGATATTATCGCCTTACTCACGATTCAACAACGTATCTCCAACCAACATCTATACAGCTTATGAGCTGTGCCCTCTATTACGCTACATTATGTGGGAATGCAGCGAACCAGTCATAGCAGACAGATGGATTTCACTATCAAGAAGCACGAGTGCTTATATTAAGTAACTGAAAGGAAAGCATCGAATGATGGCGAGGAAGGCAGTATGGCTTATGAACTGCTATTCAACGGCAAGGGACACGAGAGGATCATGCCGATAGTAGTAAAATCGCAGCCGATACTAGAACATTTACGTATAGTCGCCTGTGGTCTTTCTGATATTCATTGCTGGGATGTCTTGGCACGCAACCAATTCACACAGCTGACAAGTTTGGGGTTGACGGACATCACTGGTATGTCAAGCGAAGATTGGTCCCAGATTTTGCTCATGCAGCAACAAAATGAGATCTTGGAAGTTGGAAATCGCGCTGGAATAACGCAGTATCTGAACAGCATTATCGCAACCATCGGTACGCTGCAACGGCTCCGTATACTTTCCTTGCGAAATTTCCTTCACATGTTCAGCGAGAATCCTCTTTGCGATCTTACTCCGCTTCGACGTTTGCAACAGCTTGAAAAAATGCGTCTCACGAACATACCCATCGACAACCAAGGTCTAATGCAGTTGTGCGAACCATCACAGCACCCACTAGTCAGGAGATTAAGCTTGAGCCCGCACATCACCGTACAGTAATAGTGTCGACGACTTTCTCACAGAGGCAGGATGGATTGTGTGGGCACAACGACTTGAGGAAACCAAAATACTGAATCTGGAACTGACAGCCGTGAAAGGTGTTACTGGTGCTGTCCTTGAGCATTTTAAACAAGTCGAAAGCTCGGTGCTATTGCGTGTTTCACGGATCTATAGTCTCACCAATGCAGGCATCAATGCTTTTCGTATCATTGAAGGATCTAGTAAAAAGATTGAAGTCGTGGGGTGTTCAGGATTATCTCGGACAGATGATCTTCGTATGCCATACAACATATTTTTAATAATTGAGTGATATTTGCAGTCTGGCTTGTACTTTTATTTATAATGAGCTGATAAACAATATTGGCAGCATGTTTAATTAATCAGTTTTCCAGGTTGGATTGTTGTGATATCTGTATAGTCAAGCATCGATTTGAAATGTTTACATATACACTTACTAGATCCAGGATTGATGGAAAGGCAGCACGATGTGGATCTGGTCGGCAGCGAGTCTGGTGCCCTTTCAAACCTGAGCGAAAGCACAGACTAATTTTTTTTGGTTACCCTATGCTTTCCTTATATATCAGAAATGCTTGTGTACCTCTTTTCGTCACAAAAGGGATCACCTCGCACTCTATATGATATAGTCTCTGTGACAGAAGAGAGAAAAAAAAATGAAGTGAGAATATTCTTTCTTCCGTTGTTGAATAGAAAGACCATCGTCGCCTCCTCCCCTCTCCCTTTATGACCAAAAAAAAGCAGTCTGTATGCTGTATGTATGTCGGGCAGTGGATTTTTAATGCCCGGTATTTGGATTTCATTGGCCAACGTGCTGCTGCAACTATACTCGAACCGCTTTGAGAGTTATACTACGCAGAGGGGTACTGTAAATTTTTACGTACTTCACCTTCCTTTTTTGGATTTTTACGTACTTAGCCTCCAAGTTTTTATGTACTTAGCCACTCAAGTACGTAAATCGGTTCTGACGCTGTATATTTGTACTATAAAATTTTACGTACTTCCTATTTGGGAAATTTACGTACTTCTTGTCTTTTTTGTGCCTCGTTTGAGTAGATCATACAAATAGCTACCATTGATGTAGCCTATCATACTTTGACTCTGTTTAACCGTCGCAGCTACGATGGCTACTGTAAATTTTTTACGTACTTCACCTTACTTTTTATGCAAAAATTTACGTACTTGGCCACCGAAGTACATAAATGTTATAAACATTCTTCGACCTCTAGTAAGTGATCATCCTCACCCTCGTTGATGACATATTAAATCCCCATCTATCATCATCATCCGAATTATCGACCTTAATACCAATCTTTCCGTTTATTCACATCATTGAATTCTATAGTAAAGACATATATATATATACCATAGTCTTTGAACGATAAAACATCAGTCAGTTATCTTGTTTCCTCCCTATACCTTGTTCTTGTTTCTTTCCTCACTATCTGGTTTCCTACCTTCTGGCTTCCTTCTTGTCTTGTCCTGTTCTTGCCGAAAGCACCTAGCACATTCTCGTCCGGTGTTTCTGGCCTTGTGTTGTCTTGTCCCTGTTCGCACCTTACAGTAAATCAGTTCTCGCGCTGTATATTTAACCTACATACTTCCGATTTTACGTACCTGCTGTATATGATTTTTAAGTATCTTGAGCGCTAAAAGGACCATACATGTTGTTGTTATTACTTTGAAGATTTTGTATATATAATCAAATTTCACGGAAGGGCAAGAAAGCCCACACTATGTTTTAAAGGTACGTAAAGGTTGATGTACGTAAAAATTGGTGTTAGTATGATTGTATGACTAGTGAGTGTAAGTAGTCAAGGAACGCGCTCAGAAAAAAGAGACCGGTTTTCCTGCCAGAGCGACTGCTTTACCTGCAATCGCCGAAAATGGAAGTACGTAAAAATTCGCGCACCCTACGCAGAGGACTTATTGGAGTCAAGTTTACTGACAAAGGTCAATATTTATGGTAAGCGGGAACATTATCATCTTCCACATGCTAGGATATATACGGGATCAAGAACATCTTGAAATATAGCGATTCCCGGAAAGTGTTCCTCATATTTTCTGGGAAAATTCTAACTACAGTACTTTGTCTGTTTAAACTCTATATGTAACAAACTCATGAGCAGTTGTTCAGTAAATGAACCCAGTGTTTTAAGCTTGATGCTTACCAAACGAACAACAATACGATAGCAAGCTCAAAACGCCAGAGAAAAGGCAAGCCTGATACAAGACGCTGGAGTGCTACTGTGTGCTGTCAACCAAGATATAAACATCACCCTAGTAAGCTTCCTGGATCCCAACTCCGCTCAATGGATTGGATAGCATTGTAATACCCTGCAGATGCGGTAACGAATAAACAACAGCATTCAGGATGTCTAGATTATATAACTAAAGTCATCCTGGCAATAGCAACATAGAGAGCAAAAGCTAGTTCAGTCTTCCTTACTCTCAAAGAAAGAAAAAAAGAGATGCAAACGAATTATTGAAAAGTAATATGCAAAAGGCAACCATGACTGAATCAACCCACACTTGTGACAAGCATTTACTGTACAGACATTGTGCGGATACTATACGTACTTCTTTTAAATCAGGTAAACAGAAAGGATCGGGCAAGAGAGGAAACCTTATTGCCAAGACAACACCATACCTGATATAGCCGATCTATGTCGGGTACTCGTATGGATCTGGAGCTGTCAGCGACTCGGTTACAGCAGCAGAGGATGCTTATGCATTTTTGTAACTCTTCTTTGAACGCTTCCCTGGTAATATATTAGCAGAGATCGGGTGACATTCTAATCTAGAATCTAAACATTGTATGTCGTTTGCTCCAATTGCAGAGTATATTGGCCTTGACTTTCACATAGCCGGCGAGTCATGTAAGTATAAAAACGCATCTATTATTTCTTTACTTACTTTCTTAAACACAACACAAAAGATGCTGGCCACTTTATTCCAGCCATCGCTACGGAGATTGTGGATGGCAACAACCTTGCTGCTGCTGCAACGACTCACGTAAACCTCAAGTCATTGCTCATCGGTAACGGTCTAACCGATCCATCAGTACAATACGGATATTACGGCGACATGGCTTGCAACAACACCTACTATCCAGTATAACAACAATCAGCATGCGACAAGATGGCACAAGCCTACTCTGAGTGCTGAGAGATCATGGAAATCTGCTACTGTATGAAAATTCTGTACGAAGAACATGTATTTCCGCCTCGAGGATTTGCAACGAGGCACTCGTGGAACCATACTATGCATTAAGCGGCCGAAATCCGTACGACGTTTGCAAAACCTGTGCATCCTTGGAGAACAATCTCCGTGACGATAAACTATAGGTCTACTACGGACTTACCTCAACCGCGCAGATATCAAGCACAAGGTGGGAAGCAACGTCGGTTCATACTTTAACTGTAATCTATAAGTGAATTACTTGTTCCAGCGCGCTGGCGGTTGGATGCGACTTTATGTGAACAATATTCCGCGACTTTTGGACCAGGACAACGTCTCAATCTTGATTTACGCTGGTGATGCCGACTTTATCTGCAACTGGATTGGTAACAAGGCGTGGACCCTTAAGCTGGAGTGGAGCGATCGTGAGGCTTGGAGGCAGGCTGAGGATGTCGAGTGGAATCAAAGTAGGCCAGATACGTAGCTCTCCAGGCGGCCGATATGGAGATTGAAGGGCCTGCCAGAGAACTCTCTTGTATTTTCCAATGGATGGATTCACGGTGGGCTGTTGTAATGGCAATCAGTAGTAATAGCAAAAGCCTTTTCTTAGTTCCACTTGTTTACAGTGGATCCCCGTTAATTTCATATCCGTTTAATCTCACCCCTCAACAATTTACAAAGAATCTAGGGAATGGTAAAAATCACTTCTATCTTCGTTTATTTTTTCACCTTCAAGGCATGGAACAGGGCTGCGCGCATAAAGGGGTCAGACATACGGTTTTGATTCAGAATAAATTATTAAAGAACAAATGCAAAAAGACGGATTCAAATGAAAGAGTATCTAAGGTATGTGAAAAAGAAAGAAAAGGTAGGAAAAGCTGTATGGTAAAGAAAGACATGTTAGTGAATTACTTAATCCATATAGTGACAACTACTTCCTGAGAATTGGTTATCCGTGTAACATCAAGATGTGTCTGGTTAAAGAAATCAGAGCAGCTCTGAAAGAAATATCCGCACACGCGAGGTTATGAGGGAAGTAACAGCAATATTTATGACGTAACAAAGAATATGATTTTTTGACCATATTAATACAACAGATGAACGACCTTCAGCATTGATGAATGCTCGTTTTGGAGCAGGTTGGACAGTGAGACATGCAGAGATGTAGATACACGCACACATGAGACGATCGATTAGATCCTTCAAATTCACTTACTATCATATAACAGTCAATTTGATTAGTCCCGCTAACTTTCACACCCCTTTAATTTCACAAAAAAACCGGAAAATGCTTCTATGAAACTAACAGGGATCCACTGTGATTTTATAAAAGATAATAAGACGCCACTACTAAAAATACATTGTAAGTTGTAATAAATAGTGATTTCTTTTAGTCAAGTACACAAACAAAAAAGTAAAGAAAGGGAGGGAATGGGGAAAACTACTCCTCAGTAGCGTGGACTATGCAAGTCCACGAAGGATATCTAAGGCTTTGGCGGGTCGGGTTTGTTCATCGTCATTTTCATCGTCATAGTCATCTTCTTCTTCGTCATCTGAACCGCTTGGTGAGACAAAGTAGCCTAGACGACTTAGTCGATCGACAAGCACCTGATGCGCAGGCAGTTTTTCCAACGTGGAGCAACGCATCATGCGCCTCAGTACCAAAGTTTGCGCTTTGATTTGTTCGAAAGCCTTGACTCCGAGCCGCCAAGCTTCGATCCAGGCATGAAGACCAGCGAGACACACGACGAATTCAGCCAACGCCATGGTCTCGCCTTCCAGACCGACAGGTCCTCGCTCTCGCGGTGGCCTGCGATAGCCCAGTACTTTCTTGATCTTCTTTTGTAAGGCATCGGTTTCATTGAGTAGCTCGATGCCAGTCAGATCCCCTTTTTGTATCCTAACAGCGGCTTGCAGCACCACTTTGATTTTGACCTTGAGTAGATCTTTTTCATGCTCGATGACTGCGACGGCGCGTTCCGCAGCAGCCACATCCGATTGCCACAAGGCCTCAACTGTCGCACCAACCGCAGCTAGCCAACGCGGGAACGCGTGTTCGTGACAATGATCGTCATTATACAATATCCGTTCAAATGCTGTCTGCTCCTCATCGCTATTCTTCTTTTCAGACACCGGTGGCGGACTTGATGTCACTGAAATGACCAGTCGACCTAGTTCGGTACGCAAATTGTCGAGTAGGTGCAATCGAGACAATTCGTCAAGATCTGCGCCACGCTCTACGGCTTCTTTCCAGGCTTGCGAATCCAGCATTGCATCTTCACACGGAGGTTGTTGGTGCACGTCCCATACGAGCATGTCGTCGTCGGTCTCGTACATGGCCAGTCGCCAAAAGTGTCGGGATATCCATGTACAGTATGGATAAAACTGCATGGCGGCGCAGGCGTATACATAAGTGAGTTGGTCTGGACAGGCGACGTTGATCATGCGGACACAGGCGTAGAGGCGCACAAGCGGTGATGAGGATGGATTGGCGTGGATATCGATCCAGCGCTCGGCTTCCTGTCCGTCGTGTTGGTGTTGTGACCAACCGAACGTGTGTCGGATTACCAGCTGCGCGGATTCTGCAGCAAGGCTGCAAAGAAGTAAGAGTGTGCTTTGTTTCTCATAGTGGTGACGGCGGTACAGAAGAAATACAAGGCAGATGACGAGGAGGGATCCACGAATGAGTGCCCAAATGTCGTATGATGGCGGTGAGGAGGGATGGGAGGAGGCAAGGGCGTGTGTGGTGAGTGAGGTGATGTTTTGATCCATGGAGAATGATAAACACATAAATAATGCCATGAACGTATTTTGTTGCTGTTGATGATGATGATGTTGTTGTTGTTGTTGTTGCTGTTGCTGGAATTGCTGCTGGTCGTCTTCATCCTCCCCTTGCAGATCGTCGTCTTGCTGTTGTTGTTTGCGCTGCTGTTGCTGAAGCTTCATACCTCTGTACCGTGTCAATACCGGTATCCCCCCTGGCAGCTGCTGCATGAGCTGCTCCAATATTTGGTTTTCCCGTTTGAGTTGGTCGTTTGTATGCTGCAGATGGACAATGTATTCTGTCGCTTTGCGCATGATTGTTGCTTTGTTGATTTTGGATGCAACAGCTACACCGTCGACATATTCTTCGGAATCTTCGTCAATGTTAGCGTTTCCAGTACTACTGGTTTCGTCGGCTTTGGCTTGCCGTGTGTGTTGTAGTGCAGGCACAGCAGCCTTCAGTTCGGCTATCCGCTCATTGATATTGTTGCGGTAACGGCGCTCAATTGCATTGTGTGATTTGTTTTTTGTGGGCTTGTTGCTGTTGTTGTTGTTATTGTTGTTGTTGTTGTTGCTGAAGAAGGTAGTAGGTGTAGTGGTAGTAGGAGGAGGAGGAGGGCTAAAGTGAAGCGGTGAGGGAAGGAAGGGCGGCGGCGGTGCGAGTGACGGTGGTGTGATTAGTTCTAAACAGTGGAGTGGGTAGGTTTCTCTGGGTTAGTAACACGCACAGTTTTTCTTCAGGTGATAAAACAGCATGTTACCTGTGGGTAAGGGGAATTTTGAAGGCAATAAGAGGGGATCCAGCCATATGTTCTGTGCGAGGAATTGGGTCAGCTCGTCGTCAAACGGTAGTGCCATTGTAAACAAGGGAGGCTGTTGCAAACAAGAAAGCACAAAAAGAAGATAGAGAGATAGATAGATAGAAAGGGCGAGAGAGAGAGAAAGAAAAAAGAAAGGAAACGAGTCGTCAAGAAACATCATCTCATGTTTGTGGTGATTATTATTGAGCGGACGAAAAGTGGCATGATTTTCTTTAGCGTTAAGCTCAGCTGGCTCAAGCAACAGCAGATATATAAATGCCCGTCGTGCATGCACACAGGATCTTCCCTTTCGCTTACTGTGTGTGTAATCCCCGCCCAGCTGGTACGGCTTCCTGACGGAATATTATTCTGCTGCTGGACCGCAGCATGTTCTGTTGCTATTGTTATTGTTATTGACAGCCATGACTACAGACTAGACTAAACCGCTACTGCTTCTAGGTTGTCATGGCAACACGACTATGGCTGGTGGCGCGCCACGTCGTCTCTTCCCTTGTTGCTGTCCGCAGCATTTATTTTTCATCACTGCTGATAAGAAATAAGGGGCGTTGAGTGGACAGAGAAGGAAAAAAGACAAAAGCTATATAAACATAGCATAACAACCATCAACTCCTTAAACCACGCTTCTTTTCTCTTCTTTTTTCCTTTCGCTTTTCCTCTTCTTTACAATACAACAATGACAAACAAGAACGACGCGTATTCAATACCCACAGCATACATCCACCACCTTTCGCAATACAAGCTCTCGCAATACTACCACCAGTCCACAAAAGACAAGTCCATTCACAAGTATGTTCTGATCACCAACATGCTGCGGCATGCCGATAACGACAACAATAAGGACTACTACGACGACTACAGAAATGACCAACAACAACAACAACAACAACAACCAGAGTTAATGGACATTGACGACGATGACGATGATCCAGACGATGATCAACTTGAACAACAATGGCTTGACACATGCCTGGACGAACTTGAGAAGGAAGAGCAAATACCACCATCGCCTCCACCGGCACCTTCAAGAGGAGGAGCGCCACCGCCTCCACCACCTCCACCACCGCCCCCACAGCTGCCCCCACGATCGCGTCGGCAACATTCACAATACAGCGACGACGACGATGACTTTCGAGAACCAATGAAAATATACTTCCACGCTGGTGTCGTGGCCTGCCTAACTCGACTAAATATTCCCTAAACCCTATATTTCCGTGTGCTTTGCCACTGCTATTCCCTTTCTTCCCCCTCCTCCGCCGTTCTTCCCTCACTTCTCTTCCAGTTGTATGTACATAAATATATAAAAAAAGAAAGAAGAATGCTTGTATATAAAAGAAATTGTCAGGGTGCAGCGCCTGCATTCATACACACCGAACGACAGCGGAAGGCGGAGAGGGGCGGGGTTCTTTGAAAGAATACTTATCAAAAGCTGTCAAACCACACACTGGTGCTTGTTGGGTCACCATATCAAGCCTTTCCGTTAAGGAAAGTGCGGGGCAAAACTCTAATCAGAATATCTTTTATCCATTACTCCATTTTCCTTCTTCCTTGCACGCACACACATACCTTCACTTTCTGTTTTGTCCTTGACTCCTCAGAGGTTGACAATTGTCCATTGGTCTCGAAAGCCCTTTGATTGTATATAAAGACGCGCAGTAATGCCTCCTAAATCCAATGCTCCAGTGTCGAAAAAGATCCGCATGACCCTCGCCTGTGAGCGATGCAGGTAAAATAACACGGCTTTGCGCCATTGCACATTCTTGCTCTTCTTTTTCTTCTTTATTTACTAAACGGGAGACATACACTTTTAAACATTCAGAACAAAGAAAGGTATTATTAGTATTTGTTACTTCCCAGCTTAATTTGTGATAGAACGGTGTGTGTGTGGAAGACAAATTAAACTTTTGCCTTCTTTAGTAAAATGCGACTTTGCACATCCCACTTGCGTACGGTGTCAACAAGCGAATGGTTAGTAGTATTTCTTCAGACTGGATGGGGTGAGTACCTGGTCGGTTATTGTGGTGGTGGGGTCTCTCCCTTCATCTTTGTATTTTGGTTGGGTGGGACGGGGTGCGGATGGACAAGAAATCCAGAAAGTTTTACTTACAGCTCCGGGAATTAGCGACATGTTCCTATGCGGGGTCGTCCACTCAATTAGACTTGTTCAATCTTATCCAGGTCAATGAGGCGGTGGACTTGCTCCAGAGAAAGGTCCGATCCCTTGAATCGGATCTGAATTCGATGCGGGACAAGGAAAGACAAGCAGAATTGCGGGGTAGCAGCAATAGCATCACCACCACCACCACCAGCAACGGGCACCACCAGCAGCAGCAGCGATGGGCACTCTCGCTCACACCTCAAGGCCTTCGTATCGACACCAACATCATCTCCATGCATGACTTGTACCACATGTTCAGCGCAAACTCTGGTATCCCATCAACGCCGTCTTCTTCCTTGTGTGACGAATTCATTGTCGTCGAGGCGAAACTGTGGAAGTCGGAATACAAAACTTTCCCGCTTTACAGCACCTGGGAATCCCATTTGGATAATAACGACGACCACTATCCTGACAGCAACAACAACCAGCATATTCATATCCACTCTCATCATCATCATCGTCACCACCACCACCATCGTCATTCTTCTCCCTCTTCTCATCAGCACGACCTTCACTCGCATCAGCACGATCAACACCACCACCACCACGATACGCTTTCCAACCACCATCCTTTGTTGTTGAATTACGAGGATGGCACGCAACATAATGTGCCTAAGCTGACCCTTGATCGACTGATTGGCGTGTACCAGGAGTGCTTTATCTGTCTCAACGAGCCCTGGCACGATAACACGTTATCCCATCGCTATTTCCGCGGCGATCTGGACCCACTGGTAACCAACATAATCTTTGCTTGGTCTGCACGCCATGGCGCCATCTACCACGGCCTATTTCCCGGGCAGGACCCCAATTTAGTAGGCGAGCCGTTCTTCAACAAGGCCAAAGACCTATTGAAAGAGCGGTTTACAACAAGCAACATTGACACGGTGCACGCGCTGCTGGTGATGCACAACTATGTGATTGGCAAGACGGGCACACAGCGGAAACAGGCCGAGTCTGAAGCGTACATGTACTTGGGCTTGGCGATTCGGATGTGTCTGGATCTCAAAATGCACCAGGATGCAAGTACAACGACGCCTATTGAAAAGGAGCGGAATCGGCGGTTCTTTTGGCTGGCGTACTTTTTAGAGACTCTGTGCACGCTCAATGTTGGCAAGCCGCTGTCACTCCCGGACGACGGCCACGCGTCTTTGGGATTCCCTGCGTCGCTCAACCATGAAATCGGCCCTATTCGCTGGCGAGTAGAGTTCATGAGCCAGCGGTTCCGTGTCATCCGCATCTATCGACGCCTGATGGCCCTGACGACAGCGGCCAAGGAAAAGCAGCCCATCTCGCTCCAGATGATTACGGAGCTAGACAAACAGGTCAAGGACTGGTATGACGCGCTGGAACCTCATTTCCGATATGACCCGCATAACCCGAATTGGAAACAGATTAACCAGGCTACTTGGATGCGCGATCTCGGTTGTCTCAAGCTGAACATCGAACACCACTACACCATGATGCAGCTCTACAGTCTGTTCCTGTCCACCGCATCGCCTGCGGCAGCCATGAACGTGCTTGCACGCCAGGTCAGTCGTTCTTCGGCAGACAAGATTGTCGAGCTTGTCGAGTGCTGGAGCACATCTTTACCAAAAGAGGCTTGGTGCCATTTCGCTCTGGAACCCGTCATGGTGACTACCCGGCTGTATACCCAGTTGATTGAAGAGGGTGATGAAGATACTCCCGGTATGAAGGCACGTATGGAACGTATAGCGGCTATCATGGAGAATTCGCCTATCCAGCATCGTCATCCTGTCCGTACCATTGTGGAAACGATTTATAACAATATCGGCAGTCCTCGTCTACAACAGCAGACACCCCTTCTCGATCACTGGTCGAGCGCATCGTTGCCAATGCTATCATCTTTGGATTTCATGCAAGAACAACATCAACAATCCCATGTACCATAGAATAATTCCGTTTGTTGAAACCTCCATTTTATATATACATAGCCACTTGTTATATTTAGAAAGAAAAAATAAAGTTTTGTACATTTTGTTTATTGTTATTAACATGTTGTTGGACGAGATATGTGTGGTCTTGTCTAGAATTGCATCAGGTGATAACATATGTTGTTGACCTGGTAGGCGATGGATAGGTTGCTTAAAAGCAACACAATTACCAGGATCAGCAGTATCCATCCATAGCAGTCTTGCTGTTGCTGCTGCATATTCCTTCTTTCTCCGGCAGTCTGCTGCCGCTGCTGTACTGTTTTGTCGTTGGATGCTGGCAAGTGGAGTCGTTCCTGTCTTGACAGTTCTTTATTACAGCCATGGACATCGTGCTGTTGCTTCTGCTGCCTTTGTCGGCTATCGTCGTTGTGCTTCCACCACAATTCCGTCATTAATTGATAGGCTTGGTCGCGAGACATAAACGATGCAAACACGTGTTGTTTTTGATTGCTTCGCTGACGGATTTCAATGGCATTTGGAATCCATTTCGCGGTCTTTCGTTTCTCAATAGCTGCTATATCTGCAAAGGGTAGAATAATCTGCTCTAGTTGCTTGTTAGTTAAATTATCTAGAAACTGACAAAAAAAAGGGCACATACCGTAGTGACCCATCCAAAGATGTTTGCCTTGAAGCAGGCATGGTGTTCCGAAACATAGAGATGGCCCTGGATAAGAATGTCCTTGTGGAGCGCACAGCGGTATATTTCGAGTACTTCTTCGTCGACAGGAACCGATCGGAATAGTGAATGAAAGTAACGACGACGTCGTCGAATTGTCATGGTCGTTTTGTCACAGATTATTGAGAAGAAAAGTAGATGCTTGGATGGGAATGGGGGCCCTGGAAAACAGAAAAAAAGACAATGGTAGAAGCCGAGCGAGATACCGTTGTATAACTATTGTGCTTATTGTGATGCATTGTGATCAAACGTTAGAAACGGGCAGTAAACAGCCTTTTTTCATAATTTCGAGTACGTTATGTAATAGTGGAGAAACTGCAGAAGAAAAAAGAAAGTGGTACCCAGTGAGTGACAGATAAACAGTCATGGATGATAAGTTGTGCAAGATGGATTGAAGAGAGAAGGACGATTCGCTCACTATACAATATGAAAATACATCGTGAGCACGATGGATGATGACGGTAGAGTGATGTTGTGTGCGAAGCAAAATTTTTTATCTTGCGTCATATCTCTAAAATACACCGGACGTATGTGCTTGCAAAATGGGTGATACAGTTTACATCTGCGAATTATAACATTGACGTCAGAGAAATTCTGTTGATATTGGCACTGAAATAGAGGAAAAAGAGTTACAGTATCTGTCAGGGGTGAAAAAGAAAGAAAGAAAGAAAGAAATTGTTTTCTGCACCAGGCAGCCATGCAACGTGATTTGCATGAAAAGGCTGCTCAAACACAAACACTCGAGAAACAGGGGAGGGGGGGGGGTTCCTCTCGCTCGCTCTTGCTACTGTCGTTTGTTGCTACTGTTGCTGCTGCTTGTGGTGATGGAGCATTTTATTGTACTTTATTATAGCTACGCACTGAATTGAAAGAAGAATAGGAAGATAAGGGGGCAGGTGTGGAAACAAGATTACGGAGATAGAGACAGACAAGATGGAGGAAGGCAAGAGGGGATACATTAATCACATAGTATGCAGATATAATATGGAAGATGGAACAAGGTTTTATGGGGAAGTGCAGGAGCCTATGGCACTGTCTCTAATGATGGAATTTTCCTGGTGTTGCTGATGCTGGTGTGCTGGTGACTGGAGTGTTGCTGTTGCTGCTATTGGCGTTGTTGTCGATGCTTGTGGTGCTGGCTGACGGAAGAATGGAGACTTGTGCACAACCGTGTCAACGGCATTGTGAGCGCGGGTATTATAGTAGCCACCTTTGTCAAGGCCCAAGAGATCAATCAGCTTGTGATACAGGAACTTGTACGCCCAGACATTGCCACGCAGCCGACGTACATCGGCAATGAACAAGCCAGGCAGGTTACAGAACCGGCAGATCTCGACCATGAAGCGGATCTCTTCGCCTGAATCGATCGATGGATCGCCGTAGATGGGATGCTGTTGCTGGTAGCTATGGAACTGGGAGGAGGATCGACGGGAGCCGCTCATGCCTGTATCGGTCGAGATGGATAGCAAGGATGCGGATCTTCTTTTTTCTTCATGATCTGCTGTTGCGTCAAAAGAGGATGTGGCAGATAAACGGCCAGGGTTGGGGAATAAGGAGGTGGTTTGAGATTTGGAGTCGGTGTCGTTGTTGTCATTGGGCTGCTGTTCTTCTTCTTCTTCCTGATCGTCCTTCTGCTGAGATTGCAGTGGCCGTGTCGCTGTAGTGACATCGTTATCAATGGAATTGGCCTTGTCCTTGTTGTTGTTGAATGTTTTGGCTGCACGACGTGAACATTTCAACTTGTATTCACCGTCTGGCTTACAATCGATACCCAATGCGTGGAGAATTAGACGCACTTCGCTGATAATTTCAACCGGTGCACGAGATGTTAGCGCTGCACGATCTACTGCGCCATGGTGGACCCGTATATGGAGCATATCATCGCTACGCTCACGACCCTCCTCACCGCCTGCAGTCGAATTTAAACCAGGCATGGTGTGGTGTGAAGTGTGTTGGAATGAAGCTTGTGGTGGACAGACTGGTGGTGGCGTTGTGATTGACGTTGCACTGGCTTTTGGTGCTGCTGCTGCTACAACTTCTTGGTGCTGTTGACCATCCGATGCTGGAGGTGATGGCTGCTGCTGCTGCTGCTGCTGCTGCTGCTGCTGATGCTGATGCTGCTGCGGTTGGTCCAGCTGTTGTTGTTGCTGTTCTATTGAAGTCGAGAACAACGGCTGCTGTTGTTGTTGTTGTTGTTGCTTATGACCTGCATAGTACGCTACTGTGAGCAAAACTTAAAAAAATAATACATTTCATTTCTCTTAATTGACAAATAAACACTGCCGTACCTTGCGATTTCCGCCTTATCCATGCCATCATTTTTCGGCTTACGCTTTTTTGCCGCTGTGGCATTAGTTCTGTAGCGGCTGGTTCTTGAGACTGCTGCTGCTGCTGTTTCTGTGGCAGTTGCAGCTGTGGTTGACGTGGGTCCCTTGCGCTGCTTTCAGGCGCTGCTGATCGACTTGCAATCAACGCTGCAGCATCCAATGAGTGCCGCTTACTCGGCCTTACCAAATTGTTGTCGTTACCGTCAGGGGCTGTAGGTTTACTATGGGCTGCTGTAGTTGTATTTTTCCGGTAAATGCTGTTACGGACTGCAGCAATGGCACGTCTGCCACTTTGTCCGCCTATAGTGCTATGGTATCGTTGGCGCTGTCCGCGCGTTCTTGCACGTGTAAGCGCATGCAGCGATTCCTGACGGTGGAGAACGACAGCTTCATCTTCGATTTGCGGACTGCCCGGTTCCACCTGCTGCTTCCGTCGCTGCTGTGATGACGATGGTTCTTGCTGCTGTTGGTCATGATACTGTTGCTGGGTGCCCATTGTTGCACTGATACTGCTGATACTGCTACAATTTTTGACTGGACTGCCATCCAAAGCCTCTTGGCCAAGAGCAGCCTCGTCTTTACGCCGCACAAGCAGGCTGGCAATGAATTTCGATTTAAGCTTAGACACAGGGAGATTTTCGTCTGTTGCTGCAGAAGCCTCCTGTTGCTGCTGTTGTTGGAGTTGCTCTTGTTGGTGTTGTTGCTGATTGGCGTCCGACTTGCCAGTAAAGAAACTCAACAAACGCTCGCGACGAGGTGGGGGCGAAGACTTTAGATGCACCGTCTGTCCCTTTTCCTCAATGGCCGTGCGTGCTTTTCGCGATCGGTCGCTAATGGTGTGATGGCCACGGTTCAGGTTGAATCGACGCATCGCGCCGTGCACTGTAACTGGACGCGGTTGTTGCACAACGTTGAAGGGCACATCCTCTCTTTGCGTTGACGTAAACTTTCCTTGTTCTATGTCAAAGCCGTCGTCGTCGTTCGACGGTATCGCTTCCTTGTTACTACCATCGATATCGTTGCTGTTATTGTTCGACCACACGACTTTGCGATAATTGGGCATGAACGAGTGTTCGGCCATGATAGCTGCTTCGGCCTCAAGGACATCATCCGATTTGTCAAACAAGGAGCTGTGGGGCTTCAGCCAAGGATGGTGCTGGATATCGTCAAGCGTGTAGCGTTTCTGAGGGTCGGCAACAAGGATTTGGCGCAACAGGTCCTGGGCATCCTTACTGACATGTTTGGGGAACGAGGGTGGGGTTGACAGAATGTATCGGTAGAGCTGGTTGATGTTGTTGCCATCTGGATTGCATGGATCATCGTCAAAGGGCAAGTAGCCGCAGAGCATAGCGTAAAGAATCACCCCACAGGACCAAATGTCGACAGCCGAGCCCGCATACTGGCCCTCGTTCACAACCAGTTCGGGGGCTGCATAACAGGGCGACCCGCATGATGTGGCCATCAGATCGTCTTGCTTATTGTTTGCAAACCCGAAATCTGTAACGACGATATTCCGATTCCTATCCAACAACAGGTTCTCCTAAGCAAGTACGATACACGGCAGGAATTAGTAGCCCTTTCGATGGTGATATACAAGCATGCTACTGTAAATGGGACGGATGTGCGCAAGGAATGAAGGGAAAAGAGCAAGTGAGGAGGCGTGGGTGCAAGAGAGCGACACATATGCAAGGATCTTTACCAGCTTCAGATCGCGATGAACTATCTTTCTGCGGTGCATATATTGGACGCTACTGATCAACTGAGCAAAGAGGCGCCGAGCATCCTTCTCCTTGAGGCACCGATGTGCTAGAATGTACTCAAACAGCTCACCGCCTGATGCATACTCCAGGATGATGGCGATGTATTTCTCTGTTTCGATCACATTGAACAGCTTGACGATGTACGGGTGTTTGAGTGTCCGCAGTGCGTGAATTTCGCGTTCCACCTTGTTGAGGCGTGATGCAGAATATCCAACCGTTTCCTTTCGAATCAATTTGATCGCAAACTATGCATGTACGTAGCCCCCCAATAACCCAGCCAAGCATACATGTTAACCCATGAGCTGATTTTAAAAAGCAAAAAAAAAAAGGAAGAAAGAAAGTAACTTTATTACCTCTTGACCGGTTTCCGTATGGATACCGAGCTTGACTTTTCCAAACTCGCCTTCACCCAGTGTTTGCAAGAGCAAATAGGGACCCATTTTGATGTGTCGCGTGTTCGATCGACGGCCTTGTGGTTGACGGCGATATAGCGTGAATGGCTCCATTGGTTTGACATCCTCGACCATGATGGCCTAGGGCTCTTCTTTTTCTGTTTTTTTGAGACGAAAGAGGAAAAGAGCACGAGTTTTGGTAATATGGCCTTTGGAATATAAGAAAGCGCGATGGATACAAAAAGTAGAAGGGCAAGAAGATAAAGAAAGGACAGAGAAGGAGAGAGAGAGAGAAAAGAGAGAAAGGAAGGTCCAAGACGGGCGTGAAGGGATCAAATAATCCCCAGACGTCGACAAAAAAAATAGTAGGTGTCAATGGGCGGGAAAGAAGACAGAAGAGGAAGGAGAGAAATGAAGAAGAAGAAGAAAAAGAGGGATCGAAAAAGAATAATAACAATAAGAATACTTAGTAGTGAGTAATTATAATAGAAAAGAGGAAGGCTGTATGTAGTATTGTAGCAAACTAAAGCAAAGTAACCTGGCAACTACGCACCTGTTATATTGAAATCTGTGTCAAGCGCACTTGACAACGAGAATATTGCCTTACCTAGAGATAGACTCTTCATTCTTTGTGCTCTGTTGCTATAGCAGCACCTGCAGCATTTGTACATATCAGACCATCTTTGTTGGAACGTGTGCATAAACTAACTATTCATCCACATATACAACTCCTTCCCTCTCCCTCCCCTCCCCCTCCACCTCCCCCCCCCCCATTCTCTCGCTTCTTACTACATGCAGGGCATGGTGATTTATTACATAAGTTCATCGATGTAGCTTTATTGGATGGAATATTGCTTGATATGAATGTGCTGTCCCGATGGTGACAAACAAAAGGGAAAGACAGGTGAGATGATATGCAAGGAGGTGCCAAATGTAAGGGATTAAGTGGATACTGATAATGATTGTGCTGATGATATGTAAGCTTGATAATAACAATAATAATGAACAGGATGTTGTTGTGCTAGGGTTTAGGGCGCACATACACGCCCCAGTCTTTCTATAACACTACTTATCTGCCTGTCAGTACCATTACACCCGTCATTAGGAGTCCCCAAGAAATGAAGGAGGATGGCTGCAACCACGAAACTGCTGCACTCTTGCTGTCGCCCGAGCTGCCGTCGTTCGTCGAGTCCACATTGGCCTGGATGTCCGCACACGTCTTAACGTCCTTGCGCTTGGGTGTAGTGACCTCGGCATTGCCATTGAATTCGCACCGGCCGCCCTTGTTCTTTTCCATGTACAAGTTGTAGAGCCAGCTCAGCTTTTCAGTGCCAGAGCAGAACGAGAAGGCGCCATAATGGCCCTTTTCGCCATCACCGCTGATATCATCACAAGTCACCATACCACAAAGCACGTCGATCTGATCGCCGAGAACCGAGCTGTTGCTATGACCACCCCCAGAAGTCACCGTGTTGCTGACCTGGTCGGACGCTGTGCACGACAACGTGTCACGCATGCAGCTGCACGCACCACTTGAAGGCGTTGGTGGCAGTGTTGTTGCTGCTTTCCAGTTCTGTGTGTGCTCCGGGCATTGGGGGGCCTGACGCTGATCATTGTATGCATCCATGTTGACGCCCTTGGGACTGGCCTTGGCGAGCGCCTTTTGCAAGTTGGTGTAGTCCTGCATCAGCTCGGCCTTGCCATTCGCGATCTTGACCAAGCCATAGTTGTTGTTCTCCTGGGTCCATTCGTACACGACGCCGCCCGACCACACATCCGTCATCTGTGAGCCGTAGAGCACCTCTACGTCACTGAACTCGCGTGGCGTGACCAGATTGCAGCCGTATTCTGACAAGAACACGGGTCGGTGGTAGCTTTCGAATTCCTTGGTGCGATCCTTGTAGCCCGATTTCTCATAGGACGAGTCGCCACACCACTCGTACATGTTGACACCGAAAAAGTCAGCCTGCTCGTCTTCTTCGCCACACACAAAGTAATCCTTGATGGCATCGCGAATGAACTCATCGTCATTGCTGGCGTAACCTATGGGAATGTAGCGCTTCTTGGTGCTCTTTATGTATTTCTTCATGTCGCGAATGGCGGCCTTGACGTAAGCCGACGCCTGGGTGTTTGTCTTGTCGTTGGTCACTTCGTTGCCAGCAATAAAGGCAAGCATGTTGTCGTACTTGGAAAAGGCATCGACCGTCTTACGATAGGCTTCGTACAGGCGCGTGTCATACTCTGGCGACTTGCGGTTGATGGAGAACTTTGGCGTGGCAATATCGAGCAACAGGTAGATGCCTGCATCTGCAAAGGATTTCATGCACTGGTCGTGGTCTTTCGAAGGGTCAACTTCGTACACACGGACCACGTTCATCCCCAGCTTTTGCATAAGTGATGCGTCTCGAGCACATGCAGAGGCGTCGGCCAAAGGATCCGCAATGAAATTGTCCTTCCTTACTACATGGCCGTCTCTCGGCTGGTACGCCACACTAAACATTTCAATCGCAATGCATGCGTGAGTATTAATATTGCATTATGTAGACTTGTTGTATGTGTAACACCATCCTTCGCCATCTGAAAAAGTGTCCAACTATCTCGACGTTGGGATTGACGATCCTTTACCCTTTGATGAAGAACTGATTCTTGGTGACAGAATCAAAGAGCTTGTTGCCTTTGATTACGATAGGGTGGAGTGCATGTACCACGGTGGCAACATACAGCAGCAGCAGTACTCCTAGTGCGGCAATTTGCATGTTCCAAGGACGAAAAATAGAGAGGCAATCGTGATTGAACGAAAGGAAAGGCTTGTCTTTTTTGTAGAGGATGTTTCTTTTTATGTCTCAACGATTTTGTTCAAAAATTAAAGACCAAGAAGGAAAGATTGGAAGGAAAGAGAGAAAGCTTCTCCCTTCATTCTTCCTCTTTCACAGGGCCGTAAGGGTGAGAGGGTTGGGGGGGGGGAGGACGATGAAGTGGAAATATTTTTCATATTTGCCTCATACAGAGACTTGCATTCCATCCCTTCTTTCTCTGTTTGCTTTCTTTCTTTTCTGCATTAATGCCGCGAGCTTTGTAGCATGCGACAAATATAGCTATCCGATATGCAGTGCTCGCATCTGCTAAAAGACTTTTTACAGTTACTACTACCAATACTAGTAGTACTGATGCCTCTTCTATATATTACCAATTATGGCTAAGGATTGTATATCGCTTGGTTTAGAGGGGCTCGCATTATGTTGATAAAGGCTGTGAGGAGGAGATACCCTGATTGAACACTGTAGAGAAGTACGAAATTACATATTATCACTCGCAATCTATGTGTGTTTAGAAGTCAAGAACGGTACCAAAGGGAGGCATGGTACGTGCGTCTATTAAGAATGTGCACGGATGCAGCAGCGAGATGCATCTATTTTAGTTTTTTACGATAGCAGTGTTTGTATGAAAGCGTGACTTTTTTTCATTTTATAGCAAGCAAACGAGATGATGTGTCTCTGATAATGTAGGTATGTGTGCGAACAAACAATTACAATACAGAAAACATTGACGCATAGTAAGACAGCTATTTAATTCTTGACCATTCACGTTCATTCGTGCTACATACACACCCACCGGGTAGATCAAAAAGTTTAATTTTAGGAGTTTTTTTTTTCTACGAGAGTAAAAGTCGCAGGACGCGTTTCGGGCTTAAGCGAGAGATCCGAGATGTAGTATGTATTATTATATATTGTGAAAATTTGGAGCTACTGTTTCCCATACAATGTTGTTTTCACACGAGCATACACATATCATCAGCGGATATAGCTTGTTTAATAATCTACAGTAAACCTGCTGTCCACATGAGTTACCGCTGTAGTATAAAAGACAAAATGTGTTCGGGCTCTCCTTCAATGTTTGATTTCCATTTCTTTTTCACTATCAACATACTATCATTGTAGTATCATTGTTGATTAATCACATACGACGACAACAACAGCAATAACTGTTACACAAAAGTTTTATTGAAGCTATTATCAGAATGACCGTAAGCGACAATTATTTTTCAGGCAAAGTGGCCGTCATAACAGGTGGCTCTCGCGGAATTGGCCGCGCTGTCGCGGAAGCATTGGTCTCGCGTGGCTGTAAGGTTGTAATTGGCGATGTTTTGGATCAAGTGGGCCAGGAAACTGTGAACGAATTGAATACACGTGCTGCTGGTGTCAAGGCCGCAGCTTATATCCACACGGATGTCACCGTCTACAAGGATGTGCTTGCCTTATTCAAATTTGCTGAATCCGAGTTTGGTGGAGTGGATGTAAGTCCTATTCCTCTTTCTCTGTCTCCTTTTCCTTTCTTATCTCTCCACAAATATAAACAACAATCCACTGTTCATAGATTGCTTTCCTCAATGCAGGCGTTATAAACAAGCCTGATTATATGTTTTCGCCGTTGGATGGTATGGTTATAGTAGCCCTAACTCCTTATTACTGTTGATTAACAGAATTGAAATGATATATCTCTTCTAACATGTATAATGATAATGATGACGATAGATGAGGCAGAGAAACTGTTGCCTGAAGTTAACATCAGCGGTGTAGTTAAATGCACGCGTGTGGCTATGCTTGCTATGGCTAAACGAGGCGGAGGAGTGATTACAGTCACTGCAAGCTGTGCTGGCTTCCTTGGACCCTTGTAAGCTCATGAAAATAGTCCATGTACTTAGTTTCTACTCACATGCGTCGGGATAAACTAAGAAAACTGGAACGAATATAGTGCACAATCGATTTACAATGCTACCAAGCATGCTGTCGTTGGCTGGACACGTAGTCTTGGCATGCTCAAGGATATCTGCAATGTGCGGGTGAATGCAGGTACGCTTAAAGAATTACTTCACTCTTTTCGACGATGGATAAAACTGTAACACTCAATACGTACAATTATCCTTTACTTGCATAGTCTGTCCTCATTGGGTTGGTATGTTTGTAGTGTATATCATCATATATAATGACGGGTGCTTCAACTAGATTAATGGAAAAAGACTAGGAGAATGCTAAGAGCTGAAGCGGGTTCCTTCAAGCATCGACACTCATTAACAAATACGATATTTAATTATGCACAGAAACTGACATGAGACACAAAATCACGAAGAAGGGAGAAGTCGTTGTTGATCCATACCCTGCATTCGTCCAGCAATCACCTACTGTCAAGATTGATACAGTCGTGAGCGGTGTTCTGTCTCTGATGGAAGATGAAAGTCGTAATAGTAAGTACATTTTACGCTCACCATCAAGCAAGCAGTAGAGGCAGTTTTGGAGGCGTTAGAAGGGAGTTTTTTTCTACTACGTTAGCGCAAACTTTATTAACTAAAATGAATATGATATCTTCACTTTTAGCTGAAACTTTATTGACTCTACCGCCGAACATCTTACGTGTTCAGGAACCCATTCAACCTTTTCGTAAGTCTAGCGTCGTCTTGTTATATTGAATAAGGAGAATAGTGATCGCCTTCTTGATTTACAGACATTGTTATGATTCAATGATTAGCCGAGCAATCAAATCCCGCATATGATCAGCTAGCAGAGCAGTATGAGAAAGATGCGCTGGTATATTACAAGTCCTTGCTGGGACCTGCATTGAAGAAATATGAACAAGCTTAAAACCAACAAGTAGCAAGTGACAATGTATAAGAGTCAATCACCAGTGTATGTATTCTAATAGAATTCGTCCCTTTATCATATTTGTATACTACGGCATCGACTTTGGTCGATGCTAAGAGAATATTATATCTGGCTCAGTAATATTTGTGCATGAGCTTCACTGATTCTTAAACTGTTGCATATTTGTGAACTGGACTATTTTTCTTGTGTGCGGCGCACAAGAATCAGGAGCACAAGGATGTGGCCATTGATGATTGTTTTTCTTGACCATACAAGTCGTCTGAGTATGATAGCCGCCTTCTTTTTCATTCTTTTAAGTTTGGTTGTATATCAAGAGACCAACAAAAGCGCTGAAACAAATACGTCTTTCGGTCAGTGATACATAGTAGCTAAACTGAAGATTCAAAGCTCTGGTGATGGGAAAAGATATATAAAACATAGAATGTCATACACATATCAAAAGAGACGCATACTGTGCTTGGCGTATACTTGAATAAGAAGGGCATTGCCCAATGAAACGCGCTTTGTAAAACCTATCATAGCTCGCCTATGATGGCTGCGTATCATATAAGCAATAAAGTTAAGTTGCCATGGCAACGCGAATTTCAAAAACCAGCCAAGATCGAGCTCGGTTAAATTACCTCGTATACTTCTCTCTTTTATCAAAATAGATTATGAATCCCTACAAACGAGTCCATTCCCCTACAGAATATGGTTTACTGGAAACAGACCAAGCAAGAAAAAAGTACATTTCTGAACAATTCGCAGAAAAGATGGGTGCCATGTCTTTGAACAGCAATCCACCTTCAACACCCTTTTCACATCAGTACCAGCAGCAACAGCAACAGCAATCGGGCGACGCTCCAATGTCTATAGCAATGCCTTCCATAGACTCAAGGAAAGACGAAACAAAGACAAACTTGGTACAAACGCACGTGTATGGGACGATGCTTCCGTTTGAACAACGACCTGGTGAATCAAAGCTGAGAATACCCGAGTTTTTACTACGACCATCGTCAGGGTAAAGGTCCTTTTTGTGTTTTCTAGGCAGCCCTACATTTCCTTTTTGCTTAATATGAGTTTCTATGGTAAAAAAAAAGTTGCCCAGAAGCGCGCGATTTGGTAACGTACAGTCCATTGTCATGGCGACCTGCCACGGTATCCGAAGAAGCGGAGGTTTGTTTTTGCATGAATTTTCTTACTTTCTTTATGTTTGACAGATGGATTCATGAAGAGTTTACAGGTAAACTCTCGCCATTCAACGGCAGCAGAAAGTCACGATGAGGGTGAAGGTGTGCAAGACGGTTCGGCAATGGATATTGATTGATTTTTATCGTTGCTAGTACTTTCAACAGCGAGTAGTATCATATTCATCATCATCATCGTTTGTTGCATTCAAATAACAAGCATGCATTTTCTTCTGTTTTCGCATATATACATGAATTTTGGACATTTTCTTTTCTGGATTTTCTAGAAAAAAAGAAGGTGTATGTGTGTGTGCGGTAGTAAAAAAAAAGTTGAAGGGAAAACAAGCAGTAATAATATAATAGAGAAAATTGAGTGTGTGGGAGATGAAGGGGTGAAGGTTGGATGCTAGGAGCCTCAGTTTTAGAATCCGGATCGCACACGGATATCCTCAATCTTCTTTTGTACCTCAGCAACCGTTCGATCAAGTTCATCGGCAATAAGGCGCCTCTTCTCTGCCGGCAATGAGTTGTACTGTTCACACAAATCACCATCAATAACCGATTTGACGGGTATGTAAAAGCTGCGGTAGCTCAAGTGGTCACGTCCGGCAAGTGGTGGTGCTTCAGCACGCATGTGCATCTCCAACATCTGGAAGAAGTCCACATCTTCACGCGATACAAACGGTACAAAGATCCCGATCGACCCCAATAGTGTGGACGTCAGTAATACCTCTCGGCCACCGGATAGTAATGTTGTTCGGTGTACAGATGTGACAATGTCACCCACAAAGTATTGGCTTAGATTTTCGACCTTGTTGGGTGCACCATGCAAGACGCCCTTTTCGTGCAAAATGCGGTTGCCGGTTGTATCCTCGTCGACATCGTGACTGATTGAGGTTGGAAGACGGTTCACAAAAAAGTTACCAAACTTGTCACCTCCAACCACAGTATCGTAATCAATCATGGCCGACGCCGTCGTCCAGCGAGGTGTCGTGTCGTCTGCAAACACTATCAGTCGGTTGTCTGCATGCTTGTACACAAAGTAATGAACTGATTCCTGAATATCCGTGGCAACGATACGGTCGCCTTGGGTGTGCATCGTAACCACTGCATTAGGAATGCTCTGTTATTTCCGTTCAGAACAAATACGCCATGTTAGCTTATAATCAATCGTAGATAATAACGTCATTCACCCCGTCGATGATAATTACCTTGTTTTCGCATTTGCGCAACATCTTCTTCCGACCGATATCATAGATACGCAAAGCTTTACCGATACCAGCCAGTAACCGTCCTTGGAAACCGATCAGAGCTGTGGGAACTTCGTCGACCTCAGTCTTGTGTACGAGTTCCATCTGCACCTTGCCTTCATCGTTACGAACAAACTTGTACAATCGCAGGTAGCCTGTCGAGCATCCGCGTGGGGCAAGAGTCACATCCTTAGCTGTACCCACCACCGCAAACTGTTCCTCCACCTCGGTCATATGTGGATTGCTTCTGAACTGGATCACAGCCACACTAAACGCAGCCTCATTATCCTCCAACTCAATCTCCTGCAACGTTTCGCCCTGGAACGGCTCCAGCAAACGGATACAGCTAGCCCAACGCCCTGGTTTACTACGCACATGGCCAAACTGCTGAGGATCCAAGTTGGTCATATCCTCATCAATCTCAATGCCTTCCTTTTCCTTTTCCAATAGTTCTTTACGCTTTTCTTCAGGCGAGAACGTAGCGTGATCGGATTCAATAACTACAAACGTCTTGGTAGCTGGGTGAAGCACAAACTTGCGTGGCGTGTATTTCAATGGAATAGCGACTTGATTAAAGATTTCGCCGAGTTTTTCAATGGTGAAAATACGCAGCGTGTTGCCGGCGACAGCGACGACACCTTCAGGACACTGTTCGCTGACAAATGGAGTACCAGATTCAAGCATTTCGTAGCTGAGCGGGGTCAGATGAAGACGGCCTTGGAATGTATAGGTGATCCAAGGCTTTGTGGAGAGGGCAAGCACAGCGGGTCGTCCTTCAACATTGATTCTGTGTAAGCGGACGCTGCGGGCGCCGATGAAGCGAGTGCGAGTGTCTGAAAGCTGTCCAGTGATGGTGTCAAGAATCGTACGAAGTAACACCCCATTTGAAAGACCAATGTTGAGATACTGAGTGCCATGGCCTCGTTCGACACCTGTGTCCAACATTTCAATGATGCATAAACTCGAAGGGACACCTTGCATAGCCTGCATGGAAATGCTCTCCAAGCAGCTATCAGGATCGAGGCTGAGGATACGTACGGTCTGATCATCACAACCGACAGCCAAGTGCCGAGATCGCTGTCGTCCTTCTGGTACATCACCAATGGTCAGACATGTAATGTTGGATGACATCTGCTTACGCTCCTGATGCTCATTCAGAGCGCCCATATTATCCAGTTCGAAATACACGATTTCGCCGCCCGATAGTGCAATGGCAATCTGTCGATTGTTCGTAGCTGCTTGCAAAATTGCCTGTCCACCTGGTGTCCGCCATTCATTGACACGACGATCGGCAAGGATGTGACGGATACCGTGGGGATACACCTGGACGAGTTGGTCGTCGCCAAGTTGCTGAATAGCCAGCGTAGGTGCTGATGTCAATAGGCCTGTGTCCGTTACTTCTTCGACCGTTTCACCGATGGACAGAACGAGTGTGGCGTTGGCAAAAGATACCACGATGTACGCATGATATTCGTCGTCTGCCCGAAGCTTGGTTGTCCACACGTTGCTAGGGTTACCGGGCAATTCACTGACTGCAAGTTCGCCGGCCTCGAGACCTTGATTCAAAATACGGAACGTTGAACGTGCACCGCGGCCAGCCAGAGCATAAATTCGTGGTGATTCTTCGTCCGCAAGGTTGAGAACTTTGGTGTCCAACAATGGTGCGAGCGATTCGAGTTCATCAACGAGTAACAGATTTTTGAGCGGTCGTGGCGTAAAGTATACAAGCGGCGTTTCCTCCTGCTCTTGTTCTGCCTCCATATAATCAGCCGATGAGATTTCTGGATCATCGGGATCATCGCCTAGACTTTCAAACGAGTAAAGATGGCTAGGATGAATAGTTTATATAAGTTAGCATCTGCGCTGTGTGATATCTTTGATATAATGCAAAGGGTCTATTTATACAAAAGTTACTTACTGGTTGCCATACTCAGTGGCAGCAAACAAAAAGCCACTCTTCAGAATGCAAAGGGCATTTGTTACTGGTATCGTGTCAAAGTATTTGATTGTCATGCCCTGAACTTCGCCTTCCGAGTGCTCCATCGTCACCTTGTACAAATCACCTTCTTCGGATTGGAGCAAAAAGAAGAATTGGGTCTGTTTGTTGATGCGCATTTTGTGTAGAGCGTAAGAGCAGATAATGATGCCTCTGCTAGAGTCTTCGAGCGGTTGTGCTCGACGGGGAATGGGAATACGGTGCTCGGGCATGTCTTGATGCTTGTAAGTGATAAAGTTTTCTGTACAGACGAGTACGCCAGAAGGTCCGTCACTGCCACCAGGAACTGATTATCATACGCATGTTAGTTATTACTGGCGTCCAAATCAAGAAACCCTTATACCGTGGCATCCCCTTCATTTCTTCATAACCTTACCTGGAATAAGCATATTGGCTCGCAAATCAACAGGTTCACTCCATTTTCGGATTACGTGATTCAAACCGAGATCCAGTTCATAATACGTCAACAACTTTTCGATACTCTTCATTGCCTCTCCTGTAGGATCCTGATCCGTCTCTGCATAGTCCACTTCCAGACAAGCAAACACGGGGTTCTCAAAACCAACGTCCAATCCAATGATATGGTGAATTAAAGCATGGCTCTTGTGTGCTTCGAGTGGGGAGGAGATCGTCAGACGTGCAGCCGAATCGCGGTTGAGAATATAAACGAGCTTTTGCTTTTCGACTGCGCCAATCATGACTGCACGGCCCTTGGGATCCGTCGCCAAGTATTGACCGGGAACGATCCGACGACTTCCGGTCTTGCCATATGTTTCCTGATGCACTTTATCGAACGTATTTTTCGCAGGATTGTATTCCAAAATAACAATGCGTCCGGAATCGGAACCAACAACAACGTAATCTTTTATAATTTTAAAAAAATAATGCCAAACGAATCTTTGTTAGCACTGGTAAAAGAATAAAAAAAATATAAAGTGGCCGTGTCTATTTCGGATTGTACGCGTCAACACGTTTTGCTGTTTTATTTCTGGTTAAATTTACCTTTGCTGGCACCCGTTAAGCGGAATGGGGCAAGACTACGTACAAGACCGAATACTTCATGTGAAATGACGGTATGAATTTTGCCAGTATTGGGATCAGGTCTGAGAAGTTCGATGCGTGTATTTCGCGCAGTGATGATTTCTTGTTGTTTAGTTCCAGAAAAGTTGCCATGGATCGCCTGATTAATGGCGGTTGAAGGGTTGATTGTGAGACCGTACAAGAACATGACCGGATTCACACTTTTTTTTTTCGTGGTTCAAGAAACGACACAGCAAGTACGAATACTACGCACACTGGTAATGGCCCTCCAAGAGGTTCAACCCAGTTTCGTATCCCGATATCATGTCGTCCTGTCGCACTGTCCCAAATGCTTCAACCATTAGTGGCTTGTCTACATAGGGTCTTCTTAAATGTCAACTTCTGTAAAAGTGTACGATTTTTTATTTGCTGCTAGCGCAAGTAACTTTAATTAAAAGACGGGAGACCAGAAAACTTATAAACGATGAGCTTTTGATAGACTAGTAACGGGATCGACCGACAGCAAGTTTGGTGATCTATTCACCAGAGCAAAGAAGCTTCACGAAAAACACGGTCCTTTCGACGTTCATTTATGCACAGGCAACTTTTTTGCCCAAGACACGGATGCGTCAGTTCTCAATGATTTGTTAAACAATAAAATCGACGGTACGTTATATTTTTTGTTACCAAGAAGAAACTATAGGGAAAAAACCCAAGCTGACGCACCCCCCCCTCCCGTGCGACGCTCACGTTTGTAATCAACGACAACAGTTCCTGTCATGACCTATTTCATGACTGGCGATCAACCTATTCCCGAAGCCGCTCAGTCACGAATTGATGCGAACGATGGCGAAGTATGCGACAACCTGTACTATCTCGGCAAAAAGGGTACTTTGACGACCGCAAACGGATTAAAGATTGCCTGGCTTTCGGGTGTTCCAGACAACAACGGCTTTACAGACGAAGACGTTCAAGCGCTTAAAATGACCAAAATGCCCATCACAGCGCCCGCAGGCGTCGATATTCTAATGACACACCTGTGGCCAAGTGGCATCGAAAATGGTAGCAAGGCAATTCAAGCCGCACCAGCGAATGGATCGGTGACCATGGCGCAGCTTGCGGCTGCATTAAAGCCGCGCTATTATTTCGCCGCGGCTGAAGGGGCCTTTTGTGAACGTGAACCCTACAAGAATGTCACTGGCTTTGGTCCTCCCGACGAACGAGCCGTGGACCATGTTACACGCTTCATTGGTTTGGGAAACTTTCTGAATGACACAAAACAAAGAGTAAGTCCAGACATTCAATCGAGATACGTGTTAAGTGTTAAATTAAAATGACGTATTAAGTGATTAATATTCTCCACGTATTTTTTCGCGTATAATAGTGGTTTTATGCCTTCAATATGGAACCTCTAATTAAATCACCAGAAGCCTTGACAGCATCGTTTCCTACCACTACTGAATGTCCATTTACAAAAGAGGCTATTGCGGCTGGAAAGAAGCGTCCACATCCCGAAGAAGATGACTCAGGCAGCTTCTTTTGGGGCGGTCAGCAAAATCCAAAGCGTCAAGGTAATTATATGAAAAACGCACTGTGCTGGGCTGTACTACTACCTATTTGTTTAAAGCTGACATCTTTTAAGCAACCAACAACTCAGAAGGACCAGGCGATGGCTATGTATGCAAGATCTGCAACGAACCAGGTCATTTTATCAAAAACTGTCCCAACAAAGTTCGACGGCCCAAAGAAGGATACATTTGTCGAATCTGCAATCAACCCGGTCACTTTATTCAAGACTGTCCTTCCAAGCAGGAAAAACAGGCACAACGAGATGCTGAGAAATGTAAGATGGGAAATCATCAGGGATCTGCTATGTGTATGTAATATATGGATATGACCCCACTAACAGACAAACACACCATCTATCAGTGGAATCATGCTGGTTCTGCTTGGCCAATCCTAAACTGGAAAAGCATCTCATTGTCTCGATCGGCAGCGAGCTTTATGCGACCCTTGCAAAGGGGCCTCTTGTGTCGTCTCAAGACAAGAGCGGCGTCCCCGGTGGCGGCCACATCATTTTAGTGCCTGTGACGCATTACACCACGTTCAACAAGGTTCCAGCAGAAACACATGCACAATTGACTGGGGAGATCGAAAAATACAAGAATGCCTTACGGGCAATGTTTGCAGAATATGGCCAGGACATGCTTGTTTTTGAATTATCGCGCCAATCCTTCATGGGTCATGCCCATATGCAAATTGTACCGGTACCCAAGGACAAGTCAGACTCGATTGAGGCTACTGCCCGTCAGGCTGCCAAACAAGAAGGATTTGAGCTGACGGATCAAGTGCCTGTAAGTGCTCTTGTCTCATGAAAATTCATATTCTTCGGAGTGACAAAAAAAAAGTTTATCTAAATGAGCGTATTCCCTCGTTAGACTGGCCCTGATGTCAATTTCTTCAAGCTGGAGCTTCCGAACGGCAAGTCGCTTGTCCACGTTCTTCAGCCTCGAGAGCGCTTCAATCTACAGTTCGGCAGGTAAAAAAAAAACCAGATAGAAAAACTTAAGATTCCGAACATCAAAAAGCTTGTCTGGGTAACCTGATGCGCGCGTACGTTCCTTATGCGTGTGATGCATGTTGTGTTGCGGTGTTAATGCTTAGTGTTTTTTTTTCTTCTTCTTGGTGATATTAGATTGATTGCAGCCAAGGTTCTCGGACATCCAGAACGAGAAGACTGGAAGACATGCAAGCAAACGACTGATGAGGAGAAGAACGATACGAGCGCCTTCAAGGACGCATTCAAAAAGTATGATCCTACTGTATAATGCTCCTCCCGCAGTGTGTGATTGTGTAGTATATAGAAACGTTACTTTTATTTACCTTGGGAGACTGTCCACAAATGCATGATGTATAAAGACAAATTGCGCTCTCTGGGAGCAAAGTGCATGTAAAAGAGAAGAAAGAGCAATCTTATCGGGATTATCGGAATCGGGTGGTAACCAAAAGAGGCTACTGCACATCATTGCGCGCATGTGCTGATGAGGATGGCTGATAGAGTCTGTGTGCGTGCATTCCTCTCTGTAGAACCCGATCTTTGGCCTGTCAACATGCCAAAAGGTGGAACTATGACGGGAGCGGGGAACGATTTTTTTCTCTTTCTTGGGCGGGTGTTGGCTGGCTGGCTGGCTGGTTGCTATGCTTTAGATTTGGCGCGATAAAGGGGCTTAACACTCCGTGATATCATCATCTCATTAACATTGTGCCGTGGGCTCCGCTGCAGCCCATCTTTTTGAACCCAAAAAATTTCGGGGGGCAAAAGGAGGGTTGGGGATAAGCAGAAAAAGGAAGCCGTGAACAATGGCAGCAACAGCCATGCTGTTACATGGGTGAGCAAGAAGTCCATAGCAAACGCGAGGACAAAAGGCTGTGCAGTAGTGCACAAAATCGAGAAAATTTTGCCACGTTTGGATAAAACGCTGTTAAGGTTCACTTGAAGTTTGCCATGGAAATAAAACCCTGGTTGACAACAATCACGGGCAACATAAATTCTAGATAGAAAGCCACAGCATAAATGTCCGATGCCCGCTTTAGGGTAAGCGTCTCTACGTCATTGGCGGCCAGTGGCCCTTGATCAAGCAGCCGATAAACCACGAGAATTAAGGGCCCGCACGCACACAGCAACAACAAGGACGACCCGTCAAAAAGGCCACGAGCATGAGCGAAACGGTAGGGCAATTAAGCTGGAAGACGATAGGAGATCTGGATCCCGGATGACGCCGCACATATAAAAGGGCGACGTGTTTTGAAACCCCCTCCCTTAGTCTTGTTTCCCTTCCTTACACTTCTCGTATTATACATCACTATCATCATGTCTGCATCGCCTAACTCTGAAAACGTTGTCATCAACCCTCCCACTGACGACGAATCCCGTGATCTTGCCATGGAATTCGCCCAGCGTATGGTCGTCAACAGCAGCGGCGCCACCACTCCTTCCAAGCCCCAAATCTCGCCCTCTGTCCAGAAGGATTATGCACTTTTGCGCGATCCCGCATACCACAACAAGCGTTTGGAACAGATCCGTCAAAAGAAGGGTTATATCATTGATATGGATGGTGTCATCTACCACGCAAGTATCTAATTGCCACGAATGCTGGATGATTGAGGAGGAGTGTCGTAAGGGAACTTGCAGAGATGTGTACTAACATTGTGACGTTTAAAATAGGGTACCAAGCTTTTGCCTGGCGCAAAGGAATTGGTCGACTTCTTGCACAAGAACAACAAGCGTTTCCTCTTCTTGACCAACAACTCGGCCCCCACTCCCCGTGAGTTGCAGCAGAAGCTTGGCCGTCTCGGCATTGAGGTCACTGAGGACCACTTCTTCACTGCTGGTCAGGCTACCGCTGAGTTCTTGCACTCGCAGATGCCCGAGGTATGTATTAGTTCCAACAACAACGTGAAACATAGTGTAAATCGAAGCGAATAGTTACAGAATGTATGTGTCAGTATGTGCTCATTGTAATCTCACCATTGTTGTCTTTGATCCATCAAATAATAGGGTGGCACCTGCTACACCATTGGTGAGCCCGGTCTCGCCTACGCTCTCTACGAAAAGGGCTTCTTCATGAACGACCACAACCCCGACTACGTCGTCTTGGGTGAAGGTTCCTCATACAACTACGAGCGCTTGACCAAGGCAGTGCAGTTGGTCGGCCAAGGTGCCAAATTGATTGCCACTAACCTCGATGTCGAGAACTTGGACTCCAAGGGCAACAAGATCCCTTCGTGCGGTGCTTTCGCTGCCTGCGTTGAAGTCATCACCAAGACCAAGGCCTTCTTCTGTGGCAAGCCTTCTGCCTTGATCATGCGCTACGCTCAGCGTGTCTTGGGTCTCAGCCGTTCTGAGACGTGTATCATCGGTGACCGTATGGATACCGACATTGCTGCTGGTATCAGCTCCGAAATCGACCCCGTCTTGGTCTTGTCTGGTGTCACTGCCATGGAGGATCTCTCCCAGTTCGCTTACCGTCCCTACGTCATCTTGGGTGGTGTCTACGAAATCCCCAACGACGATTCTAAGCACACCATTTCCGTTCAAGAAATGGAGGATGCTAGCCGTCGCGCTTCCTACCTTTAAATTAGTTCCCTAATCATATGTTTAGAAAAAAAAGTTCATCTCCCTTTTTACCATTTCACAAAGCACAGTATCTCCTTACCTCCCATACATCCTCCTCATCTATTCGCACTTGTATATATAGCTTACATCTCATTTAAACAATGAAGCATACCGTTTTATATGAGTGATTTTTCCCTCGCTTTTAATATTAGGTGGATCTGATAATAACTTGGGTAACTGATGGATGATGACAATAAGAGGGGTTTCATTGTTGATTTGAGTTGCTATCTTTTTTTTAAGTGGATTCACAACATAGAGTTTTCAGACTAGTGGCATGGTTATTTTGCAGTAATCTGCGACCTCACATTACTGTATATACGTTTGATTTGTTGGTAGGAATGGGTTGATTATCAATTATAGCAATAGGTATGTCACTGTGATATACGCAATACAAATCAATAAGCTATTTAGATTCCTTGATCTAATACCACCGCAATCGTTGGTATGAATAGAGATGTTAAAAATAAATCTCAACTCTTCGTGAAACAAAGAATAGTAGTTTCGCGTCGTTATTTTCCTCTCTGATTCTGCTTTCTAAGGTTTACATCTAGTAATGAGGAGCGTGGTGTAATTGATGCATCAACAGCAAGTCCAAATTTTTCATATAGCCCCTGGATACAGTAGATCAGTACATACAGTCAGCTATCAATGAAAAAAAACAAAGAGTCCGTTCTTATAGGTCTCGTTTAATGTGTCCATACTGCGCATGTATCCAAGACGTAGATGGATCAGCGATATCTGTTATGCGTATATCAGACGAAGATGGTGATTACATTAGTAGATCAAATGCGGGCAGTCGGAACAAGCTAATAGCTTCTGGATGATCCATGGCGACACAACATATAAAAATTGCATAAAAGAGATGCAAGTACTACGACAAGAGAGTGAATTTGTACTACTGTAGAACGCACACAATGTATTCCAGTAAGATGGAATGCTACCCAAGTTTCGATGGTCGTGATATTTGGCTTTGAACAAAACCATCCAGTCGAAAGTGGCATGCGTAACACAGGATAGAGAACCGTCGAATAGCAACAGCATTAATGCAGGGAAGAGGTCACAAGGATCTCGCTGAAGCGGAATCTTGTACCTTATCGTTCCTTGGTCTATTGATGATGATTGTTGGATATAAAGTGTGCATTTAGTAGCAAGAACACATTTGTAGCGTTTAAGCGGGGGAAAAGGTTCTTTATATTTTTTTTTCTACCTGTTTTACGTTGCACGCTCGTTCCAATGAAACAAACAATGATGCATGTTTGCCCTGCATCCACACATGCTCATGTCTCAGGTATTGTCTCACCCTCAAGGTGAGCACGTTTGAAATGTTCCTTCCGAGGATGAATCACCATCGACCAGCAGCCGGCGACACGTGTCCCGAAGCAAACCGGCCTTGGCAAGACAAAACATCACAACTTCCATCCCCTAAATTTTATTCGCTCCTCATACTACGCACGCACCACCCTACGAGCAGACACACAACATATAACACACACGGCACGCAAACCACGCAACAAACCTTCCAACCCCCCTCCACTTTCAAACCTTTTCCCTGAATGAGCTTGCAGCTCTGGGGTTGTGTTAAGCGTCTCTCTTTCTCTCTCTCTTTTTTCTTCATTGTCACTACCCATTGACATTTGTTCCCGTTTTTTCCCTTTTTTTCAAAACTCTAATAATTTCTTTGTTCTCTCCATGCGCATTGCTATAATTACCGAGAACTTTTTACCCAAGGTGGATGGTGTGACGCGTACGCTTGCACGCCTGCTTGAACACCTCCAAGACACGGGCCACCAAGTCCTGCTGCTAGGACCCGAGAGTGGACGAACCGAATACGCAGGCGCGACATTGCTGGGCACAGCTGGCATTCCGTTTCTGCCGTATCCCGAACTCAAGCTCAACCTGTGGCGACCGGCATTTACGCAAAAGCTGATCGATTTCGAACCAGACGTGATTCATTTGGTCGATCCCGTGTGGTTAGGTGCAGCGGGCCTTGCAGTGTGCCGCTACTATCTCCCCAACACCCCATTGGTTTCGTCGTACCACACCAACCTTGCAACTTACTGTGGCCACTTTGGATGGGGCTTCTTTACACCGCTCATGTGGCGTTGGAACAAGTTTTGCCACTCGTACTGTCACTATGTCGTGTGTCCGAGTAAATCGACGTCGCGGATGCTCGCGAATCAAGGATTCGATGACAATCTGAGGATATGGCCACGTGGCGTCGACATGGGCATGTTTTCACCTAGCAGACGGTCCAAGGCATTGCGTGCGCAGTGGATGGGGGTGGATGAGGCAGAGGCACACAGCAAAGCAGTGATCCTGTATGTAGGCCGTGTGTCGTTTGAAAAGAACTTGGATTTGGTGATTGAGGCGTACAAGGGAATGAATCATCAGCGTTGTCATTTGGTGATTGTCGGTCATGGGCCTGCCTTTGACGCTATCCAGTCAGAATGCGCACAGACGAACACGCCTGTCACGTTCACTGGCTACTTGCAGGGCATCCAGCTGGCGGCTGCCTATGCCTCGGCTGATATCTTTGCGTTCCCTTCAGTGACCGAGACGTTTGGTCAAGTGGTTTTGGAAGCAATGGCGTCAGGATTGCCAGTCGCCGGCTTGCGCGCAGAGGGCGTGCGCGATCTAGTGGATCATGGCCGCACAGGAACGCTGTTGGATATCCGGCGAAATATGCCACGTGATCAGCAAATCAGCAAATACCAGCAGCATTTGCTAACGCTCGTTGAAAACCCGGAGATGCGGCTTCGTATGAGTCGTGCTGCACTCGATAAAGCGAAAAGATATACCTGGTGGGAGGCTATGGAGGCCATGGTACGCGTATACCGTGACGCAGTCATTGCCAACAATCCATATTTCGCAAAGGAGGAGTCGTTGGCAGCAGATCATACAAGTAGTGGAGATAGCGGTGTTGAAGAAGATTTCCCGGCAGACTCCAATTGTGGCGCTCACTCAAGTATTCTCATAGCATCGTCCTGATCATCGATCATCGTCATTACAAGTACAAAACATAACCCGTTCTTTCGCTTATAGTTCTATTATTTTACCTATTTACGCCTACATTTTCATTGTCTATACAAACGCTCTCTTCTTTAACAATAGCTTTTCATACCAATAACCCAATCGACCACCCCCGCCTTTGTATCCTTCTCCGAGTATCTCGTCTACTTGTTGGAATTATTCTTTATATTATTCTATGTATATTCATTTAGTTACCCTGTTTTTGTCTCGTTATTTTTATATATATATAACAATTTTACTAATTGCTCACTGCATACTTCTCAGTTTGGGATTCACAAAAGAGAAGTTGTGGATGTATACATAAACAAAACGTAAATATGGGCGTCCATTGTTGATTCTTTGTGTTTACATGCTATGCGTTTAAAGAAAAGTGCATGATGAGAGAGAGAGAGATAGAGCGAGAGAGGAGTTCGGCTGATCAAATCAGGAATTGACCCGGGTGTAATATTATCCTGCAACAACATTAAACATGCGGCCGGACTAGACAAACTGCAAGTGCGCGCCTTCTTGATAGGTACCTCAATGCCGATCGGGTTCAAAAGGTTACGGCTTTTTTTTTGTGACATATTACCTGTTTCTAATTATACTTTCTTGCTTATTTTACTGATATCCAGGATCCACTCTAATTTGACACTTTCAAAAGAACGGGGGTGGCGCAAAGAAAATTAGACTATCCGGTTTTTTGTTGGGCATTACAGAAGGAAAAGTGGATAAGGTTGTAGGTTGCTAGGAGAATCGTTTTTTCGTTGCCATGGTCAAAGAATTTCTTGTAACGATGGAAATCACGGAACGTTTTCTTTTGTTATTGTTGATGTTGCTGCTGCTGCTGCTTTTGTTGTTGATTGTGGCTCTTTCTGTTTTTGACGATCCCCAATGCTTGCCGCTATGTGTGTATCACACCAAAGTTTGTACCGCATGACGTATCCTGCGGCGGCGAATGTGTATATGTGTGTTACATATTACATGTGTGAGCGTAGAACAGTAATATGTGACCCTGTCCAATCTCATGCCCCTCTTTTACACACCCCCAACAGCGCGTGACAGGGCCGATTTGGTAAATACGAATGCATCGTCGCCCAAAAGACATATTATTGTTGTTGGCGGAGAATAGGAGAGATGTTGCCAACCCATGGGTGAAAGCCGAACTCTATCTCTCTTTTTATTTTATTCAGCAGTTTCCAAGCTTATTTTGTTCTCTTTGTTCCCGTTACAACCGTGACTGAGTTATATAGTAGTGTGGTGGAGGCACTAGGCCGAAAAGGAAATATAGCACTTTATATAATGGCGCTGTGATCTTTAACTTGGTACAAAATATTAATAAAAAGCCTGTTTCTGTGAGTGCTTGCTTGTTATCGCGATCGAATGATTTTTGTTTCTTGGCTGTTTTCTGGCCAACAAAGTTCCCAGGACCGCAGTAAAGCATCCTTAAATTCACAATAAATATGTTTCATTGTGTCAAGTAAGTTGCAATAAAGCCGAGGATATGAGTTTGGCACCAACAAAGCGAGAGAAAGAATGAGTATATGCAAAATAGCTTTATTTGATGCGTCCTTCCAATTTGGCTGTGCATCACCATGCTGCTGATCATCTTGGTCTATTAAATCATCATCATCATCAATAGCCGCATGTACCTGCTATCAACTAAAATTCTAGGTGCCGTGATACACCCCGACTGTCTCTCTCGTGGAAGTCGGCGGGTGCCCTCATTTCCAGGACATGTCAGAAGTTGGTTGTAAAATGATGTCTTGCCTTGTGCTACGATGCTTACGTTTACCTCATTTATAAAAAAGAATTACTGGGATCCCAATGCTGCAAGGACACTCATTCTTGCAGCTTGCATTATTTACACGTTTACATTGATAAACGGGGATAAACAAAGCAGTAGCATGACCTACTTACTAACCGCAGTTTGGGGGGGAGGCGCGTGAAAGGTGGCATATCTGCTACATCTGTGTACAATCTGTGTTTATGTGTTTTGGAGTCAAGATGGAATTGGGCGTTTGGGTTACTGACTGACATGTTGTATAAACGCCCGCTTTTACCTTAGAAAGTTCATCAACATGCAGACAGCAGACTTGATCAACACGTACATAAAACGCACACCAACTGCTATTCTGTGCACACAAAGCCGCGGCAATTAAGGTTTATGGGGGGTGGGTGAGAGGAGAAAGAGGAGCAGGGCAGAGCATGAAACGAGACAAAACCGATCGGGAGCGATCGTTTTTGATTGGCTGCAGAAAAAGCTTAGCTAAATCCGGACATTTGAGCTTATGCAACCCTTTATGGGGAGATGACAGTTCTTTCCATGATGATCCCAGAACTCGTTTCCTCCGCCTCCATTCTCAATTTGGCTCGGTTACTGTCATTGGATCGTCGTGTCCCATTTCATTTCATTTTTCTTGTGCTTTCTTTTCTGCTCGCATATGCCCGACTCATAGTTTATCAGCCATGCTTTGATGCTGCTGACGACGGTGATGATGATGATGATAACGCGTGGGGTAAAGACAGGGTTCTTGTGCCCTTCTCTACTCATTGGACCCTCTCCCTTCCCTTTCATTATCCCCTTGGTTACAAAAAGCACTGCATTTCATTTACTTCCATGGCAACGTGGCCCTGGTGCATGTAATTCTCAAAGTAGGAGAGACAGACTCCAAGTGAGCGGAGAGAGACAGAGAGACAACGCGCGCGGAGGAAATGGTCTTGATTTGGGGGGTGGGGAGGGGGAAGAGCATGTACTGAGTGAGCAGCAGATCTTTTTTTGCATTTCACTTCATTGGATAGGACTGTGCAACATTTGCGCGTTACGTTCAAAAGGCATTGGGAACTACCATATATGGCAGTCGAAACGCACAGCTTGGCCAATGATTGTACTCCCCCCCTCCGTTCTTCTCCCTTCCTTTCACCGATATATACGTCAGGCGGTTTTAATAACACGGGGAAGAGCAGCAGCAGCAGCAATGGGGCTCTTCTCACCCCCCCCCCCCGAACTTTTCATATGAATGAAAGGTAGGACAAGGCCAAACCACAAGAAAAAGGGAAATTAGAAATGCGTGGAGCAAGCGAAACTGCAAGACCTCGTGCCAAAGTGTCTTTCCGTGACCGAAACCGCTTGACCTTTTTTCATTGGGGAGAGAGGGTGTGCTTCTTCTAGAGTGGAGTGGAAGCCATGGAGCGAAATGAAATGAAAGCTGGGCGATGGAACCCAATTCTAGACGGTATAAAGTAGCGCATTTATGTGATGAGCCATAAAACCAAACCTTAACGGTCCGAGCTTTTCGGGGTTCTGACGAAAGAGTTGCTGAATGGGAAAAACGATGCAAGTGTAACCACAACAGAGCCGCTTGGGGGGGTTGGGTGGGGTGAGAAGGATAGCAGCACTTACTAGCGTGTGTGTGTGTGTATATGCGCACACACATTGGGTCTACTGCTGCTGCTGCTGCTACTAACTCTGTGCCTATTTTTCCTCATTTTAAAAAAAATCACTTGGCTCGCTTCTTCTTTTCTTCTTCTTCTTTCTTCTTGCTTTTCTCGTACTCTTCTGTTTCCTGCCACTATGGATTCCAATCAACGGCTATCGCTGTCTCCCCCGAAAACACATCTGAAAGGTACACATGCTTCCATTGTCTATCGCACACGCTTCTCTTTATGCTTCGACTGACAGCCACAAAACAATAACACACCTTCTCACGTCGACATCATTCCTCTTATTCCATCATAGCCAAAGTCTATTATTCGTTCCGAGGATCATCGACCACCCGAATGGCTGTGTTTCCAACGACAGTCGACCTAGCCAGCACCTACGTGCCCATTCGACTGCGAGATTGTCTATGGGCGATCTGCTCATCCAGGTAAGATCCACGGTTTCCTGCAGCAGAAAAAAAAAAAAAGACGACGATGATGATGGTTAACCCGGTAATTTGCATCTCAGCCCGGATATGATCTGCCAGGAGCACGACCTGTCGATTTACACTGCAAATTTCCAGGAATCATGTCGCACACTGTCTGATAAAAAAAGTTCTGTCATCTGGGAAGGCCGCGGGCTGCTCTCATGGATCATGGACGCTCCTCCGCACGATGAGAGCGGAGATGTAACGATCCATGGCAAGATCTCAAATGCTAAGGACAGCTGTGAAGTGCACATTGAGTTACAACCTGTAAGTGCCTGTCTCTCCTATATCTCCCATTGTTCTTTCTTCCTCGCAGGGCACTCTTTCTCAGCTCACTCACGTGCTTTTTCCTTATTCCACTGCTATGACGAACGAACAACACGACATCTTCCACAACAGACATTAAAATGGGCCAAAGATGACTTTTACATGGCACTCAAAGCTCAGAACTTTGAATGCTTCAAAAAGGCTCCCCGCTCGCCTCCGCAACTATCCTCGCAATGCTGCTGTGGCATTGATGCGGCGCTTCAGCCACGGCTTGCATCGGTTTGGTCGCCATCGCGTGCTTCTCCTCCCTTTGGCTCTTCCTCCGAAAAGGGCAAGGAGACCGAGTTCGACCAGTTCATGAAGCAGAAGCGCGACCCATCATCGTCGCCCGTCCGGTTACCGCCCACAACCCAGTTATTCAGACCAGAGCCAGTTTTTCCCAATGAGTTTAAGCGCCCACGATTAACGCCACCATTGGACGACCAGCAGGACCGCATGGTGCGCCGTCGACGGGTCACCGACGGATCGGCAGGCATAGGACCTTATTTCCTGCACCAGGCGGCTGAAGAACAACGCCGATCTGCATTCACACGGACGACGACAACGACAAGCTCACTAATTACCAAGGATGATAGCAATAATAATAATAATCTTACGATTACTGCTCCAGCGCATCACGTGGTCCATCCACCGGGATCTATCCCAGTCATTTACACACCTAGCAACAAAAAACGTAAAAAGAACCCCTCTACCGCTACTGTCTTGCCTCTGTCCAACAGCAATACACCATCCTCCGCCACAAATAATACAACCGATGCTTCAGTTCCAAAACAGCAACAGCATTCATCACAACCACATCAACAGCAGCAGCAAGTCAGCACTGCAGTACGCACATATTATGATGTTGACCGTGACGCGAATGGCAATTACGCCTTACCTGTCGAGATCGATTCATGGACTGTGGTGGATCTTGGCACTATTGTTTATGACCGCCCTGCATATCACAATCAACGCTACATCTACCCTGCGAATTACACTGTGCGCAAGTAAGTAGACACACCCGCAACCATTGTATAGTGCGCACTAAGCTTGCATCCTGCTGCTCTACTAAGCACTTCCGTGCCTATTTCTAGATGGTATCGAAGCATGGTGGATGCTAAAAGTGACACTCAGTACACATGCCGCATTTTGGACAACGGAAGAGAACCCAAGGTAAATAAAACCCCTCCCCTCCCCTCCCCCAAGCCCTCCTTTCTAGCTTGCCCACATTCTACATCTTCACACCCCTTTCCGTTCGTACGCAAATTAGCCATTCTGAACGCAACTAACATTGATGCTCGTTGCTATTAGTTTGAGGTCACTGCAGATGATTGTCCTGTAACCTATTCTGGACCAACACCGACAACTGTGTGGACCATCATTGTCAGGTAAGAAACCTCCTCTCTTTCTCTCTACCTCCGTCACCCGCCCGCCCGAATCTCCCACCCCCTCGCCCTCCCCCCCTTCGCTATCCTCTTTCTCCTCTCATCCTTTCCTGGTGTTATTAATCGACATGAAACTCATGGAAAACAAAAACAAAAAAACAAATCTGTACAATTCAACATCACTATAGACGCGCCTTTGCTATTCGAAACCAGGAATATGGCCACAATCCGGTCGGACCCGATTTCTTTGGTCTACGCAAAAACACAATTGCTAAAATGATTCAGGATCTGCCAAACGCAGACAAATGCTCACAGTATGTCTGGCAGACGTTCGAGCCTGCAAGATTCAATAAGCCCGGCCGGAACCGAAGGCGGACAGATCCTATGGCCTTGTTGGGCGGCGTCAACTATAGTCTGACAAGCACCCGTAGCTTATTCCCTCATGCGCATCATGCTGTAGGCGACTATCCGCGCGATCCTCAACCGCCTCCAGAACCCTTGCCACGCACTGGAGTCTCGATGCGGCTCAACTTTCATGATAATAATAGAACACGCGATTCCTCGTCTTCTCCATCACCAACACCTATGCTTCCTCCACCGCCAACACACACTTCAGTAGTCACTCCTACAACTACTGCTACATCCGCCGCACTTCATCATCAACCCCAACCTTCGCATGCCCATTCTGCTATAAAGACCGCTTAATATTAATCTACCCGCCACCCTTACACGCTATACATACTCTTATTATACGTAACCTTTTTTATATCAACTTATTACTATATCATACATTTACACATTAAATCTGCCTTCATATAGCACACATATATCATTATACATCCTCTCTCTCTCTTTCTCTCTCTCCTGTTTATCTCCTGTATTATGTAGAAAAACTGTAGTACTCAAAATAATGCACATATACAACTTCGTCCACGTTATTATGACGCAAGTATTCTTTGTTGTAGTTTTTGTTGTGCCAATCTTTTTTTTCTGAGATGGGTAGCAATAAGTACCACGTTTACAATCTATACATTTATGTGTCCCCCCAACCCCGCGGTTCTGTGACATTGTTGATTTTCTTACATACAGAGACATCATCTGACTGACTGACTGACTGACTGCAGCAGCCTGCAGTTATGTTAAATTGTCATACCTTCAGGGTCCCCTTAATAGCTGCTTTTTATGTAGCTGCGGGCGCCTCCTTTCCATTATCATCGTCATCATCTGTACAACTTTCTTAATTTATCATGATTGTTGCTTACTATTACAATATGTGCGTGTGTGTACATCGTACGTACATTTTTGTACTATAATATTCGCGTTCCTGCTTGTTATTGTTGCAGTGGTGCCACTACTACTGCTCCCGTTGGTCTCGTTGTTGCTTTTCAGCATGCTGCCAAAACTCTTCCAGCAACTTGTTCAATTCGTCATATCTTGCTGTAGGCACACCGTGCCCTGTGTCATTGAATACTACAAACTTCCACGGCTCAAGCTTGGCAAAAAGATACTCGCTATGACTCAAATATGCAAAATTATCCCATGAATCTGCTAACGTCAGAAAAAAACCTTAAAGTATCGAGACGAAACTCTTTTCTCTCTCGCCGAACATCTCACCCTCCCCCAAAGAGAAAATAAGAAACATTAGATGCGTGCCACTTACTGCTGACTACAAGTATCGGCAATCCACTCTCTTTGATGATTTCCAAATCTCGCTCCCGCATCCAATGGCGTAAGGAGGCAATGGCCTGGCTTATCATTGACCCGATCGTTTGAGGACGATTTCTGCTGTTTCTATCTTCCATTCGCTATATGTTTATTTATACAAACAAGGCAAAAACTCGTTATTGATTTGTATTGTCATGACAGCAACAGCAATAATTTCACTTGGCAACTTACTGCACACAACTTGTCCATATTGGTATCATAGGAGACATCGTCATCTGGTCTGGCGTTCAGCCAAGACTAACATAACACATATTATCACGGTAACCTTGTCTTTAATGAGCAACTAATAACACATCATCACTCTGCTCTGCGTAGAACCTTATAAACTTTATTCTAGCATTAGCTTCTCCTTTTTCCCTTTTCTTTTTTTACCTCGGTGTAATTGACGCGCATGAGTCGTATCATTTGTTCCCGCGGATCCTTGACAAATAGGTTTGAAACAATTGCCCATGGTCCGGCCAAGGGTCGCAGCCCACCACTCGTGGTATTTAATAGACTCGCAGACCGGAAACGGTTGGGCACCGTGTTTTGCAAGAGTGCTTTCATCAAGGCCTGTCCTCCTGCACTATGACCTACAGCATGGACGTCTTGCGTCCATCCCAAGTGGTCTAGCAGCTCTATAAAGTCCAAGCTCCATTCGGTACTTTATGGACCCCAAACAGTTTACTAAAGAGAGATAACCTTCTTTTGGTTGGCAAATGAAGTACCTGTTGTAAAAGTCCCAACTTCCCCCTGATTGCAGACGAGGGGTTTGGAGAAAGTTCGCGTTAGCTATTTGACTTAGCACTTTCCCAGTAAAAAAACTTTTTACCTGTCCAGCCTACACCTCGGGCATCAAAGCTAAGCACAGTATAATCATCCATTGCACCAAAGTAGCAAGTCTATGAGGTTTACATAGTATTAATCGTGCTGGAATCGAGCATAAGCACTATCAGGAATTGATATGATGTTTTACCTGATAGTCCCAAGCTTGACAAGGCGCATTCATGCCTAATCAAATATTAAGTATTTCAGGTATCTGCAAAGGAAAGCTAAGCTTCTTTACTTGAAGAAGAACTGTAATAGGCGAGACGGTTTTTACCCATGAGCAATGCAATTTTCTTCGGACCAGTGCCATGCATCTCGTAGTAAATGTCAATGACTTTTGAAGATCGTGTTTTTGCGACAGGCGCAAAGCCTTGTGTATATGCATGCGACCATTTCAGCTCAGGCATTAACTTGCCCTTGCTTGCTGTATCTTTTGTAAGTTCGGTTTCGACGACGGGCTCCATAAAGATAAAAGAAGTGACACAGACTTCTGCGCCTTCTTGTTCCCGCTGCTAGGTTACCGTTTTTTCTTAATAAGCCAGAGAGGCCATGTGGCATCATAACATACTGAGCGCTCAAACATACATGCAAATTTCAAAAATTACTAAATGCAACATTTTATATGCAACAGTTACAAGGGCAGCTTAAATATGTGGTTGTTGATAATACAAAACAACAAAAAAAAAACAGAAGGAAGGATGATGTATCTCGTAATGTTACTATGTATACCTATTGACAAATACTTAGAAAAGAGAAAAAAGTGTAGCGTATATATAGTATATATGTATATACATATATGGAAAAAGAGACGATTTTGGGTAGGATCGACGTGTGTGTGATTGAGTTAAAATAGTATATTTAAACGGGGGAAGACAGAGGGGGAGGAGTGAGAGTGAGAGGGAGAAATAGAGGGGACACCCAGGCGAGATTATCGCTTCGTATCCAATATTACAACCTAACAAAATGTGTTTTGTTAGCCACAAGGAGAGAACGGCCATGACTAGGAAAGATGTGCGACACGTACCTGCTTGTGAGACGTACAAGCTGCCAGCTTGTCGCCATTTTTATTAAAGTGAACTTCAAATATGCCGCCATTGGCCTTGAATGTTTCTTGCAATGCGCCATCCTATATTGGTGCGTTACACACAGCAACAACAAAGTACATGATAATCAGCTTCCAGAAAAACGTGCTCTTCAAAAACACACCGAGAAGCCTCTCTACCCATCTATCTTCCCCGGCCCATCCCGAAAAGAAAGCACTGTTACCTTTGTATTCCACACATTTAGTAGCTCATCAAAACTGCCTGTTGCCAGTAATCGTGCATCCGGACTGAATGATATCGAATAAACGGCCTCTGTGTGATTCCGTAGTACATGAAGACACTCGCCGCTCAATGCATCCCATAAGCGTACAGTCGCATCAAAGCTTGCTGTAGCCAATATCCGTGGTCCGTTGTCTGTCTTTGGCGCCCACTGCAATGTGTAGATCTGCAACTGATGCCCCCGGATTTCCTGAACTGGTTGATCGGATGCCATGGACCAGATCTTGGTCGTCATGTCGTCAGAGCACGATGCGAGATACTGACCCGTAGGATCCCAGCGTACAGCATTTACTTCGTCGTCGTGTCCTGCCCATTTTCTCAGTGGTTCTGTTGCCCCTACGCGGCACACATAGATATTTCTATCGGAAGAGCATGATGCGAATGTGACATTGTCCATCCAATCGACATCTAGAATAGCTACTGCAGGCACCCGCGTTGGGAAAGAATTGTAAGTTCAACGAGCTCCTTAGATGGTGTTGTTGATTGCCAATACTTACGTGAATGGCAATTGAATTGCTGCTTCATTTCGCCCGTTTCCGTATTCCATACACATGTCGAGTTGTCTGCACTGCCGCTCAGAATAAGATCGCCCTTTTTGTTCCATTTCAGCGAGAATATTGGGCCACGGTGTTGTGCCATGATGAATCGTAGTTCACCCTTCAAGGTCCATATACGTGCTTGACCATCGTAAGAACCTGTAGCCAGCAGCGTACCCGATGGCTAGTAGTTAAAAGAAGATATACAACGGATATGTGAGTATAACTTATAAGCCTGTTTTATATAATCATAGCTTATCGCCCTCTTCCCCTCTCCTCTTCACTGTAATATGATATACAAACTTACATTCCAATCAAGCGTCGTAACATCCTTGCTTTCATTTACATTTGGTAAATGGCTCAATATCACAGGAGGAGGCACTGCCTCATTACCCTCTGGGACCCGCCATAATCTTGCTGTAGCATCACCGGATCTAATACATATTTATCATCCGGATTAATAAAATTCACTGTGACCTCTCTTTCCCAATTCCATCACAGTAAATAATAGACATACCCCGATGCTAGCAATAACGGCTCCACAGGATTCCATGAGCATGAAAACACCTCGCTTTGATGTCCCTTTAATACCAATACATCGTTTGGATCTACTACAGTCTGTGCTTTCGCCGCAGCTGGAGTCTCGGTCTTTGAAGTGGTTTCTGCCGATGCTTCTTGCATTTCCACTTAAAAAAATCAGTTATCGCTCGATTAGTAATAGTCTTCCACACGATTACCAAACATCTCACCCATCCCAAACGATATCTTTCGGAAGGATTCAAGAAATGTATATCGCTCATTCCCATGTATTCTGTTATTGTTATTTACCATCATCGCTTCCCCCTCCTGTTGCTGTAGTTGTGGCATTTTCTTCTTTAACGGATATTCCATTAATAGGTGCTCCTGAAGCAGCTGCAGCAGCAGCCGCTACGGCAGATTCAGTCTCGGTTCCCGTCGCTGCTGCTGCAGGTGTTATTGTGGATGTTGCTGCTGCCGCCGTTGTCGATACATTGTTGTTGTCTCGTCTTGCTCGTTTCTCTCTTTCTTTTTGTGCTTTTTCTTTCCGTTGTCGTTTCGCGCTAGGTGTGGGTGACAATGCTTGTTGCGAATCATTAAACGTCTTGCCAGTCAAATCACAGTGATGTGGTTCAAGTAGGGAAAACGGAACGTTACACTCCATCAGTTCTCCGTCCTTTTCAAATTTAAAATCGTTAATGTAAATATACAAATAATCGAGTCGCCCCGGCCCCCATCGAAAGGTCGTTATTGAAGAGTGGAAAAACGACATCAGAAGCCAGTGGTAGTTGTAAAAGCATATACCTCGTTCATGTGGGCTTCAATGTCCATAAACTGAAGACCTTTGTGGATGATGTTGATGAGTGCGCCAGGTTGAATCTCGGCGTCGCGATATGCTGAATTTTGTACTTGGCTTTCATGTTGAAACGCAAAAGATGAATGTCGAAAGCCTACAGTCAATGTACGTAGTCGATTGGTTGGTTGGTGGAAAGTGTTACCGTGCGTGTGTATAAATGTGTTTACGAGGTGCCTTTTTAGACTAAAAGAAAAAGAAACGCGCTTTTCTTTTTTGTCTTTCATGGGTGGCAATTCGTCATGTTCTTACCGGATTCTTGAAGATATCTGTAAACGATTATGTTTACTTGTTCGCTAGTAAGCGTCATATAGAAGTCGTATTGCCGTTAGTCGTATTATTAATATTACTTTTGGTGTGTGTGTGCGTGTGTGTGCGTGTGTGTGCGTGTGTGTGTGTGTTTGTGCGTGTATGTGTGTGTATGTGTGTGTATGTGTGTGCGTGTGTGTCGAAAAAGACAAAAGATTCAAAGATTTTTTAACGTGTCTTTAATATGTCGGGGTATCAAAGACTGGCGCTATTATATGAGGAAAGAGGGGGGGGGTCAGTGGAAGAGGAAAGTTATGGACGAAAGAAGATTTCATTATGAGATTAAGCGACAAACTATTACTGGCGGTGCATGATCCCTCGGATGACCTCTGAAAGTGTTGGCAATCCTCTTTGTAGCAGTGCATTGATAGATATAAATTACGGGAAAAATGATAAGCTTTTCTGCTCGTCGTTTAATATGTCATTATCAGTATTACAGTAGTCCTTCCTGAATCAAGCCAGAGGCATCGGTCATCTTATACGCTATATTTGCCATGTTTTTGCTTGTTCGTTATATTGCATTTTTATTTCCTCTTCGTAGAAATGCATCGCTTCTGTCAAATGTCCTTGCTAACTTGTCCGCAAGCGAGACATGCGAGCAACCACAATGAATTTGTCCTTTTATAGACGAACATGACCATTGCACCTATGGCTAAGTGGAAAAATAAAGTATAGTGGACCTCGTATCTATATGTATACGTTACTTGGCTAGTGAAAAGAGGAAGGAGGCCACTTCCCGCCTCCCACCTGGTACAGCCCTGGCATAGGGCAGGGGTCTTGTGTAGTTTTCCAACATGTTTATCTCGCCACTGATTTATTGCGATACTTAAGCTTTTTATTAGCGGCCGACGTTCATACGCCGCACATCTTCTTATCTACGTGTGGCATAACTGTAAAGGAGTCTGCGACCAACGTGATACTGACCAACACTATATCTGGAAATGCCAAGGAAACGCTCAGTCTGGGAACAAGTTGATGCCACCGTCTTTCTTGCCACACCTCATCTTCTCGACTACCAACCGCCTCCATCTTACGCAGACTACTCCACCCCAAATTAACAACAAATACAAGAAGCTCTCTTTCAACCTGTTTATTGCTTGCACTACCCTTGCTATCTGACAGGCGCACTGGAAACGTATTTTTGAGGACGCCGACTTCGTCTCCGATCACGTTGGTCAACAGGCAGTGAGCATGCTCACCCGCTTGCACCAAAAAATAGCTTAATAGAACACTGTGTATCTAACTTTGTTTTCCAATCAAATCGGTTTCTCACACCGATACAACAAAATGTCTTCTCGTACAAAAATAAACTGTAAAAGAGATCGCAATGAATACGTATTTTAAGAATCGCAAGGGCGAGATGGTTTACCTTCGTTGTACCTTTTTAATGGGCACTCTGTGGTGGATACAAAGGGAAGGATTGCGGAAACAAAATGCTTTAAAATTTACTTCTACATTCCCCTGATGAAAAAGGTCGCTCTCTCGTTTATAAGCACCAGAAGCCATGCATTAAAATTTACTGGGAAGGTCAAAATGTGGTAATCATTGAAACAGGTTGGTGAAAATAAGAGCCAGAACACTTAGAAGATGTAGCAGGTATGGAGACAATAAGCTAAACGACTTCAGTGACTTTCGATGGCCAATGTACACCATACTGTCTTGCTAGCACTGGGTAGATTTTCCACGAATCGAGGGCAGCAAGGACGAAATGAAATGTAACATCAAATCACGACTTCTACTAGTTCTACCTGCCATGGTAATGATATGAATGATTTAAAAAGTTTTCATGCAAGAGTAATAAAATAAGGCTGTTATAATAATCATCAGGACATCCTCGTACCTTCATGGGACCTTCATCGGGAACAATGCTCATATGATTTACTTTGCTGAGCCTAACAATTCGCGGGCTAGCTATACTGTACGGAGACTGTAGAGAGCTCTCTCCACTCGAATTGGAAAATCGGGCAGCGGCTTTATGTCTTCTTTTGATCTTTTAAGGTGTCGACGGTTTCTTGACGAGCAATCTATAGCAGTGCATTAGATTCCGTAAGATACCTACCAGAATGAATTTATTGTTGAAATAACTGTGTTGCTACACATACTGAGTGCTTGAAAACTGCAACTTCTAATGAATCTTCCTAATGTTGATAGAAAGACCAAAAGATGATATCATCCGTATGAAGGAGCAAACACAAACGGGATTATTTGCGGTATACTGTTCAGGATAAGGCTAGGTTTTTCGATCTGAAGATTGAAAAGTGTATGAGTGCATCAGCTGCCGCAACGCAGTTGGGTATTCATATTCGAATAGCACAGTGATGGCTAAAATCAGTATGATACAATGTGTGCCCTTTGGAGTATTTTCGAGAGATGAAAAAAGTAGGCCTTGAGTGTATCTTCACGGAAGAACATAAAACAGCTGTTATCAACTTCATTCATGCTATCATAATTCCTCTGCTACTGTTGTTGGAGTGACTGAGCATTTATTGATGATCTGAAAGTGTTCCGCAGCACTGTTTATAGCTTTATGAGAAGTGAACGCAGCCTTTCTTAGAAAACAGCAGATTCCTGACAAAGATTGAGGAGCGGTACGATTGGGATTGTAAATAGGAGAATACAGTCATTAACTTCCTATCGAATTATGTGTTTTTTGACGAGTCTGCTTTTGATATCAATATGAAACGTTCACGAGCCTGGTCATAAAAGATACTCACGCTATCGTAACCAGCCAACTACAACGTCTATCTTGGCGCGATTTCTGCCATAGGACTGATTACAGTCATTGTAAAAAATTCCATGCCTGCAAAGAAGAGAAGGGCTGAAGGATATGTTACATCAGGGACTGTAACAGCTCACTTACTATAAAAACGACTCTCGAAATGAACAAGCATCCACACATGAAAGGCCGTCATATGTTAATGGATAACCCAGCCATTCATACGCATGAGAACATAGAGAGATAAATCCCTGTTTATTCTCTAGAGCGTATCCCCAATAAAACAATTTCGGGCAGTGGCAAAGAGTAGGTTAAGCGTCACCGGTTCTGCAGGAAGACACTTTTTAAAAAAAAATCACGAAAGCATGTAACAGAGTGAAGAGAAGTCATTTGAAAGGCTTCGTTTCGCATCCTTACAAAGGCTGGGATAAATGTTGAAATGAGGAGCTCATATATTTTGGTCATAAACGACATGATCAAAGGCTAACTGCACGATAAGAATCTTTTTTTTTGTATGGGCCGATAGGCCAATATTTATTAATCCAAATCACACGTACAAAGCAGTGGTGTGTTGGAGATAATATGAAGAAGTAGAAAGTACAAAATAAGAGGACAGAGAGGGGCGAATATGAGTCTATTAATCTATGGCAGTGATCGTGGGGTGGCGAAGCTGAGCAAGCAGCTTTAGTGCCAGTGAGATCACCGTAGAGTGGTTATAAGGGACGCGGTCGAAAATCCAAGTCCAGTAGACATGGCACGATAAGAATCAAGCAACACAGGATTTTTCAGGTGTAAAACAAGCCAATCAAATCGTAGCTAAGCTTTGTTGGATAGGTATGAGTAGTTATGTACAGGTGTGGATAGGTATATGGTAGAATGCTAATTTGAAGGCGAGGACACTGGTCATCTTCAGACGGGAGAGACATGGAAGGGAGATACGATAACGACGGATTGTCGAGGTGGAGATTACCAAGTGGCTCGTTGCCTTTTGGTGAGATCATGTGGCGGTATCTCGGTCGCAGGGCAGGCGTGTGATGAACCAAGAGAGTCGCGCTTGTCCTTACACAGATCCATCTGGTTGCTGATGATGGCGCTGGTGGAACACAATTGATCTTTCAGGGCAAGAAGAGCGTCCATGGTATCAGAGAAACAGCGAAGGGATACTGTACACCGCGGGTACAAAGGCCATCTTGATCAAGATGGATCGACGACACTGCACCTTGAAAGCCGTCTAATTGAATGACTATGCCCATCATGGCATTGGCAGCATGCTGTTCAAACGAGGTGTCCAGCAGCTTATCCAGAATGTCTTTCCTTTCGCGCAGAAGTTTTGCAGTCAATAATGATCTTATCATTGGCGCTACCATCAAGTGCTGTTTCCGCCGCGGCAACGTCGATTATCTTGGATGTGTGGTGGTATTTAAGGACAAAGCAAACGTCAAACCTGAACGCAATGGGATGATGGCCATTAGCATACATCGCTCGCTTGTTGATAGCCGTAAACGCGTTGCTCGTTTCGTCGATCCTGGTTGAGAAGTCCATGCCAGCAAAGAAACGGTCAAACAGTGGTAACCACAGTTTAAAGCTATGTCATACTCAGTGGGTTGGGTTCTTTGCAGGGATCTAGCATGCTGCGATGAATGGTCAATGAATCAAAGAGCTGAAAGAGAAGTCCTAGGCCCGTCATCGAATCTTCAACGTCGTTTGCCACCATGGCTTTTAGGATTGCGAAACGAAGCCTCCGCGCTGTTCAGGCTTCCCGGTGATTTCTTTTTGACAAAAGAAAAGTGACACAAACTTCTGCGCCTTCTTGTTCCCGCTGCTAGGTTACCACAGAGGCCATGTGGCCCTGCACTATCAAGCCATTCATCATAACATACTAAGCGCTCAAACATACATGCAAATTTCAAAAATTACTAAATGCAACAATTTATATGCAACAGTTACAAGGGCAGCTTAGATATGTGGTTGTTGATAATACAAAACAACAAAATATCAGAAAACTTCAATCGTGCCTATTCGTATCATGTCGTTTGCATCGTTGTCATCGCTGGGTAGGCGGTTCGCGTTGGCGCTGGAATTCAATATGCTATATCCATCCGTTGCATTTGGCGCCTGCTTGTCTAAAGCATTTCCCACCAGTAGTGTGCCAACAAGTTCAGCTTTCAATTCATTCTTTGTTTTGGCATGATTGACAGTGCTATGAATGGCCACCTTGTCCATGACGCGCGAGTATGCCCTTAAGAATCGATCTGAGTTGCACGGGCATGCTTGTTGTGTTTTTATTGATGGAACGCAAGGGATGTTTGAATAGGTTAAATGGCTTTAGAGCCTTCGACATCTGGAAGCTGCTGGTTGATGCTTGAACAAACGATATCGAAATCTTTCCACTTGTCGACATGAATATCTGCAAGGATTTGATTTGTTTTATAGCTTTCAATTTGCTTTTTGTCAAAGTCAAAGTCATGTGGCAGACCGCGGGGTTGTGGGCACATGTCAACAAGAAGAAAGAGTCGAGTGGAGGAATAAAAGTAAAATAAGAGCTATTTTCTCGATATAATCCCTCTTCAGTAAGCAGCCACTCAATCATCTTCCGCGTTCTCCATGGTTTGTGGTCTGCTCATTTGCTTTATGTCCTCGATCTAGTTCCTTTTATCCATGGCACCATCTGTCGTGACATCCATTATCTTATTCACCGCATACCCTTAAGCTTCTTGTTTCATGGTGGAGCACCCATTACATCCTTAAAACACCCCACATCATACCCACAACAACACCAACAAAATGCGCACTGACAGCACCAATTTAAATGCAACACAGTCTCTAACTATCCACTTCCGTCGCTTTCTCGAGTGATTCTGTGTTCTTCCTCCTTTTGTAACCCTGAATAGACAGGAACATTCAAAGAAGAATGGATGCATGGCACAACCGGTTATGGCAGTAACCGAATCCGACTGCTATTCAAAGACCGACGGCAGGACTTTTCGTCGGTTTATCCGGGTTGAAAAGCCTCTTGTTCCGACAAGGCATAAACAAACGATTCTATACACCATAATCACACAATGTCGCCACCACCATCGATGACACCACCACCTGGTTGTCCTATGCATCAACCTTCAGAACCAGAGCCAAAGAAGCCCGAGGTATCTCCTCCACCAAGCTGCCCTATGCATCAACCCGAAACACCAAAATCAGCACCACCACCACCCAGTTGTCCCATGCATCAACCAGGCGACAGTGGCAATGGCGCTCCAGTGACGGATAAGTTGAACGAACTCAACATGATGCCCAGTCAACTCTCACAAAACCGTCAAGAAGACCAAACGGTCGACTTGCCTACCGAACGAGTGATCTCGACCATTCCAAAGGCGGATGCAAGCTCAAAGTGGGAGTATCCAAGCCCACAGCAGTTTTATAACGCTCTGCGACGCAAGGGCTGGGAGACACCTGAAGAAGAGATTGAAACCATGGTGGATATTCATAACTTTTTGAACGAAGAAGCATGGCAAGAAGTAATAAAATGGGAGGAAATGCGCGGCGCCTGGTAAAGTGTCTCTATGCATTAAAAGACGGATGTACATTGGTACACTTGAGATCTGCATCCTGCTAACTGTTCTCGTAGTCCCTGCGATGAGGATCCTTATCTTGTTCGGCTTCAAGGACGACCGAGAGATTTAAGCCCCAAAGCCTGGTGGCACTCGCTGTGGGGGTAAGTTGGGGAGAAGACACTGTAATACTGTGGGAAATGTTCATTCTTTACAAACATTTATCTTAGAGCTCCACGACCATTTGATCGACACGATTGGTACGTTGGTCGGTGCGGTGAACAGCGACGGTATGTGATTGACTACTATGAAGGAGCAGAAGATGTTCCTGGCGTCCCCGTGTTCTTCTTGGATGTGCGTCCTGCACTGGACGATCCGACCAGCATCTTTTGCCGTATGAAAGCAGCTGCTTCGGAGAAATGGGCAGAATGGTTCCCCGGCAAGCCATCCCCAGATTCCAGCGCATAAGCAAACCCTCGATCATCAACACCATCCTGCTATCATTGTATACACGCCTTTCATCCCAACATCCACGTCATTAACAAAGTTACACATACACACCCTTATTCCACTTTAATATAGAAGCAAACAAAGAAGAAAAAACAGAAATGTAATAACGAACGAAAACAGGGAATAGTAATTTTTCATTTGTTCTTTTCGATGATTAACGAACGTAGGTCTTTTTTTTTGTGTGTGTGTGCTAGATACTATGTGCTGAGAAAAAAGAAAAGGAGGAAAAGAGGAGGGAGTGATGGAAGATGATGTAGGAAGAGAGGGAGGGATATATAATGAGAAAGGACGGCTGACAAAGTACAAGTAGAAGAAGAGGATGGGATGATGTTGTTGTTGTTGTAGAGGAGAAGAGGGCAAGATAAATAATAACAATAAAGAGAGCTTTCACTTGTTTGCATCCTTGTTGGCATTGCGCTGCTGTATTTGTTTTTCTTCGTACACCCGCATTTTGCCAAGGAGCGAGCGACCCTGTTTGAAGTCTTTGTAGGTCCGCACAAGACGCGACTGAGGGCCAAGCGTGTTCTGGAAGATGAACATCCAGTGGACCATGATCCACGACGTATGGTACGAGAGCTTGTCGTAGTAGTCGCGTGCTGTTGACCGAAGCTTCGGCAGCTTTGACCATGGGATCTACAATTATCCCACTTTTTTGTTAATAGCCGCAACAAGCGACACTCTCTTGTACATATCCGTTACCTTTTGGAAATCGTGATGCTCGTTGTGGTAGCCAATGTTCATGAACGGGATATTGAGGATGCCATAGTAGGAGTACGTCTCTTGGCCATCGTCAAAGGTATAGTGTTCCTGGATAAAGTGGGCAGCGCCAGGATGCAACGAATAGCCGAGATAGAGGGACAGGAACAGATAGCCAAGACCGCGCCATCCACAGGTCTTGGTGATGAGCGTATCCATAGCAACTGTGAACACGGTGTTGATGATCTCCCATTTGGACGGTGTCAGGTTGCGGTCGCTCTGCATAACGGCGCCACGAATCACGTACATGAACGGGTAGATCATGATCCACAGCAGCTTGCACAGCGCGTTGCCTTGGATCAATGTTTTCTCCCACTCCAGGGGCAAGTCTGGATCAAGTCCCTCGACGCCCTGCCACGAGTGGTGCTGTATATGGTAGCGGCGGAACGACTGGGCAATCGGTACCGGAAGACAGATATTCGCCAATAAACCCACGTACCGGTTGAGTATTTTAGTCTTGGTCACCAGACAGTGACACGCTTCGTGTATAATCACGCCAATGACCCCCGTCAGGGTTGCTCCAACAAAGTATGCGACTCCAATAAACACGTACGCTGGTGGTGTCCACACGCGGCCAAAGTAGTATGCAATCCATAGCTGCACCACATTGATGGCAATGGCGACGTAGAGTGTCCGAATATCCGTGCCGTACAACTTTTCAATTTCGGGATGTTCTCGAAGAATGGTGTGCTTTCGTTTGAGATGGGGCTCGTCCATGTCATCGCGGGCGAAATCTTCGTGTACGTACGGAATAGAGCGTTTCCAGCGGCCCAGGTACAGCGGAAAGCGGTAGTCCGGGTGTTGCGTCTCCTGGTGTTGCGCTGTCTGTTTCTGCCGTGACACGGGCACAGAGTCTTTATCGATGGTCTCGACAAAAGGAGGCATGGCGAGACGTGTTGTGGGGAAGCTGGAAGCGAGGAAAAAAAGAGAGGTGCTTGCTTATTTTTTTTTTTTGGTGCTCGAGGGAAGTCGACGGGCTGGAGAGAGAGAGAGAGAGAGAGAGAAATAAAAAGAGGGGCAGCAAAAAAGAGAAATAGCCAAGTTACAAAAAAAAAAAAAAAAAAAAGTCAGGCGACGGAAATAGACTGCGTGGTCTTTGCTGCCTTGTCCTCCTGTAACGATCGTCTGTTCCCTTTGTGTCGGAGGAGGAGGGCATTGAAAAACAGCAACGAGAATTCTTATTTCATCGTCAACGGCTCAATGGATAAACATAGTAGTAGCTAGCTCATACTCGCTCATTTTTTTTTCTATTCGTTGATCCTAAAACGCGTTGTTTTTTCCGGAACTGTCCACATGTCCTTTATCTGATGCCGAGCACTCTGTGTGTGTGCAAAATAAATCAGGGTCACGTTGGGCAAGTAGCACAACCCGTCCCGAAAATGTTAGAGTGGCATTGCAGACCTTATTTAGCGAATCCGGGCTCAAGATGCATGTCAACAACTCCTGCATGAGATGCCGTGTGCATCACCCCAGTGGCTGTCTATCATAGAAAACCCACCTTTCAACCATGTTACACAAAGGTGTTGCGCCATCGCAGAAGACAAGTCGGCTGCCATACCTGTGTTATACGTAGCGACTCAGGCCATGATGTGCGATGCAAAGACTTTTATACACAAGCATGCATCATGCCCGCCAGCTATATACAGAGATAATCTATATGTCACAGTAGCTGAAGCGTAACCCCAGCCAATGTACATGCACTGAAAGCACGCAGACGTATTCCTTCTACTTGCTGATGAGATGGGGTGCTGGCTTATTTCGATCTAGTGCTAGCTTTTATTAGAGTTATCTTTTTTATAGCCACTTGTAACTTTGTGACAGCACTTATAACGGTTACTCAATATTGATTTCAAGAAAGCAATGTGTCGAAAAGGTAAGCGTCTAGAACATGAGATGCTACTTAGAGCAGCACTTGACCGTAGAGCAGCCAGATCCACATGAACAGTTGTTTGGATAATCAAGTCTCCCATTGGACAACTTATAGCGAGAAGGCATCCTATCACATTCGATACCAAGGATGGGTCACTCACAAGAGAATGGCCACAGTGTCGTGGTTTTGAAAAAGACGGTGCGGAGGCTATCCCCTGACCTTCTTTCGTGGCTGGTGATGGCTTACGATTGTGGCAATTGTTCAACAATTGGTTTAAAGGAAAAAGGTGGTGGTGGTGCCTTTTGTATTATTTTTGATCTTGTTCATGTAATACTCTATTGAAAGTTATGTACTATGTTTTAGATTCCTTGGTGTATATGCATATGTCGCTGGCTGGCTGCCTGACCTGAATCAGCAGGCTATCTTGAACAGGCTTTGATAGATCGACAAAAGATGAAGGAGTGGGTTTATTCGAACAAGATATAGATGATTGCATGGATAAGCAAAGGTGGATAAGAAGAAAGGAAAAGGAGGAGTGGTGCCTGTGCTCTTTATGATCTAATTCCTGACAAACGGCTCTGAACTGAAGAAGAAAGGTGGAAATCTATCTGTGGCGAGGGAAGCTCATACGGCCGTCCAAGCAAGTAACTTGCTTTTCTTCGGGTGTCGTGATCACTGCGCGGACTGAGTAGCGTCCCTACAAAGAAAGAGGATGACGGATGATTAGAAATACTGTAGAGTTCGGGGAATTTTCCTGATTCCTATGATGCCATTACTGCTATACTCACGGGTGCTATATGCATATACACACACACACACACACACATACAAGAATAAAACAAGGTTTTCGGTATTAGTCCTACTTCATCCAATGAGATCATGGTTATGGGAAAAAGAAAAAAAAAAAGAAACCACTTACGGATTTCCTTGGGCAGATCAACTTGCTTCGTAAGTTGGAGATCGCCCTTCTCGATAGGGCATTCTTCATCAACCTTGTCGGCCTCTTGGCAAAAATCAAACTTCTTCTTGATCAGCTGGACAACACCGTACTTGACGGTAACTTCAACAGTGCTGCCCTCAGGCACTTGTTCTTTCAAGAAACCCTTAAAATCAACCGTCAACTTTTCCCCCGCCTTTGGAGGATCAGGGTTCAACGTGATATCCTTGATTCTTAATGATACGTAAGGGGTGTGATGTTGTCAGTATGCATGAATATATATATATGCAGTCTCATTTGCGACTGTCTCTAGGCCACCACTTTTTCAACCAGCACCCTTGTCGTAATCTTTCTAATTTACAATTCTACTGCGTGCGATGGGAAAAAAAAAAAGAGTTGTACAATGGAGGTTCTTGACTTACTCCAAGAGATCACTGTCGTCACCACAATGAGTTATCAGGTCGGTAGACGACTCGTATGCAGGCTGGTCATTCTGAGAAAGAAAAGAAGGGATTATTGCTGCTTCAATAACAGCAATGCTCAAGGCAAGGAGTAATAGGGACAATGTCCAATTCTTCATGGGTAGCAAAATAGTGGGAAACCGGGAAAGATAGTGTGCTCGTTCCCCCAAGCAGACTGACGAGGTATGGGCGGCTTTTATTGGAGCGCCGAACCAACACTGCCTGGGTTTATTGTACACCTGCCTTTTACGGGTAGGATTCGCTCAGAGCAAAGCATTTGCTTGACATGTCTGCCCTTTATCCTGGGAAAGTTTTGTAAATTTTGAAATCCAGCATATATAAAATGGCTTTGCCGATGTTTTGTTTTAATGTGCCAACCCCACCCCTCTCTTCCCTTTTTTTCCTCATTCTTCTTGTCCTGTTTACTAAGACCGCCTCAGAATGCTTCGAAATCTGTGGACTGTTCGCGCTAGATCGCGATCGCTCCTGCCTTCTTTGCAATGCACCCGATCGTATGCTACACCAACTCCAGCAAGCCTTGAAGAACGAGACAAGAAGTTGAACGAATTAAACGTAATAACAGTAAGCAACAAGTTTTGTCTGTCAACTATCAACTCAACATATACGCACACAACGGATGTATAGGAAGCGGTGCAGCGCTGCATGGCCGACAAAAAGGTGCTGGAAGAACGCAGCACCAAGGAAGTTGCCACGCAACGAGACTACGCGATCCAAAAGTTTGCCAAGGATCTGCTAGACACCGTTGACGTGCTGGGCATGGCCAAAGCATCGATCCCTGCAGAGTTTCGCAATGCGGAATCAATTCAGAAGCATACTGCGGATGAGATCGTTGACAAGCTGACCAATCTTTATACCGGTATGACCATGACCGAAACCGAACTCGTCAAGACGCTGAAACGCCATGGTGTGGAAAAGTTGGAACTGCAACAAGGCAAACAGTTTGATGCGACCAAGGCTCAATCTGTGTTGAGCAAAGAAATCCCAGGCAAGGAGCCGGGCACAATCTTTACGGTCAAGAAGTCTGGCTACACCATACGAGGACGTATGCTACGACATGCTCAAGTAGGCGTTGTCGCAGAAAAGTAAGGAATCTTCCTGATACTCTCTCTCCGCGAACCTTCCTCCGATCATTCGGCATGTGACCGCGAGAAAAGTTATAGTATGGCCTGATTCACTCATTGAAAACAAAAAAAAAAAAACAATTGTCATTTGTTTGATAGGCGGTCATACGCTGCACAAGCGGCTACACAGAGGGCCTCACAGCCGCCGTCGCAGGTCAATAGCTTAAAGACGACATTGTGCTTTTCAATTACGGATAAGGTGGGTGCCCTGGAGAACTGCTTGACTGCCATCAAGGCCATGGACGTCTCATTGACCCGTATCGAGTCGTAAGTGCGATTTGGATCGATACTGTGGGAATACAGTGTAATCTAACATTTGAGAACAGACGACCCAGCCGTACTTCAGATTGGGACTATGATTTCTTTGTGGATCTGAAGGCTCGCGACGCCGTGCAAGTGAACAATCTGGTAGAAGGTCTTCGTGCGCATACAGCGGACGTACGTGTTATCGGCGCTGATGGCAATGCACTGGGTAGGAAGGAGGCATCATCTTCATCACTATGAGTCTTTAGATTGCAGGAAAAAAGGTACTGACAACCCGTGGGAATAATCGTGGGAAAATTTCTGCAGATAGTGTGCCATGGTTCCCACGTAAGATGACAGATCTCGACACGTTTTCTGAAAAGGTGCTTGAGATGGGCGGGGAGTTGAGTAAGTTTTTCCTATCATCATCATCATTACTGGGTTAGGGTACGTTTACCTATCTGACAACGGACTCGGCGACTCACATGCCCCCCCCTCCTTCCTTTCATATAAGGTTCTGACCACCCCGGTGCTCACGATCCCGAGTATCGTGCTCGTCGAGCCGACATTACACGCATGGCAAAGGCATTCCGCACAGGCGATCCTGTCCCTCGCGTCGATTACACTCCTGCAGAAAACGACGCATGGGGTCAGGTCTATCGTCGACTGACGCAAATGTACAAAACACATGCCTGTCGTGAGCATCAGTACGTCTTCCCATTGCTTGAACAAAACTGTGGCTACAGCGACAAGGAAATTCCGCAGTTGGAGACTGTGTCGCGCTTCCTGAAGGATTGCACAGGTTTCCAGATCCGTCCTGTCATGGGCTTGTTGACAAGTCGTGACTTTTTGAATGCCTTTGCCTTCCGCGTCTTCCATTCGACCCAGTATATTCGCCATCCTTCGCAACCCTTCTATACCCCTGAGCCCGATGTGTGTCACGAGTTGCTCGGCCATGCACCTTTGGTAAGTAACTGCTGTGCTACTATAAATATTTGGCATAGTCGATGGCGTGTCCTAAACAATAGGCATTTGCACCAATGTGCGCTTCTGTTTCTCTCTAGTTTGCAGATCCCGACTTTGCAGACTTTTCACAAGAGATTGGTTTGGCTTCGCTGGGGGCTTCGGACGAAGACGTCAAGAAACTCGCCACCATTTTCTGGTTCACTGCAGAGTTTGGTGTGTGCCGTCAAGGAGATGAGCTCAGGGCTTATGGTGCTGGTTTGTTGAGCTCATTTGGCGAATTGGAATACAGTTTGTCGGACAAGCCGGAACACCGACCCTTTGAGCCAGAAAAGACTGCTGTTACAGAGTATCCCATCACAACGTTCCAACCAGTTTACTATGTGGCCGACTCGTTCAAGGATGCACAAGAAAAAGTACGCAACTTTGCAGCCACAATGAACCGTCCATTCTCGGTGCGATACAATGCATTAACACAAACAATTGAGGTGCTCGATACCAAGGACAAAGTAGTTCGTTTTGCCAAAGGCATTAGAGACGATATGAAGACATTAACCACCGTAATTGAATCACTTTCTCATTAAATTTATATAATAGTACAATGACAGAAAAAAAAAATTTACAATATATTATGATCTCCCTGATCTATCTAGTATGTTTTCCCCTTATCTTACAAGAAAAAAAAAGAACAGGATCATTTAGTGGTTTCCTGTAAACCGCTGGACTCGACTTGCAGGCGAACCATGCATTGGTGGAAGTGGAGGTGGAGAAGTGCTTCGAGCATTGTGGAGTGGGGGTGGAGGTGCGGAGGACGGAGGCGCGTATATTGGTGGAGGATATGGAGGACTTGCGGCCGCAGGACCATTGTATGCGGTAGGATCGACCCATCCGCCGGATGATCGCATTCCTGGTGGTGGTAGTGGTGAACCTGGAGGAGGTGGATGTGGTGATGCAGTTTGTGGCCGGCTATTAGGTCCGTTGTTGTAATAGCCTGGCGGTGGCGGTGCTACTTGGCCGTTCTGGAGTGCTCGTCGACGTGCCTTGTACGCAGTGAGACCAGGCCAGCAACAGCAGCCTCTAAAGAAGCATCGGAAGAGAATGAAAAGCAGGATGAGGGCTAAAACAACGCCTACTGGAATAGCAATCTCCTTGTTGTTTTGAAGCCATGCTAGTGCTCGGTTGCTTGATCCTCCATAGTCGCATGATCCGTCTCTGCACAGACCGGTTCCACCACAAGGCGTGCCGTCCAAAAAGTTACCATTGAATAAGGTACAGCCGTAGCCACTCGCGCTGGAGCAGGAAATTTGACAACTTGAACTCATTCCTGAACAGGCACTCGTAATGGACAGCTCGGAACCACGTTCCTGACATTGTTGATCTCGCGATGTACACTGGCCGGATGCACATTGTAGGCCGCTGTTTTCGCCACCACACGAAGTGGAATCGTCCACAAATGCATCTTCCGGACAATCCCCGCTATTACCGTCGCAATATTCAGCAATATCGCATTCACTTTGTGCTTCACGACAAACTGTCTCTGCAGGACCTAATTGGCAGTTGTCGCAACACAAGTCGGTTACATCACTATTTATCGTACAGCGATTAAAAAAATATCCTTTCATGTACACAAGACTCAATATCAGCACTTACTCGCAAGTAGCGTTGTTAATGAATGTACAAGTTTCTGCGTCACAACAACTGCTGCTAGTTCCTCCTGGATCACAGTCTTCACCGTCTTCTTTGATACCGTTACCACACATTTGCAATGTCTGGACAGTACGGCTACCGGGAGCTATTATGATTATATACATGAGTATTCTGTAATTTTGATGGCTAATTTTTCATTCTTTACCTTCCAAACATGATCCCATCGAAGAGAATAGGCCACAGATAGTGTTGATTGAGCAGGGACTGAACGCTTCACTCGAGACGTTATTTGTAGGATTCATGATATATGTTCCTCCAGCATCGCATTCGATATCACTCAGTGGGCAGCAACTACATGATGACCCACTACATGGACACGTATCGGATGTACAGTCATGAATGGCACCTGTATCGCCGATATAGCAGAAAAAAAGTTAGTGTTTCTATATTCTATTTCTTTTTTTTGACAGATTGCATTAGCGTTTGACTTACCAAAACCGTGGCCGATTTCGTGTGCGACAACTTTCCACTCGTCACGAACTACAGCAGTGAAAACAATCGTTCAGGTTAAGTCTTGAATATCCAAATCATCGCGAGATATGTTTTTTTTTTCTTTCACTTTGGGCAACGTTAACTTACGGACTGAGGAAACACCGGTTCCTGATACATATTGAGTTACGCCTCCAACACTTTGCTCATTTACACCCATGTTACAAAGCTGTTGCAACCAAGCAACACCAACTTCCACGCCCGTTCTAAAGATAATTTAGAAGCCATCGGTCATATCAGTATTTTCGGACGACGCTTTCTTTTTTCCTTTTTTCAACTTACGCGCAGTTTGTCATCAAGTGCCACAAGCCAGCGCCATCACCACTCATGTACGAGCGCCATAAGCTAAAGTCGCTCAATCGATCACTTATTGTATAACTGTTGGAGCATTCTCGGTTCCAAGTCGGGTCTGGTGAAGACGGACAAATTTCAGACATGATTGTGATATTGATCAACCCCAATTGAATGTTGAACGTGTTTTCGTAGACTCCTGAGGCAGTATTCCAATTATTGATGATTTGCGTCCGTGCGTCTTCAACCGATCCATAGTTTCTGGTGTAAGTACAGTCGGCAGCCACGCCCATGTAATTAACTGAAATTGTTGAGAGTTAGCAATATGTTAGGTTAATGTCGCACAAAATTTCCAAAATAAGGAAGACTTACTTAGCGTTGAGCTTGGACACCCACTGGTATCCTGCCGTTTGGCCAAACCACTGCTTCCACCGACAGGAGAGTCAAACAAGTGGCCAGGGGTGTAAATGCCCATCTCGCCTGCAGCAGGATGGCCCGCGCGCAAAACTGGATGCTGGAACTGGTTACCACTGTTGAAGGCTAATCTATCGAAACCGCACCCTCCACTATGGCTGTCGTCTTCGTTGTCGGGTGAGACAAGTGTGGTATCGGAGTCACGGTAAATGACCATGTGGGCATTGTCTTTGTTGGTTAATTCAGCATCATCCAAACGCTTGGATAATTTGTAGTTTCGGGTAGTCTTTATGTGATGCATTTCGCCGTTCATTGTAAATGCACCTTCAAACACAGGATAGTCCATGTCGGGTCTAAACCAACGCATATTATCGCAAGCATTGAGATGAGTGTCGTTGTCCACCATCAACATCATCATTATCATCAAGAAGTAGCTAGTAGGGAAGCTACTCTTAATAATGCTTACCTGGTTAAATCCTGTCGAAGAATCACTCGAGCCCAACCGAGATGCTGGGCGTCATCGATATCATTCGAGTATTGTTGTTCTGACACACCTGCCCGGTCTCGTTTCCATCGATGGTGGGTATCCGAGTCACTGACGACGTAACCTCGGTAGATTCGAAACTGTTCGTGAGTGAGGGGTGTGCCCTCGCCATTACGCCATGTCACTGCATTCGGGTGGAATAGGTCGAGATTTGGGTGCAAGTGGAGATTAATAGACTGGTTGTAGGCACGAAGCGTTAATCGTAAAATGTCATCGTGTTCAATACTATGGCTGGAAGGTGTATATGCAGGGTTTTGTGTCAAGCTTCGTTTCCTGAAAAAATTCTCAGGGCGAGGGGCAATATCGAGCTGAACTGTCCTCAACGGTTCGACATGCAACAGTTGTCTATTGTTTACGCTGTGACCTAAAAATAATAACAAAGCGCACCCCCTAACTGTGTGAATATGGACTGGTGCTGCATTTACTGTAATTGTGCTTCTAGAAACTTGTCTAATGAAGAGGTATCTACTTTACCGGATACACGGTGTAATGACAGTAATACGGCTGCGACGATGAACAGTAGTGCAGTTGTTCCTCTCGAGGAAGACAAAATATGAATCATCAAAATGCAATGCTGTCGTGTTTACTGCTGTTGTTGTATGTGAACAGGGTTAGAAAGAAAGACGAATTTCAGGTGGTCTTGTCCCCTTTCTTGTTATATGTTATTGTTTCCCTTTTTATGGCTGCGGATACAATAAGGGGAGCGGAGAGAAGGTAAAATGAAGAAAAGAAAGAGACAAGAAGAGAGGGAAACAAAGCTTACACGAAGACTTTGTATGTGAGCTCAAGCTGTGTGTGTGAGGCACAGCTTCAGCGGCTTCTTAAAAATGGGGCGAGCGGAAAACCGAGATTTTCCTTTGAATCGCCATAACAGGAAACGAGTTTGTGGTCCATGCCAAGAAAACCCACTCAGTCTTTCTTCTTCTCCATTTTCCCCCGCTTCCTCACCATAAGATCTGCCCTTTCCAACTAATTCCGGCCGCACCGTACGACCCATGCTTCGAGCTATGCGATGGCCCCATCTCGCTCTTCTAGCCCCGGTGATGTTATTGTTATTGTTTGCCAAGAAGGATAGCAACACCATTTTTTTCCATCTCATCATCAATCAACTGACAGGTTGCTGGAATTTACCGAATTTCCAGTCTTACTGCTCCCGCTGTTTCGCTTGTTCGGCACGGAATCTCCGAAACCGATTACACTTGCAAAGGATAAAAATAAAAACAGAGTCCCGCTAAAGACGACATATGCTGCATTAAAGCACAGCGAAACAAACTGTTACGAGAAGTTTATATCCATGGGCAACCAATCCAACTTGCCGTTGCTGTCATCTAATGGTAATAATGCTCCATTTAAATTGCTGCAACATATCAGCCACGCCCCACAATCACCAGACCTTGTCGGTGTACATCCCTTGAACCTTCGCCTGCATTTACCCCTTGCTCTTTCACCCCCACCGTTCGCATTTGCTATATGCTTTACTATTTGTTGATTCTGTAATCAGAGAGAGGTAGCGGAAACCTATACAATCTAGTCTAATCTTTGTGTACATTATAATTCTGATATGAGCGATACGGCTATATTTATGTTCATCCAAGATAATTGAAACTGGTCCCTGCTAGTTACAAAAGCCCATGGTAAATCTACTACTGCTAGTAAAAAATACAGTTTTAAAACTACTGCTTCTTGCCTATACGGCGGCCTAGGGTATGTTGCGTCGGACATCAATCCTTGATGTCATGTAAGACAATCAAACACAATATGGTGAAGAACAACGAGGCATATTGCTACGCTTGTATAATATGTGCATAAATGCAACAATATGTGGTTTAACTTCGTTCTTGTAATACTCCTAAGAACAGCGGCATCACTATCAGCAGTATTAGCCACAGCGTATCATCATGCTAATTGTAAAGTAGTCTGAGAGACACCGTTCACAAGGAGCATTGGGAGACCATACCGGAAAAGGTAAGCAATCGTTATCCAGACATCTGAGACGATTAGAAAGAATGACAGCTTACACCACACAGCAGCAAGAAACCATCTACCGTTATAGTCAAGATAATGATGATGCTGCGAGCAAGATGCATACTCAATGCCAAGAAACAATCGTTGTCTATTCTTAACTTTTTCTCCTAACATAGTATAAAAATTGGGGTGGTGATCGCAAAGAAGCATCTTATAGAATTTCATGGTTGCACAAGTGTAGTACAGTAAAAGTTGATCTGAGCTCATTCTCATCATCGGTTTGTGCCGTTCTCCTTTTATCATCGCACCTTCTTTAAATGACAAAAAAACAATACGTATACCTCCGGTATGGTAACTGCAAACTTTGCTGTTGACGAATGAAATTGCAGCGGTTGGACGTGCTGAGTCTGAGCCAAGGTTTCTATAAGAATACCCAGATGGGTAGATACGGTGTCTGTTTCTTGCAATGTGATGGATCCAAACAGTTGATAATTGAGGTGAAGCAAAGTGCACTAGTAACATTGAGCAGCATCATCACTAACAATATCCTCTGTAATTAACCTTCAGACGGGGATGAAGCACAAGAAGGCGATTGGACCCGGGAAAGTGTAGTATTACCAAGAACGCCATTGGAAAATAAAAGTTTCAGAACGCCAAAGTACTTGTCAAATGGTTGTTAATGCGCAGGGTGAAATACGCAGAAGATGATATAAATTGGCAAGAAAGTTTCATGAGAGATGATGGTTGGACTCGATCGTGTTCGGGTTAGATCAGCAGGTGTAGCTAAAAAGCAGAGGACCCCGTTCCACGTATATGATATGTGGAGCGACAGCCGCAGAGAAAATTCCCGAGTTGAGGACAAAGCGGACATGTCGGTTCGTCTACCGCCGCGATCGAGCTGGAAATCCGTTTTAATGCCGCAGCTTTTGTTTGGCAAAAAGGAGTTCCACAGAAAAGTAGTCATTGAGACGATGGACGTGCTCGTATCTCATAATGTTCAAGTTACAACTGTTTGTACGCTTGTAATTAGACGGTATGATAGAGTCTTCAAATTAAATAGATACGCGATACGCCAAGTTTTTTCCAAGGTCAAAAGTGGTATGCATACATATTGCAGTTCTAACATAGAGCTATATATCCATATGTGAGAATTGGCAGCCTCAGCCAGTTTCACTATGAAGAGAAAGCTTGCTGAATGCACCAGCACTGTGGATTCTGATGAAGACGACCACGAAGGTGATGCAATCAACAGCAAAGAAATAACAATTACCACCACCATATTTTCCCTTGACAACAAAAACAACGACACCCGCTCGCTTCTCACACCGTCAAGCTATTATTCTGGCCTCTAGCACTAGTCTTATTACGGACTAGGATACACAAAGGTTACGCTTGCAAAGATGGGCCCATGGGTTCCATTAGTCTACGATCAACATGAAGAACATTTGGATTTCGCCAGCTAAAGCATCATTATTACTATGGAGAAAACCCACGATTGACGTTAGAGCACCCCGCGTGATAGCAGCACCTAGATAGCACAAGAGATGATAAGCCTTAATGGTCATCTTTTACAACCTAACAAGAGCGCGGAGTACTTCTATATATTGAAAATGAATCAAGTGGAGACTAGCATTTAGCTTCCTTTGATACAGTAGCAAAGTTGCAGCCCCTAAATTTTCAATAAGGCAAGAAGAACTGGCAAGATTATGATATCTAAATTTGTATTGAAAAGAAGTATTTCCTTCAGAAACGTTTTTCTAATCGATGTATATAAAATCTTCCGCGCCAGTAGCAGCGATGAACGTATACTAGTAACAGACGATTCTCTTCTACTAAGGCTTAAGATTACGGCTCTATTGTTACGATGGAAGCAAGAATTTTCCTCTGCGCTTCTTCCCACAAATACCGACAGAGAATTTGTTATTATCAGTGAGTGACTGGAACTATGATAGTGCAGTCACCTTCTGGAAACATATTTAATGGCGTATAGACACTCTACTGCCGACAATCCGGGTTGTGCTTAAAGGCTATCGCCATCTTGGAGCTTTGCCTCGTTAAGATCATTCAAACTGTTGAAGGGAACGATCTCTCTATTATAAAGACGTGGAGGTTTAAAGACTTCTCCATATTTTGATGATATATGCATCGCGGTATATGTCCGAATTCTTCATTTCTGCTGTCGAGCTCAAAGAAGTAGGCTAATGAAAATTATTATAAACAAAGTACGCGAAGTTGGATACCAACCTCGCAAATCCAAGCTTAATATCGCTCTACTTTCTTAACATATCATTGACTGTGCAAGTATGTAGCAGATCCAATCCTGTTACGCAAGTTGACAATTATATGTGACCTTCGTTCCGATGAGATTATGTAAAAAATGATCTATAAACTGTAATTATAACACTTCCGGGTAGATATCAGAGTGATACTGTATATACCGCAAGGTTCATACCTGTATCAGAATGTCTGAAGAACAACAGTATATCAGATGAATGCCAAAGTATCTGTGTATCATATGAGCTTCAAGATATCATAGAGCCAGTAATATCATGCGGATGGTGATCAGCATCCTTCAGAGTAACTCTTTTCAAGATAATTCTAGAATTGATCTAACATTATAAATTACGTTGCGACGGTTACGTCTAGTTAAAGGGAGTATTCTTTGCAGCTTCTTTTTCTTTGAATTGTTGCCTTGTCTTGTTGATATATTAACCTGTAAATGTCCTATTATCTCTTCTGACGCATAGCTCATAATCGCTTTTCGGGTGAAAAAAAGAGATTCTCGTTCTATCATTGTATATCTATTGTTAATGATAGATGATGTCTTGTTTAGAGCAAATCTCGAACATTTGGGATAGAGCAAATCGTTGGTGTTGCTACTTTCGAAAGTATCACTTGTTTGAGAATTTAATATCATAATTTCCCCTTGCAATCACTTAAGATCTGCTTTGCTAAAAGGATTTTATATGAATTAAAGAACTATTGCAGAGTGGTGAGTTTATCCTCTCTATCAGCGTAGACATATTGGGCTGTGGATTAGAAAGCAACAACGGTAAGATTTCGCACTGTATCTCCTCGGTGTACTATAAACGTCATTGAAGTTATATGACTTACTTTACCAACGTTTCTCGTGATGTCCTTGAGGAAGTCATCTATCGTCAATTCATGTAGCCAAGGCTCTTTAATACTAGTTGGCACGCATGTTGTGCAACCAGCGTCCAGCTGGCATTGTGGCAGTCTATATTCTCAATTGTCTAAGGCCGTGCAGAATGAGTATACCTAACCTGGCATTTTTTTTTACAAGCGCTTCTTTTGACTTGACAACAATAACTCTTCAATTGTTTTTCAAACTTGCGACTGGATAATTGCAATCGGGGGTCGTTTTTTTACGAATGACATCAAAGGACATGATATCTATAAACTTTGCACCATAGGTCACAAAAAAGTGTATATATGTATGTTCCCTTCTTTATTTTATATATTTAAATTACAGTGCCGTTTCAGACATGGATTAATTTACCAAGTGAATGAGCTAAGGAAGCAAAGGGTAAAAGTGTACACTCTCTTGATGGAAAAAATGGTCATTAGTTTCAGCAAACAGCAAAGCACATAGCAACCAACCACTTAATAAACACACACCATTGTATGTCATTAGCGGGAAATTACAGTGTATTCATGTTTTGAACGCGTCAAATTGAGCCGTACTGTAGCTATCATAGTTATATTGATTGGACATCTCGGTAAGCATCAGTAATAAGCTCTTGTGATGCAGGAGGGCAGGCTTTGAATGACCTCGGTTAAAAGACAGTCATTAATAGTATATAGTGTGATATGGTGCTCCTCTCTCTCTTGTATGACACTCCCTTGTAGTGTAATGCGTGTCGTATTATAAGTAATCATGCATGATCCGAGTTCATTTGGATATGTGTAAAAGAGGAAAGATTTGTTTTTTATTTTAACACACTTCATATTCGTGCAGAATCCGATAGTGGTGACCCTTTGACAGGGTCACCACTTTGGCACTGATTTGGATCTTGGTTACCACGAGTGGTCCAAGATCCAAATCCAAATTTCTTTGTTTTAAAACATTGTTCAATGTTTGTTTACAAAGAACTGTTGGTGCGTTGGTGTTGGTGTTGTTGCTGTTGGCCTGTGCTTGATATGACTTCAAAAAGAAAGTCATATGCATCTAAGTAAAGAAATATTAGATCGGTTTCACAATAATCCAGCCTTGTGGGAGGGAAAAATCGTTGATATGATAAAAAATGACTTACTTCTTTTGTGCCTAAAAGTCGGAACCCTGCGCGTACCAACGATTGTCGCAAGTTATCTATACTCACCAAATACAAACAACAGCATTAAAACTACATACATATCATAGCAGCTGGATACCTTTCATTGCTATCTATCTCGACAGGTTGCACCATATTACTTACCTCTAAGGTTGCCGATATTGGCCCGCCGCGTAGCATTGGCCCGCCGCGCAGTAGCGGCTCGCGGCGCAGGCATGATGGCAAAGACTACATATATTATGTGTTTACAGACTATTGTTCAGTCGCCAAAAAATGCAATCAGAAATATCCTTTAATAATTAAAGGCTGTATGACTTACAGTTGTTGTTGCAGACAAAAATGCGATCCAGGCGACCAAGGGGGGGATCAACCTCCATGGCTGCTGTGAGCGCATGGAATCCGGTTTCGACCGTGGAAACCAGTTGGTGCCTTTCCACCTCTGTTTCAGCACGCACACGTGCCACCGTGATATGCAAGTTTTTGAAATCGCTCAGACCCTTTTCCACTTGCAAGAGTGCCAACAGCACCTCAGATTTGCTTCGCACATTCCTCAAAGCAAGGGCCATCGACTTTCATAATCACATAGTGATACGGCGACCTCTCGATGCCGTCCAGAAGCTATAATTAAACCAAAGCCAGACCCAGAAGCTGTGTTATAATACATGCTATTCTTGAAGAGGATAGTAGAGAGAACTCCTAATTATTTTCATTCTTACCAGCGCATTCATAGCCATGGTGGCCAGATGCAACTGCTCATCGGTGCCTTCGATGACAAAGTCGTAGCCCGAAGAGCTACGAACAATGTCTACTACAGCAAACGGGAACCGCTCAATATCGCGTGCTGTGCGCAAAAGCGTATTGGCGTCTACGAGTAAGGAAAAAGAAATAAAGCTTTTTTTAAAACAAGAAAGAGGCATTAAAATTCTAGGCATATGAAGAGTAAGAGCTTTTCTTTGATACCTTTTTTAGCAAAACTTGTTGGCTTGACGTGGCAAACAAATCAGGTGCAACTTCACTTCTCAATCTTAATACGCGTTCCAGGCAACACTCCATGGCTCTTCTAGAGTAACTGAAAGTGAGTCTTCTGCTGTGTGTTCTGAGCTGTGGACTCGTAATTGCAGAAGTTAGAAGACGTCTCTGGAAATAATTGTTGTTGCAGTTGCTTGTTCTGAAAATAGAAGAGAAAAAGAGTAAATCTACTGTCAAATTTAAGGACCTTTTGCTAGGGGACTGTGTACTATTGTGATCGTACCTGTTACTGGGGGATGTTGCACTTTGAATGTCAAGTGAAAAGTGGTAATACGGCGTAAGCAAAGAAGTGTGTGGGAACGCGACGCACGGTCGTTTTTTAGCACAGCCAAAAAGTCGGAGTTAAGTGTTGAAGCAATGCAGCACCAAGCTCAGAACATCGACGGCTGCCTTTCCCCTTTGTAGTCTGGCTCAAGGAACTTCGAACGGAAAACCAGATCACGCTGTATATAGAACAGGGACGCGACGATGTCTCGAACTGCACGGTCGAAAATGTGTACACATCGCAATACCAACGGGACAGGTAATAGGAACGAGAGGCTCAAATGAGATTAATCCATAGAATAAGAATCGATATCACGGTCGTATTATATATAGACTTGCTCAATCCTTTTCCTGTGTGATATAATATACGCTCAACCACAAAATTTGTTCTCAGTGTGATACCATACCCACATGTAAGTAGACGTCCATCTTGTTCGTCAAAGCTCATCGCTCGTTGTTATTAAAGATAATTCCTCTTCTAAACTAGCTATAGGTCACAATAAGTTAACGTTCCTTTCGCGAGACACATGGCGGCAAGCCATTGATGAAGTAAGATTATGTTATCATCGATGCAATTACTCTACTAATAATGCAACTACTCTGTTGGTAGTAGTACCTGTGCTGTAAGACGGAATTGCCATACAACTCACACGAGTCCTACACATACAAGGCGCTATAAACCTCTGCTTGCGAAAGCAGTAGCGTGGAAGCAAGAGTGGATTGGTATCCCGTGACCGCGGCTATATGTTTTAGCGGATTTCGTAGACTAGTCAACAGTGATCGGGCTAATGAGTCCTATTTCTGATTATTGTCATTTTCTTTTATTAATATTAAGAAAAACGAACGGACAAAGAAACTGGTGCTCTCCTAGAGCATCAAACCTCGCTCCTGCTTGAAGCAAGCTCCAATTGGAAGCCGGTAGTTAACCCGCGAGGCATATTACGCGACGCAGTTGGAACGCCACCGCTAGCTAACCACGCATCCAATTCGCTGAGGAAACATGTATCGCAGCGAATGGCACAGTAGATGGTAGCATGCGCTTTCTTTAGCGACTTGTGGGTCGCATTTGGGAAGGAGAAAGCACTGGCATGTGCTATGTGCTATGATGAAGCCATTTCCTTTTTTGTTGTAGTGCATCCGTCCTTCTTTTACACTCAACCCAAAAAGGGCGCTTCCTGTTATGACCATTCCTCGACCTCTACCAGTGATTATTCCCAGCCTCAATGATCATATAGTAAATCCCCCAGCACCTATATCGTCAATCATCATCACCCGGCTAATCAACCTTCACATTCTTGAATCCTATAGTTTAATATATGCCAGACCATAGTCTTTGAATAATAAAACGTCAATCAGTTAACTTGTTGACGATTCTACAGGCGTCGGCTGGTGTGGAAGTGAAATGAATGAGCTTGAATGTAATAGAAAACGATAGGAGACATACAATAAGTATCCTTGAAAAGGTGTTTTATCCCAACAATAGAGTAAGCCCTATTATACTCTACATAGTTATTAAAATGACAATGTATTTTGATCCGACTGGTGCATAAACTATGTACTATGGGACTGATCATGCACATTTTTGAACTTGTGTAGAAGACGCTATATATATTATTCGGAACACTTTTTTAAAACCGGCGTTAGCTGGTCTGTGTGGCCGCACTACCTGTTGATAAGCTCATTGTCCGGTTTACATCAGCTGGTTTATCCGACTGAAATGTTTTCATGCATTACATAATCCGACTGGTTGTTTCTATGCTACCACAATTGACAAAACTAGACTAGCGATGGCAGACACCAAGCCTCGAACGTGGGCGAGTGCGCGGACCAGAAACCCTTGAATGCCTTCTTCTGTATTCATACCTGCCTTATTGCTTATCAGCTCGTCCTCACCGTCATCGTCCCCAAAAAAAAAAAAATTAAAAAGAAGCAGCAGTTATGGATACTCGAGCTGTATGTAACATTCATGCATCTAGATACGCATTACATCAACCCTATAGTTTTTAACAAGTGAGAACACGAGCTTTATGTATCAGTCATTCATGATTTAATTATGTCAATCTGACGTTGCTTATTGCAGGAAAAAGTAAAATATGTGTGGGTCAAATGCGTTGAATATGTAATTTCGACTGCTGCATTTTCATTAATAAACAACATATAAAAACAAGAATCTTGTCGCTGTGCCAGAGCAGCAAGAAGAGTAAGCAATAGCTGGTCTAAAATCGAATGAATATACAATTTACAGTATCGATATGACAACAACAAAAAGAAAGATGTATACTAAAAAAAAATGTAACATAGGATGTCATCTTCACAGTCATCATAATCATGCGCTTCCAGTGGCAATACAATATCAATATATGCAGTATCTCCTCTTGGGCACAATGCTGGCCCGTAATACCGACCAAACAGTGTCCCTTGTCTTTATCATGTTCAAACAATCCTGGTTTGTAGCTGCCCGTTCGTCTGGAAAAAGAGCAACAGTTAGCAACAGCACTTAGCAATTATTGTCCATCCAAAAAGCACCATTATCACAAGAAGCAACAAACTGAAATTACCTCTGGCAGTATCACTCTGTTAGGAGCAAATGCCAGTCGAGCTGGTGATGAAGAGGTATGCACTTCGTATGATAGTATTTGAATAAATCCCTTCGATGTATGATGTCTAGTAAGAGCAAAATACACTTGCACAAGGGGTATATCAATAACAATGTGGTACATTTCTGATGGTGCATTTTATTATTTATGATAAGTTCGCAGTGATTTAAGGCTGGGTTCTACTTTGTTGTAAGCAGATCGGTGTGCGGAGAAAACAATGACTGGCGGATGGTTGACTGATGCGTCAGAGCTCTAGTCACAGCCATTACCTCACTTGGCGGAGCATTCCATCCGTCGCGTTTAGGTCTTCGTTAGCACAGCTACTCCCTTCCCCTCAAGCGTTAGTCATGTTTCTTTTCTCAGACCCATCATGGAACCTGAATTCAAGGGTTATAAGGGTAAGAACGTTTTGTGACATTGTGCCTACCGAGTTGTACTTCACTAGCTAATCTTTTTACGCGTAAGAAATTTGCGAATATACTGCTGCGGTGGAGATTCCATCATTCGATCATTTTATCATGGAAAACAGTCGAAAAATAGCATTATGGTCGAGTGGTTATTCGAGCACTCCGCAAGACTTGTACGGGCTATAGAGAAGACGTTTTGTTCTTGCGATAAGACGAAATGGCAAGACAGAATGTGGTACTAGCAACAGGTAGAGAATGAAAAGGAAAAGGACCTTTTATACTATCAGAAAGAAAAGTAAGACCTTAATAGTTGTTTCTCATTCTAACAAATTAAGATTTGTTGAACATTTAATTGTTAATGATTAACACCTAAAAGTAGTAGATGGATACAGTACAGTAAGAACCAACAATTTTAAAAGGTTAGAAGCAAACTTTTTCTAAGGAAAGGCTATCAAGAGTATCAAATAATGAGTATTATTTATAGAGTATGTCATCTTTTCACATCAATTGAGGTTACGCCTTGAAGATAAGCTTCTTGGAAGCATAATGATTACGATTTATGACCGAAGTCGGAGGAGGAGCATGACAACGTGTTTCCTATTCTCAGGGCAGCATAAATCCATGAATAAATAAGCCTGCACTAAAATTTGGCATTCACCGGAAAATGGAAATAAAGACCAGAGTATATTCTGAGTATGGAGAGTAAACATGATAGTTACAAAAATCGCACGAGATCCTTCTTTCAGATCCAGTATGTAAAAACATGTATTCAGTGACAAGGTACTGCAGATATCCGAATATCTTACCAAACTACTCGTGAGGAAGTTTTAATTGTAGTAAATGCTTCATCTTACACGTTCAAATATAATAAACAAAAGACCGATATCATGCTCAGTATAAGATATGGTTACCAAATACAAGAAGAATTGCTGCAGAATACCAAGTGTATGATAATAGCATTATATTTGTTTTCGCACCATAAACATGTAAACATAATCCCATTATATGACTTCAATGAAAGCGTTTCCAAAACAAAGATCGCTGCATCGAGGCTGTTGAAGGTTTCATCCTTGAATACGAATCGTTTATTTTAAGTAAAATCGTTTTGTTTGTTGTTGTTATTATCATTATTGGCAGAGGGTATAGCAAAAATCTGCGAGCGTCTTCCACCGTGTTAAAAGCATCATTACGACATATTGCACCCATCAAATTTAAAATAAAGAATATCAAGGATGCCGCTGAAGCCAAGTATTTCATAACCTGTACCTACTTTATACTCACCAATGCTGAAACCGAATAGAGAATTCTGGTCAAATTTAAAGGCTTGTGTCAAGCGGGAGATACCAATTACAAGTAATTCTCAAACACCCTCGCATTTTTCAGTCAACATACCTAGCTACTGCTAGAGAGACTGCCAAGGAATGGAGACAAGATACAAAGCCCTAATTTCCAAGATGTATCATTGAAGAACCAATGGTTTCATACTTATCACTGCTATATATTTTTTATATAGATTGTTTGAACTTCTACGATAAAAAATTAAAGGTTTTCTTTCTATTTACCAAGTTGTCAGCCCTCAAATGGAAAACCTTTTGGCCCCACCATGCTGATAAAATTGAGACGCCAACGCCAAATAACCCAGCGCCAAGTTGAAAAAAATCACCCTGTCTAAAACTAGGAAAACCCCTTTATGTAAGCTGGTTGCCAATATTTAATTTTAACAAGAGTAATACTCCGTTATAAAACGCGCTCTTTACATAAAAAACAAAAGAATGTGTGCCCTGTTTTTTATTTAATCATGGCGATCCACCATAAACTCAGTACTAACGTGATTTTAAAGTTACTCGGCAACCACGCGCGTTATACTTTTGTTCTTGCTCCTTAATATATATTGATGTTTCATGAGCACAACAAGGACCGAGATCTGCAACGCATTTATTAAGTACTTACTATGTAGCAGTAAATAACGGATAATATAAGCGGAGAGACGGTATATATGTGTGCATCAGTGATTCTAGGTAAGATTCTATCGCTACGGAGAAAGAAACTAGCATAGTGAGAGAGCAAGGTCGGATGAAGAAGAAGGGGAGGAAAGGGGCTTACTGTACTGAGTGCATATGATATATTTAGTTGGATGATGCTCCCATCGCCAACAACATCTCTATTTGCTTCAATGTTTGTTTCATCCCAATATGGTAAAGCCGACGAGAAGCAACGACACTAATAGTAACCGAAAATAGTGTTTCGTGTATTATTGATTAAAGGCAGCCATAAATTAAGTGCATTGAAGCTTTCATTGAATAATACGGATCGTTAGAATACTCGTTGGACTGAGTTGCTTCGATAGATGCTTCGTCTTCCCTTCCTACAATAGCATTTGGGGCGGAGTAGAAGAACCCAAAACTAAGGAACAGCATCAAACAGCGGCAGCCGGTGGGTGTCATAGATAGGGGAGAGAGAGAGAGAGAGAGAAAAAGACAGGGCCACATTATAGGCTGCAATTGAGATTGTTCGTATCACCTTTCCACAGTAAGTTTCCAGCTCAGAGAAGAAACCTTTACTGTTGCTTTCACTGTCCCCAGAGTTGATTCTCCCGCTGTTTATCGGCGAAAACCATTTCCAACATGCACAGGCCCCTTTGGGGCTACATTGGTGCTTCTTGCTCCGCACGTGTTACCGTGCTGATCATTCTATATATCACGCCACTCTCCCACCCAGCAGAGAACCAAAAGAAAAAGCTAAATGCTAATGGAACGGGAGTCACCCGAAAAACGTTGAAGCAACAGATATTCACGATGGAAAGAAATGAAAGATGGGCAGCACGCTGAACCTCTTTCTTTCATTTCTTTGGTAATATATTGGTATATATAAATACTACTATGTGCATGTGTAATGTGGAGAGATGTATGCACAACGAGAAGAGAGAGAGAAAAATATAAAGGAAAATGGTATACGCAGGAAAAAATAATAGAGATGGGCAGAGCGAGATAAATAGAGAAGAGCCGAGAACAGGATGGTAAGAAGAGAGTATGAAAGAGAGAAAGAGACAGGATGACGATATGCTGCTTTTAGGTGCTGTTGTTGTTGTTGATTGTTATATATAGAAGACGAGGAAATATAAGCACGGTGAGGATTGCTGTAATAACAGTAGATACGATGCGGAAAAAAACAAATAATGACGATAGAGTAGTAGAAATAGTAGTAGTAATTAGGATGAATGGACGGTAAAAGTAGCGCGTTGGTTGTCGAACTGCGTTCGTTTGGCCCGGCAAATGTGGTTATGGATTTGATCGAGTTCGTCGAGTTGGGGTGCTGGTTGTTCGGCATCTTGGTTGCTGAGGCGACGGCCTTCAAGGCGATCAACCTTGTTGAACAGACCGTTCATGAACAGATCACGTTCTTTGTCGGCAGAAAGATGGTAGCGTTGTTTGTTGAAGCAAGGGCGGTGAAGAGACTTGACCAGCAAGTCTGTCATTTCAAGGAGTGAGTGTTTGTCGACGACCTGTTGTTGTGTAGAAGTTTGCATAGTGCGATGAGTTAAGTATATATGAGCTGCGATGAGAGAAGAGGAAGAAAGGCGGAGGAGAGAGAAAGACTGCAGGGAAAAGGAAAAAAGAAAGGTCTTTTATATACCTGACCCGAGCGGGTGCCAGCGCCGGTGGCAGTAGTGGCAGGAGCAGTAGGTGATTTCCTTGCCAGTCTAAACCGAGACGCCCGTTGAATCTGCGCGATCGAGTCGCACAACATTTTAGGAGCGGGGTGTCTTGCAATCCTAAGCTGCCGTTCGACACGCTGGTTGTTGAAACGGGGGGTCACATGCGAGAGACGATCGATGGCTTCTAGTACCGAATCCAATTCTGAATAAGGTTGCTGCTGCTGCTGCTGTCCTCGTTTACTGTCATCGTCGTCGTACTTCGGAGGCTTTTCCTCTTTTATTGCCGGAGGGATACCCGACAGTTCCTGGTACGATGGCGGTTGCTCATTATCGTCGTTCACAAGACGGCTTAGCGTCTCTAACCGCTGATAAAATTCTGCTTCGAGTTGCTTGTCGCTAAATGTCAGCTGAGGAGGCAATGACGCAAGGGCTAGCCGAATCTCGGCACGCACGTGGTGGAGACTCGTCGTAGTGGTAGTTGGTACAATGGTGGCCGTTGTCAGATGGCCAGCATCAGTAACAACAGCGGCAACAGAGGTCATGATCATTTGCAAAAGCGCTCGACACAGGTCGCTGTGGCTGCTTATGAGCCAAAGATGTTTGTCCAGTAAATGCTGGACTTGGCTGAGCACTGTCGTTACGTTATGAGTGTCGTTGTTGTTCACCGTGATAGTTGCACGGGCCAGGCATTGGGCACTGTATTGGATAGATGCTACGACGTTGTCTGTAGGTCGCTTATGTTGTTGTTGTTCTTGTTGTTGTTGTTGCTGTTGATGATGTGGTGGAGATTGCGTCGAAGCAACAACGGTGGTTCTGTTGCTATCGTATACGTCGCATGCTGTCTCGAGAACGATATGTCGCAACACGCCGTCCAAACCAGTTAGACAGGCATTGTTGAGTGATCGTACAGACTATTTTTATATACACAAAAGTTGAGATTATTATAGAACAGCCACCACCATAAGCGGGGATGCAGTTTAAAGGGTCATGTAATACACAACATACCTGTGTTGTGAGTGATTCGGTAGGTGGTTCATCGTAGTCAACTGGTTCCAGCATTAGCTCTTCCATTGCAGATTCATCTGGAATCGATTGTCGCTGCGTTTGTTGTTGTTGTTGTTGTTGTTGTTGTTGTTGTTGTTGAACATTTTGGGCTGGTGAGGGTGAAGACTATTAGAGAAAAAGAGAGAACGAGGGTGAGGGAAAGCGTCGGATTATTAATAGTGCTGCATTGGCAGGATAAGAACGCAAAAGAACGACGTTTACAGTATTGGGGCGTGTGGTTCGCCGTTTCTGTCTTTGGATAGTGGCCATTATAAGAAAGCAGAGAGTGAAGAAAAATAGCAAGTAGTTATAGAGGGAAAGAGAGAGAGAGAAAGAAAGAAAGCAGAAAGAGATGTAGAATATATATTACAGATATTAGTGGCAAGTCTCCCTAATCGCAACTCTTTTCTTTGCTCCAATGTTTGTTGCCCCTTAAAAAATCAGGCCATATCCATATCAGGATCGTCCCAAAACCCAGACAACTTAACCCCAAGGAGCGGATCGGTGTGCGGAGAAAACAACAATGACTGGCGGTTGGTTGACTGATGCGTCAGAGTTCTAGTCTCTAGTAGTCACAGCCTTTACCTCACTTGGCGGAGCATTCCATCCGTCGCGTTACACAATCTTCTTTATACTCAAGTATATAGAGTGCTATACTGGGTGCTTCACATATGAGTTGTGTCTTTTATTTCATATTTACTTTTTCTTCATAGTCATATCCGTAAGTACATATGGACGTAGACGATAGAAGGGAACGATAGTAACTGATGGAGGAGATAATATGAGGAAGATTGGAAGATTGGTTGGTTGTTGGTGAGGAATGTGCTGTTGTCCACCCAAAAAGCACCATCTTCACAAGAAACAAAAAACTGAATTTACCTCTACCAGTGCACTTCGCGCGACTCCAAGAAAGAATCACAATTCCAGACATGCGCTTCCGGTGGCACTACCGCGTCGCCGATAATATTATTACGTGGAGTATCCCCTCACTTGGGCACAATGCTGACCCGTAATACCAACCAAACAATGTCCCTTGTCTTTGTCATGCTCAAACAATCGTGATCTGTAGCCTGGAGAAAGAGCAACAGTTAGCAACAGCACTTAGTATCATTGTCCACCCAAAAAGCATGGAAAAGCAGGGGATGCGAACAAGCCAGCCAGCCAACCAGTCTGTTCGACTCGTGCAGTTATTGTGTATAGTCATTAAACCTTCCCATTGAATTCCCCCCTCCCTCCCTCTATTATTAAGCACTTATCAAGGAGATTTTCTCTTCTCTCGGCGATCACGACGATGGATGGATGAGCTGGATAGCTTGCTACTACTACTACTATTACTACTACTACTACTACTACTACTGCCACTACTGCCCCGCTCCCGCCTTTTTCGCCACTCCCCATTCCTAGTGCTTTACTTTCACGGGGTCTCTTTTCGATGACAAGCTTAGGAGAGGATCAGCCCCTCATTACAGCACCATACAATCCATTCATACACACGTTTGCCGGCAATCGACCTGTTATCTACATATACTTACTACATACCAGCACCCCTGAATTAAAATGGAACTCTGCTCACTTGTATCGTACTGTATCTAGCAAAGTACTTGGCACTCATTGGGGGGGAGGGAGGGAGGGGGAGGGAGGTGGAGGTGGAAAAGGGCGAAATAATCATCCGACGTGTGGGCCCATTGTCACAGCGCACACATAAATGGTGGAAAGCGAAAAGTCGGTTGTTTGAGATCGTCCTTTTGTGTCGCATCCATGTAAATTGCTGTGTTATTTTGACCGCGTTGCCACTCACACATACACACATCGTCCCACAATTGCACAATTGGTAATGTAACGCTCCACAAACTATTGACGGCGTTTCTCGTCTTCTTCTTTTGGAATATCCCCATCCAAGGGGAGAAGGGGAGTTGGAGACCAATGGACGCATCCATATAGAAATTAAACTCTTGACTTGGAAAAAGTGTGTGGCAAACGAGCCCGCTGCGGCGATTCTTGCTTTTGTCCATGATCCTTCAACGGCGACAAAGAAGGGGTGTAGAAAAAACGAAACTAACGCAGTTTAGAAATTGAGTTGTGATACACGTTGACCGAAAACTTGTTTGCTGCTTCTTGTTGCTGCTGCTGCTGTTTGTCATTCTATCTTACTACTTTCTTCATTTACACTGACGATGCTGACCTCTCGGACCCTTCTCTTCTTGATGGTTATCCTGTCAAAGCCAGGATTGGCCTGGCGATTATGGGGTGGTGCTGAGTCCGTCACAGCAAGAGAGCCAGGTAATTAGTGCCGGTTCGTTAAAAAATCACTGAGAGTTAACTCTACTGGCAAATGCGGAATTAGACCTTGACATGTTTACTGTAACATCCCCTCATGAAAAGACACTTTTGCGTCATGGGCTAGGTAGGTTTTCCTATTATTTTTGCCACATCATCCCAACCTTATTTCTTCTCTCGTCAAAAACAGACAACTACTACTACTACTACTACTACTACTACTACTACGACAACCTTATGGAAAAGCTTATTCTCGTTTTTATTATTCTACTTCTCCTTGAACAACACCAACAACTGTAGAGGCATTCCGGTCTCTGCAGGATAAAGATCAGGATTGCTTCAAGAATACGGCCAGGATCTTGCATCATGGATGCCGCTCCCTTGCAGCTTCAAAGCACGATCGAGTCAAGTGTAAGCTTCACTCATTTATGAGAAAAAAAGAGATACTTCTCCTGACCATGTCCTGTACTTCCTTTTGCACCCCTGCCTGCCTCCCGAGAAAAAAACAAGAGACCAGTACACATACATAATTGGGCTAAAACCTAAAAAAATGGTTGTCATTGTACACAACTCTAGATGCAGTGATGCTGACCGTGTGTGAACTATCTACAACTAATCTGCCTGTACCCCGCGAATGCTACAATCTTCCGCAAAAGAAGCAAGAATGCGTCACGTATGTTTCCCAGTTTTTACACACACTCTCTCTCCGAGCAGCTTTATCGTGCGAGCAAGATTTACTCAGGCAGTCTCACTAATGTACGCTATTATAGTCAGCTGGCCAGTGTGCCGCAGACATGGACAACATTCAGTGGTAGGTCACATTCTTTCATCATTGTGATACAATTCATTTTCATTTTCAGATGTCAAGGTTACTCACAGTTTAATAATGATGATGATAAGGTTATTTCCGCGACGCAGGTAACGCACCCTCAATAGCGCAAAGAATCACTTTTAAAAAGAGGTAGCGATGGGACCATGAAGAAAGGTACACATACTGTACCGGAATATCTCATGACAAATGTGGCACTCTCCGAACAGAAATGATGTGCCTTGCCATCCGGTACCCTGTAGAACGAGGTATAGTGTATTCTATGTGCGTGTGATGTAAAGGTTTAGATAACTAGTCTAATAATAGCAACTACCGCACTTAATTGTATCTAGAGCAATTGGAGGAGCTACATCGCAATTTAACGAGGGAGCAGCTCAACAACCTCGAAGCTTTACGTATTCAGCAAGAACAAATCTTTGAATGGCGAGATAAAGAAATGGCCGATCTAAAAGAAATTCAAAAGGCGCAGCAAGCCATGTGGGATCAATGGACTAAACGTTTTGAGGTAAAAAACAGAAAAAAACTTGTTTAGCGTTGTACACAGGCAACATAGTACAGAGAGAGAGAGAAATTAAAAAAAAAAGAGCAAGAGCCAACCTTGGTAGTTGTTAGTTTGATGAGTGGGCAAAACGTATTATTTAATATCTTGTGATGATGATGTAGAACGTACAAGAACAAACTCAAATCCTCTCTAGCCTTGTTCGTGTAATGCAACAACGGCTGGAGTTGAAGCAAAGCCATCAACTAGCCCAGTTTGAACAATTCGATACGCTGGTGCAACAACGCATGACGCGCATTTGGGAAGACATGGAGCTTGGTTTGGTACATGCGTTGCATCAGTTACACACAGGTGTCGAACAGACCCTGATGCTCCAGAGACAAATGCAAACTGGCTGGTTTGCTTTTCAGGTATAATAAAGAAAAAGTGGGGAAGAAATCAGCCCACATCTTGTTAACTCGGGCATTGTTGTTCTCTCTTTTATCTAATAAATTAATGGTTATTATGTGATGATTGTACACAGGAGGATTGGAAACAGGCTTGGTCGTACTTGAACTCCACAATCGTAGATACCAAACACTCGGTTCACGCACTCCAAAAGGACATTGATACTGCCCATCGTCAGTTTCAAACCATCCTCAGCCCGTTCAACTTCAAGTCGGTCTGGATTATTGTGCTACTGTTTCTCTCACGTCGGTGCACTTCTATGTTGATCACAATGACCGTTAATATAAAGGATTTTTTTGTCTTGTCGATCAGCCACGTTTTTATAAAGCTTACTAGACGAGAGCCTTATCAAGTACAGCTAGAAGAAGTAAGTTTGCTATATGGGTAATAGTAGGATGATACTATAATTTTTCCTTCTTTTGCACCTTGTTTCCTAATAATGTATCTCTTGTAGATCTACTTGGGAGGTTAATTTATATTTAACACCGAGATACCATTATGGAGGTAGTGTTAATCGATATATATACATGTAGCGCACATCATCAATTAGTAGTAAATAGATCCGTACATAGAGTATCTTGCGATAGTGCTAGTTTTTTAAAGCACAATTCATGCCATTGTCCCTTTTCGTGTAAATATTAGCTTCTCACATATCAATAAATTACTGTGTAAATAAAGGACACAAAATGGTGCCACGCACATGCAATACCAGGTTTTTAGGAAATTATCGAGAGCCTACTTTTGACAACAAGCCACTTTTGGGGAATTTGAACCCGAAATTTCAGTTTTTCGAGCTTAAGACGCATAAACGACTCCCAGAAAAAAGTGTAACGGACCACTGCACCTGTTACAAAATGAAATTAGACGCCAAGGCATTACGCTACATGTCCCCGGAGGAATTCCGAGTTTTGACCGCTGTAAGCAATATAGATTGAATACCAAGTGATTCCGTTTTTAAAGACTTTTATTATATTGTTTTTGCTATATTTAGGTCGAAATGGGATCCAAAAACCACGAAGTGGTACCCATGGCACTCATTGCCAACATTGCACAGTTACGACACGGTGGCAGTCATAAGCTTGTTGGTGATCTTGCCAAGAATAAGCTTATAGCTCGAGTTCAAAATGCCAAGTGTAAGAGACACTATAAATATTTATACTTTGAAAAGGATTATAATAACCCCACCCTTTCCAATTTATCAGACGACGGATATCGATTGACATATGGTGGTTATGATTACCTTGCGCTAAAGACGTTTGTAAAGCGTGGATCTGTATATTCCGTTGGTAATCAAATCGGTGTTGGCAAAGAATCAGGTAAAGTGATCAACATAGTGTTATAGAAATAAAGTGCGGAGGAGATAGAAACCATATGTTTGCTAAGATGATGCTCTGCTCTTGTAAAGATATTTATTTGGTTGCTGATGATGACGAGAACCAGCTTGTATTGAAGCTTCAGAGGTATGGCTTGAATGATGATGATGGCTCAGACAAGCAAAGGGATGTAAAATATAGCATGGATATAAACGACGGAACGGTTATACAGATTAGGTCGAGTCTCGTTTCGTACGATCAAATCCAAACGTGATTACTTGCAGAAACGCAAATCGGCTTCTTGGATGTACATGTCACGACTTGCAGCAATGAAGGAGTTTGCGTTTATGAAGGTGCTTCACGAGAACGGATTCCCTGTCCCAGAACCGGTCGATCTTAGTCGTCACTGCGTAGTCATGGAGCTTATTGATGCGTTTCCACTGTATGTGTGCCGCTGCTTTCTCTCAAACGTTTGCTATGATGATACGTTGGTGTTTAGTATATTGAACGGGGTTTTTTTTCCTTTTCAATAGTCGACAAGTGGATGAAGTTGCTGACCCGGGTAAACTGTACTCGGAATTAATGAACCTGATTGTACGCCTTGCACAACACGGTTTAATTCACGGTGATTTCAACGAATTCAATATTTTGATCAAATCCAATGGCGATCCTATTTTGATTGATTTTCCCCAAATGGTTTCTACGTCCCATTTGAATGCTGAATAGTAAGTGCTATTAATTCTCTTTTATCTTACATGTCATGTATTTTTCTTTTATTCACAAACCAAGCATTTGTTCCATGTAGCTATTTTAATCGAGATGTGGAATGTATTCGCACATTTTTCCGTCGCCGATTTGGATATGAAAGTGTGCTTTATCCCAAGTTCAAATTAGACACAAACCGTGAATTCGACTTAGATGTGCAGGTGGCAGCCAGTGGATTCAGTAAAAAGATGCAGGATGAACTAGAAGCTGTAAGTCTAATTTTTTTCTATGGAACGTAAAACAGGCCAACCTAGCCATTGTTGTTCTCGAAATTTAACTTCTTGCTATACTTTTAGTATCAAGAGGAGGTCAAAGAAAACGAAAGTGGATCGGATGAAGATGGATCTGATGAAGAGTCATTATCCGAAGGAGAACAAGAACAAGAAGAGGAGGAAAAGAGTATACCCAAGCCAGCACCACAGAGTGAGGAAGAAGAGGCTGCAGAGAGATTAAGAAATCTGCGCCTCGGTAACACGGAGCCTATCGTTTCGGATCAAGAGGAATCAGAGGGATCAGCAGCAGAAGATCAAAATACAGAGAGTGAAGAAGAAGAAGATGTGGGAGATGGAGAGCCACCACGATTGAACAATCGCGATTTCAAGGCACATCGTGATACAAGCATTAACAAAAAACCTCGGTCAGAGAAAAAGAAAACGCCCATGAATGAAGACAAGATCAAAGACCGTGTGTCCCGGAGTTTGCGTGGTCAGGCCAACCGTCAAAACTATCGCAGTGCCGTCAAGCGGAACCAGGAGAAGGGTAAAGAAAAGCGTAAAAACCGGGATGTGGTCAAGAGTGCTAGCCGTGGCACTGGTGGCATTTTTGATTAATTATTTGTTGAACCACTGCATCCAATAAATAAAATAAGAAATCAAACGTGACCAGAAGATGGAAGGGTGTATAAATAAATGCATACGTGAGATCGACAATACAAGTAATGATAGCCACAATAGTAATAAAGAACATCGATCATGCATCGTATCATATGTTTTTCCCTGCCGGCGTGACCTCATGCTGCATGACGGCTTGACTGGTAAGTGCAAACATACATAAACAAATCATACACGTACATTTGTTGGTACCACGACAGCTATCCTGCCGATAAATCTTTCTCAACCTCACAGACCCCCCTCCCTTACAAGCGGTTGTAAGTATAAAGTATACACCTTGCTGCTCCTGCCTAATGTAGTAAACATGCAAACGCTGTACCAGAAGCAACTTGGATAACGGAGGGCGATAAAGCGAGACATTAGGTGCTCAATGCAAAAAGTTTGCGGTTTGTAATATGTATACATGATAGCTTTGCGTTATTACCACTAGTGGACATAAAAGGAGAGAAAACGGGGACGGCACGTTTGCTTGCTTGCAACTGCAGTTTATGTGATTACTATGGTAATCTGCTGCTGCTTCTCCTTCTATGTTTTGATGTTTGTTCTTGACAACGCTTAACATCAGCGTGATGGACTTGTTCGTGTGGTTTTCTTGTACTCCTGTTTATACTGCAGTATACGTATACATCCATAATATAAACTGGAAGAGGGGATCACCTGGTGTTGTGTGAGCTTGTGTCAACATTCTGACTCACTGTAGTATCACACTCTGCTCGAAGAAGACCCATGATACTACATGACACAAAAAGAAAGGAAGAAAAAAAAACAAGCAGGGTCATCACCTAAACATTTCATATGCGTACAGTCAAATTTGACAACGATTTAATAAACACAGAACACACACGCAGTGTTTATTATTAGGGTTGCCGGTGGCTGTGCAAGTCTGGGTCATTTATTGCATGCACCCACACGTACTATGTGCACATTGATACACACAATACAAAATTATGCAATAGACAAAGTAAAAATTGAAGAAAGACTGGTACATGCGTGCGGGGAGGGAAAGTGAAAGTGAGAGAGAAAGAGGGGCCTTTCTCTTCAAGACGATGGTGCTAACAGCGAGTGTTGTATATGTATACTCCAGAGAGCGATCCCAACAACTTGTGTGGTGTGTGATGCGTGGTAAAAAAAAACGAAACCTTCGTTTGCTTCCCCCCACACTCTTCAACCTTTTATTTTTCTCCACACTCAACTCACATAACTCACATAAAGTATATTTTTTTTTATTAACACAGCGACCTTTCAACCGTCCTCTCTCCCCTCCCTCCTCCCCCCTCTCTCTTCTTCTTCTTCTACTTTCAATGACAGGTCCCGTTCCAACTTCATCTATGGCTTCGCTAAACATCCACGATTCCGTTGCTTCTCGAGGACTCAGCATGGCTCAACAACGAGAGATTGCTGCTGCTCAAGCACAAGCTGCCGCAATGGACCGACCTTACCGCCCGTCAACAAGACCATTTCCCAGTTCGGCATCGCTTTATGTCGGCGAACTTGATCCGAGTGTACAAGAAACGAACTTGTTCGAAATATTTAACGCCATTGGCCCTGTCGACAATGTGCGAGTATGTCGGGACGGCATTACCAACCGTAGCTTAGGCTATGCTTTTGTCAACTTCAAAACACACGTCGACGGTAAGTACGAATATTATGTGAAAAAAAAGACTGCCCAGATATCCCACACACAACCCTCCGCTCACTATGTGTATATATTTACATACATAAACTCAACGTGCGCTATTCGTTTGAATAACATGTTATATAGGCGAACGTGCACTGTACGCACTCAACAGCACATTGATTCACGGCAAGCCGTGTCGAGTCATGTGGTCGCAGCGCGATCTTGCTAAACGCAAAGTATCCGGAGGCAACATATTTGTCAAAAACCTCGATCCTTCCATCACAAGCAAGTCGCTTCGCGACACGTTTGCACACTATGGAGCGATCTTATCATGTAAAGTTGTCACGGATCCCCAAGGACAGTCAAAGGGTTATGGTTTTGTGCATTACGATACGATCGAAGCGGCAGAGAATGCAATTCAACATGTCAACGGAACAACCGTCTATGACAGAGAACTGTAGGGCATAAACACACTACTGCTTTCTTCCTTTGTTGCTCTATACTTTTCTGACACTAAATTACTCTTTCTTCTTCTCCATGCCACGATTTAAAAAAACACTTCCTTCCCCTCTTTATCCGATGCGCTCCTCGCGCCACTCTCAACATTAGCTACGTGGGACATCACATTCCAAAACGTGAACGGCAACAGCACCACCAGCAGAATCATCATCATAATAACAATAATCACCAGCATCATACCAACAGCAGCAACAACCATATCAACGGCAGTATAAGCAACGGTCATCACCAAAGCAACCACCATGGCAACAATCACCATAACCATGGCAACAATCACCATAACCATAGCAACCTCCTCAACAACAACAATAACCATAGTAACCTTCCTAGCAGTAATAACAATCATAGCAGCAACAACAACCATCAGCAACAACAACAACAGCCGATCAAATTTACAAACGTATATGTCAAAAACTTGATGCCGGACATTAAAGAAGAAGAGCTCAAAGAACTGTTTGGAGGGTTTGGGGCGATTGTTTCTGTTCTCATCCAGCGCGACGAGAACGGTAACTCAAAAGGGTTTGGTTTTGTCAACTTTGAGCATCACGAGGATGCGGAACGCGCTGTGCAACAAATGAACGAGACCGAGTATATCGGACGACGGCTGTACGTTTCCCGAGCACAAAAGAAATCCGAGCGTGAAGAAAACAAGCAACAACAACAAACATCCCCGCATAACACTTCATCACAACAACAGCAACACCAAAATCATTTTCAGCCAAACAATGCATTTCATCCTCAGCAGCAACCTCATCCATCATCGCATCATGACATTACCACAACTACAGCCACAATCAACAATAACAGCAATAATACCTCCCCGCCAAACACTTCAACAGCACCAACAACAACAACAGCAACGAATACCACCAAGCATCACAATCGATACCAAGGCATGAATCTGTATATCAAAAATTTGGATGACGAAGTTACTGACCAACGCTTGCGGGACGAGTTTGCGAAATATGGCACCATCACCAGTGCCAAAGTCATGCGCGACGAAAAAACGGGCCAGTCAAAGGGATTCGGCTTTGTATGCTTTAGCAATGCCCAAGAGGGCACCAAGGCCGTAGCAGAAATGAACAACAAGATCGTCTCTTCCAAGGCAATCTATGTTGCTCCGGCTCAACGGAAAGAGGAGCGTCGTCACCATGTGGATCATATGGCGCAACGCAATAATCAGTTGCACCTGCAACAGGTAACAAGAAAAACCAAAGTCAACCTTTTTGTGTCTTGGGTCCAGAGAGACCCCAGGTAGTGCATTATTAGAAACTAACTCACGCATTTTCATGCTATGTATGCACCATTTTGAAAAACAACAACAAAAAAGCCTTTCATGCCCATGCCTGGCTACATACCCGGCGCACCCGTGTATTACGAGTATAGTGGATTTCCTCCTCAACCCGACGGCAGGCCGCCCCGATATCAAGCTCCCTATATTAAGCAAGGCTACCCTGTTCCGGTGCATGCCTACTACATGACTACACCTCCTACTCATCCACTCCCACATTCCCGGCCGCCCGTGTACTCCACTGCTCCAGCAACAGCCGCACAGCCCCCTACCACAGGTGCTCCGACTGGTAGTGCTACCACCACGACCACCACACCAGAAGATACTTTGTCAAAAGACGAACAACCCCAACCTCTTACCATGGACATGCTTTCTTCCTACTCGGACGAAACACAGAACCAAATACTCGGCGAACGGATATATGCTGTAGTGTAAGTGTTCTTCTTGCTTATAAAGGAGGTGGAGGACAGGGCGGAAACAAGTTTAATAAGGAAACATCTGTCAAACTTTATAATTCTAATTTGACACATGACTCATCTCTCTCTTTTTTATTCTTTTTTTTAGACAAGCTAAATATCCACAACTGGCTGGTAAAGTGACGGGCATGTTGTTGGAGATGGATAAAGAAGACTTGATTTCGCTCATCAATGATCGCGAGTCGCTGGAAAGCAAGGCCGACGAGGCGGTGACAGTACTGGAGCATCATAGAGCAACGTCGTCATCGTCGCAAACGGAGGAGTAGTAATAGTAATAGCGAGTAGTAGTAGTAGTAGTAGTCATCATGTAGCCAACCAACCAACCAACAAAAAAAGTTTTTTTCCACGAGATAATGTTAGAGAGAGAGGTATCCCTTTTATGTGTTCGTATGTGCCTGCTTTAATAATAATTGTCGTCGTCGGATGACAACTCGTAGCCGTATTCTATTCGTATCGATGCTCAACGTTACTATTGATATGGCACAAATCCAATTCCTTTAAAGAACAGCAATGATTTACTTACGGTCTTCGAAATCTTCGTCGCTTTCTTCGTCCGGGTAGTCATTTTGGTAGAAATCTTCCGCTATTTCACAAGCAGAGCATGCTCAAACTCTTTTCTTACTGCTAATTTACCTTTTTGGAATATATTCCTAAAGAAGAACAAAGAAGCTTACCATTTGAATCCTCATCGCCATAATCGCCAGGCTCGCTGTCTGTGTCATCGTTCATGTATTCCGTTTCGTCGTTGAACCAAACGCTATTTTATCATAGCATAATAAGCATCTTTACTAATTTTCATGTCATGTAAAACTAGTTTTGGACTTACAGGGATCCAACATTTGCACCGTGGATTTCTCCTTGTTGGGTATCATCGCGATAATAGACATCGTACACATATTCGTCTTCTGCCTCCCTGACACGTTCATTTACTATAGAAAGAGTGTAGTACAGATCAGGACATCCCTACTCTCAAATAGTAGATAGTAGATACTGGATTGTAAATAGTAGGTGCTTACATGTCAAATACTCTTTGACCATTGGAATAAAATTGCACATGATATCGTCGTCTTCTTCATCATCGGTATCAGCAAACAATTTCGCTTTGGATGAAGGACTTCTGGAAGCAGCAGCATGCTCGTTGTCCTCACGTACAGCTTCGTACATTTGCAAAAGCTCGTCCGCAGCATTTTTTACAGCAGGTGGTTGATCGCTACGGCGTTGGTCACGATTTTGATTAATGACTCGATACCGGGCCTGTCGGACGTTGCTTTGCTTTTGTTGTGCCAGTCGATCCTTTCGCTCTTCGAGTGTTTCTGGTGTACGAGGACGAGATCCAGGTTGGACGCGACGAGTGATTCTTTCTTTCAGCTTTTGTGCTTCTGTAATGTTCTTTAAGCTTTTTTCTTCGACCGTCTCTGCAAGTCTGAAAATTGTTGGTAACGACGTTGCGGAAACTGTTTGTTGTTGTTTTTTTTCCGTATAAAAACTCGATCAGCTTTTCATAGATCCGATAAACAATCACTAAAGCATTTGCACATGGACGACACATGATAAATGCGCGCACACAGAGGCACACACACCTTTAAGTGATCCAGCACCCTCTTTCAAGCTATCTTTTCGTAATCTTTTATTGTCTTCTTGGGTTTGCAACACTGCCAAGCATTTTATATGATTTTATGTCAGTAATTGGAAAAAAGAATTTGCTCTCTTCTTCTCTCTTTCTAATTATTGTAGTTAATTACACAGTGCTTCCAAAGGCTCTTCGGTACGTTTACGCTTGATGCGTAACAGAGTCAAGGACTGTTTAGCCGGTGGAGTTTCCATTTAATTGACTTTATTTGAGGAATTAAAGAAAGAGATCGATCTCGTTGTCCCCGAACTTGGAGGTTACATGTACACAGAGAAAGATGAGCTGAGTTCGTTTATAGCTCCAAAAGCGGTAAATAATGGGGTCGATATCCTTTCCGCTGCTGTTATTCTTGTTTGGTATTGTGCGATCATCACACAATACTCTCCACTGTTAAGGAGTGCTATCACTTATGCCACTACTACTATAAAGAGTTTCTAACAATATAAACAGAAATTATGATTGCTCGTTTCTTTGAACCGAATAGCGAAGCGTTTAGTGGTTTCCACCCGGACGAAGGCAGCATCTGGGTTGGCTCGCCTGCGGATCCTGTAGTGACAGAACCCCAATTACGGTGCATAAACAAAGCGCGGTACATTAACGAGAACTAATGAGAAGCAATAAAGAAGCTTTGCCAAGTAAAAAGAGCTCACTCATTTTTGCCAAGCAAGCGGCACGGTTTGTTTCTTTATAATATTTGCAGAAGTATAAACAGTTATGCAACACGCCCGCTTCCTGAACAATCAAGGGTTATCATATAGTCAATGTTTCACGATGCCAATCTGGCTGCAGTAGTGTTTGATTGTCTGTCGTTATGATTAGCCATGTATATGTTCAGTGTTTATAGAGTCTCAAAAATTACTAACTAGTCTAGCGTTATCATCTCTTATAGATTCAAATTAACGATAACAGTTAATGTACTTGCCATAAAAATCGCGATTTATGCCGGTTATCCTTGCTATTGCATATTATTGTAGACGAATAAAAGTAAGTATTATCGTATGCAAAAAGGATTCACGGCGTGTCGACGATCATTCAGTGCGCTATGCGGCAACACGTTGGAGCATATATCCATGGGACGACTTGAAAAATCAGCTTCGGGCTAACAACCTGTAGCAGCCATGCATGAATAAAATGCGCATGCCCTTTTCCCAAAGTCTCTCAAACTCGCACTTAGCTAAACACATGAAAAGTGAGTATACACACCGACATTGAAGGCTACGTTGGGATGCTGCGTCAGAAAACCATGCTGAGCAGTATAGCGTTTTTGACGCAAGGAATCAAGCCGCTGAAGCAACGGAAAGAGGTTTTGCGAAGCAAGTAGCTATGGAGCAACAATAACGTCGCTCATCATTTCATATGCTGTTTATTGATGATTGTGGCTGTATATGAGGCTGGGGGGGCGAAAGGCGCATGTGTGAAAAAGCTATGAGAAGTAATGTAACCACATACTGCTACCCTTGATATACTGGATTGAAAACGACAAGTGCTACCTTTAGGCCCGACACCGGAATGATGGAAGTTAGCACTGTGCTTGTCGGAAATACAAATATTGCATGTGGCCAATAAACTAACGCCCTTGTCTTCTGTACTACAGTCACCATCGCCGTGCCGAGCTGTTCTACTCTCCCCCGCCTCTCTTACTAACAATTCATATTGAGCTTGAATTCTATCAAAAATAATAAAATAAAAAAAAGTCCCCGAAAAAGAACACCCTCGAGTTTTGCGTGGTTTGTTACTGCATGTCACAATTCACATCGTCAACTACGTCCTCGGGCTCGAATAATGCTGCCACGATAAGCACGCGCTTTGCTCACGGCGACGTAAACTCTAGTTCCATCTCGACTAATTCCGGAATGCACCGTGATGATGACAGGTAACTTGTTTTACGTTATTACGACATACAAACTAGGGGAATCAAGTGCACATGTATATAGTATACTCTACTATCTATCTATTCTATCTGTTACTATATAACAGCAAAGAAAAAGAGACCCCTTCTGGGAAGAAAGAGAAGGAATCAGCATAAAGTACCTTTACAGTTTCCTAATGCAGAGCATGTTCTGTGGGGGGGTTGGGGCGGGATCCTGTCATTTAGTAGTACCGTTTCTGAATTACCGGAATCACCTACGTTACCACCGGACTCAAGCCGCGGTGAGGATTTTACCGATATGGGCCAGCTGCCAAAATCACCAATACGAACCAAAGCGGTAGACCTGCAACCGATACCCGCAACCTCCACATTCCAACAACACCAACAAACCACGTCAAACTCAGGCAAGTTTTAAAGAGGTGGTTAGGTGTATGAGATAGATGCATGCATGCATGCATACGAAGGAAAGAAAACAGAAGAGTTTAGCTAATGTCGTTGGTATACTCAAATCAATAGCCTCTTATTCGTCGACTGCACAACCTATGGAACGCGCTCGCTCTGCACAATCCGCCCCAACTTCTCGCACCACCCATAGTGGTAACCATAGTAGCAGCAATAAGCATGTACGACAAGTAGCATCACACAATACCTTACAACCGCGTCGCTCCAAACGCTCTGCCGCTATTCCTGATCATATGGCTGCTGCTCTTGAACTAAGTGCATCGCCTAATGTGCCGCCTGCCCCGGCAGCAGGCATGTACTGGTCTCGTGCAGTAACATATGGTCGTGGTCCATCGCGTCCTCTGCGTGCTCACACTATCAACTTGATTGGGGAGCAGCTCTTTGTATTTGGTGGATGCGATATCAAGACATGCTTCAATTCCCTCTATGTCCTCGATATGGGTAAATGGTCGCTTTAATCTTTCAACACGAGGGAACATTTTAAAAGCAGAGCAATGCTTGCAAAAAAAAAACACGAACTAAATCGAAACATCCTATAGACACCATGACATGGTCAAAGCCAAGAACTGCGGGTCAAGCCCCACCCCCTTGTCGAGCTCATTCAAGCACGCTGGTCGAACGCGACTTGGGATCCGGAAAACGCGCCCATTACCTGTATATCTTTGGCGGTGGTGACGGACCAAATTATTTCAACGATCTCTACGTGCTATATACAGATACCCTGACCTGGTCGAAACCCAAGTGCGAAGGCACGCCTCCTTCCCCACGACGTGCACATACAACGTGTTTGTGGGGTGATAAAATTGTTGTAGTAGGCGGTGGCGATGGTGCACGCGCCTTATCAGATGTGCACATGCTTGATATTGCAGATCCAGCACGTCCTCGATGGACACATATCAAGCCACTGGGTGTGGCGCCCATTGCTCGAGGTTATCACACCAGCAATCTGGTCAAGGACAAGTTGATTGTGTTTGGCGGTAGTGATGGGCATGAATGCTTTAGTGATGTCCACATTTTAGATTTGGGTAAGACATACTCGGTGTGTTTTAATAGTACAGGTAACTCACACAGTACTCAATGATAGCGACCAACCGATGGAATCAAATCGAACTGGATAGAGTTGTACCTCGTCTAGCGCATTCCGCAACGCAAGTCGGCTCTTACGTGTTTGTCATAGGCGGTCATGATGGATCGCGCTATTCAAACGACGTGTTACTATTGAACTTGGGTAATTTGGCAGCTCTTTTCTAATTGCTATCATTTGGATCACTTATTGATTTTGCCTTTCTCCCGCACGTATAAACGCAGTGACCATGAGTTGGGAGTCGCGTAGGATCTATGGCGGTGCACCTAGTCCACGAGGCTATCATGCTGCAGTGCTGCATGATTCGAGACTGTACATCCTCGGCGGTTATGATGGCAAATCGGTTTTCGACGATGTGTATATGATGGGTAAGTCTTTTTTAATCCGAGAAATAAGTGAAAGGTTTCTAATTACGCTTGCTACATTGTTTACGCAGAATTATCAGCTTCGAGTTACCTTCCGCAGATTACGAACTTTGAAATAGACCTCATGTAGATAACCCTCCTCTTTGTTTTTCTTCCTTCTTCTTATTCATCCCTTCCCTCGCTTCCCTCCTTCTCTTTTTAATACTCTTACTGTTAATAATATAGTCACACTTTTCGCTTTCTTCTATACACATATACACACTATCACTCGCCAAGTCACTCACCCACTCTCTTGCCTTTATTTTTTTTTTTTTGGTTTCTATATGGATGCTTATTGGTCCGTTTGGATATCTGTCAATTCTACTTTTTGGCCTTTTTGACAAATGCCAAGACATTGTTTGATTGAAGCAAGGAATCCAATCCGAAAAGCTGTCTAAACATAGTGTACTTTTCCTCTCCCCATCCACTTTGACCTCACAACAATATCACGAGATTTACATCCTAATATTGATATTTCTGTGTCGCGGTTTTCTTTACAGTGTAAAACTATTCAGTATTACATTATCCTCGGCTTGGCTTCATTGCTCTATAGGAAAAAGATACTGAGTCTCAGTGTAAGCAATGAAAACCGTTGCAAAGCAACAACCGAAGAGGAAAATTGGTGGGATTGTTCCTACTACTGACACTAGTTCTGAATGCACTGTGTAACGCATGCAATAACTAGAGCGCAGCTGCTTTTCATACTAAATCTACACACACAGAATGCGTGCTCTACCCTACCAGCTGTGAGTCCTGGCGAGAATTGTTTCCGCTTGCAGGGATAAAAAAGACACTTTTCGTCTACTTTTCATATGAAGCAATAGGTCCATAGTCATGACCTGAAATCACATTGGAAATGGTGAAACATTTTCTGAAGCCGATCGCCAGTCGAGTCTTGTGAAACATTGCGTCGATCCTTCTGCTTGTAGGCCGATCTTTCTTTTTGGCGGGATCACTCCCGGTTCTTGGCTCGGGTTCTCTTCTTCTCTTCTCTCTTCTCTATTTTATTTCCTTTATAACCTTCTTCAGCTTTTCAAGCTTCTTTATTAAATCATAATACAAAATGACCGCACGTGGTGTAGCCAGAAGCATGTAAGCTTATCGGCTCTGTTTTCTTACAGCGGCTTTCCGTAATTCGGGAGAGGAATGAGGGAAGCTAATTCCCCCGGGTTATTTTTCATTTACACAATTGGCACAGAAAAAACTATGCCAAGGGATTCTCTGAAGCGCAAATCAAAGTGCGGGAAGCAACTTCGAACGATCCCGGGGGACCAAGTGGTATCATTATGAATGAGGTTGCCCAGCTTACATACAACGAGTAAGGAAACCTAAAAACCCAAAGAAGAAGCGGCATAACCTATTTTTGTGTTTTAACGCATACTGTGTATAAAAATAGACACGATTTTGTTGAAATTATGGATATGATTGATCGTCGACTTAACGACAAGGGCAAGAACTGGCGTCATGTATTCAAGGTATGAACCGTAGTAGACTGATCGACACAATGAAAAAAAGTGTGTATGTGTGTGTGTGTAGTTTCTGGGCGGTTCTTTAACGGGAAACTCATGATGATGCAAAAAAAAATGGAGCTAGGCCTTATTAGTATTGGACTACTGTCTACATGTCGGTTCAGAAAACGTTGTGCTTTATGCCAAGGAGAATGTCTATGTGATCAAGACTTTAAAGGAGTTCCAGCATCTTGATGATAACGGCCGCGACGTGGGTGCAAATGGTAAACATCATTCAAAAGGAGGGAAAAAACATTACAAGCAACAACAACAAACTTTGGGGTTAAGCATCGTGCGTGCTATGTCAGAGACGGAATATCAGAGAAACACACATAATCCTAGAAGAGGAATGCTCATTCTTTTTGTTTCTAATAGTGCGCCAAAAGGCCAAGGATATCACGAGTCTTCTTTTGGATGACGCTAGATTAAAAGAGGAAAGACAGTCTCGTAACGCGATGCGAGACCGCATGGCAGGTGTTGGTGACTACATGAACGAATCCTTATACGGACGCGGATATGATGGCACAATGACCTTTGATCGACCGAGCGGCCCAAGGTATACCAACGGCAATAACAACAACAGTATGGACAACGACGAAGATCGCGACCTACAGCGGGCTATGGAAGAAAGTCGACGACTGGCACAGAGTGACTCTCGCGACCGAAACCAAGACGATGAAGATCTTGCCAAGGCGATCGAAATGAGCGAGCGAGAGCAACGAGAACGGGAGCGCAAGCAACGGGAAAAGTTGGAGCGAGACAATATAAAGAACTTGCTGGATGATGATACAGACTTGTTCAAACCAGTTAATGTCCAACAAACGGGCATGACATTTTCAGGTGTGCCACTGGGCGCACAACAGCAGCAGCAGCAGCAGCAGCACAATCCGTATCACTGGAATCAGATGCAGGCGCAGATGACAGGCATGCCACAGCAGTACACTGGTGTCGCACCATTCCAAACCAACCCAATGATGATGAGTCCACAGTACACTGGGTTCAATACCGCGATGCAAACGGGTGCTGGTTTCCCTTCATCAGCAAACGGTCTGCAGAGCATGTCCACAGGAAGCCTACCAAACACTATGTCTCCTCTTAATCCACAGCTTACATCGATGGGATCCTCGCCCATGTCTCTGAACCAGTCACAAGCACAGCAACAGACACCCGTAAAGACCGGCAGCAACAATCCATTTGGTCCGGGATACCAGCAGCAGCAAACAGCATCATCAGTAGCATCAGCAGCAGCAACACCAGTCGCTATTCAATCACAAACGCAAACACCTGTTTCTGCTCAGCAGACAGGCATTATACACCAGCTTTCATCCTCGGCACCTAGTGCACAACCCCTACCACAGCAACCCCTTGATCCACGACATGCAAAGTTAAACACACTTCTCGCCAACAGAGAGTAAGTTTTGCTATAGGGGTTGATTATGGTGTATTATCGACTTTTGTTTTACTGATATGGTTTTTGTATTATAGCGAGGGACAAGATACATTTGGAAATACAGGCAACCTACGTGTACCAGTGTAAGTTATCAAAAAAGAAGTGACCATGTGCGATCAAGAACACGCGCTGATCTAAACTATCCACTGGATGTCTTAGTGGCACAGGTTTTGCTAGTTCACTTGACCCACAAGCAACCGGAAAGGCCAACAGTACTGGTGATTTACTCAATCTGAACAACCAGCCTACAGGCACGTCATTTCCTCAGGTAAATAATAAACAGCGGTGCACATTTTAGCTTATGTATGTAGGCCAAGTTGTACCACGAAATTAATCAGATCCATCATATATTATATATATCATATCATATCAGGTTCACAATCCATTTACACCGCAATATACCGGACAACCACAGCAACAATCGACCGGATCCCTTTTCTAATTTAGTCCCGCAGTTCATATAGCTACTAGAACTTTTAAACGAACATGCTATGTACAGTATTTCTTTTTTCTTTTTGCTCCACGAGAATCTCCTTATGTGGCTTCTACATACGCGTGATGATATGTTTACTTATTGTTTTGATCTGGGGAAAAGGGGATTTTGTGAATTGGACTCAAAAAAGAAAGAGCTGCTGTAAAGTAAATTACTGCGAGCTTGATGATTGTGCTCTGCTTCAAGTAACCTTATGTTGTTGGTAACTACATCAACTGCACAAAGTGTTTCGCCCTTGGTATATTTTCAAATGTAGCTGCTGGTTTTTACATAGTACATGGTTGGTAAACTTCAGGAATCATTTGTAATAGCCTCCGATTTACTATGCAATAACTTTTACCTTTTCGGTGTTAGCGCAAATCCAACGCTGTTATAGGCGTTTACGAAAATTCACGCAGACCAAAACCGGATAATTACTTATCCGAAGCAAAAAACGTAACAATAAAGTCGGGATCTCGGTTAATTAGTTTGCCGAGAAAAGTTATGAGCAGTCATGGTTTTTTTCGGTGGTTCTTAATCTTTTACTGTGGTGTTTGTTTACAAGGGTCCCCCTCTTCCTTTTCCCCCCTTTTTGCATCGCGTCTATAATTTTTGCCATGTCTTTAAACAACCCTACCAATGCTGCCGGTCCCATTACTGAAGCTGTGCAATTGCTTGGTGACCCCGACCTCTACCGCACGGGTTGCAGAAAAACGAAACCGTTTGCCCTTTTTGCCGGTAGAACAAGACCGTACAGGACGTGTATTGTCTGTCGTGACAGACAGACACCGAGAATGCCAGTTTCACTCGACTCAATGATCTTCATTGACGAGTTGGGAAACTTTTATCCCTTTGCTGTCCGTAATTCAGTTGGTGATGTCGTTACTGAGGTCTTCTCTTTTTCGGGCTACATCGTTTACGAGGATGAAATGCGCACATGGTCAGATCAGCGTATAATTACACGTGTGTTGGAAGCAGTGCAGCTCTGTGACAACTACAGATATGATGTGATGAACACTGGCGACCCAGCACTTCGTGAAGCCATTCACCGCAAGATGCGTTCAATCTGTAGCTATACAAAATCAGGTAAGCTAATCAACCGGTCAAAAAAGGCATTCGATAAAAAGGAACAGATAGGCAAAGTGTTTGCGTGCAGTTTCGTTGAAATCGGATTAATTTTATATGTTAGATCCCTGTTCGTGAGCGCCAGCGTGTCATCCAACGGATGGAAACATTCATTTGTCAAGGATTTGTGCACGGTGTGATCGATCGGGATCTAGGAGCGATCGAGCTTACTGTTCGCCATCCATCGCAACATGCAGCCGCTCCAGCTCCACGCCCGGAAGGTGTGTCGCGTGAGGTGCTTGACTTCATTGCAGCACGTGCAATGACTCGTTCAGCGCCAGATATTCATAATGATATCATCGATGAATGGGGCTATCATGCAGCAACGGCGGCACAAGTGTACTACTGGTGGGGCTAGACGTTCCGTACGCGGTATATGCTAGACGATGACCAGTTTGTTTCCGCCCAGCTCTTGATACAGCAGTATACAAATCAAGGATATACGGAGGTAAGTAGATTAATACAGAAAACAGAACTCACCTTCTGTAGACCTGTTTTTGCTCTAGTAGATTATTAGAAAAACGTAGTGTTTTTGCCTTATTGTATGAATAAAAAATAGATTTATTCTGACACTGCTGATGGTATTGTTGCTGTGGGTTTCGTCACTCCTTTTTTTGCCCCTTTGGCTGGTTGTGTTCATGTGGAAGAGTACCATATCGACTCCACTTTTAAGACAAATCGTGCTGGTATGGAGCTATATGGTGTCATTGCCAATGTGAATGGTGCTGGATTCCCTGTTGCATATATGCTTTGTGACACAAGCAATGCAGACGCCACAATCGAGCATCCAAAAACACAAACCTTGGAGCGGTTTTTGGGAGAGCTCAAAGAAAGGGGACTAGAACCAGAGTTCATGTTTAGTGATGGTGATGCTGCGCAACTTAGTGCGATCCAGGCGACATGGGATAGTCGTCGTTGTCTACGTCAATGTCTTTGGCATATAGAGCATTCTATGGAAAGGAAACTTTCCTCTAGAAGAAATGCCACATCCACTTACTATGACGTCCAAGAAGCGATGGTCCAATTCCCGTTTGTCTCGCGTCAATTCACACCGTCCGCCACCACTGATTTGAATCGCATTATGTGTGATAAACCAAGAAGAGAGGAGATGCTGAAGATGGTGGGCAGGCACTACAGCCGTCATCCGATGATGGCTGAAGGTATTCATAACACGTGGTGCAGAGATATTAGGTAGATGTATAAACACTCATTGATATACTTATACACCTGTTTCTGTCATTCTTTTGCTTGGTTTTAAATATAATAGGGAAAGTATTTGCTAATCCTAACGATATATGGCAACAATGCGCCCAGGAGATGTACGACTACTGTGTTATGCATTATCTGCATCATGCATGGGCTTATATGTTTCGCCGATTTTACCAGCTTGACAAGTGGATAACATGGGCAGCTAGCTCTGTCCCTGATCGCATCCCACTGTCAAGAATAACCATGCTTGTCGAAGCACACTGGAAAGTGCTTAAGCGTAATCATATGTATACGTACAACCGTGCTAGATTGGATCTCTTGGTATTCGTCATTATACATAGCTATATACCAAAGCTAATTGACCGTTTCAATACCGAGATCGTGCTTCGTCAAAACCTGACACGCTGGGAGAAAGGATTTATCCAAGAATGGAACGCGGCATTTCTTCGTGCAAACTACATAAACCCAAACCTGGTTCAAGGCACATGGTATACATCGGTGCAACGCTGGACATGCGGTTGTCCGTCGTTTGTTAAAGTACATCATACTTGGTATGTAAACACATTGTGCGTGCTTTTCATAATCGGCAAATTGCCCAACGCGAAAAATACGTTGCCAGAACATGTAGACCTCCTTTCATCAGAATACTACCGGTAAACATCAAATACATAGATTGTAGATAGTCTTTAGGAGCGCAAATCTTGGTCAGGGTAAGCTTATTTCTTTCTCTTCTATTTATTGAACAGCCTCAAGAAAACCCCTTCCGTGGTATGTTACTCCCTCGTCATTCTTCCCTCGACCTAAGCACCACCACGGCCACTGCCACTTCTTTGCCCACACCAATGACCTCATCAACACAGCAACCGCCGTGGCCCAGCAAACGAAGATGTGCGACATGTTTAGCTTTCTTTCCTGTTTTTCTTTCTTCCTCTCTTTTATATACTTCTTCTTTCTTCTTATCTGTACCTTATTTTTCTTTTTATCAATTCTGTTCTAAATTATATTGTTCTGCTTGGTTTATATACAAATTTATTTTAAAGTTGTTTTTATTTTGTGCATCGTTGTCGCATAATATAATTGAGTGAGCGATCTATTGGTAAGTGCTTTGTGCCTTGCGTAATTATGTAACAAATGACTGCTCATATTCTTCTCGGCAAACTAATTAACCGAGATCTCGACTTAAATGTTACGTTTTTTGATTCGGCTAAATAATTACTCGGTTTTGGTCTGCGTGAATTCTCGTAAACGCCTTAGGCAGGTACGTACATGATCACTGTTGTCAGCATCTCCTTATTTGGCTAGCTGAAACCGATCCAGACTGCATGAAAAGCAACACACTATGAAGTGACTTGTTCCGATCAGACCATGACACTTGTTTGCTTTTACTCTACTTTGCAAACACGACAAGGCCTCTTATCTGAAATAAAACATACAACAGTGAACTACAAGACCGTGGCTAGAAAATGGTACCAATATCGCCACAGCTTAGATGGGGAATATCCATAATGAAAGAGCAAAGAACTTGACGGCTCTTTTGGCAATTCCTACGCATCTTGCTCGTGAAAACTGTCAAGCGATTATCGCCCCTTCTTTTGGGTCATTCGAACGTAGACGTATATATACGACACTGCGTATTTTTTTCTCTGAAAATTTTCTCTCTTTTTCTTTATTGTCTTCCATCAATACAGTATTGCCACTCAATAGGCATACCCGTGCGATTGTTCATCCAAGAAGCACGGCCATGCTTTCCTCCTGCTGCGGCTGCGCCAAGGTTCTGTTTTTATTATGAATGGTATGTGATGTTGTTTCTTCTATACAACAAATGGTGTACATACGTTGTTTCCACAATCATCGTCGCCTTCAATTCCCTCTATTAACCTTTTACGACATCCTTGTGATAGATGACCATCTCCGCTTTGTGCTACACAAGAAGGATCCTCGTCGCAATATGCAAGCTGGTTCTCCAAGATCTCAGAAGAGAAGGATCGTAAGTTTTATGTTTGGCAATTGGGCAATGGGCTAGGTAATTGTGAAATGACCGTGTGTAAATGGTTTTAAAAAGAGTGGCTAATCACAGTTGGCATTTGTGTAAAATTAGCATTTTTCATATATCTCCCTCTGAGCAAGTATCATTATCTCCTTCCGCGTGCTGTCAGTGTAACAAGGTCAACGTGAGTATTATTACAGTCAAAGGGTTGCTCGGACAGATGAAGAAAGATGCAAATGGATAGGACAAATGCTGGGGACTGCGCCATAGGATGATTGATACTCATCGTCACCACGGATGTTTCATAGGGCACACATTACGATATTTCTCTTACTCGGTTAGTAGTGTGAGTACTAAAAAATGTACGGCATTCTATTTTCTTTGGGATGATGGGGTATACTGGATGTGGGCATGATGATTGCTGAGGTATATATGCTAGCCGCTTACACCTTTCTCTTTTCTTTTTTGACTTGTATATTGAAACTTATGGCAGCAAGGACAAGGCGTACAAGGTTAGGAAAAGAGCCATCCGTTGATTTCGTGTTGCCATTCGTCTCTGCTGTGTCCACCGTTCAGACCTATCATGTCATCACTCGTGTGATAATCAAGACACCTCACACCACTGCCTCTGCTGCTGCTGCTACTGAGTCTCTTGGCTGTCACTAGTTTCCACCACTGTGCTACTCCCGGCCTGAGAAACCTGTCAAAGAAGTTTACCTACTATGCTCAAGATGTATCCACCATCCATCCATCCATCCATCACAGACAGTGGTTGAAATCACTCCATCTTTGTTCTCAAGCAAGCCAGGCCTTCTCCTGTGTCTAGGGACAAGCTAGTTGCCGTCATCCTGTTGCTCAAGCTGCTGTTTCTCGTGGTCAACAAGTCCATCTCGCTTCTTGTTGCTTCTCGTGCTGTCAAGTTGAAGGCATGGCCCAATGAAGGATGAAAGAACAAGGATGGTTGCACAGTGTGATCGCTGCTTTATTACTGTAAGTACAGTACATCATTTCATCAGTTAATTTGGTGTGTGTGTCTCGTCTTAATGTACGTTGTCTGTCTAGCAAGACTGCTAACTGCCTTAATTTCTTTCTTTTCTGTTGCCCAAAGGGGCGGGCCTTTTAGGCTCGCTCCTTTGTTTTTGTCAGGCTACTACTGGGAGCACAACGCCCGAGCAAAGGGCATTTATGTTGCTTGCTTTCCAGTGTTATATCGCACGTTCGATGAAGCTTCGGCTGAGTTCGTGCAACGAGTATGGGATTGACGATGTTTCGGCAGAGTCTTTCTCATATGTTGTGGGACGCACCGTCGGCATGCCGGCGCAGGTTTCGGGAAGCCTTCTTTTCGGAGAGGGCGAGCCCCGTTGCTTAAAAACGTGTAAGTTCTTTTCCTTCTTTTTCATACGAAAATACTCGGCATGCGTATGTCGGACAGTGAAACTCATCCGTGAAATTTTTGAAACGCCTTCCCTAGCACAAATCCAAGTGGTTTTAAAAATAGGGCCTTAAAACTTTAGTTTCTCTATCCCTGCAGAACGCACGTTTAGATACAACTATGCGATCAATCGTATCTCATTTGAAATCTGTACCGACAGCACAATTGCGTGTGTCCACCAAGTATACGCCAACGTCAGCAAGAGCCTTACTTCGTACTCAGGAAACCTCGCGCGCGTTCACCACACGATCGTTGCCTCGACCTTCTTCGTCATTGCTGACTCAATCGCGTCTTCTTAAAGGACGTGTCAATATCAATGAATTGCATACTTCCCGCGTCACTCAAGCCACGATCCCAAAATTCACAAATCGTCTTAGTAATGAAAAAAGTCCATATCTTTTGGTAAGGAGTTTTTTTTTTCTCGGTTGTTGGACGGGGTTAACCTTATTGTTATGCCTCTGTTGTTGACATCATTTTCTATATTCTGCTTATATGAAGCAACATGGTAAGGTGACACAAATTGGTCAATGACACAGACTTGTTTTTGGCTTTAATTAATCGATGATTTTCTATGCAACCACATGTACTTTTTAGCCCACAACCCTGTAAGTAGGACCCTTGTTTTGGCTTAGTCATCCGGTGTTGGGTTGAACTGGGTTAGATTGGATGGTCAGAAAATAACATTCATGTGGTTATGATTTAAAGGTTGATTGGTATCCCTGGGGCAAGGAAGCATTCGATAAGGCTGTCAAGGAGAATAAGCCTATCTTCTTAAGTATCGGTTATAGTACTTGCCAGTAATGTATCTCATTGAGAAGTTCTGAATTGATGTACGCGTAAATGTTGCTAACGCCAATAATAACCATTGATAGTTGGTGTCATGTTATGGAGCACGAATCGTTTGAAAATGAAGAGACTGCAAAATTCATGAACGAGCACTTTGTAAACATCAAAGGTTAGAGGAGCCTATCCATGACATTCGATGAGGAAAATTAGATAATGAGGAAAATTGACTGATTACCATATGTGTATGTGTGCATCTAGTCGACAGAGAAGAAAATCCAGCTGTCGACAAGCTCTACATGACGTATATTCAATTGATCTCTGGACGAGGTGGCTGGCCAATGTCTGTCTTCCTTACACCCGAACTATCGCCTTTCTTTGGTGGCACTTATTTCCCTCCAGGGGACCAATACGGCACACCAGGTTTCCGCAACCTACTAGCTCGCGTTGCTGAAATATGGGAAGCTGCTGACGACAAGGTGAGAGAAGATGCCTCCGGAACAATCGCCCAACTTCGAGCCTACGTCAACTCAAAGCCTGCTGGTACGGAAGATGCTGCAAGCCAGCTCCATCCAGAGAACTTGGTATCAGCGGCATTCAATCACTTTGATGACAATTTTGATACCGCGAATGGTGGTTTTACTGGTGCTCCCAAATTTCCCACACCAGTCCAGTTGCAGTTCTTGTTTGAGTACTTTGCTTACTTGCGCAAAGACAAAAGCACTGAACATAATGCGCAAAAGGCGCTTGAAATGGCTTTGTTCACGCTCAAGGTACATAAATTTTTCAAGGCATACATCTGTCGTTTGTATTATAAATATTTGGCTTATAAAGAAAAAAATGTAATGATATAGAAAATTTCAATGGGCGGTATACGCGGTAAGATTTGGTTTGGCATATCTAAGTTTTCACATAATTGTTGTCACATTTGCCAGTATATGTATATGCTAATGAGTGTATTGATGGAACAGACCATATCGGCAGCGGATTTCATAGGTAACTATTGCATATTCATTTGTAAAGCCACATGTCAACCGAGATTACTCACAAATGACCTACAGATACAGCACAGACAAGTACTGGCACGTACCCCATTTTGAAAAGATGCTTTACGACCAGGCCCAGTTGCTCTCTGCCTACACTTCCGCATACCTGATCACTAGAGACCAAGGTTTTGCAGATGTAGCCAAGGATATTGTGCACTATATTGCCCGTGATCTCCAGCATCCTCAAGGCGGTTTCTACTCTGCTGAAGATGCAGACTCGTTCCCAACAGATCAATCTAAAAAGAAGCTTGGTATGTAGCTTTACTGAGTATAAAGGTGACAAAGGTTCATTAGTATGGTTATCTATTGATACATTCACTGTTATGTTTTACAGAAGGAGCCTTCTATGTTTGGGAGATGCCACTGCTGGAAGAAATTCTCGGGTCCAAAGCAGCCAAAGTATTTAACAAATACTACGGTGTTAACAAGGATGGTAATGTCAACCCTGCTCAAGATCCGCATAATGAGCTTGTTAACCAGGTATGTTGGAAAAAACGATGCAGTTATGCTACCACTATTTGTGATGTTTCCTTGGTCGCTTACTGATCTATTTTTCGTTTTGGAAAAGAACGTGCTTGCAGAGCAAGAATCAGTGGATAATGTCGCCAAAGAGTTTGGCATGTCCTCGCAAGATGTGGGTTCCATTCTCAACGAGTCCAAGGAAAAATTGCTAAAGTACAGAGAGGAGCAGAGACCGAAACCTCACTGTGATGACAAGGTACTGTCCCCTATAATAAAAGCTGTCGTTGAATAGTATCTAACCAGGTTTTTATCCTCTTATTTTAGATCCTCACCTCTTGGAATGGTTAGTGAATATATCATTAAGGAGCAGCATGAAATAGTAATCTTTGTTTATTAAACCTGGTGATGAAACTTTCATAGGACTGATGATTTCTGGTCTTGCACAAGCAGCCAATGCTTTCCAAGACAAAGAGATTTTGAAACTGGCTACCAATGCCGCCGACTTTATCCAACGAGAACTCTACAAACAACAGACTGATACCTTGTTACGCAGCTATAGAGCTGGCCCCTCTGATATTGAAGGTTTCCTCGACGACTATAGGTAAGCCAATATCTAATTGATATTAATCTTCTTATTTTTTAACCGTCCTTCAAAAAATGATACAGCTATATGGTTCAAGGTTTGTTGGATCTATACGAAGCGACTTACGACGAAAAGTGGATTCAATGGGCTTATGATCTCCAACAAAAGCAAAATGAATTGTTTTACGATTCCGATAAGGGTGGTTACTTTAACGTACAAGCAAGTGACAAGAGCATTCTTGTGCGCCTTAAGGATGGTAAAAAAAATTAGTAATTTCTAGCTACTGTGGATTCGTAGCAATACTGGACACAAACTCAATCTCGTTTTATAACTATTTAGAACAAGACGGTGCCGAACCTTCAGCGTAAGTATAAGATATCAAGCCAGTAATAAAAGATCATGAAAATTTACTAACTATATAACCTTTTTAATCCTATTTAGCAATGCTATTTCCTTGAGAAACCTCGTTAGACTCGGTACTATCTTAGAGCAAGAAGATTACGTGGTCAAGGCGAGAAATACCATTGGATCTTTCAGCACTAGCATTTCCCAATACCCTTTTGCTATGCCTGCACTTTTGGGATCATTCCTTTTGATGGTGAACGGTGTAAAGCAGGTAATTAGGAAAAGAAGCTAGTTCTTGTTCACCGTTACTGAACCTATCATACTAGATTGTGCTGACTGGCACGGATGAGAGCCAGTTAAAACCATTCAAGGAGACCATTTCTCAAGCATTCGTTCCAAACAAGGTTTCAATCCAGGCTAAAAAGGGTGGTCTTATTGAGCAAAAGAATCCAATTGTAGCGCAGCTAGCAGATGATAGTAAGGCAGCAGCCTATGTTTGCGAAAACTTTACTTGCGGATTGCCTGTTGAAGATGCGAAAACACTTCAAGCCAAGATTGGAAATTAAAAGAAAATTATAATGGGTTTTATTGCTCAAAGGAATACAATAAAAAGCCCCCCATTTACAAACAAAGCAGATTGGGAGAAAATGTGATAAGTAGCTTTGTGAGAGTGAGGCACTGTCTTGCTATGCAACGACGACACCGACAACGCACGATACGTTTGATTTAGCAGGTGAACTTGATGTCACATTGTCTGCACCAGTAGTCACAATCTCCTGAGCAACAACCTCCAGCAACACACGACGAGGGGAGACATTGACCTAGCAGTATAGTAATGGAGATAGGATCCGAGAAAGAGATAGTCAGCTATACACATAACATAGACTCTGGTTCTATTGTAGAAACATTATCCACTTACGCTCGGTGAGATGCTCAGTAGCAGGTTTGGGGCTAGCACTAACAGCAATGGTAGCAAGGCTCAACAAGGTCAAGATGGCAGTAAGCTTCATTTTGTCGTCGTTTAAAAGTAGAAAGTGAGTTTTGACAGTTTCCGTTGATTTCTTGTGTGTCTTTTATAGAGTTTTGGGCGAGTTATTATTAGGTACTCAAAAGGGGACACATGCTGCTACTCGCAAAACAATTGGTACAAGTAGCATCCATATGTGGTTCATCATTATTAAAGAATGCAGATTCCATCGTCCTGATAACGTGCCTACAAGAAGTGTCTATAGGCCTGTAAAAGAAACTAGCATGATTTGCTAAGCCCCGTTCAGATTTGAGCATAATGGTCATATTTGAAAGCGATCCAGCCGTAACAGCATTATGCATCGATGAACAGATGTATCTCTATGAATGCAGGTGTCAACTGACTACAGTTTGTTGCCAATAATGATTATTTGATAAGAGCTATAATTACAGATACAGGGGGTTTCTTCTTTTTGTTATTGTGGAATTAAGATGGTATGGTGGTTTAGATATGTTGTTATACGTTAAAGTTACAGACAACTCGATAAGTCTGTCCGCGAATGACTGCCTCTACGCGTAATTCAACTTCTCCGAAATACATCTGTTATTTGAGTAAATACCGTTAATATTTCCTCTACAGAGTTTCTATGATTGTACAGCCTAGTTCCTCTTACCTTAATAATCAGCTCGATTTGCTCTCCTTCCACAGCATCTGGTAACTCTGGCATGGGAATTTCAAAGTGAAATACCTTTCGCACACCAGATTGCAGGGTGTACCGAGGCTCGTCTTCGGTATTGGCTGCAAAAAAAGTACATTCCGTGGGGCAGGGATAAAATGTGGTGTATTTTTGGGTTACACAGCTATCGTTGTCTGCATAATAAAAATTAAGTTTACCAATGGGTCAATGCGTCATTCTCTAGTGAGGATATGAAGAGATACTATCCTCGCTGAATCACAGTAACAGTTATTACATGACAAAATATTTCTCTTTTTGTTTTACCTAGCGGCTCTCCGCGTCGAACGAAAACTGAAAATCGATTGTCACATCGGATACTTCCATCCCTTCTTACGATTTTGTACTCTTCAGGATCAACTCCTTCCACAAAGGTGTTGGTAATGTCGATGCCGTACCAGTATCTTGGTACACGTGTGGTCACCTTGGTAGGGTTCATGCCAAAATAAGCGGCACCACGGGCAACGGCGAGTTCTAGAAAGAGTTTGCATGAATGATGAGCAGGAAATTGAAGAAGACCAAGGATGCTTCTCGTATATCTTTTTGCGAAATAGTTTCATTGGGTATAATTTCCACATAGAAACATGATTTTTGTTTTATCCAAGTTGCTTCAACTGTTGCTCTTAGTATGGTTACCTGCGCGATAGGGCGTGACAACCTTGATGTTGTATCTCTTGTATTCCTCCGTGATCCGACTCTGTAAATAATGAGAGGCGCCAAAACCACCGACAGTAAAAATGGCCTTAAGATTGTGTGTTTGTTGTTTTTGCTTGTGGATGAGTGCAAGAACTTCTTGTACCACAGGCTCGAACACCTTTTCCTTGAGCTCCTCAACAGAGAAGCGCAGCACACCTTCATCTAATCCGATTTCGGGATTTGTGTGCTCGGTGATGCCCAGGTTCATGGGGAGGTTCATAAATAGAGCGTCGCTTCCGTCGAATGAGGGTTTCAGGGTATCTACACCATACATGTATATACAGTTCAGTTACCCTTGTTCGCCCATCACTAGAGCGAAATCACATTCCTCCTTCCAACACTTCTTTCTGATCCTAAGAAAATTCTTTTACCGATGAAGTTTTCCATCATGGTTTCCAATGCGGCTGGGGGAATAGGATCCACAAGCTTCTTGAGTTTACTCCGCAAGAGTTTGCGCATGCGTTTGTCAACAAAGGCAGAGCCACACGACTTTCCCATGCCCTTTGTACTCTCCTTGAACTGACGATTGCCATCCGCATCCATCTTTACGTTGAAAACGATCAAATCAACCGTACCGCCTAAATGTTAAAACACCCATCCGGTATTCAGTAAACTTATCTCTCAAGTGATCTCATCCTTTGGTTGATAGCCATATTACTCACCGCCTGCATCACAGATCATAAATTCATCACCATCCTCCATATCAAATTGCTCGCAGGTCTGTTCACAATAGATTGCTGCTGCCTCGGGTTCCGAAATAAGCATTAAACGATCGTGGTGGTCGTCCTCATTTATAATTCCAGCAAGAATAGCAGCATCACGCATGGCTTGTTTTGATTTATCGGACCACATTGCGGGAACCTAATACATGACCCTTTTCAATTGACAGATCTATACACACTTTCTCTACCAATTAGAAACTTCACTTACTGTAATACAGTAACGATAGCGACCCTCAAATTGTTGTGCGAAGCCTTTCTTCATTTCAGCTAATACGTTATTGTGGAACTCACGGAGGTAATCTATGAATACATCACAGTTTAGTTATCAATTTTTTTCTTTGATCCTATTATTTCAACTATTATACGATCCAGCTTATCATCGGACAACTAACCTGCAATCACATTCACGGGCTTGAAACCACCGGGGATCGGTTTGAAGACGCCATTCAAGCTATCGTCAAGGTACAGTTTGTACTGCTGCAGCAGCAAGTAGTTGGTTTTCGATGGTGCTTTTTGTCGTTCCAAACGCGCAGCGTTACCCCATGCGGCCAAAGTCTAACATCCCATTGATATCATCAGTTTGTATTGATAACAGCCTCAACACAGCTTTACAAAGTAGAGCTTTCTTCTCGTCAACATACTCTAGTATCACCGTTGTACAACTAAAAAACAAGCGTTCAATTTGATCATTAATATGATTTCTGCTAACGAAAAGGCCACAGAAAGCCGGCAGAACTTACACTAATTGTTGGAGCCTAAAAAAATAATAACACTGAATAAGTATCTCTCTGGTTTTCAGGAACGGGCCCTTTGAAACCTGATTCGTCCCCTTTCTCGTCGCTTTTCTTACCTTTGGATACCTAAAACCCGACTGTTTTGGCCTTTCATATATACAAACTTTCGTTAATCGAAGGAAATAAGTCGATCTATTACTGTGCATGTACTTTACCATGTTGTAATGTCTGTAACGTCTTGTGATGAAATGATACCATACGCAGCGCCACTATAAGTGGTACCTGAAATCAACAGAGAGAGGAAAGGAACTGAGTAACAAGCGGGAAAGAATCTTTTGCATATAGTGTTTACGCTTCTTACCGAAATCGATGCCCACGACGACGCGATAATCACTAAGAGGGATCGGAAAAACCATGATGATTAAATATTATGAGAAGGAGAAAGTGTTCAGTAAGAGAAGGAAAAAAGACGAGTACGCCTTGTTTAAAAGTAAGTGGCGAGGCTAGAGCATATTCTTTGTAAAAAGAAGCTTGTATCACGATTAACAGTCGTACAGAGTATACGCGCCATCTGAGCCTCATCTTTTTAAGCAGTATGATGGTTGTGTGGGCTAAGCAGCAACTAGTTATATCGAGTATTTTCCGTATCGTTGGATTCGGTCTTCACCGGGTTCATATGTTAAATTAGATTGCCATTATTGAAACAATTATTTTCTCGTCTTCCGTTATTCGAAGTTTGGCTACTAACGATATAAACTGCTTGTATACTGCTTTGCATGAGCCATGACAATTTTTTAAAGAAAACCGATGATTTTAGACTAATTGATCGTGAAGGGGATTGTCTTGATTTGACCTAATCTGGATAAGTAGCACAAACACATATACGACTTCTAAGCCAACAGTAAGCTCCTTAACACTAGATATTGTGCCACTTGGCACTTAGCATGTATCCTACTGTACTCATCCGATATTCTTTAGTCGCTCAACAATCTCTCTAGTACGTGGTTTTGCTTTAATAGTGTCTTTTTATAAAGTGATATGTAATTATGTATAATCAATGGAGAGATACAGTGAGTAGGTGGGTGATGCTTTTAAATGTACATTGTTGTATATAATGAGTTTTTTCTATCATGATAAAAGAAGTGGGTGGGCGATGTGTGTGTGCGGAGGAAAAGTTACTCCTGCTATTTTGGTGACTATAAGCCGTTGCGTATTAGCAATTATGCGATGCGTTCCTCTTTTTCGGAAAGCACCTTTTCGTCATTCGTTGTTGCAGCTGCCTTGTTCTCGCTTGCTCCAAAGCGAGTATTCTTGGCAGCAAACGCGCAGATGACAGCTACACCAGCAGCAACAAGAGGCATAATGAAAACCTTGTTTAACGCATTCATGTAAGCATGGATAAGAGGTTGTTGTGTATCTGCGGGCATGTTTTTAAGGTACAAATAGTTGGAATCGGCGCCATATTCATGTGCGACAGCCTACGAGTGTTAAGTAATGGTCAATTAAGTAAGCATGTGTGATGAAGTAAGTAACTTTTGGAAAGCAGCAATATACTTACCAGAGTATCAGGATCAATGGTAGAGAGTTGATGAGCAAGAAATAGCTGGAACATCGTTTCGCAAATGGCAACACCCTGTCAATGTATTTAATTTAAAAGATCAGAAAAAATCAAAACCTGTACATAGCAGCTAAATGAAAGATTATCGCTAGATATAGGTAGCATTACTTACGATGGAGCATGCGAGCATCATGAAAAAGTTCGTTAAAGCGGTAGCTACAGCAATATACTTTTTGTCTGCAGCGCTTTGCACACCCATGATGGTATTCTGTTGTGATAAGCCAAAGGCAAATCCTAAGAGAAGAGTATCGTGAGTGTGAGAGAGTGTGAGAGAGAGAGTTGTGTGCGTGTGTTTCAAAACAATAACAAAAGAAAAACGTACCACACAGCATCAGGTAACAAGACTGTTGAGCCCATGAGCTATTCTCGTTGACAGTGTAAAAGAGACCGAAGCCAATGATATTACACACAGATGCAAGCATAAGATAGAACTTTACATAAGGGAACAAAGGCAATACCAAGCCACTACCGATGGACGCAACAATCAAGCATGCCTTTTGAAAAAAAAACCGTGTAAGCAAGAATAGAAAACGCTTGTTATTAGCAAAATTTTAACTTACCATGTACGGGATCAAGTGAATACCTGATCCTGTGCTGTCGGCGCCAAACACCGCTTGGAACATGATGGGGCCATAGTACAAAGTTCCAATGACTATATGGTTTGACAAGCAAACAATATAGAATAAGTGAAACGAATATTACCGTGGTCCAGGTTTTAAACAAAAGAGATTTAGTGATATGCTTACAGCCAAGACCAAGGCATATGATGTAGAGATAGAAAATCGAAATGGCAGGATTCAAAATGATTTCAGGTGGCAGAAGCTAATACGGTTCATAAATTTCATCATAATAATTAATAATAATTGACATAGAGGTGTGCACGACAAGATTAAAACAGCCGAACACGTTGTTCTTTTTCCAGCAGCGGTGGTACTGTATGTAGTAATAGCTGCTTCAGCAACATGCATGTAGCGTAGTAATTGAGAATGCACTTACTGGCTCCGCTGCAACCCATCCTTCGACTACAATTAGTCCGACCAACGACACCGCCGCGGCAATAAACGGGCCGAGAGAGTGTCCACTCGACCATCTGAAGTTATTAATGTAATAAATGTGAGAAAGGACCCGGCGTTTGGCATTCATTAAAGCCTTCCGCATTTGAAACCTAGGACAAATTGAAAAATCTTCTACATACCCGTAAGCTCTACCCCAGTTGAGTGCTAATAGTAAACAGCAAACAAACGAAATGACAAGGATCACGCCGAGGAAATCAATACGTTTTAACTTGGCAAAGAAGGAAGTGTTTTCAATCTTGGTTGGTTCTTTCAGCAGTAAAGTAACAATGATAAGGGCGGTTCCACCAAGGATCACATTAAGCCAAAAATCCCAGCGCCATGTCAGTTTGTCCACAAAGGCGCCACCTGTGATTAATAATTTATATAATGGTTTATGTCAAAATAAATGCATGCCTTTACTCCCTTTCGTGTTCCCATGTGTACTGTTTGTTTACTTACCAATCAGCGTGCCAACGACACTAGCCAAGCCGTAAACGACAGTCAATCCAGATTGGAAACGTGGTCTCAAGTGAAGTGGTGCTAAGTCAGGAACAAGCACATATGCGATCGTCATGACACAACCGCCTCCCAAACCTTGGACAGTACGACCTGCAATGAGGCCCTGCATGTTTGGTGTGAGTGCGTTGATCAAAGATCCAGCAAAGAATACAAAGATTCCGAATATAAGGATCGGTTTCCTATTTAGAGAAAAGGACGGAATTCCATTTAGTCACACTACGAACACTATAAACCGCTAGTGATAATTTTATTCTTTCTTTTTACCTTCCAAAGATATCAGAAAACTATTGCCATGAACAAAACCATGATAACGTCTTAGCTTATAAAAGAAATGCATAATGCCTACGTTGCAAGAATGACAAATTATGTGAGCTATTTACCTTTCCAGAGAGAGGTTGAGATGAATTGAATGCTAATAGGTATGCAGTGGCGATCCAAGTCTGCAAGCTGACGTCGTCTGTAAGATCTGTTGTGATAATTGACATTGCTGGTGCAATTACGGTTGTATTAAGCGAGATCATGAACATAGCCAAGACGATACCGAAAATCAAAAGGCCACGGCGAAATCCTGCAAATCGTCCCGGATCAGTAGGTGGGTGCTGCTGTAACTCGGCTTTCTTGTTGGATATATCATCATCACCACCGTACGCATTGATCTCTACGTCGACTATGGTGTTTGTTTCTTCTAAACTACTGCGACGAGACCGTGAATCGTTCATTTTGCTATATCGACAAGGGAACGGATAGGCGAGAAAAGCTGTATAGATGTTTTTAGTCTAATCGGTAGAAGCCGAGAAGTAGTAAAAATACTTCCTGTGCCTTTTATAGAAAAAAAAGGCAACGCAGCAAGAAAGGGGAATTTTTTCCCCGGTGCAATCCGCGCACGCGTACCGCATGCCAAGTAAGAAAAACTAGCATGGATGGACGGCTGGCGCAAATACCAATGGCCCGACACTAATTGTTGTGCAAGAGTAAATAGTTGCTTTTGTCGCCCTTCCTCCTCCGCTCCTTCTTCAAAATACTACGTAGCCTTTCTATCAAGTAAAAAACAACTGTCATTTCTCATCGTCACCTTATATCTCTCTTCATCCTTATTTTGATCATAACATCCTGAATAATCGAAGTCGAATTGGTACTTGAAAGCCTTGGGTAACGCGCAGCTGGTATTGGATCAAGATATTATCTCAAACATAGTAATTTTTGATCTGCGATTGGTGAAACAGAAAGTTGCTGGAATGGGTACAAAAGTTTTTCCACGCGTCAACTTTATCCCTTTTTGTTTTAAAGAAACCCTTCTCGCTACTGTTGTAGTAATGGCTGATGATGGTTGCCAAGTCATATACTAACTACAGAAATGTAATCATCTAACAAATGAGCTGCAGATCCATGGCTTCTTTTTTTTTCAACCCAGAAACGTACTAGACCTGGGATCAAACAACTATCATAGTATGACCTTATATGGTTACACAGAACGGTTCGCCGGTAAAGCCGAATTCAGGCAAAAGGCGCCGAGCAGCCAGAATTTTTTGGATTCTAGGACATGATCATTTCTTCCAGAAAACCAAGTGCTACAAATTGTCTATGTACGATAGTAACGCAGCCAATACGCTGCCTTTATTTCCAGTAATTTTGAATTAAATAGCTTTACTAAAAAAATGATATAGTGGGCTCAACTGTAAATTTGATCTGTTAGTGGAGAAATTAAAGAAATCAAAGATTATTAATTAAACAACGGACCTTAATTAGTCATCAATGACTAATTTTGCAACTTGCTATCTTCCGTGTTATTATATAATAGATAACGTGGCATACACACCATTTACCTGGCCAAAGTGAAGTAAACGAAAAAAGCGTATAATTTTATTCAATTAGGAGGATTAGAGAGTGTGCGCTTAGGTACCGCCTACAAAGCAGCAAAAGCCCCTTTCCAGATATATTATTTTATGCAATCAGCATAGATGACATCCGAATAACTACCTCAATTTTTGTGATTACATAAGTTTAGGTCTCTTGATACTTCATATCCCTTCCAGCTTGTGCTTTCCGAACGGGGCGATCCGTTCCGACCCTACAAAATTCATTGGATGCTATATGAAAGCTGAACGCAACCAGCCTTGTCAGGTCCCTTCAATAAACCTATATTCTCAGCAACTTACACGTGTAACAGCCACCATATTCCATATGATATCAGTTTTCGAGTTTACCTTGGCAAGCTTAAAAAAAGCGGTCTATGCGTCTCCTTCGTTCACAGCGTAGTTGACAGCGTCTATAACTATCAAATGTTACTTCGGGATATAAGTAATTTAGCAGCAGCAACCATTTCAGCTTCAAAAGGTCTTATATTTGTGTTGACAATAAAGCACCAGCGATCGTGCGTCACATATAAATTAAATTGAAGTCACCTAACATACCAGCGGTACCTTAGGTGTATTCGCCTTTACGATCTCCACGTTGGTGAGTATAGAAGAACAACCCGAAGAGACTACCTCATGTATTTGGTAATTGCCCTTAACAAGAGCCATCATATGCTTTTCTTTCCCAAGTACATATGCGCCCAGTTGGTTCTGTAGATACCGCATCTAGTGAGGCAGACAGTGGGCCTCTACACTGATCGACTTTTGACGGTCTACAAGAGCGACAAGCGTCCCACCCTATCTTTTTGTGGAGTAGAGGATTGCCAGGAGCAGATTTTGATGCACCTTCACGTGGCTGCTTCTGTCAATACTTGCTTATGAGCAATGAGCAGGGGAACTAAGACATCGACACTCCTTTTGCATCCTTGTCATGATAAAACGTACAAGATAAAAAGCGTTTTTTGCTGTTCTTTCCATTCGTTAAACCTGTGTCTCTTTTATTGCTCTCTTACGCGCATACACTTGTGTTAATTTTTTCTATGACATATTCATCGTAATCACTGCGTGAAAAAGTACTCGATGGTCATGCAAAATTTGCTCCTTCTTTATGATGTTTAAAGCTCCTTTATACGCAAGCAAGAAAGAAGTTTGAGAGCTCGTTGAAAATCAAGATTACGAAGGGACACCTCATTCGTGCTTCTAATTCAAGATTTTTCTTCGAGCAAATGTGGACAATCGCAACGAACATTTAGTTGACATTGTGTTCGTCGGCGGAATGACAGTGGTTTTCATTTGGCGGCTACAAGTAGAAGGCAAGAAAAGTTGCAGAGTTACACTCGCATCATGGTACTTTCTAGCGCATCTTTTGTAGAGCAATTGTGTTGATCATCATTATTATGCAACGTAGAGGCCGTTTCAAGTCGGCATACCCCCCTTTTCTATTGTGGATAATGCAGTTGTTATTGGCTACAGCTGCTGATGGTTCATTCCGGCTGTCTGTGTTGCTAATTTGACAGTCGCCCATAAAGCAACCGCCGCAGCACACCGGCTTTATTTTCTTTTTTTCTCTCACCCTTTCTCACACGTTCCCTATCTCAGTCCGTCATGGTGGAATTAAGGAAACGCGCACCCAAAACCATTGCAAAGACAACACCCGACAAGAAAGTCGTTACAAAGATAGTAACAGCAATAACAAAGGCACGTGCTACCAAGAAAGTGCTTCAAACCTTTGTCGCCAAGGACGACAATGTCGAATGTTGGTTGATCAGCCTTTTTTTTCTTTTTGGAATGACGTCGCATTTTGGATCAACTCAACGGTCGACTTTGTACTTTATAGCAATGATACCCTTCCCCAAAACTGAGCAAGAAAAAAAAGAATACATCAATCCCAAGACTGGACGACCGATAACTGCTTTTCAGTACAAAGTGTTCGATTTATGCTCACAGGTAGAAATTGCGCAGCAGCAAGCGGCAACCAGTAACCAAGGCCGGCAACCTATACTAAAATTTTCGCGTTTCGCGTTTTCGCGCATTTTCGTATCATCTATATATAGATTCCCCGCGGTCATGTCTCAACCTATAAAGCTATAAGTGATGCCCTTAATGGAGGTCCGCGTGCAGGTATATGATAAATGAAAACAGCATACATCTTTTTGAATTGAAATATATGTATATGCTAAGTTTTTTTACTCTGCAAAATATGTGTAGTGGGACAGGCTATGCGTATCAACCCATTCTGTCCTCTTCCAGTACCCTGCCATCGAGTGATTGCTAGCGATCTTTCCATTGGTGGGTTCAGTGGCGGTTGGGGCGATTGCCAGTTCGTCGCTGATAAGAAAGCCAAGCTCACTAAAGAGGGATGTACGTTCAATGAACATTATCAGTTTGTTTCCAATGTTGATGGTAGAAAGATCATCTTTTCGGACTTCAAGGTGTAAGCTGTATACGTAAAAAAAAGCGCTGCTGATGCTGTTTAGTACTTCAATATTATATGATTATTATTACCAGAAACTATAAAAGAAAAATAAAAATATCTGAAATGTAGTTTAAATTACAAAAAAAATATTAGAATATCAGGTCTTCTTTCTCTATACATCGGAAGCAGCTGATGCAAAAGAGTCATTATCACTGTTGTCATCTAACCGCTGTTGCTTATCCTGTTGCTTTCGTAACTCTTCGAGCTCTGTCACGCAGTTATGGCACTTGAAAAGCAGATGGTTCTCCAAACTATATTTGGACTTGGCCTTGGATCCTGCACCGATATTGTATTGGCTCTTGTCATTTGCGTTTAAGACGACCTCAAGTTCCTGTTCGGCTGCGTCATAATCGCCCTCGATAATCAACATCCGGGCGTTTTCGTATCGTGCAAAGTAATACACATAATGATCAAACTGGACATCCTTGGCAGCATTCAAGACTATCTGGATGGATTTGTGATGTATACCACGCAGCTTGTCCATTTCCTTCTCGTTATTATCCTCAATTTTAGTCAACAGCAAACGCGTCATGTAAGCGAGGAGATAGTTGCCCAAGCATAGATCGTCCGCATAGTTTTTGTGTGTCGTGCAGAGCTGTGATAGCTCAATGTCAAGGCGGTCAATGTTAGCCCAAAGTAGATTTACGGGGATGTAATCACATGCGCCAAAAGCATTAGTAATCTCCAAGTCTGAGAACATCAACACGTTATCCTGGTCTAAAAATTTGCGTGCTTTGCGTGCGACAAATTTCTAATTATAATAAAATGCCTGTTAACATATGTTTGTCCGCCGCCACTATTGGATGTATAGCATCATTCATAATCAGAGTTCTTACCTCCAAAGGAATAGATTTACCAGCAATCTTTTGCCGCAAGCTTGGCACCTTTTTCATCATGTAGCTGGCTTGTGCCATGAGCGATTTGCACTTTTTGTCATCCTTTTCCTGCTGCGCCAACATGTACAACGTCATGCCCCTGAAATATGCATAGACCGACTTGGACCAGTTACTGTCCTTGTAGAGAATTTCGTAGATATCCGAAGCTGTCTTCCAATCCCGCTGCAAGATGCTAATGAGTCCGCGTTCCCAATAGCAAATATGCTGCAACTGCACCCATTCCTTTTGAGTTTCGATCGCGCGGATATACTCTGCATTAGCTTCGTCGAGTTTCCGTTCGCTAAATAGCTGACGGCCATGGAAGTAGAGGAAAAACACGCCATTCGGGTATAAGTCAAGGTTGTATTTCAGGATAGTTCCTGCAAGATCGTCGTCCACATGAGACATGGGCATCAGCTTAGCCAGCACAATATGATAGCCAACCAAAGCCATGTCACAAAACTGGCGTCGTAAGCCTTCGGCCGGTCCCTGTCGCTCTACCATCACGCCCGTTTGCTTGTATGTGTCCCAACCACCACTGGATTCGAGTAGTTCAAGACCGCGCAGTCGCTGACCTGAAAATCCAATAAACTGAACAAGCTTTATAACCGTCTTGGGAAGCAAGGACAGCATCAAGTTGAAACAGCCCACGCCGAACTTGACACCCGAGGTGAAATGATCATCCAATGGCTCGTCCGTCGTCTGCACAAACTTTTCCAGTACGGTATAGGTCATGTAGCTCTGGCGTATGTGAAGGCCTTCTCGTAGAAATGATACTAAGCTCTCATCATGGATGATGCAGATCATTGCTTTTAGCAAATAAGCCTCTGCATGAACCAATTCCTAAAAGAAAAAAAAATCATAAGGCAAAGGATCCTTCTCTGCCTCCCTTTATGTTGTCATGCCTTATCTCCCCTCGCAACATACATACGCTCTTCCACGCGCACTGTTCCTCTCTTTCATTATTAACATACTTACTGCATGCCGATAAAGTGGGCGCATTTTCTGGAGTGTATCGACAGACAATCCAGCTCTGACCCAAGAAGTAATGTTTTCCAAAAACCACAATGTACCATGTCCCTTGCGGATAAGGTGACTCGATAATTGAACCGTATGCTTCAATGACTCGATAGCGACTTCAAAATCGGTTTGCTGGAATGTCATCATGCTCTTGAGTGTGAGCAGGACGGATTTGCCCAGTGCGTAATACATTGATGTTTTGCACAAGTGCGGTTCAAGAATAGCTTCAGCTTCAGGAATACGAGAGTCGAGAAATAAGTCGAGGGCTTTACGAGCGCTAAGCATATCTTTGAAAAGTTGCTCTTCAGCCTTGTCTTCGTCATCTGGCGTCAGGAGCGATGATGCAGTTGTTGTCGTCGATGTGCTAGGAGCCAATGATGAACTTTTGCCATTATTTGCTGCTGTACTCGAGCTTGTGGAAGGGGTGGGTTGTTTGCTGTTGCTGGAAGAATAAAATGAGAGTAATTGCATTTTGTAATTGAAAGGAGTGAAAGAAGAAAAGAATATACTGAAACAGGATCTTAGATGCTCAAAGACGTAGTGCTCATTGTCCTTTTTTCTCTTTCACAGGATGTTCACACGTTTTATTTTTATAATGCTGTGGTCAATACACACTAAAATTAAATATGGATGTGTACTCAAGCCCGCGGACTTGAGAGGCAACGTGCTGATCATATTTAGACATTTATGGATAATATGCGCTTCTTATTACGGTCAATGAAAGAAAAGACATATACAGACTGTTCGTACTCCTGTTGTCTTCTATGTATATACTGCGATGGTAAAGGAAGAAAAAACTAGGGCTCTTTTAATAATTCTTTCATTAACCACGTTTCTTTGCTTTACTGCTTCATTTGGTATGGTTGTCATTGTTTGTATAAGCAACAGTACAGTGATCACCACTTTTCCTCTGCCACTCCGGACACACACCAACGACACAACACACACTGTCGAGCAAATTGGTTTTCTGGCAATCTATATTATTCAGCATAGGAGAGGTCTAGTAATTCTGCAGCTAGTACAACTGTGTTGTTCCTAAAAGCTGAGATTGTTTATAGAAGAAGAAGAAAACAGGAGAAAAATGATGGGATAAACGTGTTTCGTTGTTAATAATGTATACACACGTATTCTCACCGGATGCATGTATATCAAGATAAACTAGTCCGTGCTATCAATGGATCTTTGTCTTCTTACAAGTACGTGGATCACAGTTTGATATTAGTATGCAACAAGAATGGTACTCACTTGCCCGCGCTTTCTGACATGGTAATAGTACATAATAGGACATCAGTGCATAATAAATGTATCACATCACATCATTATGAAGAACGCACATATTCACAGAGAGACACATACGAAATATATGATTCAAAGCTATTTCATGTACTATAACGATGTCATTATCTCTTCCGAGAGGAATCATCCGAAGAGCTGTCAAACATAATATTGCCAAATCGGCTCTGGATGCCCTTCGCGGGCGTCCAGCACGCCATATCGGTCTGACCTCCGAACCCAACCGACACAACTGCTATAACTACTGTTACTACGATCAAAACTACTATAACACGATGCGTGGTTTGTTTATCGTGATTGAAGGCTGTGACCGATCCGGTAAATCCACGCAATGCGAACGACTTTTACAACGGTTTCGTGACCAAGGTCGCGATGCGCAATTAATAAAGTTTCCAGGTATGTATACATTCCGTGCGAATTCTTTTAATCAGGTCAGATAGTGTGTGTGTGTATGTGTGCGAGTAGGAGAATCTCATGAACTACGATTTGTCTAATATCTAGATCGCACCATTCAATCGGGACAACTAATTGATGGATATCTAAAGCAATCACGTCACCTTCACGATAAAGCCATTCACCTGTTCTTCTCTGCAAACCGTTGGGAAGCCATGTAAGGAAGAAGAGAGAAGAAGCTTCCTGATTTTTCTTTTCTTTCGTTCCATCAAGCACTCATCTTTTTCATTTTCTCTCTCTCAGGGACGCTATTGCTGCCAAGTTGAAAGCAGGTACCACGCTTGTTGTGGATCGATATGCATTTTCTGGTGTAGCATTCTCGGCGGCAAAGGTAGGGGGCTTCGCTGTATATGCGTGTAGCTTAATGGGACTGACTGTGTGTATATGTGAATAAAGGATTATATCTAGCAGCTTACACAATATCTTTTACTGCTTAACAGGGTCTCGATTTGGAATGGTGCAAGAATCCGGATAAAGGTCTGCTGATTCCAGACAAAGTCTTGTTCTTGGATTTACCTATAGAAAAGGCTGAGCAACGAGGTGGGTTTGGCGAAGAGCGATATGAAACACGAGAACTACAAACCAAAGTGCGAGATATATTCATGCAGTTAAAAGAGGACAGCTGGAAGGTACGCACAAAAGCAAATAAAAGAAATGAAAAAACAAGGAGGCCATGTTGTCTATGAATGTTAATAAACGGATACATTATAGATCATAGATGCTGATCAGACGATGGAAGCTGTCCAGGAGGAAATGTGGAATACGGTCAAAGAGCTGAAACCTGACAGCGAAGAACCACGAACAGGATTATGGGAACAATAATGATGATAATTACGCATCTATAGTGTTCCATGCATCTTATTTAGTGTAGTAGTAGTAGTTATAGTGTGAACAGCGACGAATCGTATAAAAACATGTTTATATGCTACCAAGTTGCTACGGTATACATGACAAGTGTTGTTTGGTGGCGCTGTGGTACAATCTCACTACATGCGGATGTGAAACGGGAAAATAAAAAGTTGATTGATGGAATGTGCTGTATAACACCGTTTATCCAGTGACCCATCATGGGCGTATGTACTTGAAGTGGCCGCAGTATATAGCAGCTGGGCGAGCGCTACTACTGCTACTATGTTGCAACCACTTGGTGGGTTGGAGCCGGAGTCTCTTTTGTTGTTTTTCTTACATGCAGATGCTACACTTTTATGTGCCTTGTCCAGGTCTGGGTCTCTTTTGCTCGGCCTTCAATGCATGCAGGAAACCGTAAGTAGCATCCACCTTTGAAATTTTCTGAGTTTCTCTTTATCCCTTCTCTTCCCTCACCTCGTTGTCTACTTATAACTTTGCTTTCCTCATCCCTTCATCCATCCAAATACGTTATCATGACAGAACACAGTAGCAGCAGCAGCAACAACAACAACATTTGGTCAGCAATATTAAAAACGGCATCTTCTTCCAAACGATTGAAAACGAAAAACGTTCTCATCCTAGGTATGATATGCTCATATTACCTTTTTATCAAAGCATAATAATTTACGCTTTTTACTCCATAAAACACACACACACACACAAAAGGCGACAGCAGTTCTGGCAAATCCACCTTGGCGCACTATCTGAAACATCAACGTAAAATCAAAGTCGACAACCAGCGACACGATGATGACGCATCGCAGCAAGCGGCAGTAGAACAAGAACAGCAGCATCAAGCCGGCTCATTTATCCGCACTGTGGCTAGCGGTGGTTACGTCAAATCTGTCAAACAAGATCTCGATGCTGAAACGACTAAAATACTCGGTGTTGGATATACGTCAGCCCTTGTATACGATGAACAAGATGAAGGTATGCACAGAAAAAGCCTGACACACACCATCACATTGTTTTAATGAGATACATGCTGTTGTAGCTATTCTGCGCCTCGGATTATATCAATTGGGTCACGAGCAGCTGCTCCCGTTACTGGATCCGGTATTAACGGACGACAATTTTTTTGGCATAATCGTACTCGATTGGACGAAACCATGGACGTTTCTGGAATCTTTCCAACGTTGGATATCCGTTTTGGAACAATGGTCGAGCAAAGTAGCTACAAAGGAATCAAAAGCTCGAGGTTAGTTTTATGCTTTCCTTTACATATCAATGTACTGCAAATCGCGATTCTAAAACTAATACGGTAGGCAACCTTTCTCCATGCTTTCTCTTGTAGTTGAAAAATACCTGCAAACATATGATCGATCAAATGATGATAACAACAATGCCGACTTTACCACTAGCTCCACAGCCACAGGCGCTGTTGATGCGGACGTACATGCAGACATGAGCACTTTAACAGTCAATCTCGGAATCCCTGTCGCTGTGGTATGCTGCAAGGTAAAAAAGAAAAATCTTCTTCATGATATTACATCGCATGCCGAAAGTTTTCGATCGTTTTCTGAATTGTGATGCCGACATTTTATTATACGTGTGTAATAGAGTGATGCTCAAAAGATGTTAGAGGAAAAATACGGGTATGATGAGGCACAGCTTGACTATATACAGCAAACTCTGCGATGTGTCTGCTTAAAATGTACAGTAATAATGTTTATACATAAACACCAAAGAATAGTGTGTATTTGAGTGCTGCTCATGCAAATATATATGAGATTATGCTTAACAATCACGAAAACCTTCCCTTATATATATTTAGATGGTGCGGCGCTCTTTTACACATCAACGTTTCATCCATCGACGTTTGAAGACCTGCGACAATACATTGCTTATCGGAATGATCCGGATTCTTACTATCAAACCAACAACAGTAACAATAGCAACGTCAGCAATACAAATAATACAATACCTCCAAGCTTACGACCCCATTTTGTCGAGTCCACGTGCGTACGAATACCTGCTGGATGGGATACCTGGAACAAAATCAAGGCACTGGAAGAAACCTACGAGTGCGACGAGATGGATAAAGCATGGGACGATCATGGTGATTCAGGCAAAGACAAAGCAAAGTCAATCTATCATGAGGCCGTACCAGAGCCCATGCATGAAAGTCAAGATAATGGAATACAGCCAGCTGTCACCAGCGAGGATGAGCAAACACTTTATGCACGCTATTTCCAGCCATCAGCGGCGGAAAAACGTCCCCCACCGCCACCGCCACTTTCTACAACATTCTTCCGAGAATGGACGCAACAAAATCCAAAAACAGCATCAGCATTAACGATATCTACTGCTTCGCCGAAAGAAAATGGAGTGAGTTTGTTTTTCTTCTTTTTGCAGACACGTACGATCGGAAAGGAAATGAAACGGATGTAAACTAATGATACTATCATGTTAAAGTATTATGCGTCATTGCCATCCTCTCCACGTCGGCTTACAAGTACAGAAACTTCGACGGCGATGGCGAACGGCATCAAATCACACGGTAAAACGCCTACTGCTACTGCTCCTCCTGTTTCTATATATACCACGACAACGACGGCCACCACTACTACAACTGCAACCAGCACAGTTGGAGGTTCTATTCCAGGAAACATTAATACCACCTCTTTGGTAAGAAAAAGTGAAAATGTCGAAAGATTGACAAAAAAGGAAAGCGGTTAACGCGTGCGTTATTTGTAGACGGGATATTCTTCCAGTAGTAACAACAGTAGCGATGTGGCAGCAGCTGCAACATCAATCACACCGACAACACCACCGTCATCAGAAATCCTCAGCCAGTTTTTCCAGAAACTGCTGTACAAGAATATGGAATCCACTGCTGTAGCTGCTAGCACCAGCAGTGACGATAGGAGGGGATCGCGATCGTCTGTTGACACTACAGCTACTGGCATCCATAATCGCCCACCACCACCGTCCTGTGTAAATAGTACTTAATGCCTGCTACTGTTACCCCCTGGTTTGCTAAATTATCTCAATATAAAACATCGGCACAGAATACTTATTTGGCCTTAAAAGCGTTATGTATCTCATCGTCTCTAGCAAGAACAGTAAACAGGAATCATTAAAGGCCGTAAGCCAAACCATATCAACATTTATGTTATATGATGGTCTTTTTACTAGATTTGGTCATTTCCAAGTCAAAAAATTGTTACCTGTTTTACGACATCAATGACATCATAACATTCAAAAGATTATCTGTTTCTGATAGTCTCTCCTTATTAATTATGTATGTATTTCTTTATTCTGGGTAACATGCTGCTGCTAGATAATTGTATCGTACGACAAAATGAACCCTGTTTTTTTATTGTTATTGACGACAGGGTTGCTTGCTAATAGCTCGCAGATTACACAGAATCTCGCATAAAAAACCGCTTGGATGTAATGAAGATCGCTTATTATTGACTATTGCGGCAGTAAACCTTCTTCATTATCTCTATCTGGCAGCTTGCCTGCTTGCTTCTCAGAAGAACCAACGATGACGACCAGTGCGATATGCAGTATAGAGAACAATAGCCGTAATTTGTTTTTAATTGCTACCCGGCAGATATAGTTAATTACACTGTAGTGTGCTACGCGTCGTACTCGCAAAAACCGGGGAGCTGCATCCTATTCCTCTTCTTGTTGCCAAACAATGAATATGCTACATTATATAGCTGTGTGAGAAAAGCATCAAATCTCGTTTATTAACAAACCAATCCACTTGCTAAATTAGCTTCTCTTTACTCCTGTAGCATCTCATACTTGAATGAAGACAAGATAGAGATGGTCATCTGGACACCACATCAACTGCAGTCTGTGGGCACCTATTAAACTTGAGGTTACACTTGGACCCCCAGCATTGTGGACGGGATGTGAAAAGTTATCGAATGACAAGCGGAGATGTATGCTTGAACGGGCAACTTTCCAATTCACACACAAACAACCGGGCGCATCACTTGACGGTTTCATAATCATTACTGGGACAATTTCGTGCTGCAGTGCAACAATGTGCCATCAAATAAAAGGAAAACAAGATGTCAGATTCCCATCAACAAAGCGAAACACACTCGGGTTGACTGTGTATACACGCACACACATCATACACGATGGAAAAAAGATGATGATGATGATGATCATCTGAGCCTTTTTTGCGGAGGTAAGAGGCGTTGGAGAAAATTAAGGGACTCGTACTACGTTGTTCGTATTACTCGGTAGTACTAACCATTCGGTAGATCAATCACAAGAACAAACTCTCTTTTTGCGCTATGCCGTTCTGAATGTATGATTCAATATAAAATGGTTTCGTGTTGTGTGTATATACTGTCGGGGTCATAAAAATTTAAGGGGGTTCCGCAAGGCGGGGGTAGAGCTGAGAGAGGGGCGGTGAGAAGATGAAGACGACGACGACGACGACAAAGTTTGGGAGGATTGGGGTCAAGAGCCAGCGCAGACAAGGGCAAGGGGGCTCGCTGGAAAAAGAGCGCGGCTTTCCTTGAAAGATTTCTATTTGGATAAACGATGCATCACCCACTCCACTTGCACTCATCCACAAAAAAAAAGTGCTTCGAAAAACAACTGGGGTTCTTGACGCGCTAATGGGTCAGCGCGATGCATGATCCTGCAGCACACCTCTGCATGCATGCATCACAATATATACAATATATACCCACAAAGAGTTAAGATGGGTTTTTTTGTGGAAGAGAAGTAATCATAATAATAGCAAAGATCGGCGACGACAGCAACAACATCAACATCAACATAACGTCAAACATAGGGCACACTTTTTTCCTTCACGATTAGCAGCAGTTGGTATATATGATGTGCACTATAGAAGAAACAGGCCATGATGTTCGTCCATCGTTCGACAGTTGCATGAAACTGATAGGACACACGTCTCCTCAATTAATCAAACCAATTCTACTTCTTTATTAAAAGGCGTGTGTATTCCTATTTATCACGCCCCATATTTCATGAAAGGGCCGGTTGTGGAGAAGAAATAATCACCACCTAAATCAGCCACCGCTATCTCCTTCCTACCTAGTTGTCGTCTTCTTTCTCAGTCCATCTCCTGCCCTGCCCCCTTCGAATCTCCTTTGCCCCCTAATGTAAAAAAGAAGGAAGGGGGCGCTTTGCGTGGAAACAGAGAAAGGGGGGGGGAGGGAGGCTGCGTACAGTTGGACGAGACTACTTTCTCTATCTACACTTTACTACCAAAGAAGATTACATGATAACTAAATTCAGTGACTATAATGAACCGATCACGGGCTTCTCATTTTCGTCTTCCGGAGTTGTCCATAACCTTTTTCTCGATAATAATGACAGCCGCATAATTTGAATCTGGCGAAAAAAAATAACCAATTGCCAAAGAGCGTGTCTCGTGAACATTTATTTATTTACTAGACCCACAAAACACACACACACAGAGAGAGAGAGAGGGAGAGGGAGAGCGCGTGGATGTGTGATGCTGCTGCTGTTGTTTTGTGTGGCACTTTTTGTTTATGCGTTCGAGGCACTTTTTGAAATTCAATAATAAGCAATGACGAGAGGGGGGGGGGAGGGCGGATTTATTTGGAGATATCACGGTGGAGATAGATGTTAGACCGAAAGATGGGCTTTTTCACTCGGAAAGGGGTTGGGGGAGAGAATGAAGGAGGGCCCTTTAACACAAAAAGAAACAAAGAAATAGCAATAAAGGTAATAATAATAATAATAATAATAATAAATCAACAAAACAACAACCCGTGTAAAAGAGAGAAACTTCGATTTAGTAGTATTGGCAGCGGAACAGAAACAGCAACAACGGCGGTCCCGAATTAGGACATAGTAAATAGGCCGAGCAAAAGTTTATAATCTCAGCTTGTAGGTGGGTAAGTGAATGATGATGATGATGATGATAGCAACAAGAACAGTAGTGTAGGTAATAGTTGCTAGGCTACGAGCGGTGGTGGTTGCGCTGGTAACGGAAAGCGTTGGTTTGTTTTAGTTTACATTTCAATCCTTTCCGCCTCATCCCAAACATGGAAACAAAGAGATAGGAGTCAAAAAACAAGAAAAAAAAAACTTGGGCGGTAAAACTTGGGGGGATCCAGAGAAAGAAGGAGGCGGGGTGGCATAGAAAGAGAGAACAGAATGGGACAATCCATTTGGGGTGAATACTTGGCTCGAATGAGCGAAACAATGCGTTATGTGTGAGTGTGTGGGCGTGTGGGAATAAAAAAGAAGTTGGCGGTTAGTGAGTCAGTGAATGGGAAGGGGAGAGAGGGATATCATCAGCCATTTAGTGTTCATTTATTGCTATTAATCACTACATGTACTGCCTCTGCTGCTATGTATTAGAGATGGCGGTGGTGATGGTGCTGGGTAGAGTGTGTATAGTTGCAGCCCCAATCCATCCGAGCCGGCGCACATTTTCTCTCACCCTCCCCCTTTCTTTTTTTTTGCTTAGTAGATTATAATGATGCGCCGTTGTTCGTGGTCGTCGTCGTCAGAAAAAAAAAAAAAAGTAGCCCCAATTCCAAGGGGTGCCCCGCGTTGAAGCTCTTTGCCTTTTGTGTTTGATCCAACTCGCTCCCGCTTTTTACAACACACGTTCCATGGCATACGCGACAGAGAACGAGAGAGAGAGAGAGAGTAAGAGTAAGGGTGAGCTAAGAATGGTGTTGATTTTTTTATTCGAAAGTGTATATGGACAAATATATGCAGGTAACTCAACTGCTGTGCAGCACACAAACAGTAAACATTACAGATAATCAGTCGAATCACAGGTTAGTCTACTAGGTGCTGTTCTCTCTCGTTCTTTGTCGTGTGTTGTGTGTGTGTGTGTGTGCCTCTCCCCCTCCTGAGAGAAAAGAAGGTGAGACACTACACACGTACAACACAGCCAAAAAGTCAAAAGCCAGAGAGAGCCGGGCAATCCGTAGGCCAAACTGTTGAAGCTATTCAGAAAGGACTTGCCATTTTCGCCACATGCTAACCTTTTTTTCCCCGCCTTATTTTAAAGCTGAAAAGTCGGTTCAATGATCGAGAAATCTGCGCCTTTCTTTCTTTCTTTCTCCCTCTCTTGCAGTTGTTTTCTTTGCTTACAATTCTACCTTGTCACTCACGCTCACACATCCACTGAGCACCTACACACACACACACACTGCCCAGCGCGATATCCTCCATCTTTTCGGTTTTTCCACTCCACCCCCCAAGAAGTTTTAACTTGACGTGATCCCACCTCGCACAAGGTAAAGCATTGTTGTTGTGTAGCTTGAGAAAACCAGCGAATGTGCCTCGTTCTGCCACTCATATCAACAGCAACATCATCATCATTTTATTCGACAACATTGAATCTTTTGCAGAGCACACTCAAAGGATAACAACGCACGGATTTAGCTTTAAAAAACACACAAAGCAGCACGGTTAGATCTTGTCTCTCTTTCTTTTCCAACACTTACTCACCCAACCACCCACTTACTCTCGCTATTCTTACTAACAACAGTCTTCTTATCTTTCTCAAACATAGAGCAATAATCATGGAAAGCACTCTATACCATTCAAATATCTATTCGTCAGCAGCAGGCGCGCCGTCGCCATATATGGCACCCAGCTTTGCGGAACAACAGCTTCCACCGCTGCCACAGTATCGGCAACACAGCAACATGTTCGGGACAGCTACTACTACTCGCTCACCCTATCCCTCGTCATCTCCATATCACCACCCATATAGCACTGCTGCTGCGGGTGGCCACGGGGCTGCTGCTGCCAACTTGGCAACAAATGGTGGCGGTGCTGACCCATACGCGCCCGCTTGGTCATCCTCCCCGTTCATGAGCCCACCAGCATCTTTGCCACCGCCACCAAGCTACTGCAGTGTCCCAGCTGGTAGTAATGGTGGTGCTGGGGGTCGCTATGGTCCTCCTGCTGCTCACCACCACCTCCATCACCATCACCATCCTTCGGCCATGGCGGCGTTTCCTGGCGCTCCGTGTTCACCCACCGACACCGGAAGCATGGGTGGAGCAGTACCCGTTCAGAGACCCAAACTGACAACAACAGTGTGGGAAGACGAAGGTACAATCTGCTATCAAGTCGACGCGAAGAACATCTGCGTTGCCCGTCGCCAAGGTAAGAAAAGCACCCCTTCTTTCCTCGAGTAATGAGAACAGCTTCTTGTTGCTGTTGTTGTTGCTGTTGTTGTTGTTTGCTGTTGAAGTTTAATATCTACCACCAACACAGCACACAAACAACAACGAAAAGTAACTCAAAAACACAAACAATCGCATCACAAGCGGATCGCTCATTGAAATTTCTTTCTTCAGACAATGACATGGTGAACGGAACAAAGTTGTTGAACGTCGTTGGCATGTCTCGTGGCAAGCGTGACGGCATCCTCAAGAACGAGAAGGGTCGTGTTGTCGTCAAGGTTGGTGCCATGCATCTCAAGGGCGTCTGGTAAGTCCTTCTTCTTCTTCTTGGCCTTCTGCTCCCCGTTTCCTTCCCTTAGCCGTTGCCACACACAAACATACTTCCACACAAAATACCCCTTTTTTCGAGCCTTCTTTACCCGCCCTACCAACGTTATGAAATGGTGCTACGCTCTTTCATTCTTTCTCTCCAGTCCCAAACCCCCATCTAAACAACACTCTCATGCTGTGTGTGCCACCCCCTCCCCAATAAGCAATCTGGCTTTCCCTTTTCTTACCAGCCCTTTCTTTCTTTCTAGGATCACCTTCTCCAGAGCAAAAGACTTGGCCACAAAGTTCAAGATCTTGGATCTCTTATACCCACTGTTCACTGATGATCCGAGCATGTTCCTTTGCTCCTCCGGCCCTTCCGCCAACGGCGGTCCCATAAACAACGATAGCACCTTGAGCAACAGCAGCAGCAATGGCGTACCGGTCACTTCGGACACTGCTTCCGTCGAGACAGCCCAGACATCATCTACAGTCAAGTCCTTGGCCCACACATCCACCAACCTCCCACCGCCCATGCCGTACAAGCCCACCGATAGCTACAATAGCATGATGTCATCCTCATGGATGGATCAGCGTTCATATCAGCAACAACAGTCGCTGCCTGGCATTAACAGCAGTGATGGTGGTACGTCTTCCTTGTAAATCATAATATTAGCATTTGGCAGTCAATAAACGTAGCTTTTTCTTTTAGTCTATCGCTCCCAAAACTGCAGTCCAGTTCCTAGTGCCGTAGCACCTGTTTGCAGCTCTGAAGAGTCCTATGGCATGTTCATGCAGCCCGACTATGACTATCGCTCCATGGGTCGTTCGCTTGCCGAGCCCAATGTCTTTTCATCGTCTGCATACGACGGCAACGCATTTCTGAGCCACAAACCTGATTTTTTAGGTGATACCCCAACAGCAGTAACGCGCTATCCAAACAGCCCGCCATCCGAAAAGCCGTATGGTTTGGATGATTTGCCTATCCCACAGCAGCCCTCATCCATCTATGGTCCTCGGCATCACGACTTGGAGAGCGTCGGCTCACCCGACTTTGCTACTACAGCTACTACTACTACTACTACTACAACTGGTAATATATCACATCTCGCGTTCTCTCAGTGTATGTTTGCTTACCAATGTACTCTACATCATATTTAGCATTGAGAGAAGGATCTGCCGCCGTCATATCTGAGTCCTCTGCGACACCAGTAGCTTCTCCACGAAAGCGAAAGAGCGAAGACAATCAACAACAGCAATACCACAACCTCAAAGAATCGAGTGCCTGTGCTTTGGCTCAAGAATCAACAACAAAACGTGTCAAGAGCAGCGAAAACTGAATGCTTTCAGTATCATGATACCCTCTCATCCGCAACTAGCAAGCCAAAAAAAATCACGCATCATGCTCAGCAACACCATTACCACTAACAGCGCTCAACTATTGCTCAATAGTTCGGTTCATTGGCACTCAACAATTTAAAAAAACTTCAGAGAAAATCCCATCTACCATGTTCATTAACTCCATCCCATTCGTTTGTTTAAGTAGTTCTTCTTTTTCTTTCACATATAGTCATTATTATACTTCATCTTTGTTGTTTTTCTTTCTCTTCTATCAAAACCCCGTTTTCCTCCTCTCTCCCCTTGCTTTTCTTTCTCGTTGTAGCAATTAATCTACCTTTTTCTTCTTCTTCGCCATATCATTCATATAACCAGCAATCTCTCTCCATATATTATTATACTAATTCCTTCTCGTAGTTGGCGTCGTGTACGCACTCACACATACATTACTATCATCTACACATTAAAAAAAAATCATAAATTCTTTTTCGGAATGCTAAACGATCGACGCTTTGTTTATTCTTTCTGTTTAATGTGGAATCGGACCTGCTTCTATTTCTTAGCAAATCTTGTTGTACATAAAACATCTTCCTATCATTCCGATCGACATCGTCATAAGCAGTAGAATCACACGCATCAATTTCACCTCCAAGGTTACGTCCGCGCACTTCTTGAATACAAGATGTGTGAAGGAGCTCTCTCTGCTCCGCCGTCGCCCCACTGTTCCCATCTCCGAGTAATGTTGTTGTTGTTGTTCTCGGGATCGGCGTCATTTCCTCGTCGTCGTCTTGATAATCGACTGCTTCCCCCCTTGAAAACCCGGAGAACGATGATGGTATATCACATTGTTAATTTGCTATGTGCAGATGACGACGGGACGACAGCTAATGGCTTTCCGAAAAAAGGGCGTTAAAATATCCTATACTCTCTCGAGGTGCATGTCTCCCGAGGCTTTCTTCTATTCCTGCTCACTACGCAATCATCCCCTTCCAAACCGCACCACCCCCCCCCCGCCTCAAATGTTTAGTAGACCGCCAAAGATTGTACATATTCGTATTTTATTCTCTTACAGTTCTTACATCCGCACATTTTACGACGTAGGGGTTATTATCAACAAGAAAAAAGCAGAATAACTGCTACACATACAACAACTGAACATTTACCACCCCCTTAAGATGATCATCAAGGCTTCACTCCTCGTTGGATCAGCACCACAATTAGTTTTTTCTCATCCTCTGGGAGAATAGCATCTGTGTATCATAGCAGAAAGTTACTGAGAGACGGATCAAATCCGCCGTAAGCCCCCCTCTTCTTCCTCAAACCTCCCTGTACTACTACAACAGTAGCTAAGCAACTGGCAACTGCTGTACTTTAGCCTATATACAAACCTTGTTTACTGCGTTCATCCCTTGGTTTGGAATTGGGCGCCAAACGACTTTTTAAACGCATGTATTTTTCTCTCCCAATGGCAAAGTAAAACAAACTTGGTTATATATCGGAATAAAAGGGGTGCAGACATAGCGAAAATGATATATCTTGTCAGGTATTGCTTTACAGCTAAAACAGCTACGTATATCTGCTATTATTACTATCCTCACTTTATTGCTAGATGTTGTACGTGTTCTCTTTCACTTCTTTTACCAAAATGATGGTTAATCCGTGTTTTTGTGATCGCCGGCCCAATTCAGCCAGAGTACAGTGTCACTTTTTGACAAGTTTTTGTCCAGCTTTCTCATGCACAAGTGACGTTTTTCCTTTCATACACAGCTATATAATTGTTATTCCTACTTGGCGCTTATAATTTTTCTTGATGACATGGTCTACGATACGAATATACATGAGTTCCGCCAAGTGTGAAGATAACCTCACGCCAATTTGGAAAGGCATATATGCGCTAAGCTGTCAATCCAACCTCCATCTTAAAGGATACCCCGTGTATCATCATACCATGCGAAGACGCGATAGCTGAGTACATTGTATACAGAAATTTATAATCTACGTGAACATTTTGTAGTACAGTACGTAGTACAGTGTCGGTAATGAAATGTCATATGCTAAACTCGATCTTTCATTTTCTCCGGTGTCGCTTCCAATACCAAACATCGCATTGCTCATTGCTACTATGTGCTGCCACCAGATAACACTGCTGCAATCTTAGTTTCTCTGTGAAGCATATCAGAACATCGTTTTGGCTTTTAGCGATGTGTAGCATTATCAGGTTGCGGCAGCACTTTACCATCGCGAATTTTTTTAGTATGGAGATAGGAGCACGAGCTGTAGTATTGACCATTTTTACATTGTATTGGGATGATTTATTACAGAAGGAAAGAGCAATAAATAAATTTTGAATTCATTAGAAAAAAGACATATACAACTACCATTATCACTAGATGATATCCTGTCATAAGTATTAGGCTTGTTGCAACCAGACAACGGCACTCTTGAACATGCCTTCATTCAAACCAGGCAACTCCAAACCGCGATACATGAGTAATGCGCCTGACATTTCATACTCATCCACTGGGTTTTCTGGATCCTCCTGCCAAATAGTGACACGATAAGTAGCATTTTCGTCAAGATAACGAGCACGAATGGGGCTGAGCTCGCCACTCGCTGGGTAAGGACTATTAAGACGGAATGCCAAAATGACCGCTTCTTCTTGTTTATAGGTACTCTGCGTTGCAGCAACAAGTTCACCCACACGCGTTGGTGGAACCAGCCAATCGAGATTGCCATTCTGGATCACATGTCGCATTTTCTTGTACAACGCGATCCAGTGAGTTGCCTCAGTGAGTTGCTCTTCCGAAAATTCGTTAATGTTGGATCCTATACCGAGACCGCCCATAAAGGACGTATGGAAACGGAACGAGAGCGGGACTTCGATGTTTGCATCGCTCGATGAGTCAGTGACCCAGCCGTACATGGAACGTGGAGGAACCCACAAAGATGCACCGTACTGGATGAACAGGCGCGCATCGGGTCGTGTGTTGTCGCTCGTCCTGTGGAATTCAGGAAGAAAAAAAGTGGGTTGAGAGTGAGAACACACATCGTATGGAACTAGAGTGCACTTTCGCTTGATGCAGCTCTCACAATTACCAAATTTGGTCAGTACGCTCAATGGCACCGAGATCCATTCGACCTCCACCAGATGAGCAGGATTCGAACCATAGATGAGGGAAACGTTCCTTGAGCCGAGCAATTATCTCATAGTAGCCTTCGACAGCCAGTACCCAAGCTTCTTTGGGATTGCGGTCATAGTCGTGCATGGTCACACCTAATTGAATACATAGGGGATACGTTAGTTAATAATTTTACTTCTTTGTTGTACATGTAGTTTCATGAGTAACTGCTGGCGAGTACCTTGCATAGGTCTATTAAAGTCCCATTTTATATAATCGATGCCTGCTTCTTCAATATGAGCGGCGGCTTGCTCGTACATGTAATCACGCACTTCCTTAAGACCAAAGTTCAACACAAGCTGGGTCCGTGATAGGTAGCGTGGTACTCCTTCATAGTAGAAAACCCAATCAGGGTGTTCACGGTATAGATCGGAGTCGGGATTAACCTATCACGCATAAAAGAAAAAGTCATACTTAACAAACTACTCAAAAACAATAAAATTGTAGCGTTCTTATGATATCGAACGAACCATTTCCATTTCAAACCAGAGTCCAAACTTCATTCCCAGATCATGAACGTGGTCTGCAAGAGGCTTCATGCCCCCAGGGAACTTGGTTTTGTTAGTGAACCAATCACCTAAACCGGCAGTGTCGCTTGAACGTCCGCCAAACCAGCCATCGTCCACGACAAACAACTCAACACCAAGAGGAGCAGCCTTATCAGCCAGTTCCATTTGCTTCTCAAACGTAAGATCGAAAGCGACCGCTTCCCATGAGTTATAAAGCACGGGATGGTATACGTCGTCATCCTTTTGCGTCAATAAATTACGTTTCTGGATCTTGCGTGCATGCCGTGGCATACGGAGTCGAGCTCCTGGCAATCCTTCGTCTGTAAACCCAGCGGCAAACACAGGGGTTGTGAACGACTCTCCTGGCTCCAAAGTCCAGCCAAAGTCTTGATGATGAATACCGCCAGCGACTCTTACATAGCCCTTGGTATCAGTGTGAACCGTAATCTCCCAGCTACCAGTCCACGCAAGCGCACCAAAGTAGACTTCTGTGCTAGGATTTACGGCATTGGGTACCTGAGCTAAAGCAAAGTACGGCTGAGATACATGATCGCTCAAACCGCGTGTGCTTTCGACTGTGTGCTTCACGCCCGGAGCCAAACGGGTTGTTTCCACCATAGCTTCTTGGGCCCTGCATTCAAATAATACGATATATAAATTTGACCTTTTCTTTGACGTAGTATTTATATATCACAGACAAGATATGGAGATCTGTTTTGCTATTTGAAAGAATGAACATACCATTCACCAGCAAGAGTGACGAGCTCACGATGTTCGTCCCAACCGAGCGCATAAGGCAAATGCCAGGCAGCAGAGAAAGCCTTGGACAAATTGACTCTGCCATCGAGACCATTGCGGACTGTATAGGATCGACGGATGATATCGTTTTCCACATCGATTTCATAATGCAGTGTCACCAAAAGTTCTGTTCGATTCGCGTCACGTAAATCGAGGTCCAAGCGCGTACCACCGTGATCGCTGCTAATATTAGCGTTACCGGCAAATTGAAGGTTCAACTCGCGTACACCGTCAGGTAGTTCTGCTTTGAGCACGGCTTCACGGTAGCGAAGACCACCAAAGACAGGCAACTCCTCTCGAGCTTCAGTGACGGGGATGATTTGGGACCAAATGGGAGGTTCAACCACCGTCGCATTGAGATCGTCCAGGTGCGTCAGTCGTCTGCCCCAATGCATGTTGACAAGATATCCGTTGGCAGCTGCGCTGATCACATAGCTTGACCTTTCTGTGACCAGAAACCATGTATCTAAGGATTCGTGCTTATGGATGCCCACGTTCAATCCTGCTGCTAGACAGCCATTGAAAAAGGTAGTGGTAACGATGGCGAAACCAAGAAAAATGGCTTTTGATGAAAGTACCATTTTAGTTTCCTTCTTGCGCCTCTCTGAGGGATTTAAAAGAGAAAAAGGAAGAAAAAGGGATGGAAGAGAAGGAGAAGAATTCTTTATGACTAAGTCTCTGTGTTTTAGCTTCCCTTCATGCCGGTTTTATACGTCGTCGTAACTTTCTCTTTCTCGAGTTGTTGGATGCGTGAGAGTTTATAATTGATGGGTATACCCGGGAAGCCCTCATCCCAAACCTTCTTTTTTCCTCTCCAACCATCGTTTTAGGTATGTAAGACAGTGGCAGCACCCTTATCCACAATCTGACGTCAAAAATATATGGCGTGGATAATGGTATCCATCCATCATTATCTCATTCAATTTTTTTAGTGCTATATGGACACCAGATGCGACAACCTCGTCTAGCCCTCCTCTCTAACACACAAGCATTTCCAACTAACTAATGACAATAAATCACTAATATCTGAGCGCAGTATGGGGAGAGTGAGAGAAACGAGAGTGATCAGATTCCCGTCTAAGGCATATTGGTTGTACAGGATGCGATTATATAATCGGTTAGGTAAACTAGTGGGTAGGATGAAAGGGTGGAAAAACTCATGAACGTAATCCGGCCCGCGGGGAGTTAGGTCGTACACCAAAAACAAGGAGTGGTTGACGAGATGCACTGGAAAACGACATGCATATTCTGTAAAATTGTAAAACAGACTTTATGCTTTTGGGAGGAAACAAACAACAATTAAACGGTAAAGATCAAACATGGGGTATATCTTCAAGACAAAGAGAGAGAAAAAAATCGAACAAGAAGCTTTCTCTGATGTACTAGCCCCATCCATCCAAAGTTGAGGCGTGTCAGGAACGAACCCGCCCCTTATCTATTTTCGTCGTTTTCTTTCAGTCACCATCTGACTCGCTGTCAGAACTCGTGATGCCTTCATCTTCTTCGCCGTGGTCCGCATCGTCTATTTTACAGTATACGGAATACCGAGCGTTAGTCTCGTGATACGTGCCACATATACAATACACACACACACACACACACAGAGTCATATCCCACAGATATTTCTCAACTTACTGAATAAAGCTCGGAGCGAGACGGGGCCACCGTTTCTATTCGGTGTTCCACGAGCAGTGGAAGGAGAGGCACTATATGGTGATTGTTCTGGTACAACCGGTGTATTATGTGATCGTGCGTTTGCTGCTGCTGCTGCAGTATTCGGCGATGGCGGTACAGAATTGCTATCGGCTAACAAGTCCCGATCAATATCCGCCAGTAAGTCATCCATATCGTCATCATCGCTACTGTCATCGCTCTCTGACCCAGAACTCTCATCCTCCGATCCAGAACTACTGCTGCCGCTCTCGCCACTACTACTGCTCCCGCTTTCGCCACTGGAGGAAGATCCACTTGAGGATTCAGATACTGATTGTGCTGATGCTGCGGCAGCAGCCGCTGCCTTTTTACTGCGACTGGCTGCTAGAGCAGCCGCTGAGGATATAGATTTGCCACCGAATTCGCGTCTTGGTATAGGTGGTGATACTGTTGCTGCTGTCGCAGCAGATGAAGAGGTAGCGGCAGGCGGTGGTGTAGCAACTTGTGCAGGTGAATCATCGAGGCGAAGGATCGGTTGTGATGCCATTTTGTATTTCTTTCGCTTCCGGTTCATCGACGCTGGTGACTCAGTCGCCGGTCGCTTTTGTTGTTGGTGGTGTTGTTGGTGTTGAGCGGTGGGAACAACCACTTCTTCAAACATGTCCGTATCGGATGAAGGTGCTGCTCCAGATGGTGCTGTGGTCACTGATTGCATATCATCGTTGTCGTCATCGTCGTCATCATCATCATCGTCTCCGATGTCGTCTAATATATCCGCCATATCTTTCTCAAGATCTTTGGTAAAGTCATCCACACTAGATCTTCGCTCTTGATCCACTTGTTGAGTAGACGTCCCTGCCGATGCTGCTTTACTGGTTCCAGCTGGTCGTTTTTCAGGCATTGCAAGCTTTTTCGGTGCCTTCGGCTCTGGTAATTGAGGCTTTACGACTTTACGTTTCCGTGATTTACGCATTGTAAATTTAAGCGATGGTCGTTGCAGTGAAAATGTCTGTGGAGTAAGCGCGAGGAACACAGTGGATAGTCAGATCCCAAATTCATTCTACCTTTTGGCTTCTATCCATCCTAATCCAGCGTTTGAAATGATCCGCAAACCTGAGTTGTTTCATCAAATAACAATATACAGTCTACTTCTTGTGCTTGACTTGGTGTGGCATCATAATTCAATTGCGTACTATCTGCGTTACCCTGCAATACAAACGGAAGCCCCGGATCAGTCGCTTTTGGAAGGTTCCCCCCTTTTACTGTTCTTCAACTCTCTGCTTCTCTCTCTCTCTTTCTATCCCTTTCGCTTTGTTTCTGCATTCCTTCCAGTGTATTAAAGCAATACCTCAAGTGGGTCCCACTCAGCCGAATAAGTATCGTTGTCGGCTTTCTCTAATCTTGCTTTTCTCGAGGGCATTGTCGGGTCCAGCCTTGAATTGACTGCATAAGTTATTAAGATAACAATGAGTTTCTAGCTTGTTCTGGAACGTCTCACGAGAAAAATAAAATTTGGATATTTCATACAAGGCAAACACACGAGAGGGAAAGAATGCTTGGCTTACATTTAAATGTATAATAACTGGTTGCATCTTTGGATCCAGTAGATGTAAATGAGCTCCCTAAACGAACCGAATAGGTTCCGGAGGGAGCAAACTCAGTAGAAGAGGCTGCGGAAGCCATAAATAGTATCGTTGTGTGTTATATAAGTATGAGTGTGTGTTGAGGGAAAGGTAGAGAAGGGGTAAGGGTTTAAGACGAAAGGAAACTCGGTTCTCTGGTCTCTGTTCCTTTGCCGCACAAGTGTTTCCAAAATCGGGACAATGGTTCTAATTCAGACGGCGATGAATCATTGTCACCATTCGATATCATCGATGTCTGCTACGTGAACATACTTCTCTTCAAAAGGATAATTATTACTGAAACCAACAGTTGTTACAGTATGCAGTTGGCAGTCAAAGCATAATATTCAGACAAAAAATATAAAGGTAATCGTTAAAAAATGCAGTTTTTGTTGCAGTTCGGGAAACACGTGGCCACGATAAGCGCCAATTCATGCTTGCAATCTGCTGCTCAGTTGCTTGAAAGCTGTCATAACTACTGATGCTGCAACTAACCAAAATAAGCAAAAAAACAAAGAGCGCATTTCCACTGTATCAAATTCATATAGTGATTTGCAGTCAAGGATTGTACACCTACAACATCATGCTGCACCATTCAGTTTTTATTGCTACGTTTCATCTGTGATTTAGCAAAAGTGCTTTCTTAATAATAGCAGATATACTTTGCCATGACATTAGCAGCATGCACATATATTCTCACAAGATGATAAAAAGAGCAAGCGCAATGAGTATCTGGGATGATTATCCCGCCCTGGTACTGTATTATTTCCCATTCTTGTTGCGTATCAGGGTACATTGCTTTTCTTTGTAGTTATTTGATAGAATGCTGATCGCACCATCATGTCCCCTAGATAATTATGGCTATTTCACGTAATTTCAGGAAGACTGGAAACCCATCCAGTTCTTATTTAAGTTGGTCTGGGAGGCTACACTGACATTGGCCGCACGCTTATGATACTGTGATACCTTATTTAATGGTATTACCCTCTGCTTAACGCCCCGCAGTATACATGCGAAATCAACTTTTCTACCTTATTAGAACAATGGATCGTTATTGTGTCAATGCAACATAAAGCTAAATTTTGTTGCTTCTTTAACGTTTCTATTGAACACGGCACATTTGCTCAAAAGAAATACTGGTAGTTTCATGAGTTAATACAGGAGAAAGCTTGAAATTGAAATTAAGTTTGTAGCTGATTGGATATAACAATTTGGGCCAAATGGAATAGTAACTGATTCAAAATGTGATATGAAGAGTAAAGATGCAAAACAACCATCGGAGACACGTTCCTTTGTTTGGAACTTATAAACTTTCTAAGCGAGCTGCGCGAGAGCTACTTGAAAATTTAGTGGTTTGAATGAGCAGTAAACGGTTCGTGCCTCGCTGGAACAATCCATAACGTATACAGTAAATGCTTGTCACAAGTGTGGGTTGATTCAGTCATGGTTGCCTTTTGCATATTACTTTTCAATAATTCGTTTGCATCTCTTTTTTTCTTTCTTTGAGAGTAAGGAAGACTGAACTAGCTTTTGCTCTCTATGTTGCTATTGCCAGGATGACTTTAGTTATATAATCTAGACATCCTGAATGCTGTTGTTTATTCGTTACCGCATCTGCAGGGTATTACAATGCTATCCAATCCATTGAGCGGAGTTGGGATCCAGGAAGCTTACTAGGGTGATGTTTATATCTTGGTTGACAGCACACAGTAGCACTCCAGCGTCTTGTATCAGGCTTGCCTTTTCTCTGGCGTTTTGAGCTTGCTATCGTATTGTTGTTCGTTTGGTAAGCATCAAGCTTAAGACACTGGGTTCATTTACTGAACAACTGCTCATGAGTTTGTTACATATAGAGTTTAAACAGACAAAGTACTGTAGTTAGAATTTGCCCAGAAAATATGAGGAACACTTTCCGGGAATCGCTATATTTCAAGATGTTCTTGATCCCGTATATATCCTAGCATGTGGAAGATGATAATGTTCCCGCTTACCATAAATTTTGCCCTTTGTCAGTAAACTTGACTCCAATAAGTCCTCTGCGTAGTATAACTCTCAAAGCGGTTCGAGTATAGTTGCAGCAGCACGTTGGCCAATGAAATCCAAATACCGGGCATTAAAAATCCACTGCCCGACATGAACAGGAACGCGCGTATGCGCATACATACAGCATACAGACTGCTTTTTTTTGGTCATAAAGGGAGAGGGGAGGAGGCGACGATGGTCTTTCTATTCAACAACGGAAGAAAGAATATTCTCACTTCATTTTTTTTCTCTCTTCTGTCACAGAGACTATATCATATAGAGTGCGAGGTGATCCCTTTTGTGACGAAAAGAGGTACACAAGCATTTCTGATATATAAGGAAAGCATAGGGTAACCAAAAAAAATTAGTCTGTGCTTTCGCTCAGGTTTGAAAGGGCACCAGACTCGCTGCCGACCAGATCCACATCGTGCTGCCTTTCCATCAATCCTGGATCTAGTAAGTGTATATGTAAACATTTCAAATCGATGCTTGACTATACAGATATCACAACAATCCAACCTGGAAAACTGATTAATTAAACATGCTGCCAATATTGTTTATCAGCTCATTATAAATAAAAGTACAAGCCAGACTGCAAATATCACCGCAATGGTACTCAATTATTAAAAATATGTTGTATGGCATACGAAGATCATCTGTCCGAGATAATCCTGAACACCCCACGACTTCAATCTTTTTACTAGATCCTTCAATGATACGAAAAGCATTGATGCCTGCATTGGTGAGACTATAGATCCGTGAAACACGCAATAGCACCGAGCTTTCGACTTGTTCAAAATGCTCAAGGACAGCACCAGTAACACCTTTCACGGCTGTCAGTTCCAGATTCAGTATTTTGGTTTCCTCAAGTCGTTGTGCCCACACAATCCATCCTGCCTCTGTGAGAAAGTCGTCGACACTATTACTGTACGGTGATGTGCGGGTTCAAGCTTAATCTCCTGACTAGTGGGTGCTGTGATGGTTCGCACAACTGCATTAGACCTTGGTTGTCGATGGGTATGTTCGTGAGACGCATTTTTTCAAGCTGTTGCAAACGTCGAAGCGGAGTAAGATCGCAAAGAGGATTCTCGCTGAACATGTGAAGGAAATTTCGCAAGGAAAGTATACGGAGCCGTTGCAGCGTACCGATGGTTGCGATAATGCTGTTCAGATACTGCGTTATTCCAGCGCGATTTCCAACTTCCAAGATCTCATTTTGTTGCTGCATGAGCAAAATCTGGGACCAATCTTCGCTTGACATACCAGTGATGTCCGTCAACCCCAAACTTGTCAGCTGTGTGAATTGGTTGCGTGCCAAGACATCCCAGCAATGAATATCAGAAAGACCACAGGCGACTATACGTAAATGTTCTAGTATCGGCTGCGATTTAACTACTATCGGCATGATCCTCTCGTGTCCCTTGCCGTTGAATAGCAGTTCATAAGCCATACTGCCTTCCTCGCCATCATTCGATGCTTTCCTTTCAGTTACTTAATATAAGCACTCGTGCTTCTTGATAGTGAAATCCATCTGTCTGCTATGACTGGTTCGCTGCAATCCCACATAATGTAGCGTAATAGAGGGCACAGCTCATAAGCTGTATAGATGTTGGTTGGAGATACGTTGTTGAATCGTGAGTAAGGCGATAATATCAAGTACTTGATGTGGGAGCAACGCTGCAATAAGGGACGGATCCGGTATTTAAAACTGAGAACACTGTCCAGTCTTAAGAAGATAATGTTGTGTATCGGCGGCCTTTTGTGTCTGCTTCTGCCATCAACTTGTTCAAGAGTAGCGTCTGATAAGTTAGTGCGGCCATCAAACATCACTGAAAGATGCGTTAATGACGGCAAGAAGTCCAGTAGCATTGGCAGCGAGATATCGCAAGTGTGAAATGAAATCGTCAGAGCAGTTAGCGTATGCGAGAAATATCTGATGAATCCTGGCAGTAACGTGCTACTGTCGAAAATAGGTTGTAATTGTTTGCTATGCACATGGTTGCTGATGTCTTATTTTTTAACAAAGAAAAAGCTTTAGTATATCTTTTGCGCATAAGCAGTAGTAAGTACTACCGAATACGCGATCCTCTTAACGCAAAAAAAAAGAGTATCGTA